CACGTGAACTTGATCCTCTCTCTCTGTTAATGCAGCCTATGACTGCATTTTTGGCTTTTTTGGCAGCTGCAGCACACAGCTGGATGGAGACATTTTCTCCACAGCTTGTGACCAGGAAGGTTGGGCGCAGAAGCTCTGCTGATCAAAGGCCGGTGCTGCCCTTTCTTTTGGTGTGGGTCCCAAGGAGGCCTCTTGCTGTCTTCTTCCCCACCCCATCTCCAAGCAGCCTGGCTATCCTCTCCCCTCCCTTGGCACTGCAAATTCCACAAGTTTCTAATAGGTTAGGCACTGCAGCTCCCATGTTGCCCAGCCATTTGCAGATCCAAACCGGGCAGAACAATTATTTTACCAATAAATGTCGACGGAGATTCTCTGTCATCCAGGTCAGGGTTGTCCCAAAAGTGCTTTTTTTTCACGAGGCCACTGGACTTTCTTGTTTTTTCTTTGAAGACATTTCGCTTCTCATCCCAGAAGCTTCTTCGGCTCTGACTGGATGGTGGAGGAATGGAAGGATTTATACTTCTTGCAGACAGTTGGTTGTTTGCTTTTTTTAGAGAGTCGTTGAGGCCATTTGGAGGTTTATTTGTGTCCTTGGGTCACCTGAGTGGTGCAAATGGGTGTGGAGCCTTCTTGGAACTGCTGAAAGGACTTGTTGTAGACTGGAGATAGGGATACAACATCATCCATCTCCAGTCAAGAGTAACTCTTGTCCTGCAGCTAATTGGCCGTGCCAAGTTGACCGTGGCAAGTTGGCTGTGGCAAGTTGTCCTAGACCAGGGGTCTTCAAACTTGTCCCTTTGATGACTTGTGGACTTCAACTCCCAGAATTCCTCATCCAGTGTCCCGAAGTCATAAAAGGGCCAAGTTTGAAGACCCCTGATCGAGGAGAATTCTAGACTGAGTAGAGCAGGCATCTTCAAACTTGGCCCTTTTTATGACTTGTGGACTTCAACTCCGCGTGCCTGGCTGAGGAATTCTGGGAGTTGAAGTCCACCAGTCATCAAAGTGCCAAGTTTGAAGACCCCTAGTCTGGATCCAAGCCTGCAGTTTCATCAAAATGGCTGACTGAGGAATTCTGGGAGTTGAAGTCCACAAGTCATCAAAGGGCCAAGTCTGAAGACCCCTATCCTAGACCAGTGATGGCGAACCTTTTAGAGACCGAGTGCCCAAACTGCAACCTAAAACCCACTTATGCATTGTCGGGTGCCGGGTGGGTGTGGCCCATTGGGTGGGTGTGGCTGTGGTGGAAGCAGCAGACTGGGTGGGACTAAAAAGTTCAATCAATCAATTCCAACTTTGCAAGATCTTTTTTTTTCCTGCGAGAAGTTGAAATTGACTGATTGATTGAACCTTTTTTTTTTTTTGCACACGGCGGCAGAGGCCTAAAGCGAAAAAGGTTTTATAAAACCCAGCTGAAGGCCTAGGACTGGGGCGACAGCGCGCGTGCCCACAGAGAGGGCTCTGAGTGCCGCCTCTGGCACCCGTGCCATAAGTTCGCCACCACTGACCTAGACCCACCAGCAAAGGCCAGTCCTTTCCTGTGGTTCTCGCTCTCCCCTGTAGCGAACCAGAAACGTCACGGTTTTCGATTCCAGAGAGGTTGTCGCAAGCGACGCCCGTATTGCCAAATTAACGTCTTATTTGCCGCTTCCACAGAGCTCAATCACAGTGACTTGAAAGATGGCGCCAGTGACACCAGCCTCAGCAGCAATGCCAGTCTGCCCAGCGTCCAGAGCTGCCGACGACAACGGGAAAGGAGAGTTGCCAGCTGGGCTGTTTCCTTTGAGCGGCTTCTTCAGGATCCCCTGGGTATTCGATATTTCTCTGTAAGCAATGGAGAATAGCCGAACCCGGGTTTTTGGTTTGGTGTTACCCACAACAAAGTGCGCTGAACAACTGCCACTGACAATCAGATCCTGGTGGTATCTAAGAGGGCATGGCCAGCCAGGGGCCTAGATCTCCTGGACAAGTCTCTCTAGGCTAATCTTCCCTGACCTAGGAGTAGGAGTTACAGGCCCTAGAGATGAGAAGGCGACAACTCGCCATGGCCAACTGGCGACGGGATTCCTCCCCACAGCCAATTTGCCGCGGGTCAACTCACTGCAGGATCGTTTAACAATGTATTCAATTATTTAAAATAAATAAAAGCATAAATAAAAGTTTATGTCTTGCCATTCACATTTCACTCTGTCCCTCCTTTGGCATCCTTCCTTTAATGCTTCTATTCTACCGTTTCTTTGATATTATACTGTAACTTTTGTCCTGCAATGAGTTGTTCTCTGTTGAGTTGGCCATGGCGAGTTGGCCACGGTGAGTTGACCGTGGTGAGTTGGCCATGGCAAGATGGCCATAGAGAGTTGGCCATGGTGAGTTGGCCCTAGTGAGTTGGCCATAGAGAATTGGCCACGGCGAGTTGGCCATGATGAGTTGGCCATGGCGAGTTGGCCATGATAGTTGGCCATAATGAGTTAGCCATGGCGAGTTGGCCATAGAGTTGGCCATGATGAGTTGACCCTGGTGAGTTGGCCACGACGAGTTGGCCATAGAGAGTTGGCCACGGTGAGTTGGCATTGAGTTGGCCATGGCAAGTTGGCCATAGAGAGTTGGCCACGACAAGTTGACCGTGGTGAGTTGGCGATGGAGAGCTGGCCACGACAAATTGTCATAGACCAGGGGTAGGCAACCTTGGCTCTTTTATGACTCGTGGACTTCAACTCCCAGAATTCCTGAGCCAGCCACGCTGAGGGGAAAGGGAGAGGTTTCCAAGCTGAACCATGCTGGCTCCGGAATTCTGGGAGTTGAAGTCCACCTGTCACAAAAGAGCCCTGTCCTAGACCCTTAGGGAGGCTCCAAGGCTTCCTATGAAGGAAGGAGAGAAGGGGTGCTGTTCCCAGGCGCTTATGACCTCGGTTGGAAGAAACATCATCTGTAGATTTGGGCTGTTACATTCTTTTTTTGGCCCCAAATACGTGTAATAATTTTCAAATAATGTTTTTCTGGGCAAAGTATGTGGACAGGTGGGACATCATAGCTCCAGGACTTTCTGGATGTGGCTGGCTGTCTGGCTGTCTTTGGGGTGGGGGCTATTTTGAGGAGAAAACCACACTGTCGCGTTCCCCCCCCCCGTTTAATCCCGTGAGCCAGGAGATGGCTAGATGGAGCTGAACCTCGAGATTTCCTCCTGTTTTATGCTAGTACGTGGGCCGATCAGGGTTGCCTCCTCCTGCGCCATCTCAAGTGTGGTGGCCCCATCGTTCTTCTCAAGAGCTGAGCTTGCAGCTAACCGAGACTCAAGACTGACTTTGAAAGAGACACAAGGGGGGAGGGGGGGTCCCTCTCTGGAAGAGGTTTTGGGGTGGTCTTTGGAAAGATTCCCGGGCATTTTATCTCATTCTGATTTTTCATTCCTGTCTCCAACTAGGATTTCTTGCGGAAGGAGTTCAGCGAAGAGAACATTCTGTTTTGGCAAGCCTGCGAATATTTCAATCACATCCCTGCCCACGACAAAAAAGAGGTAAGGCTGCGTGGTGTTTATTTCGAAACAACCTGCAATAAATTCAGGCTGTTCAAGCTCTTTGGAAGGTCTGAGGTGGGGGGGGGGAGGGAAGCAGGGAGAAGAAAGGAACCCCAGCCCCAGGAAGGAGAATATAGGTCACCCCTCAACTTGCAACGGTTCATTTAGTGACCGTGCAGAGTTACAACGGCACTGGGGGGAAAAAAGGGACTTAACAGCCGTTTTTCACCCCTACAACCTTTGCGACGTTCCCCTACAACAGACTTCCGGAGGTGGCATCCACGCACTTCCAGTGGGCCGTTCTAGGCCTGGCAGGCCTCCAGGGCTCGGAGGTCTAGAGCAGACGTCCAGAAGTGGCATCCATGCACTTCCGGTGGGCTGCTCTTGTCCTGGGAAGCCTCCTCCAGGCCTCCGAGGCCTAGAGCAGACTTCCAGGCATCCACGCACTTCCAGTGGGCCGTTCTAGGCCTGGGAGGCCTCCAGACCTGGGAGACCTAGAACAGACTTCCACAAGTGGCATCCATGCACTTCCGGCGGGCTGTTCTAAGCCTGAGAGGCGTCCTCCAGGCCTCCGAGGCCGAGAACGGACTTCCATAAGTGGCACCCACGCACTTCCGGCGGGCTGTTCTAGGCCTGAGAGGCCTCCTCCAGGCCTCAGAGGCCTAGAACAGACTTCCATTAGTGGCATCCATGCACTTCCGGCGGGCTGTTCTAGGCCTGAGAGGCCTCCTCAAGGCCTCAGAGACCTAGAACAGACTTCCAGAAGGGCATCCACGCACTTCCAGTGGGCCGTTCTAGGCCTCCTCCAGGCCTCCCAGGCCTAGACTGGACTTTGGGAAGCAGTGTACATTCAGCCGGTTCTCTGAACTCAGCAAAATTTAGCTACCAGTTCTAATCCCACCACTGGTTGGGGGGGGGGTCTGCATGCTTTTTCATACAAAGAAGGATCGCAGGAATTGGCTAGGCCTAGTTGGATGAAAAGAAGGATTAGAGTGACATGATGGCCGCCTTCAAACATTTGAGTGGCTAAATACGAGTCAGTTGCCAAGCCTTATGAATTTGGATCTGGTGGTTTTGGGGCTGCGGCCACGGTCATAAGTGTGAAAAACGGCCATAAGTCCCTTTTTCCCCCCCAGCGCCGTTGTAACTTCGAACGGTCACTAAATGAACTGCTGTAAGCCAAGGACCTCCTGTATGTCGCCACTTCCGCGTTTCCCGTAGTTTTCTTCTAATGTCAGGCCTTGTTGCTTTGCAGCTTTCCTTCAGAGCGCAGGAGATCTTTAATAGGTATTTATGCAGCAAAGCTACGACTCCAGTCAATATTGACAGCCAGGTCCAGCTGGCAGACGATGTCCTGACCGCACCCCATCCACACATGTTCAAAGACCAACAGCTTCAGGTACCTTGGGAAATTTGAAGGACACCTTACCGGTGACTAGAGAGGGCTGGCGCAAGTAATTTTAGCTTTTAATCAGACCAGTTAAATGTCTACGGAGGTTGTCTATGGTTGTCCCAAAGGTGCTTTTTTTCAGGAGGCAACAGGACTTTCTTGTGTTTCTTTGAAGACGTGTCCCTTCTCATCCCAGAAGCTTCTTCAGCTCTGACTGGATGGTGGGGAGTGGGAGGATTTATACTCCTTGCAGACAGCTGGTCATTTGTCGCCTTTGAGAGGGTCGTTGAGGCCACTTGGGATTTATCTGTGTCCTCAGTGGTGCTTTTTCAACTGCACCTCCTTGCTTTTCTTTGAAAATGTTTTGCTTCTCATTCCAGAAGCTTCATCAGCTCTGACTAGATCAGTGGTTCTCAACCTGTGGGTTGGGACCCCATTTGGGGTCGAACAACCATTTCACGGGGGTCACCAAACAACACAGTCCGCCATTTTTTCCCCCTTTTCCGTAGCTGCGCTGCTCCCTTTTATTCTATTGGCTTTTGAAAGCCAATAGAATAGACTCTCTTGAATAGAGTCTAATTCTATTGGCTTTCAAAGGCCAATAGGAATTGTCCAGGCTGTCTCTGCCCTGCTGAGCCCGCCAAAAGTCCCATTCTGCAAACGGTGCTGCACCAGTTGAGTAGTCCTCGACTTACGACCGGTTGGGGGTCGCGGCATTAAAAAGGTTGAGAACCACTGGACTAGATGGTGGGGAAATGGAAGGATTTATACTCCTTGCAGACAGCTGGTCATTTGCATCATTTTGGAGAGTCGTTGAGGCCACTTGGAGGCTTACCTGTGTCCTCAGGATCACCTGAGTGGTGCAAATAGGTGTGGAGCCTTCTGGGAACCGCTGAAAGGACTGTGTGGTAGACCGGAGACAGATGATCTACAATACAGTCCTTTCAGCACTTCCAAGAACTTGTCTTCAAGTTCTCCTTTAGCGCCTCCAATTTTTTTTCCCCAAATATTTTTTAAGACATCTTTTTATTTTCCTGGGGACAAGATCTGCCACTTGTGAAACTCCTATTTGCAGCAGCTTGATGGAATTCTGCCTTCATAGGTCTCTTTCTTTTCTTTTTCTTTTTTTAATGTTTTTTTAGATTTTCAATTTGATGAAATTTGACAGCTACGCACGCTTTCTGAAGTCTCCATTTTACCAAGAATGCGTTTTAGCAGAAGTGGAAGGCCGTCCAATCCCCGATCCACAATGCGTCACCAGCAGCCCTACACTGAAGTCCAGCTTCGGCCCGGAGACGTTTAGTGTCTCCACTCCAAGAAAGGTTTCTGTCTTTTATGATGTACAGTTGAAAACAGACACAGTTCTGTCTTGTTTATCCTCTAACCCAGTGGTTCTTAACCTTTTTTGAGCGAATCGCCCCCTTGAGCCAATGAGGAAGTTGTCATCGCCCCCCCTCCCCCAACATAACCTCTCAATCACAACATAGGAAATAATTCTTCAATTTATGCAAACCCTTTTTTTGTTTTCTTTAAAATTGTCATCAGGACATATCGATGCAAATAATTTATTTCCAGTCTTGTTCCCATATCTCAACTGTGTGAAAAATATTTGGTGCCACCCTTTATTCCCAAACTTCGTGATACATGTATTTCATTATTATTTATTCAAGACACTTAAATGTAATGACCACTGAAAACAAAATTAAATTGCAAGAAAGTGAAATGCCTGAAAAGAAAAAAAAGATGTTGAGACTCTAGGAAGAGTGCAGAGAAGAGCAACAAAGAGGATCAGGGGACTGGAGGCTAAAACATATAAGGAACGGTTGCTGGAATTGGGAATGTCTAGTTTAATGAAGAGAAGGACGAGGGGGGACATGATAGCAGTCTTCCAATATCTCAGGGGCTGCCCCAAAGAAGAGGGAGTCAAGCTATTCTCCAAGGCGCCTGAAGGCAGGACGAGAAGCAACGGATGGAAACTCATCAAGGAGAGAAGCAACCTGGAACTAAGGAGAAACTCCCTGACAGTGAGAACAATTAACCAGTGGAACAACCTGCCTCCAGAAGTGGTGAATGCTTCAACACTGGAAGTTTTTAAGAAGAGACTGGACAGCCATTTGTCCGGAATGGTATAGGGTTTCCTGCCTGAGCAGGGGGTTGGACTAGATGACCTCCAAGGTTCTTTCCAACTCTGTTATTCTGTTATTCTGACAGCTGCTCGTTTATCAAAACGGGCCATGTCAGTTTGTCTTGTCTTGCATGCCCCTTTTGGGTGGTGTGTGTGGCAGGGCCTGTTTGTGGGCGTGACAGCTGCTGGGAAGGAGACGGCGGAGCAGTCAGCAGGAGCAGAAAAGAGAAGCACTACGCTGATTAAAGAAAGAACACCCACTGAAGTGATTTTTTTTTCTTTTTTAAATTGCACTTGTTCGCAGTTAGGTGGAAAAGCCAAGTCTGGGCGCTCCTTACATGAAGAATCGGGAGGAGAGGAAGACGGGGAGAAAAAGAAAAAAGGGGCGTTTTTCTCCTGGTCGAGGAGCAAGAGTTTGGGGAGGTCACAGAAGAAGAAGGAGAACGGCCATTGTCTCAAAGGTGAGCGTTAAAATCCAAAGGGGAGGCCCTGTGCAGGGGGGGGAGGAGAGAGATGGATGGAAGGATGGATGGATGGATTCTGAGAGAGGGAGGAAGGAAGGAGGGAGGGAGGGAGGGAGTGAAGGAGGGGGGAGGGGAGGGAAAGAGGGAGGGAGGGAGAGAAGGAGGGAGGGAAAGAAGGAGGAAGGAGGGAGGGGAGGGAAAGAGGGAGGGAGGGAGAGAAGGAGGAAGGAAGGAGGGAGGGGAGGGAAAGAGGGAGGGTGGGAGAGGAGGGAGGGAGAGAGGGAGAGGAGGAAGGAGAGAGGGAGGAAGAGGAGGAAGGGAGTGAAGGAAGGAGGGAGGGAGGGAGATAAAGAGGGAGGGGAGGGAGTGGGAGGGGAGGGAAGGGAGGGAGGGAGGTAGAAGGAAGAAAGGAAGGAGAGAGGGAGAGCAGGAGGGACAGAGGGAAGGAAGGAGGGGGGAGGGAGAGGATGGAGGGAGGGGAGGGAAAGAAGGAAAGAGGGGAGGGAAGGGAGGAAGGAACAAAGGGAGGGAGGGAGGAGGGAGAGAAGGAGGGAAGGAGGGGAGGGGAGGGAAAGGGAGGGAGGGAGAGAAGGAGGGAGGGAAAGAAGGAGGAAGGAGGGAGGGAAGGAGAGAAGGAAGGAGAGGAGGAAGGAGGGAGGGAGGAAGAGGAGGAAGGGAGGGAAGGGAGGAGGGAGGGAGATAAAGAGGGAGAGGAGGGACGGAGGGGAAGGAGGAAGCAGGGAGGGGAGGGAGAGAGGGAGGGGAGGGATGGAGGAATTTTGGGTTTAATGGAATTTGCTGACAGGACAGGCACCTTGACCTCAAACTTGGAGGCCTGGGCTTTCCATAGCAATCCCCTGGAGCATGCAGTGGTGATCCAGGCGTCAGAGTTATTGATTTATTTAGCATAGGATGAGAAGATGACAAAACGTTTAAAGATTTTTGCATCATGGTTGAATTGGACTATATATCCTTTATCTTTTTATTGAGGCTCTCCCAATAGATGTGAGTGTTACGACTATTATTGATAGCTGTACTAAAAAGTGTGGCGGTGTGGCTTGTCAGGAGCACGGAGATACAAATATACAATCAATCAATCAATCAATCAATCCTATTCTAGTTCTATGGAGATGGAAGGTGGAAAATCTCCAGAAGGTCCATCGCACCCGTGTCGGTTCATTTTTGAAAAACACCGTTCGGAGTATTTTTTTGGTACGGTTAGAGAATGAAAACTGGCCCAGTCTGAAGTCTGGATTTCATTCAGAGATTTAAGCGGAGAAGTCTCGAAAGCTGATTTAAGATTTTGTGAGCAAGATTAGGAGGTTTTTAACACTAGCTAATTGAGACATATGACTTCGTATTTCTCCTCAGAGTCTTCTCAGCCCGGTGGGCTGTCTTACAGACATAAATCTCAAGAGTCCTTGTCTTCCGCTGCCAGCCTCGAGATGGTACGTTCTGCCTTTTTGGGATTGAAAATATACACGGTGATGAACTACGGTGATAAACTCTGTCTAGTTTAGTGAAAAGAAAGATCAGGGCTGACACGATAGCAGTCCTCTTGTACTTGAGGGGGCTGCCCCAAAGAAGAGGTAGTCAAGCTATTCTCCAAAGCCCCTGAAGGCAGGACAAGAAGCAACGGATGGAAACTCATCAAGGAGAGAAGCAACCTAGAACTAAGGAGAAACTTCCTGACAGTTAGAACAATTAACCAGTGGAACTGCTTGCCTCCAGAAGTTGTGGGTGCACCAACACTGGAGGGTTTTCAAAGAGAGCCATTTGTCTGAAATGGTCTGGGTCTCCCGCTTGAGCAGGGGGTTGGACTAGATGACCTCCGAGGTCCCTCCCAGCTCTATGATTTTGTGTTCTAAATGTGTTGCGATTTGCTTTAAAAAAAAAAAACTGCTTAGTACTCTGTTTAAATTCCCCGCTCGGTTTCCACAGCAGACTCTTTAACGCTTTCTCTTCAAAAGGGCGAGCCCTGTCGAGCACCGGGGCCCCCCGCGGCGAAAGAGAAGCCCCCCAAATGCTGCCACGTCACCCTCCCAGACGGCTCCACCTCTGCCATGCCCGTAAGAGCCGGGTCCTCTGTCAAAGAGGTGCTGTCCGACTTCTGCGAACGGCAACGCATCAGCATGGCCGCAGTCGACCTTTTTTTAATCGGTGGAGATAAGGTACTTTTTTATTATTATTATTATTAAAAAAATTTATTTTCCATTTATCCAGCATAATTATACAACAAAATTCTCTTATCAAAATAAAATAGATTCATAAGCATAACCATAACCATAGGTGCCACTTGTTCATTCCCCCCAAGCTGTATCCACTCTCCCTAATACCTTCCCTACTTCCCTCCTCTTTCTCTCCTCCCCTCCTACTCTCTTCCCCTCCCCTTCTCCTCTTACCATCCTACTTCCTCCCTTCACCTTCCACCCCTCTCATCCCTCTCAAAGCGTAGGGGAAATGCACCTCTCCATAAACTACCATATCTATATTATCCTATTCTACCTATTTACCCACCCACTCACCCACCCACCCACCCCTCAACCCCCCCCCTCACTTCCCAGAGCAGAGTACAGGGTTATTAATAACAAAATTATACAATACAAAAAAAGAAGAAGAAAAAAGAAAAAAGGAAAGAAAAAAAAATCATACTTAGCCCCTTAACTCCCCTTAAATTACATCATCACAAACAAATCTCTTATACAAGATTTACTATAAAATTTACTCATAAAATAAATGAAACTTTATAGTCGACCTTTTCTTAATCGGTGGAGATAAGGTACTTTTATGGGTTTTTTTTTTTAAAAAAAATAATTAATATTGAAAGGCTGCGTTTTCCCCAGAGTGATACTGATATGAGCAATAGCAACAGCATTTAGAGCTTGACGGGACACTCTGGGCAGTTTACAGTGTAGATTACAGTGTTTCTCAACCTTGACCATTTTAAGGCATGTGGACTTCAACTCCCAGAATTCCACAGCCAGCAATGCTGGCTGTGGAATTCTGGGAGTTGAAGTCCACATGCCTTAAAATGGTCAAGGTTGAGAAACATTGGTGTAGAAGCATGCCTCGCAGGTTATTCCCCCAAGAGTCTGGGTCCTCGTTTTACTGACCTCGGAAGGGTGGAAGGCTGAGTCAACCTTGAGCCTTGCCGGGACCGAACCCCAAAACTGTGGGCAGAGTTTGCCTACCATACAGGGAGTCCTCGACTTAACACCAGTTCATTTAGTGGCCGTTCGAAGTGACGACGGCCCTGAATAAGGGGACATGTGACTGTTTTTCTACTCTGTTGATTGAAACTATTACCAAAATGCATTGTTTATAATAATGATAATGATAATATTATAATAATAATAGTTATAATAATAATAATAAAGTTGGAAGGGACCTTGGAGGAATAGAATAGAATAGAATAGAATAGAATAGAATAGAATAGAATAGAATAGAATAGAATAGAATAGAATAGAATAGAAAATAGAATAGAATAGAATAGAATAGAATAGAATAGAATAAGAGAGAATAGAATAGAATTACAGAATAGAAATAGAAATAGGAATAGAATAGAATTACAGAATAGAATAGAATTACAGAATAGAAATAGGATAGGATAGGATAGGATAGGATAGGATAGAATAGACAGAGTTGGAAGGTTCCTTGGAGGTCATCTAGTCCAACCCCCTGCTCAGGCAGGAAACCCTAGACCATTTTGGACAAATGGCTGTCCAGTCTCTTCTTAAAAACTTCCAGTTTTGGAGCATTCACTGCTTCTGGAGGCAGGTGGTTCCTCTGGTTAATTGTTCTAAATATCAGGAAATTGCTCCTTATTTCCAGGTTGCTTCTCTCCTTCCATCTGTTGCTTCTTGTCCTGCCTTCAGGTGCATTTTCATACTAGTTTGGTGGCGCTGCCGCCGTGCTTCATTCAGTCTTCTGGAAGCAAAGCCCGTTTAAAGCAAACCAAAGACTTAATGGGAAACCTCGTCTCCAGACGTCCTCTGTGGAGTAAAAGCCTCCCCTCTTCAGGAGATGCCTTGGCAGTTCTCAGCGGGCGAACCCGTCCACCTGTTAAATGTGACGCCTTCTCTTCTTGTATATTCGCAGCCCCTCGTACTGCACCAGGACAGCAGCATTCTGGATGCTCAAAACCTCCGCTTGGAAAGAAGGACTTTATTTCGGTAAGATAATAATAATAATAACAACAACAGCAACAACAACAACAAGACCCCAGACTTAACAATTGTCGATAAGAAAGACAAAAAAGTCTGGATAGTGGACGTGGCAGTGCCTGGAGACAGCAGAATAGAAGAGAAAGAACTGGAGAAGATAACAAAATACAAAGACCTACAAATAGAAATAGAAAGACTGTGGCAAAAGCAAGCAAGGGTAGTACCAATAGTCATAGGCTCCTTGGGTGCAATCCCAAAACAACTGGAGCACCACTTGAACACCATTGGCATTGACAAATTCGCTATTAGTCAATTGCAAAAGGCGGCCTTACTAGGAACTGCTTCCATCCTGCGACGATATCTGTAATACCATCAAACATCCACATCTGCCTATCCCAGGTCCTGGGTAAGGACTCGATAGGTAGACAAAATGCCAAATCCAGTCTGAACATCTGGCTGACTGTGCGATGATCCATAATAATAATAATAATAATAAAATTTTAAATAATTATTATTAATAGCATTTTATAATGGAAATTATTTAGTTTATTTACAGTTATTATGGTTCTTTATAATAATTGTTTTAAAATGGATTTGTTTATAATATTATGATATTAAGGTTTAAAGGGAGTTAAGGGTTAAGTATGAATTTAGTTATTGTATGCTTTGTTAAATTTAATTAGATTTTGTTTAATATGTTTGTAATAACCCTGTACTTGGCTCTGGGAAGTGGGGGGGGGTTAGGGGGGTTGTGGGTTTAAAATTTTTTTGTTAATTGTCAATAAAACTTTTTCAATAAAAAAAATAAAATAAATAAATAAAGCCACAATGGCAACTGTGAACAGTACGATCACAGCCGCCAGGAACTACACCTGTTGGACATAAATACACCGAATGCAAAGAAAAAAAGGATATGGTGGTCAGTTTTCTTAGCGTCCCACTTTGTCAAAGAGACGGTGGGACGAAGCCGAGTTCCGAGTGGCTCTCGGTAGCAAATATTCACTCGGTTTGTCTCTCCCGTTTTAGGCTCGACCTCGTCCCTATAAACCGGTCGGTTGGTTTAAAGGCTAAACCCACCAAGCCGGTCACAGAGGTTCTGCGTCCGGTCGTTGCGAAATATGGACTGAATCTTAATAACCTTGTGCCAAGACTAGTAAGTAATTCGTTAAACTAAAATAGTTTTGGTTTTGGTTTTTTTAGCTTCATTGCACGGTGTTTTCTTTATGATAAATAAAACGGTCTTACCTCATTCCTTATTAAAAGACACACTACTCTCGCCCAAAGTAATGGGATTATAAAGCAGTTTCATACTGAGTTCCTTTATCTCTACATGTATGTTTTCTAGAATTCCAGGTAAGTGTAAGTTTTATTTCTTCATTTGGTTAGAATAGAAAATGAATAGAATAGAATATGGAAAGAATAGAATAGAATAGAATAGAATAGAATAGAATAGAATAGAATAGAATAGAATAGAATAGAATAGAATAGAATAGAATTACAGAATACAATAGAATTACAGAATACAATAGAATTACAGGATAGAATAGAATAGAATAGAATTACAGGATAGAATAGAATTACAGGGTAGAATTAGAGTAGAGTAGAGTAGAACAGAATAGAATAGAATAAGGAATAAATAGAGTAGAATAGATAGAATAGAATAGAATAGAATAGAATAGAATAGAATAGAATAGAATTACAGAATACAATAGAATTACAGGATAGAATAGAATTACAGGATAGAATAGAATTACAGGGTAGAAGTAGAGTAGAATAGAATAGAATTAGAATAGAATAGAATAGAATAGAATAGAATAGAATAGAATAGAATAGAATAGAATAGGAATAGAATAGAATAGAATAGAATAGAATAGGGAATAGAATAGAATAGAATAGAATAGAATAGAATAGAATAGAATAGAATAGAATAGAATAGAATAGAATAACTGTTGGAAGGGACCTTGAAGGTCTTCTAGTCCAACCCCATGCTCAGGCAGAAAACCCTATACTATTTCAGACATTTCTTTTATTCACGTCGATGCCTCCTGAATTTGGGCAGCTGGCAATGCATTGGGCAGTACAGGAACAAAATATACTAGGAAGTAAAACCAAAACGAAGTAGAAACAGAAGAGAAAGAAAGAAGAACAAGATGGCGAAGCTAGCAGGCACCCTCAACCATCCGACGGTCTCTCATCCAGGCAATGGCGGTCCAGGCATCTTGTTGCCCCCCCCCCAGTTGAGGGGACAAACAGGCCTTTATGGCCCTCTGGACGTCTGCAGAGCAGGGGCAAGATGGCTCTCAGGGGGAGCCCCATTCCGGGGGGGCCAAAGAGCCAGGTCCAAATAAAATGACCCTCAAATCAAATAAAGAGGTGCACTTTGGGTTACTTGGATTTGAGTGTCATTTTGGGGGGGGGGGACCTTATTAAAGATCTATAAAGATCCTTTAAGGCAGTGGTTCTCAACCTGTGGGTCGGGACCCCATTTGGGGTCGAACGACCATTTCACGGGGGTCGCCAAACAATGCAGTCCGCCATTTTTTCCCCCTTTTCCTTATCTGTGCTACTCCCTTTTATTCTATTGGCTTTTGAAAGCCAATAGAATAGACTCTCTTGAATAGAGTCTAATTCTATTGGCTTTCAAAAGCCAATAGGAATTGTCCAGGCTGTCTCTGCCCTGCTGAGCCCGCCAAAAGTCCCATTCTGCAAACGGGGCTGCACCAGTTGAGTAGTCCTCGACTTATGACCGGTTGAGTGGTCCTCGACTTACGACCGGTTGGGGGGGGGGTCGCGGCATTAAAAAGGTTGAGAACCACTGCTTTAAGGTAAACAATGCCTCTTTGAAGTTCTTTTTTGAAGAGTTTCATCGGTCGGAACCATGACAATACCATTTTTCTCCCACGGTGCCGAATTGGATGACAGAACGGGGAGCAAGACCCCTTAGACCTCGGGGCCCCCATCTCCAGCCTTGACGGACAGAGGGTGATTCTGGAAGACCGGATTTGTCCAAAGGGGAAAGGTAAGCGGGGCCGAAAGCATCTCGCTGAATCAGTATCATGCGTGACGGATCCCGCCGAATAACACGGCCACCAAATTCTGGATTTAGTCAAAGCTTCCACGTACAGGTAATCCTCGACTTAACGGCCACGACGGAGCAAGCCCCAAATTTCTGTTGTTAAGTGAGGCCTCGGTTAAGTGAGTTTTACGACTTTTCTTGACTCAAGTGCTAAGGGAGTCAGCGGCAGTCATTCAGCTAGTGACCTGGTTGTTAAGTGCATCCGGCTTCCCCATCGATTTTGCTCGTCAGAAGGGGATCAGGTGACCCCGGGGGGGGGGAACATTGCAACTGTCGTAAGTACACGCCAGTTGCCGAGCCTCTGAATTTTGATCACGCGATCCCAGGGATGCCACCCCGGTCGTTAACTGTGAAAAAAAGCTTTGTAACTTGGAACGGTCACTAAACGAACCGTTGTAAAAGCCGAGGACTATCTTCAGAGCTGGTTCCAGGAGGAGCGCCCTGTCGTAGTCCAGATGGGTGGGAACGAGGAGGTGAAAATGACTGTCATGAGGTCCTTAACGTCACTGGTGAATCAGTCGGAGGCGGGCAAAGCCGCCTGCCCGTCGAGCAGTAGCCAGGATCATTCTTGATCATTCCCCCCCCCTTAGATTGTAATCGCATTAGTTAGCAGGAAACATCGGGGTTTTGAAAAAAAGAATTACATTTCTATCGTTCACAGACAAGGGGAAAGGAGCGTCATTAAAACACAGTGCGCCTGTAACTACTAATGCAGGAAACCAGGCACTCACAGTAAGTTTTCTGAAATTATTTTGAAACCCCGGGGATCCCTCCGTTCGACGTGACTTCCCAAGATTAAAAGGGTCTATAGGAGTCCCATGTTTGCTTTGCGCTGCTCTTTTTTAAAAAAAATTATGTTTGTATTCTGTGGCTCGCCTTTTCACCCTTCGCGTGGAACGTCATTGGCTCCTCAAAAGAAAGTTGCACAAAAAAAAAACATCTTAACAGAATACAAGGCTAGCAGAGTTGGAAGGGACCTTGGAGGTCATCTAGCCCAACCCCCTGCTCAGGCAGGAAACCCTATACCGTTTCAGCCAAATGGCTGTCCGGTCTCTTCTTAAAACTAATATTTAACAAAATATTAGCAGCAAACATGGAGGAAATGTTATCGCCAGCCATGATTTTTGTTGTATAGCATCCTTCCTGCTCTCTGCTCGCCTGGGGGGCCAAATCCCGTGTCCATCTCGGCTGTTTGTCCAGAAAAGAGACCCCCCCCCCAGTGACTGCTTAGGAGCCCCACGGTGTGTCAAATCTTGAAAAGATGCCTCTGAATTACGCTCAGCCAGGCAAGCCTCCCTTTTATTTTAATCCTCTAAAAATTTAGCAAGGGGGATTAGTTCAGCTTTGGCCGGATCAGGCATTGTAGTAGGTGAAGGCTGCTGTCAAACTGTGGGATTACGACAATTGTTATTTCTTCGTACTCTCCGTTCGGGTTCATCGGCCAGGCCTCGCGCTGTGGAAGACGCGACTTGACATCCCTGATGGGCAGCATAAAAAGTGGAAAAAGAATGAGAAATTTAGACTTGGCCAAAGTTAGGGCAACAAGACAGCCTGCGATGACCCACCCCTTCCTGCAGACATCTCCCCCCCCCCCCAAACAAATTTGATCCCGGCTACTAGAGGCCTCCGACAGTTGATACCAAATCGTCCTTTGTGTTTTAATGTCAAGATAGGGGGAAAACCTTAAATATTTCGATCCACCAGAGAATTGCTGATTTTGCTCAAAAACGCGTGTAACCTGTTCGCCTTTTTTTTTTCCTGCCATCAATCTAACCCACTCGTTCTCAACCTGTGGGTCGGGACCCCATTTGGGGTCGAACGACCATTTCACGGGGGTCGCCAAACAACGCAGTCCGCCATTTTTTTTCCCCTTTTCCTTAGCTGTGCTACCCCCTTTTATTCTATTGGCTTTTGAAAGCCAATAGAATAGACTCTCTTGAATAGAGTCTAATTCTATTGGCTTTCAAAAGCCAATAGGAATTGTCCAGGCTGTCTCTGCCCTGCTGAGCCCGCCAAAAGTCCCATTCTGCAAACGGTGCTGCACCAGTTGAGTAGTCCTCGACTTACGACCGGTTGAGTAGTCCTCGACTTACGACCGGTTGGGGGGTCGCGGCATTAAAAAGGTTGAGAACCACTGATCTAACCCTTGATTCAAGGCACAGAACTAAAGCACAGGTAATTCTGACCTACCAAAAAGCCTGTGTCCATAATGACTCTTCTTTTAATTTTTTTTTCTTTTTTTACTTCCTGCAAAAAAAATCTTTCCAAGGAGAAAAAGCCAAACACTATTGGAGACCGGGACTAGAGTCCAGTGGTCTTGTTAGCTAACAAAGTCCATCGCCTGTTTTTTTGGCATCCTGGCTTCTTGATCTTCTTCCAAAGTAAACCGTTGATAGCAGTAACAAAACTTTTCCCCTCTTAAAGTCTTCGGCGGGACATTTTTACGCCACGGCTGGAAACGTGGACGTTTTCTGCCCAGCTGTTTGATCAAGCCACCTTCTGAGGTCCCCAGTTAATCTCTCAGCTGGAAGATACGGAAGTTTTCCTGGTTTTTTTAAAAAAATGGTCAGCATTAACAGATCAAAAACTTGAGGGAAAAAGAAAGAGAGAAGAGGGTGTCAAAATTTCTCACTGACACTGTTTTCGCTGCTAAAGCATGGAGTGCTGGCCTTGCCTTTGACCTGGGTCTCAGTGTCTTTGCGAGCTTTTAGGAAGAAAAGCCTGCCGATCACTGTATTACCACATCTTCTTCTTTTTTTTATTATTATAAGGATTTTATTAGTTTTTCTCTTACATACGTGTGTTAATTTTTTCAACCAGCGTGCTGTCTGGATTCAAAAACGCTAATACATAATCAATTCCTAATCCTTGGTTCTTTCCTCTAGCCCGGTGTTTCCCAAACTTGACAATTTTAAGGCATGAGGACTTCAACTCCCAGAATTCCACAGCCAGCAACGCTGGCTGTGGAATTCTGGGAGTTGAAGTCCACATGCCTTAAAATTGTCAAGTTTGGGAAACACTGCTCTAGCCCAGTGGTGGCGAACCTATGGCACGGGTGCCAGAGGTGGCACTCAGAGCCCTCTCTGTGGGCACGCGCACCGTCGCCCCAGTCCTAAGCCTTCAGCTGGCTTTTATAAAACCTTTTCGCTTTAGGCCTCCGCCGCTGTGTGCCAAAAAAAAAAAAAAAAGGTTCAATCAATGAGTCACCCAACAATGCATAAGTGGGTTTGGGGTTGCAGTTTGGGCACTCAGTCTCTAAAACAGCGGTTCTCAACCTGTGGGTCGGGACCCCATTTGGGGTCGAACGACCATTTCACGGGGGTCGCCAAACAACGCAGTCCGCCATTTTTTCCCCCCTTTTCCTTAGCTGTGCTACCTCCCTTTTATTCTATTGGCTTTTGAAAGCCAATAGAAGAGACTCTCTTGAATAGAGTCTAATTCTATTGGCTTTCAAAAGCCAATAGGAATTGTCCAGGCTGTCTCTGCCCTGCTGAGCCCGCCAAAAGTCCCATTCTGCAAACGGGGCTGCACCAGTTGAGTAGTCCTCAACTTACGACCAGTTGAGTAGTCCTCGACTTACGACCGGTTGGGGATCGCAGCATTAAAAAGGTTGAGAACCACTGCTCTGAAAGGTTCGCCATCACTGCTCTAGCCATTTGTAGAATGATTCCCAGATTTGGTAGTGTTCTGTTTCTTCTTTATCTTTAATCTCATAGTTAATCCGTCCATCCCTGCGCATTCCAATATTTTTTTAATTACTTCTTCCTCTGGTGGTAACTCCTTCATTCTTCCAATATTGCACAAAGACGATTCTTGCTGCTGTTACGACGTGTAAAGCCAAATATAAACTTTGTTTATTAGTCTTTTCTGGCATTATACCTAGCAGAAAACATTCAGGTTTAAATTCCACCCATTCCCCCAACATTTTTTTCTAATCAACCATGTGTCTTTTCCCAATAAGGCTTGGCTCTACCACATGTCCACCAAAGATGATAATACGTAACTGAGTTATGTTTACGTTTCCAACATCCATCTGACATATTTTTAAACATTTTTTGCTAATCTTGCGGGTGGCAAGTGCCATCTATAAAACATTTTATATACATTTACTTTATACAAAGTTGACATTGGAAGAAGACCCAGCCGATCTTCACGTTGGGGTGCGGGGAGGGGGTGTGTATTTGCAGAGGGGCCACAAAAACACGGGGGGTGGGGCGGGGGGTGTGGAAAAGGTGGGAGATCCAAGAGTGTCCTGGCCAAAAGTCCTCCTTGGTGGACCCTCCCCGGAGACAGGTTTGGCTGCTGCTCCTCCTTGTGGCTGCTGTTGTCGGTGTAATTCGTGTTCCCTCTGGCTTCCCCCGCAGGGCGAAGGAAGAACGGTAGGAAAGCACAACTCTTTTAAATTAAAAGGAGAGCCTGGCAAGAGCTCCAGAGAAGCCCATCGGGCGCCAAGGGAAGACCGCTTTGCTCAGACTGAAAAAAACACACACCGGCCCTTGAATTTGGAAGAAGCCGAGGGTATGTCACTTTTTAAATATATGCAGTAGCGTGTGTCTTTGTCAACCGTGGTGACCAAGTGGCGTGCATTCTTATCTGTTCCGGCCGTGTGTATTGGCGGTGCAATAAACTTCAACCACTCCGAAGTTACCTTCCTGTGTTGGTGAGAGTGTTTGGGACGAACGCGAAGGGCTTCCCAGCTCAGCCTTTGACTGGCCCTGTGGCTCTTGCGCTCACTCCCTCCGTCTCTAAGTGAGACCTGCCCTGTGCTGAGGCTGGGGAGAAGAGAAGGAGGGGGTGCTTCTGTGATCCACTCCCGGGATACCCCCTGGTGTCATTCTCAGCTTATCCAAGCCTCTTGGTTCCCCAACTCTTCTCTGGAAAGCAGCCCTTAATGACGGCTTTTCTTATCAACCCATACTTGGGTCTAGGACAGGGGTCTTCAAGCTTGGCCCTTTGATGACTTGTGGACTTCAGCTCCCAGAATTCCTCAGTCAGCCATTTTAATGAAACTGCAGGCTTGGATTCAGACTAGAGGTCTTCAAGCTTGGCCCTTTGATGACTTGTGGACTTCAACTCCCAGAATTCCTCAGCCAGGCAAGCGGAGTTGAAGTCCACAAGTCATCAAAGGGCCAAGTTTGAAGACCCCTGGTCTAGGACAACTCACCATTGCCAATTCACCGTGGCCAACTCACTCCAGCCAACTCGCCGCGGGGCAAGAGTTAACGCTATTATCGAAGAAAGGGTGGCGTAGAATCTGTGAAGGAAAGGACGCCAAAGGAGGGGCAAAACTTAAAATGATTTTTAAATTATTTCAAATCATCGAATTGTTGAATTGTCCCATGGTGAGGTGGCTGTGGCGAGGAGCCGTAACACTAGCCCCGCGTCTGTGTCTTTCCTTTTGCATTTTTTTATTCTATTCAATTGGTTCGAATTACAGTAGAATTGCTTAGATTAAAAAGAAAAGCTTCCCGCCCTGCTTTTCAGTTCCTCCCATTTAGGCAAGCTGATTTCTTGACTGCCTTCCATTGTCCACCCCCAAATATCCCCCCTTCCCCCATTTAACGTTCTTTATTGGGGAGGATCCCTCAGGAATACTGGGTGAATGTGTTGACGTCCACAAGCCCTTTAATGGGGACTCCTAGGCCAACCTTTTGCACGGCTTGCTCGCTGTGGGGTTTCCTGCTTTTGAAGGCCTCTTTTAGTACACAAACACCCTCACACCCCCATTTTCAAACCAGCATTTCCCCCCCCCCCCGTAACATTCCTATGACCGAACCACCTTGGAATAAACCAGGCTGAGAGATCACAAAAGGATCTTGCTTAGTGTCTGGATTTGTAGCAGGTTCCCCTGTCCCTACAGACAGCCATGTTGGCACCAGCTGTCTCCTTGGAAGAGTCAGGATCAGACTGGGGGGGGGGCAAAGATACCTAGCTGGCACCCCTGGAATGGGGTGGGGGCTAAGTGGCTCGGTCAGCCTGTCCTTTCGGGTGCAATTTGGAGCTGGGGACCAAAGACCAAAAGGATGATGGTGCCATCTCTGAAGCAAGTCCAGGCTGGTGTGAAGAATCGTGTCCGATGGGACACTTGACGGTTATTAAGGGTGGTGATGTTGCCGCGTTGCTTGCGGCCCTTACAAGGCGTGAATCAACAGAGCACCAGCTAGTATCTTTACACACAAGGTGCTTGAGCACTTGAGTAGGCATTGGCGTGACATTGTTACAACTCTCAACAGTGTAAAACGAGCCACGTCCTCAGTTAGAATCATAGAATCCTGGCGCTGGAAGGGACCTTGCAGAGCTTCCAGTCCAGGGGTGTCAAACTGCCGGCCCGTGGGCCGGACGCATCATCCGCGCCCACCCCATTGCCAGCAATGGCAAAAACGACCCGATAGGTCGCGCGACGTCACGTGACGCCACGAGTTTGACATGTCCGTTCTAATCCAACCCCCGCACAAGTCAGGAGTCCTCATAGCATCCTGGACAAATGGCTGTCCAATCTCTTCTTCAAAATTCAATTGGTGCAATTTAGTCCCTGTTCACTCTGTGCTTCAGAAGACTCTTGATTATGGGAGGGGACCTTGGAGGTCCTCTAGTCCAACCTGCTACCCAAGGCAGGAATCCTCATACTATCCTGGACGAATGGCTGCCTGATCTTTTCTTGGAAGACCTCCACCCACCATTCTGGGAGGCAGGCTCTTCCATTGCTTAATTGCTCTCTCTGTCAGGTGGGTTCCAGAGAGGATCTCTGCTTGAGGAGCTGCCACCCATTAGCAGTGAGGGCATCTGTGCCCCCCAAAAGCAAAGTCATGGCTGCTTTGGATAAAATGGGAGCTGCCCAGAGCTCTCAATTGTCACCTGGCTAACCTTTGGCTGATGCCCAGATGATGATGTTGGTCAACCGGGTACTAAAGATGGTAGGGGACATGACCCCCAGCGCGTCTTCCAATTCCTTGTCCTACACTTCCCTTCCCAAACCACCTTCAGCAGGTAGGTGGAGCTTTCCTGGATCCTTCCCAGAGGGAATCACCATTGGGAAAAGGCTGCTCAGCCGAGACACCTCTTCATGCTTTTCCTTGATCAACGATTGGTGGGGCTGGAAATTAAGAGAGGGCACCCAACACTTTGCTGGCCTACAATACAATACAATAACAGAGTTGGAAGGGACCTTGGAGGTCTTCTAGTCCAACCCCTCTATACCAGGGGTATCAAACTGCTGGCCCGCAGGCCGGATGCGTCATGGCGAAACCGTGCCCACCCCGTTGCCAGCAATGGCAAAAAAGTCACATTGCGTCACGAGACGTTACGTGACGTTGTGAGTTTGACACCCCTGCCCAATACCATTTCAGACAAATGGTTGTCCAGTCTCTTCTTAAAAAGGTCCAGTGTTGCAGCATTCACAACTTCTGGAGGCAGGTTGTTCCACAGGTGGGACAGATCAAGTGCCGGGAAGCATCACTTGTATAGAATCCCCAAACGCAAGGGTTGAAGGGAACCCTGGAGATCCCGTAGCCCACGTTCCTGTCTGGGGCAGGAATCTGTTCCAGCAGCTTCCTCAGTGATGGCCAGCCAGTGAAGGAGAGTCCAAAGCAATCAACTCCATTGCTGGACAGGTTTTTTTTTTTATTACTATTGTTAGGAAAATCAGCCTGAATTACGAACTCCTGTCAAAGCAGACTTTCTTCTCACTTGCCTTCTCCCAAGTCGGCAGCAGCCGCCTGTGCCAGCTCATCATCCCTCGGCCTAAACTGTCCTCGCCGTGTAGGGCGCCGGTTGATTCTAGCGGTGAAGGCGCTGGGCTAGAAACTGGGAGACCAGGGATTCTAGTCCCACCTTGGACACAAAGCCAGCTGGCCTCCTGTCTAAAGAGGGACTAGGATCAGAGAGGCAGGTCTGAGATCCCAGCATGATGCCACATCTGTATCAGAGGCAGTTTTGGACAGCTGGTCCCAGATATCCAAAGAAGACCCTTCCCTCATTGGCCAGCCAGCCAGCCGGCTTGCCAGGTAGGTATTTTTCCCGCCTTTTTAATACTTTGCAAAGGGAAAATTCGAGTTTCACAACTTATCCTGGGCTGCTTCTCTCTGCTTACGGCAGCGCGGATCTGTTGCACAGATCCAGACTGAGGCCAGCTAAACTCTAGATTGTGGACTTCTGTTGTTGCTGTTTTACCACCGATCCTGGATGCGACGATAGGTCATCCTCGACTTAACAACAGTTCATTTAGCGACCGCTAAATGGTCAGGTGATCCAAATTCAGATGCTTGGCAATTGACTCATATTTATGACCGTTGCAGTGTCCCCTTTTCCGACCTTCCGACAAACAAAATCAAGCAACAGCAGCAGCGATCAGGGCGTGGGAAAGTGAGATTAGCAAATCGTTTCTAGGGCTTTTGGGGTGGTGGCTTAATTAAAAATGAAATGGAAAGAACAACAAAAAAGAAATTTTATAAAATGCACCACACACACACACACACATCTAAATTTACTGCAGCTAATTAAACTGGAGAAAGCGGTCAGATTAAAGTGTCCTTTGCGGTTCTTTTCAAAGTGTTTCAAATGCTGCCAGAATCTGGAGTGGCTTGAGTTAATGCAAGCTAAAATGGAAGGTAACTGAAGGATGAATGGAGCTTTGCCTGTGTCCTGAAGGTCACCTGAGTGGTGCAAATGGGTGTGGAGCCTTCTTGGAACTGCTGAAAGGACTGTGATCTACAACACAAATCCTTTCAGCAGTTCCAAGAAGGCTCCACACCCATTTGCACCACTCAGGTGACCCTGAGGACACAGACAAGCCTCCAAGTGGCCTCAACAACTGCCTAAAAAAAAGGCAAATGACCAGCTTTCTGCAAGGAGTATAAATCCTTCCGTTTCCCCACCACCTAGTCAGAGCTGAAGAAGCTTCTGGGATGAGAAGCGAAACGTCTTCAAAGAAAAACAAGAAAGTCCAGTTGCCTCCCGAAAAAGCATCTGTGGGATAATTATGATCTGGATGACGGAGAATCTCCGTAGACACAATGTAGAAAGTTTACAATATTTATGTAGTCTAATATTAGCACAGAATATCACCTGTGGATGATCCTCAGGAATAATTCTTCATGGCTCTTTAAAATGCTGTTGATTGAAAAAGAATTCTGTGTCACAAGAGTTACTGGATAATTAATCAAGTTCTAATCCTAAATTATCTCCCTAGACCAGTGGTGGCGAACCTATGGCACAGGTGCCAGAGGGGGCACTCAGAGCCCTCTCTGTGGGCACGCACGCCGCTGCCCCAGTCCTAGGCCTTCAGCTGGGTTTTATAAAACCTTTTCGCTTTAGGCCTCCGCCACCATGTGCAAAAAAAAAAAGGTTCAATCAATTAGTCAATTTCAACTTCTCGCGGGAAAAAAAAGATCTTGCAAAGTTGGAATTGATTGATTGAACTTTTTAGTCCCACCCAGTCTGCTGTTACCACTGCAGCCACGCCCACCCAATAGGCCACACCCACCCAATGCATAAGTGGGTTTTGGGTTGCAGTTTGGGCACTCGGTCTCTAAAAGGTTCGCCATCACTGCCCTAGGCTCTTTTTAATCTTTATATGGGAGTTATTGTGTTTAAATATAAAAGTTTGTCATGTAGCACTAATCAAATCCCATTGCTTTTACGTGCTGTTAAATGGGTAGCATTTTTCAAAACCAGTGTTTACAAAAAAAAGGCAATTGAACTTGGTTCATTCAAGTCAAGTTGGAATTTGCAATGATCAAATTGCTAAATTTATGCAGCCGTAAGAGGGTTTACCGTCATAATTGGGCTCTAATTCCATAAATCCTTTTGCTTTTGTTCAGTTGCGTATTTTATTTAGCGGCATGATATTTGGCCTAAGTTGTTAATTTGGTTTTCTATAATTTGTTGGAATGAATGAAATCTATTTTCCCCACTGGGAAATGCAGCCACCTGAAAAACAGGTGCACGAAAGTATAAGCTAGTCACACACGCAGGTTTAAAGATGTTCCAAAAAGTATATGATTTATTTAGTTACAATTGTATTCATTTCTACTTATTTTATTGCAGGGGAAATCTACTAGGCATCTACCCCCCTCATTAAAGTTTAGACGACTCAAAGAGTCTTGATATATATGAAATTTATGAAATCACAAGCTTCAGCTCCAAATTCTCACCAAACATTTGGAGCCCTGGTGCTGCTTTCTCCCCCCAGGTTTTTTTTTTTTTTAATGAACCCTTCCGGAGGACGGAGAAATAGAGTAGCAAAGCGCTGAATTCAAAACAGCAGCTGGGTGTGGCGGGATCGTGCAATGCTGACTCTCAACTCTTCTGGGTTTCTTGCATTAGAGTTTTTCGAACTCATCTCCAAAGTCCAGAGTAACCGAGCGGATGACCAACGAGGATTGCTGAGAAAAGAAGATCTGGTTTTGCCCGACTTCCTGCACGTGCCCTCCTGCCCAATCGGCGTTTCCACATCTGCCCCCAAGGAAGCGACAGGCTCCCGCCCAAGAACGCCCCATCCTGACCGCCAGGAGAAATGCAGCGAGGACAGCAGCTGCCCGCCACACCCAAGCGACCCGACGGACGGACAAAGAGGTCCAGAGAAGCCTCTGAGGACGCCCGTGGCCCTCAGCCAGGCGACTGGCGATGGCACCACCGCTGGGACTGCTCCTCGCCCTCCGAATCTGCTTTTGCAGGGCAGCCCGAGGTGGAAAGAAGAGGTGGAGACGGTGGCGGAGGAGAACGTGGTCCTGACAGACCTGACCCTGGTGGCCGAGGGGGACATTGCCAGCCCCAACGGCAGGCTGATCCCCTCCAAGAGGGTCAGTCCCACCGAGGCAAAAGCCACCTCTGAGAAATTCAGGCCAGGTATTCCCAGATGTTGAGTGTCTTGGAAATCATTCCCTGTAATGCTTTTGTTGCGAGCTTGTTACATCTGCTTACAGAACAACAGAGTTGGAAGGGATCTTGGAGGTCTTCTAGTCCAGCCCCCTGCTTAGGCAGGAAACCCCATACCATTTCAGACAAATGGCTGTCCAGTCTCTTCTTAAAAACTTCCAGTGTTGGAGCATTCACAAGTTGTTCCACTGTTTAGCTGTCCTCACCATCAGGAAGTTTCTTCTTACTCCTAGTTTGCTTCTCTCCTTAGTTAGTTTCCATCCGTTGCTTCTTGTCCTGCCTTCAGCGGCTTTGGAGAATAGCTTGACTCCCTCTTCTTTGGGGCAGCCCCTCAAATACTAGATCACTGCTGTCATGTCACCCCTGGTCCTTCTCTTCACTGGACTAGACATACCCAATTCCAGCAACCGTTCCTTATATGTTTTAGTACACACACATACACCCAGGACATTGCAACCGTCATAAATATGAACCGGTTGCCAATCTTCTGAATCTTGATCACGTGACCCTGGAGAAGCTGCAACGGTGTGTGAAAAACGGTGATAACTCACTGTTTCCAGTGTTGTTGTAATTCTGAACGGTCGTTAAGCAGTTTAAGCACGATAATTTTCCCGACCTACTGCCTTTCGCAGAGGTTGCTTATAGCAATAAATACAATAAAAGTATAAAAGATAAATACAATAAAAGTATAAAAGTATAAAAGATAACTCTAAGGAAACAGGGCAAACGAAATAGCGTCACACCTTAAGACAAGGGATCGTGCGCTAGCGTGTCCGAATGTGGAGCGCTTTCATCCTCTCCCTTTCCTTTTCCCTCCTGTGTTCTAGGTGTCCTCCATAGGCCGAGAAGCCACGTCCGAGGAAGCAACGGAAGCCTTTACGCACCAACCTCCCCAAACCCTTGTTGTGACTTTAATCCCGCTGGGGTCGGAAAGGAAACTGGTAGACCCGAACTCCCGATCCGTTGCGTCATAGATGTGGACAGTGTTACAGCATCGCACGGGCCGGAGTGGCCTTGTTCTGAGCCGGAGAGCGATGTCCCCAGGGCTGCTCAGCCGAAGAGGCCAGCGAGAACTGAAAGGACGTCCCGTCTTCCCACAGTCCCCGTTGCCGAGAAAAATAAGGAGAACGAGAGTCCTTCTAAGGCGACTTTTGTTTGAAAGTCTGGAGACATGACGCCGGGAGATTGGGCGAGCTGTGGCGTTCGTGCAGTGAACACTCCAGGCCGAATCGTCATCACTGGGCAGAAGGGAATCTTGTGACACCCGTTTGAGAACACGGGAAAGATGCACTCATTGCAAACCTTATCACAACTTCTCGTCCCCATTGTAGGGTCAACAACAATAGACACGCGCTTCGACCCACATCTCTTCCACTCTTCTCTGTGGAGGATGTGAAGGAACCGGGCGCCCAACCCGTTTCCACCCATCCTTGCAATGTCTACAGAGATTCTCCGTCCTCCAAGTCATGATGGTCCCGAAGGAGGACCCTGGAGGCAACTGGACTTTCTTGTTTTTTCTTTGAAGACGTTTCCCTTCTCATCCCAGAAGCTTCTTCAGCTCTGACTGGATGGTGGGGAACGGAAGGATTTATACTCCTTGCAGACAGCCGGTCATTTGCTTTCTTTTTAGAGGGTCATTGAGGCCACTGGGAGGTTTGTCTGTGTCCTCAGGGTCACCTGAGTGGTGCAAATGTGTGTGGAGCCTTCTTGGATGCGGGATGTTTTCTGCCCTGTGCAGTGGTGGGATTCAGCCGGTTCGCAAGCGGCATCCACACAGAGAACCGGTTGTTCACTTATTTGAATCCCACCACTGGATGGATAGATGGATGGATAGATGATAGATAGATAGATAGATAGATAGATAGATAGATAGATAGATAGATAGATAGATAGATAGATTAGACATAGGACAGACAGACAGACAGACAGACAGACAGATAGATAGAATGGTGCGATTCAGCCAGTTTGCACCACTTCGGCAGATACAAATAGCTAATTTTTTGTGGCCCAGGCCCAGAATGGACTTCCAGAAGCAGCATCCACACAGAGAACCGGTTGTCTAATGGAACACCCTGCCTGAAAGAACATCAGTGTATTTTTCTAGCCCTTCCCCCTGAACGTTTATGAATTCTATGTGACGTTTGTCGGCCACCGGCATGGGTCAAAATGAACAAGAACTGCATCGGCGCAAGGCGCTCCTGGTTGTCACATCTGCTCAAACGTGTGGTGATCAGGAGGACATAATCTCTCAGTTTTTTTGAAGGCATCTATCTTCTGTCCCAGGTTTCATCTTAGGCTGGACGGCATCGTCCCATTTGAATCCTGTTCCGCTTGGGATCAGTCGTTTCCCAAGCTTCAACGTGGCTTGTCAGAAAAAGGCCAAGTGTGTGTCTGAGTGTTTCTCCCCGGGCCTACGACAACTCACCACGGCCAGCTCACTGTGGCCAGCTCACTGCTGCCAACTTGCCATGGACAAGTCGCCGTGGGACAAGACTTCACACGAATATCGAAGAAACGGGGGAATGGAATCCTTGTAGATCAGTGGTTCTCAACCTGTGGGTCGGGACCCCATTTGGGGTCGAACGACCATTTCACGGGGGTCGCCAAACAACGCAGTCCGCCATTTTTTCCCCCTTTTCCTTAGCTGTGCTACTCCCTTTTATTCTATTGGCTTTTGAAAGCCAATAGAATAGACTCTCTTGAATAGAGTCTAATTCTATTGGCTTTCAAAAGCCAATAGGAATTGTCCAGGCTGTCTCTGCCCTGCTGAGCCCGCCAAAAGTCCCATTCTGCAAACGGTGCTGCAGCAGTTGAGTAGTCCTCGACTTACGACCAGTTGAGTAGTCCTCGACTTACGACCGGTTGAGTAGTCCTCGACTTACGACTGGTTGGGGGTCGCAGCATTAAAAAGATTGAGAACCACTGTTGTAGAGGAAGGGCAAGACAAAATTGGAAGGACAAAAATTCAAATTATTATTTTTTTAAATAAAAATATTAAATAATTAAATTGAATTGTTGAAATATCCCGCGGCGAGTTGGCTTGGCCAGTTGTCCACGGCGAGTTGTCCCATTCCGTTTATCGCGACTTGGTCACGACAAATCGGCCGTAGTGAGTTGGCCGTGGAAGTTGCCCCATTCCGTTTCTCCTCAAGGAACAGACGGATGACAATACTACGACCGTTGGGGAAATCAATTTGTTTTTTTGGGGAAAACTGAGTGCCTGGTTTGATGGGTGGGGGGGGGAGATCAAGGGCTCCCTTCCCCTCCCGCCCAGTGGTCTGATAGCAGCCCCCCAATATTTGAGGGGCTGAGACAGAGAAGAGGGGGGGGTCAACCTTTTCTCCAAAGCGCCTGAAGGCAGAAGCAATGGACGGAAGCTTATTAAAGAGAGAGCCAACCTGGAATGAAGGAGGAATTTCCTGACAGGGAGAACAATTAACCAGTGGAACTGCTTGCTTCCAGAAGTTGTGGGTGCCCCATCCCTGGAGGCTTTCAAGAAGAGAGTGGACTGCCATTGGTCTGGAATGGTATGGGATCTCCTGCCTGAGCAGGGGGTTGGACTAGAAGACCTCCAGGGTCCCTTCCAACTTTTATCATTCTGTTCTGAAGACACCAGTAACCTCACAGTTAGGAGGAACTGTGGTGAAGGTGGGCTTGGGTCCTAATTATATCCCTCCACGATGCTTAATGGGAGGGCTGGGAGATCATTCACAGCCACTCACGCTAGTCATATTCACAGCAAAGCGGACGCTTCTGGCATCGTGTGCTGGGCCTCGCCAATTCCCTGGAGTGGAGTTCGAATTCCGTTCTGCAAGACAGTAGGAAGAAGGGGCTGCATATCGTTCTTGAGCGTTTTGGTTTAATTTGTCAGTTGTGTGTAAATCATGGTTTAATTTAAGAGTAAACTACCTTTTAAAATTACGCCGCGTCTCAGGCCTGCATTACTCCACAGGGATCCTGGGGTGTTAAAAACCACATTATCTCAGAGTGTCATCTTCAGAAGCCAAGATATTCATTTAACCGTGATTTGGATACTGTCCAAATCTCATTTTTCCCAAATCCTGCACGCCTTCAGTTCAATTCCAACGCAGCCGCCGTCGTATCCGGGATCTGATACTCTATATTTTGACAGCTTTGTTGTTTGCAATTAGGGTCAAGTTGGAGGAATTATTTTCTATCCCCCCCCCAAAAAAAAAATAATAACAGCCCTAAAAGTGAGTCCTTTCATCCATAGCTCCGTTTCCTGAGCCTTGCAGGGTTAGGGAATCGCAAGATGCCTGCAGAGTTTCGCTCTTGAGGATGGACTTTCCTGCTCAGGATTCTCTGGCGGATGCGAGGATCCCCCCCCCCATCTCTGGAGATCCCTTCTCGCGGCTGATCTGGAGGAGAGAGGCTGTCAGATCGGCCCCGACTTGATCCTTTAGTCGAGAAAGATCCTCGACTCCATATGTAGCGAAAGGTATACAGGCAACCCATCAACTCACCACAGTTCGTTTAACGACCATTTGAAGCTAAACAGCAGCACGGAGAAATGTGACTTACTTTTTCACACTTAATAACTGTTGCACCATACCCCTGGTCAGGTGATCAAAATTCAGACGCTTGGCGACTCACTCGTATTTATGACAGTTTGCAGCGTCCCCGGGGGGGGGTCACGCGATTCCCTTTTTGCAAACTTTGGACAAGCAAAGTCAACGGGGGGAAGCCGGTTTCGCTTAACAACGGTGTTACTAATTGAACAAATGCAGTGATTCACTTAATGGCTTCCCGCTGGGGGAGGTTGGGTCGTCTGCTGGACCCTGACCATGTTTGGAAAACCGAGGACTCCACGGTGCGGCCTCAACAACCATTTGTCTCTCTCCTCTTGGAGTTCGGTGTCTGTCGGGTTCCTTTGCAGCGAGGGTGAAAAACAGCTCGGATCAAAAGAGTGGAATGAAAGATGAATTTGCAGCCCAGCTGCCCCCAAATCAGTGCGTACTTTGAAGTGGGAGAAGTTCAGGCCCATCCCTGTCCCTGCAACAGCCATCAACTTTTTATGTATTGCTTCTGTTTGTGTTGATGCCAGTCATGAGGACTAGTAGATTCCTATAAAAAAATAATTGCAAATCATCATCCTTATGTAAAGCTCCAGGGCTCTAAAAAGCAAGCTTGGCTTTCTTCCTTCCATGTCATTTTCCTTCTTTTCTTTCCTTCTTCCCTTCCTTCTTTCCTTTTTTGCTTCCTTCCTAACTTCTGTGTCATTTTTCTTCTTTCGTTCCTTTTCCTTCCTTTTTTCCTTCCTCGTTTCCTTCCTTGCTTCCTTCTTTCCTTCTTCCCTTCTTCCCTTCTTTCTTTCCTTCCCTTTTTCCTTCCTTCCCAACTACTGTGTCATTTTTCTTTCGTTCCTTTTCCTTCCTTTTTTCCTTCCTTCCTCCCTTTTTTCCTTCCTTCCTTCCTTCTTTCTGTCTTTCCTTTTTTCTTTCCTTCCTTCCTTCCTAATTACTATGTCATTTTTCTTTCCTTCCTTTTCCTTCCATTCCTCCCTCCCTCCCTCCCTTCTTCCCTTCCTGACTTCTGTGTCATTTTTCTTCTTTTCTTCCTTTTCCTTCCTTCCTTCTTTCCTTTCTTCCTTCCCAGTTTAGGGAATTGTCTCCACACAGAAGCTGGTGTGATGGCTCATTCTCAAATGGCGCTGGGAACGGAAGCGTTCTGCAAATATTGATCATCCCAAATGTGGAATCGATCCAAATTCCCTGCCATCTGCCATTGGCTTCCTTTTTCCCTCCAACGATCAGTCCGTCAGCCGGTTAATCATTCCCCCTAGTAGCTGAAGTACAAAAAAAAAAAAAAAAAAAAAAATCCTGCAGAAGTTAAACTTCCCCTCAAATGAAGCGGATTTGCAGGCGTCCCAGTGTCGCTTTGCGTTCCCATTTGACCCTTCCGCCCTGAGCGAAAAGCCACTCGGGAGAAAACCACAAGTTAAGTTTTGTACTGTTAGGAAATTAGTGAAAGAGACCCAGATGAACATCTACATTTTTGCCATGACCGTTGCTCTGGTTTCAGGTCTGAGGAATCCTACTACCGGGACGGTAAGTGTGTGTATCTCTGCTTGCTTTGAACATTTTCCTAAAAACATGGGCTGAATCCGGAGTCAGAAAAGAGAGAAACGTGGTGAGGGTATCGGGAACCAAAACACAGGTCCCGAGAAACGGTCCCCGTGGCTAAAAGCCTGCCCTTTTTACAGAGACCCAGATCTTTCTAACAGGAGCAGATAGAGAAAGTCCTCGACTTACTACAGTTCGTTTAGTGACCGTTCAAAGTTACAACAGCACTGAAAAAAGTGACTTAGGACTGCTTTTCACACTTAAGTCTTGCGCCGTCCCCGTGGACACGTGATCAAAATTCAGATGTTTGGCGACTGACTCCTATTTATGACAGTTGCCATGTCCCAGGAATACAGGATCCCCTTTTGTGACCGGACAAGCAAAGTCAAGGGGGGAGAAGTCCAATTCGTTTAACGACCGTGTGATTCGCTTAACCTCTGCTGAGATTGACTCAACAACTGTGGCAAGAAAAGCTGTCAAACGGGGGCAAAATTCACTTAGCACACGTCTCACTTAGCAATAGAAATTTTGAATTCCATTGTGGTCATAACTGGAGGACTATCTGTATTATAACTGGAAATGGGGCGTGCGGTACATAGCCCTTTGCATGTTAGGAAGAATTGGACGAAGCAGGTAGCTTGCATTTATGAAGCTGGTCTAGAATAGAATAGAATAGAATAGAATAGAATAGAATAGAATAGAATAGAATAGAATAGAATAGAATAGAATAGAATAGAATAGAATAGAATCATAATAGAATATAATCATGTTAGAACAGAATCAGAATAGAATAGAATCAGAACAGAATCAGAATAGAAAAGAATAGAATCGAATAGAATAGAAAGAATACAACAGAACAGAATAGAAAAATTATAATAGAACAGAATCATATTAGAACAGAATCATAATAGAGTAGAATAGAACAGAATCAGAATCATAATAGAATAGAATCATGTTAGAACAGAATCATAATAGAATAGAATCAGAACAGAATCAAAATCAGAATAGAATCAAAATCATAATAGAATAGAATCATAATAGAATAGAATAGAATAGAATAGAATAATTTAATAGAACAGAATCATAATAGAACAGAATCATAGTAGAACAGAATCATAGTAGAGTAGAATAGAATAGAATAGAATAGAATAGAATCATGATACGATAAGATATGATAGAGTAGAGTAAAATAGAGTAGAATAGAATAGAATAGAACAGAACATAATAGAATAATTATAATAGAACAGAATCATAATAGAATAGAATAGAATCATGATACGATAAGATATGATAAAGTAGAATAGAACAGAATCAGAATCATAATAGAATAGAATCATAATAGAATAGAATCATGTTAGAACAGAATCAGAATAGAATCAGAACAGAATCAGAATAGAATAGAATAGAATCAGAATAGAATAGAATCATAATAGAGTAGAGTAGAATAGAATAGAATAGAATAGAATAGAATAGAATAGAATAGAATAGAGAATGGAATGGAATAGAATAGAATAGAATAGAATAGAATAGAATAGAATAGAATAGAATAGAATAGAATAGAATCATGATACGATATGAGAGTAGAGTAGAGTAGAGTAGAGTAGAGTAGAGTAGAGTAGAGTAGAAATGAGGATCCGGATTGTTGGGGGGCAAGAGGCTGACTCTGTAAACTGCTTAGAGAAGGCTGTAAAGCAGTATGAAGCGGTATATAAGTCTTAAGTACTGGTGCTATTGCCTTCACTGAAATGCCTTATTCCAACCCTTTGTGCAGGAAGTCCTCGACGTATGACCCCAAATTTCTGTTGTTAAATGAGACAATTGTTAAGTGAGTTTTGCCGGAAGATCGCAAAAGAGGATCACATGACCCCAGGACTGTGTCCCATGGTTATGTGATTCCCTTTTGTGACAAATAAAGTCACAAAATGGGGAAGAGAAGTTCACTTAACAACCGGGTTACAAACTTATCAACTGCAGCGATTCAACAACTGTGGCAAGGGAAAGTCGTAAATTGGGACAAAACTCACTTAACCAATGTCTCCCTTAACAATTGTGGCCGTTAAGTCAAGGACTACCTGTATTTTGCCGTCCCTTCTCAATTTCAGAGAGAGCAAGAGGATCTGTTTACTAAAAAAAAAAATCAACTACTCACACAATTTACTTGGACCAATTGCATCATCAAAATAAATTTACATTGCTATTATTCATAGGGGGAAATAAAAGCAGGCATTAAGACCACAGCCGGACCTGTGGAGGAAGTCTATCAATACCCAGGTACCAAAAATATTTTAATATGTAAGAAAAACAAACTCAGCCTTTCTTTTTAGCTTGTGCATTCTGGCACAGGACTCTAAAATCCAACTGCCCCTTTAGGATGCAGCAAACCAGCAAATTGGAAAATCTGGACTGTGCTTTCACTTTCGCTTTCCTTTCACTTTCCTTCCTTCTTCCCCTGCACCTTTCACTTTTGCTTTCACTTTCCTTCCCTCTTCCCCATCCCTTCCATTCACTTTCACAGCTTTTGCTTTCCCCCTCGCCCACCTCTTTTGCTTTCAGTTTTGGTTTCGGTTTCAGTTTCATTTGCTTTTGCTTTCAGTTTCACTTGCTTTTGCTTTTGCTTTTCCTCCTTCTTATTACCTTTCTTTATTCTTCTTTCATTCAAAATTTGTACTGTTTTTCATTGTCAAAAAACTTCTCCAGTAAAAATTGTTTTAAAAAAGAAAGAAGCAAGTTAGAATTGTCATGGCAAGCACACCGCTGAAAAAGGAAATGGTCAAGAGACCAATAGACAGCCAAGACAATTCAGTGAATAACCACCCTGGAGGAGGTATGTCTACTGGGCCTCAAAGGTCTGATCCTGACTTGGTGGCACATAACAATCTCCTTTTTTTTTTGTGCTGTTCATTAATACACAGAACCGGTCCGCTGTTGCTTTTCTTGATTTACTCTTTGACTAATTTCCTCCGCAGATGTTTCCAATGACTGCACACGTAACCCTTGTGGAAATGGGGGCACATGTTTCAGGGAGTGCGACCGGTGTCCTCAACGCTGCGTCTGTCCTGCAGAATTCACGGGAAAACAGTGTGAAGTTGGTAAGCTGAGCGTCAAAAGTGGTTTTTTTATTTGGAAAAGGAAACTGGACTGATTTTTTTTTTTTTGAGGACGTTTCGCTTCCTATCCTGGAAGCTTCCTCAGTTCATGGATATTTGGTTAGCTGGGATTCTCCACTGGGCCTACGACAATTCGTCGCAGCCAACTCACCACGGCCCACCTGCCACAGCCAACTCACTGCTGGACAACAGTTAATATTAAAGAATCGTGAAAGAAAGGATGAAAAAAGAGGGACAGAATGAAATGTGAATGACAAAAAATAAAATAAACTTTTTATTTATTTTAATTAATTCAGTTGAATTGTTAAATTGTCCCGTGGCGAAGTGTTCCATGGCGGGTTGGCCACAGCGATTTGCCCCATTCTGCCTCCACCATTGCCCAGCCGTTCTGTAGGGCTCCTGACCAGCTCTGGCATCAGGGAAACTGAGGCAGCTTCCCATGTCCTAGGTGGGTCAGTTGGCCCTCCCTTGGAAGACAAGGGCTCTTTTCCCCCCGTTGCGTTCGGATGTGCTCAGCAATGCTCTTATTTCTTACCTGGCGCACGGCTGAAACCCGGGAATTTTGTTGGAAGGACCGAAGGATTGATTTGACAGCTCTGATGGCAGAAACGGTGGTCCAGGCTAAGGGCTTCTATGCTTTCCTTCATTACAGCAAAATGCTTTGATGAAACTCTGTATGAATACTTTGAAATTGGAGAACGTTGGGCCAGAATCTACGAAGGGACAGTACACGCGTGCACGTGTGTTAACAGCACGACCAACTGCCAACCGGAAATGTTTACAGGTATTGTGGAGAAATGTTCATTAGAGTGCTCCTTTGGATGCATTGCAAAGGGATCAATCAATCAGAATAGAGCTGGAAGGGACCTTGGAGGTCTTCTAGTCCAGCCCTCTGCTCAAACAAGAGACCATAGACAATTTCAATCAATCAATCAATCAATCAATCAATCAATCAGAATAGAACTGGAAGGGACCTTAGAGGTCTTCTAGTCCAGCCCCCTGCTCAAGCAGGAGCACCTATACCATTTCAGACAAGTGGCTGTCCAGTATCTTCTTGGAAATCTGGAGCAACCACAACTTCTGGTGGCAATTTCTGTTCCGCTGGTTAATTGTCCTCACAATCAGGAAGCTTCTCCTTAGTTCCAGGTTGCTTCTGTCCTTGATGAGTTTCCATCCGTTGCTTCTCGTCCTGCCTTCAGGCGCTTTGGAGAATAGCTTGACTCCTCTTCTTTGGGGCAGCCCCTCAGATACTGGAAGACTGCTATCGTGTCCCCCCTAGTCCTTCTTTTCTGTAGACTGGCCATTCCCAAATCCTGCAACCGTTCTTCTTATGTTTTAGTCTCCAGGACTTTAATCATCTTAGTTGATCTTCTGAGTGAGTAACTCTTCTATGGTGAAAAATGCTTTCAGGAGGAAGTAAGTGAAGCAGAAGAGGGCTGAGATAAAAAGGGTCACGTGACTGGCAAGCACAAGAAAGAAAGAAAGAAAGAAAGAAAGAAAGAAAGGAAGGAAGGAAGGAAGGAGAGAAAGAAAGAAAGAAAGAAAGAAAGAAAGAAAGAAAGGGGAGAGAATGAATGGAGGAAGAAAGGAGGGAGGTAGGGAGGGAAGGAGGAAGGATGGAGGGAGGGAGGAAAGAAAGGGAGGGAGGGAGGGAGGGAAGGAGGAAGGGAGAAAGAAAGAAAGAAAGACAGAAAGAAAGAAAGAAAGAAAGAAAGAAAGAAAGAAAGAAGAAAGGAGAAAGGAAGGAAGGAAGGAAGGAAGGAAGGAAGGAAGGAAGGAAGGAAGAAAGAAAGGGGGAGAGAATGAATGGAGGAAGAAAGGAGGGAGGGAGGGAAGGAGGAAGGATGGAGGAAGGAAGAAAAGGAAGAGGGAGGGAGGGAGGGAGGGAAGGAGGAAGAAAGGAAGAGAAAGAAAGAAAGAAAGAAAGAAAGAAAGAAAGAAAGAAAGAAAGGGAGAGAGAGAATGAATGGAGGAAGGATGGAGGGAGGGAGGAAAGAAAGCGGGAGGGAGGGAAAGAAGGAAGGAAGGAAGGAAGGAAGGAAGGAAGGAAGGAAGGAAGGAAGGAAGGAAGGAAGGAAGAGAAATGCCACTTTCCACTATTGACTGTTTCCCAATATTTAAAACGAAAATACCTAAATGTGTTCTGCAGGCGAGAATTCTTTAACCGTTTCTTCCTTGGGGCCAGAGAAACTTCAAAACCAATGAACAGAAATGCCACTTCAAATGTAGCTCTTGTGCTTTGTATTTATCAGGAAAAGGTTGGTTTTAAGCCCCCCCCCCTTTCCCTGTGCTTGGCTCCCCCCAGGCTGTCCCACCGACCCCTGCCTGCCCCAAGGCAGCCGCTCTTGCAGGAGGACCCTCGTCTCCGACCAGACCATCTGTGTGTGCAGCCACTCTTTCAGAGGGAGACACTGCAACGTGGGTAAGCCCCCTCCCTCCCACCCACCCACCCCAGTGTGACCGGAAGTGGAAAGTTGCACGTGTGTCCTGCAGGGTTGATTTTGCCTTCTTTTATAGCACGAGGCCTACAGCCGCCTTCCTTCTTTGCGAGAGAGTTAATTCCCTTTGGCAAATTCAAATTCCCCTACCGTCTAGGTCAGGGGTAGGCAACCTTGGCTCTTTTATGACTTGTGGACTTCAACTCCCAGAATTCCTGAGCCAGCATGGCTCAGCTTGGAAACCTCTCCCTTCCCCTCAGCATGGCTGGCTTAGGAATTCTGGGAGTTGCAGTCCATGAGTCATAAAAGAGCCGAGGTTGCCTACCCCTGGTCTAGGTAGTCCTCTAGTTACGACCACAGCTGAGCCCAAAATCAGTATCGTTAAGTGAAAGATCGGCTAAGCGAGTTTTACCCGCCCCCCATTTTACGACTTTTCTCGCCAGGTTTGTTAAGCGGACCACTGCTGTTGTTCATTTAGTGACCCGGTTGGTAAGCGAACCCGGCCTCCCCCCTCGACTTTGCTTGTCAGCCGATCGCAAAATGGGATCACGTGAGCCCGGGAACCCTGCCACAGTCATAAATAGGAGTCAGTTGGGCCAAGCGTCTGAATTTTGATCACGTGACCATGGGGGAGGCTGCAAAGGTCGTAACTGTGAAAACAGGTCACAAGTCACGTTTTTCAATGCCGTTGTAACGCTGAACGGTCCCTAAATGAACCACTGTAAGTCAAGGACTACTACCCTCCTTTCTATAAAAAAAAAGGATGCAAATAACGCACACGCGTGCGCACACAGACACACACACCCACTCCTCTTCTCTGTACCTTTTGTCAATTTGGTAATCAAATTAAACCAGGGATTAATGACTTGCTTAGTGACTTGCTTAATGAGGGCCCGATCAGTTTTCTTTGGCGCCGACTTGACTCTTTTCCCTTTCCTTCTTCTTCAGTTCCAGGCCAAAACTGTTATTCGAAGAACGGGGACAGGTACCTGGGCCTGGCCAAGAAGACCATTTCTGGAGATGATTGCCTCCCATGGACTTCCAATCTCTTCTACTATGAGGACCTTCAAACAAACACGGTGCTGCTGGGATTGGGATCCCATTCCTACTGCCGGTAAAATGCCAGAGCAGTAACTCCTTTGTAAGAACCGCTCGGAGTAGGTGTCCATAGGGATTCTCAATCATGACTGTCCTAAAGGTGCTTTTTTTCAAAAAGCAATAGAAGAAGAAGATTCTTGCTTGAGAAGCAAAACATGGTTTCGCGTCTCAGACTAGCCAAGGCCAGTCAAGCATTCTCAGCCAAGTGGCTGAAGGAATTCTGGGAGTTGTAGTCCACCAGCCTTAGCCGGCTGGGGAATTCTGGGAGTTGAAGTCCACAGGCCTTAGGACACCCGTACTGTATACAGCGTAATCGATTTACAGCCAACCGCCCTAAATTGCTGGAAAGGCCATGGGCCCAGCCAAAAAGGAGGATCATGCCAAGTGAAGCAAAGAGTGAGACAGGAGAGACGCCAAAGAGAAGAGACAATCCACTCGGGTGACCTAAGACCCCAGGCACCACTTAGGATGGCCCCTGGAGGGAGGGAACAGGTCCCACAAAGCCACCCCGGCTGAAAAGGGGTCCCTCACAGATCGGTGGGCATCTCCTAAATGCCAGGGAGCCACCCTGGAGTCCTTTTCCCGCCCTTCCCTCTGACATTAGCAAAATCTAAGTCAAATCCACACTTGAAGAGCGGGAGGCCTTGTGCTCCTAACAAAGCCAGGAGAAATTGAGACTGGAAGTCAACGGGTGACTCAAAGAGTTCATTCCTTCACTTTTTCCCCATGTCTTAGAAGTCCAGATGAGGACGAGAAGCCGTGGTGCTATTTCATTAAGGACGGCAGACTGTCTTGGGACTACTGCGACGTGTCACTATGCCGTAAGTCAGAGGTTCCCCAACCTTTTGGGCACCAGGGACCAGTTCCGTGGAGAGAGGTTTTTCTGCGGCCCGATGGGTGCGTGGTTTTGTGTACTGCCTGCATCCCGCAGATGGGGCTTTGCTTGTTTGTGCAGACCGGTTGCTGGCATGCCACGGACCGGGGGTTGGGGACCCTTGATTTAGAGCAGAGGTCCCCAACCTTTTGGACACCAGGGACTGGTTCCGTGGAGAGAGGTTTTTCTGTGGCCCGATGGGTGCGTGGTTTTGTGTGCTACCCGCATCCCGCGGATGGGGCTTTGCTTGTTTGTGTGGACTGGTTGCTGGCATGCCGTGGACTGATACCGGTCCACAGACCGGGAGTTGGGGACTCTTGTCATAAGTAACTTGTGAAACTGCAGGATTCAGCTTGGGTTGCACTGCTAAATTAGCTCAAGGATGGACAAGTGTTCTTAAATAAATGTAGAATTAAAAAAAACTTCGCGGTAATGAGCCAGTGTCATATCAATATCCATCTTCATGTCAACACCATCCCTCTGGTCAGTCTCTCCTCACTACAACTTGACTTACGACCCCCCAATGGAGCCCCAAATTTATATTGTTAAGTGAGACATTTTTTAAGTGACCTTTGCCCCATTTTACAACCTTTCTTGCCACCGTTGTTAAGGGAATCACTGCAGTTGATCAGTTAGTAGCCCGGTTGTTAAGTGAATCTGGCTTCCCCCCATTGACTTTGCTTGTCAGAAGGTCACAAAAGGAGATCACGTGTCCCCGGGGACATTGCAACCGCCCTAAATACGAGTCAGTTGCCTAGCGTCTGAATTTTGATCATGTGACCAAGGGGGATGCTGCAGTTGGTCCTAAGTATGAAAAATGGTCTTAAGTCACTTTTTTTCAGTGCCGTTGTAACTTTGAACGGTCAGTAAATGAACTGTTGTAAGTCGAGGACTGCGTGAATATGGCAGAGAAGCTGCAACAGCCTTTGAGACGCCCAAAAACCCCCAAAGCTGCTTAAACCCTCTCTGCAATCTCTGTCCAGCCGTGTCCGACTCCGGGGCATGGTGCCCATCTCCTTTTCTAGGCCAAAGGAGCCAGCGTTGTCCAAAAACAATTTCCGGGCTCATGTGGCCAGCGTGGCTCCCGGTCAAAGGTGCACGGAACGCGGTTATCTTCCCACCAAAGTGGTACCTATTGATCTACCGTATTTTCCAGCGTATAAGACGACTTTCTAAACCATGCAAATCGTCTCCGAAGTCGGGGGTCATCTTATACGCCAAGTCGTCTTATACGCCGGAAAATACGGTACTCGCATTTGCATGCTTTCGAACTGCTAGCTGGGCTGGAGCTGAGACAAGGACGGGAGCTCACCCAAGCCCATGCTGTCAGCCGACAAGCTCAACGTCTTTAACCACTGAACCATTATGCCCTTCCCTCCACCACCACCCCCATTCTGCAATAACATTCTGAAAAGCAAAACGGAGTGAAAAAGCCAGTAAGGAAATAAGAGATTCCCTAATCCCGCCTTTCTTTCAGAAAGCAGGCGTGAGCAGGCGCCAGACTCTTTCCCAGACGTCACAGACAAGTTTGCCGCGGTCAAGAAGCCGTGTGGGAGGAGGCACAAGAAGCAGAAGTTTGTAAGGCCCAGGATTGTGGGGGGATCTTATGCTTTGTCAGGATCCCACCCCTGGCTGGCTGGCATCAACATCGGCAGCAATTTCTGTGCCGGAAGCCTTATTCGCTCTTGCTGGCTGGTCACGTCTGCCCACTGCTTTGCTAACAGGTAACGCCACTTGTCTGATCCTCCGAATCATGGCTGGGTGTCAAACTCTGCCTTCCTTTCAAGGCAAAGCCAATGAGTGAGGAAATGATCTCTCTGAGCATCAAAATGGTCCAGATCTTCCTCCTTTTCCTCCTCCTCCTTTCCCCCTCCTCCTTCCCTCCTTCTGCCTACTCCTCTTTTCCCTCCTCCTCCTCCCCCTCCTTCTGCTTACTCCTCCTTTCCCCCTCCCCCTTCCCCCTGCTCTTTCCTCCCCCTCCCCCTCCCTCTCCTCCTGCCTACTGCTCCTTTCCCCCTCCCTCCTTCCCCCTGCTCCTTCCTCCTCCCCCTCCTGCCTACTCCTCCTCTTTTCCCCCTCCCTTTCCCCTGCTCCTTTCTCCTCCTTCTTCTGCCTACTCCTCCTCCTTTCCCCCTCCCTCTCCTTTCCCCTGCTCCTTCCTCCCTGCCTACTCCTCCTTTTCCCCTCCCCCCTCCCCCCTGCTCCTTCCTCCTCCTCCTTCCCTCCCCCTGCCTACCTCCTTTCCCCCTCCCCCTCCCCCTGCTCCTTCCTCCTCCTCCCCCTCCCCCTCCTTCTCCTTCTGCCTACTCCTCCTTTTCCCCTCCCTCTCCTTCCCCCTGCTCCTTCCTCCTCCCCTCCCCCTCCTCCTCCTTTTCCCCTCCCTCTCCTTCCCCTGCTCCTCCTCCTCCTTCTTCTTCTGCCTACTCCTCCTCTTTCCCCCCTCCCCCTCCTTATCCCTGCTCCTCCCTCCTCCCTCCTCCTCCTTCCCCTCCCTCTTTGCTCCTGCTGAGTTCCCAGGGACATCCTCCAGTTGCCCCATTGAGTGCAGAGTTGTATGCAGAAGGGCGACAGAAGGACCCCAGATGGCAGCCACCCCCCAACCACCACCCCTTTTAAGATGTGTTGCATGTTTGTGGTGGCCATCTGGATTTTTCGACCCCACCCTACGGCCACCTCCGCTTGAATTCCTCTTCCGCTCCCAGAAGACTGAAGCGAGGAGGAGAAGTTGTGGAGCGCCATCGCTCAGCAGACAGAACAGCAGGAAAGGAAGGCTGCGTCTCAGGACCTTCTGGATTAGCCTTTCACGTTTGGCTCTCAGAACCTTTGGGTCGGTGATAAACCGCCGATGTAGCGTGGTTGAAGGTTCAGGAAAGGGCGTCATTAACAGGGATTTCTCGTTTCCTTCAGCCCGCTGACATCAACCATCCGCGTGGTTTTGGGACAACATTTTTTTAACAGTACCACAGGCAATACTCAAGAATTTAAAGTAGAGAAGTACATCATGCATCCTGACTTCTCCGTGTTCAACCCAACCGAAAATGATATCGGTGAGCCCTTTTCTCGCCTGTTGTTGTTGTTAGTGGCGAAGTCGTGTCCGACCCATCGCAACCCCATGGACAACGTTCCTCCAGGCCTTCCTGTCCTCTATCATCTTCTGGAGTCCATTTAAGCCAGTGTTTCTCAACCTTGACAATTTTAAGGCATGTGGACTTCAACTCCCAGAATTCCACAGCCAGCAATGCTGGCTGTGGAATTCTGGGCGTTGAAGTCCACATGCCTTAAAATTGTCAAGGTTGAGAAACACTGGTTTAAGCTCACACCTCCTGTTTCAGTGACTCCATCCAGCCACCTCCTTCTCTGTCGTCCCCTTCTTCTCTTGCTCTCCATCTTTCCCAGCATCAGGCTCTTCTCCAGGGAGTCCTTCCTTAAACTGGCGATCCCTAACCTTTCCACTGGAGTGGGAGGTGGGGGACAGGGGATGGTTTTGTGCGTGCACGGTGCTTTCACAAACATAGCTTCGTGCGGCCCATTCTGTAATGGGCTGCAGTCCGGCACTGGTCCATGGACCAGTGGATCCTGATGTAAAGGGTTAATTCCTTTTATTGGATCAATAGGAGGTTGCATTCAGAATCAATCTCCCTGTGTAGAGAACATGGTAAGCCGTTCCACTGGTTAATTGTCCTCACTGTGAGGAAGTTTCTCCTTAATTCCAGATTGCTTCTCTCCTTGATTAGTTTCCATCCGTTGTTTCTTGTCCTGCCTTCTGGTGCTTTGAGGAATAGGCTGACCCCCTCTTCTTTGTGGCAGCCCCTCAAATATTGGAATACTGCTATCATGTCCCCCCGCATCCTTCTTTTCTCTACACTGGCCAAACCAAATCCTGCAACCGTTCTTCGGATGTTTTAGTCTCCAAGCCTTTAATCATCTTAGTTGCTCTTCTTTGAACTTCTTCCAAAGTCTCAACACCCTTTTTGCAGTGTAGTGACCAAAACTGGATAAGAGAAGACCTGGTCAGCACCACTGACAAAGACAAATTGAAATCCAGGCAGTCATTTCTCATGCCAGCGAGTTTCAGCATAGATTAAGCACGAAGGCTGTGGGGCAGAAGATGATCTAACAATAATTACCGTATATGCCGGCGTATTAGGCGACCCGGCGTATAAGACGACCCCCGTCTTTATAGCCGGGCCGCATTCCTAGAACATCGTCTTATACGCCAGAAACTACCAGTATTTCCGGCAAATAAGACGACTCGGCGTATAAGACGACCCCCGACTTTGGCGCCGATTTCAGCGCTCGCGGAAGTCGTCTTATACGCCGGCATTTACTGTAAATCCCACCCTCTTACCTATGTAACCTGTTCTTCCCCTCTCTTGCAGCTTTAATTAAACTCAAGAAAGTCAAGGACCGCTGCGCAGTGAGATCCCAATTTGTTCAACACATATGCCTGCCAGAAGCTTCCATGTCCTTTCCAGACCATTACAAATGCTACGTTGTCGGATGGGGATACTTGCATGAAAGTAAGAGCTCACCGCTGGGATCGCTGCTGGGGAAAGGGATCGCCCCTAGAGCCAGGAGTTTCAGCTGACGCCAGGATGATCATCATGATGTCTGCACATCACACTCAGTTATAGCCACTCGGTGGCTAGAATGCAGTATTGCAGGCAAACTCTGCCCACAGCCAGGAAGTTTAATCCTGACCGGCTCAAGGTTGACTTAGCCTTCCATCCTTCCGAGGTTGATAAAACGGGGACTCAGGTTCTGGGAGTTGAAGTCCTAAAAGCGCCATAATTCCCCACCCCTGCTGGCTCAGGAATTCTGGGAGTTGAAGTCCACAAGTCCTAAAAGGGCCATAGTTCCCCCCCCCTCCCCTGATCTAGATGGCTGTAGCCATTCTTAAGCATCTTCCTTTCATCATGTCTCTGATAACATGGCTTATGAGTCCCCCGCCCCCATGTTGATGTGACTGCAAACTCCAGGTTTACGAGATCACCTCACTCCTCCAGTACTCAATCCGAGATGACGGAACTAGCCTGAAGGATTTCTCTGAGCCTGGGTAGGTGAGCTCTTTCCGGGTCCAGCTGCTGTTCCTCAGAATTGTATTCTTTCTCGTTCTTTGAGCAGATTCCTCCAGATACTCCAATGTGGTGCAAGAAGCATTGGTTCCGATTATCCCAGATTACGAGTGTCAAAACCCGGACATTTATGGAGCTGAAATCAGTGAAAATATGTTCTGTGCTGGTTACCTGGACGGCAGGTCAGATGCTTGCCAGGTAATCAATCCTGTTGAGTTACTGTGGGAATTAGCAGCATGTGGGGGGTGACAAAAAAAGATCTTGGGGATGAGTGGGAGGAGAGTTACTGAAACTCAGCTCCCTCCCTCCCTCTCTCCCTCCCACCTTCCTTTCCTTCCTTCCTCCTAATTCTCAAGATGTACCGTTTCCGTATTCACGGAGATCTTCAGATCGAGTGAGGTATCTACCCACCTGGTTTCCTGCAGCTGAAACACAGCCACCATTAAAAGTTAACAATAACAACAACACCCCGGTGGGCTGAGATTGTGACGTTGTGTAGCTCTTGCCTCGACCTTCATGTTTTCACCTTTGTCCCAGGGAGACTCGGGGGGTCCGCTGGCCTGCAAGAGGGACGGAGCGTTTTACCTCTACGGGATCGTCAGCTGGGGAGACGGCTGTGGCAAGGCCAGGAAGCCCGGAGTTTACACCAAGGTGACCAACTACGTCAGCTGGATCAACCGGGAGATACACCGGACGCCCAAAGGATAAGGATGGCTTTATATAGGGACCGATCACCTTCGGGTGCGACCCGCACGACAACGTCCCTAGTCATTCTTCGCAATACTCATTCTACGGAACATTTATTTTTCTGGGGCTGCAGAACTAGAAAAAAAGCAGACTCGCAAATTTCTGTGTTGTGAGACTTGCCATTCTTCCCTTGGGATTCCTGCCCGACTTCCGATTTACAGCATAAACAGGAGATGGTCCTCTTGCTGGTCAGAATAACAGAATAACAGAGTTGGAAGGGACTTTGGAGGTCATCTAGTCCAACCACCTATCCCATTTCAGACAAAATGGCTGTCCAGTCTCTTCTTGAAAACTTCCAGTGTTGGAGCACCCACAACTTCTGGAGGCAGGTTGTTCCACTGATTAATTGTTCTAATTGTCAGGAAATTTCTTCTTAGTTCTAGGTTGCTTCTCTCCTTCATTAATCATCTTAGGGACTTCAGCCAGGAGAGAGACTCTTAACCCAATATAGACAAAACCCCAGGGACAAACTTATCGATTTTAGGAGCATTTATGTATCATGGATCAATGAAAAAGAAAGGGTTGTGGTTTTTTTTTTTAATTAAAAGGGATATAACAAATTATCTTTACAGAGCAGTATTACAATGAACTCATTTCAAATTTGAAAAGACATAAACGTACAAAATCATATTTTTTAAAAGACCGTTTACAATCATGAAAAAAAAACAAAAACCTCAAATTCACATTTGCCCCGAAGAAGGAGAACTGGATTCAAACGGTCCTCTGTTATGACATGAGGAAATCTCTCCGGGCACCGAGTTGCGTTCTGGAGACTTCCGGCTTTGAATTTGGGGAGCTGCCCCATTCCTTGGGAATATGAATATTTATTGCAAAAACCTTACGGATGAACCACCAGCGGGATGGAGAGCTTCTTCTGAACAGCTGCATTTTTCTGTTCTCTTTTGGGCTCTGATGTCCCTCGTGCGACTTTTGTTTGAAAAGTTTTAACCAACTCTGGGCACCTAACCATGTATCTTTTTCTACTGTCTGGCTTGACTGTCCATCACATCAAATCTGGCCAGGGAGAGCCTGGATTACAGAAATTGAATTATCCTTTCTCATGACTGTCTTGGGGCAAACCCAAGTTGAAATCTTTCCCCAGAGTTGGGTCTGTTGTAATTTCTTTGAGAGCCTCAATAGACTCCGAAGAACAGAATTAACAATGCTGGAAGGGACCTTGGAGGTCTTCTAGTCCAACCCAGGCAGGAAACCCTACACCATTTCGGACAAATGGCTGTCCAATCTCTTCTTAAAAACTTCCAGTGTTGGAGCATTCACAACTTCTGGAGGCAAGTTGTTCCACTGATTAATTGTTCTCACTGTCAGGAAGTTTCTCCTTAGTTCCAGGTTGCTTCTCTCCTTGATTAGTTTCCATCCGTTGCTTCTTGTCCCACCTTCAGGCACTTTGGAGAAGAGCTTGACTCCCTCTTCTTTGGGGCAACCCTTGAGATATTGGAAGACTGCTGTCCTGTCTCCCCTAGTCCTTCTCTTCATTAAACTGGACCTACCCAATTCCAGCAACCGCTCTTTATATGTTTTATAATCACCTACTTGTCTTTGTTGGTCTTCTCTGCATTCTTTCTAGTGTCTCAACATCTTTTTTACATCGTGGTGACCGAAACTGGACGCCATATTCCAGATGTGGCCTTATAAAGCGGTATTAACACCTCACGTGAGCTTGATTCTGCCCGTCTGTTAATACAGCCAAGGACTGTGTGGGCTGTTTTGGCAGCTGAGGCTTCCTTGAGAATCGTCCAGAATCAACATCTCTCCTAATCACTGGATTTCCTCATTCTTTGCACACTAGTCAGCTCTGAGGAGGAACTTGACTTTCCTGGCTCACCTTCCCTATTTCTCAGCTCTGTCTTCAAATCTTTCATTCCATCTTTCTCTCCAGAAAGATTTTATTTTCAAACATTTATCTCTATTATTTTGTGACTGGCATTCAGTCAGTCATTGCCCAGAATGGCTACATTCGTACCTTTTTATCCCTGGCAATCCAGGGGAAATAATAGGTGGGTCTCCTCTCTCTTTTTCACTCTCTCTCTCTCTATCTTTCTCTTTCTGTCTTTCTCTCTGTCTCTGTCTTTCTCTCTCTCTCTGTTTCTCTCTCTGTATCTTTCTCTTTCTGTCTTTCTCTGTGTCTCTCTCTCTCTGTATCTCTCTCTGTCTCTGTCTCTCTTTCTCTCTGACTTTGTCTTTCTCTTTCTGTTTCTTTCTGTCTGTCTCTCTCTCTCGTGCTCTCTGTCTTTCTCTGTCTCTCTTTTTTTTCTCTGTCTCTCTTTTTTTTTCTCTGTCTCTTTGTCTCTCTCTTTCTGTCTCTCTTTCTCTGTCTTTGTCTTTCTCTTTCTGTCTCTTTCTGTCTGTCTCTCTGGTGCTCTCTTTCTCTTTTTCTCTCTCTTTTTTCTCTGTCTCTCTTTGTCTCTTTCTCTTTGTCTCTCTTTCTGTCTTTGTCTTTCTCTTTCTGTCTCTCTCTCTTTCTGTGTCACTGTCTTTCTCTTTCTGTCTCTCTTTCTCTCTGTCTCTGTCTGTCTTTTTCTCTGTCTTTCTCTTTCTGTCTCTCTTTCTCTCTGTCTCTGTCTGTCTTTTTCTCTGTCTTTCTCTTTCTGTCTGTCTTTCTCTCTCTGTCTCTCTCTCTTTCTCTGTCTGTCTCTCTTTCTCTCTGTCTCTTTCTGTCTCTCTCATCTCTCTCTCTCTGCCTCTGTGTGTGTGTGTGTGTGTGTTGCTACTGCTGTCTCTTTTCTACTTTCACGCAAAAGGTTACAAGGTGGCTCAGAGTACCTGCATGTCGATCGACTGATGATCTGCCATCAAGTTGGTGTCAACTCTTTGCGATCACCTAGACTTTCTCCAGAACGAAACAGTATCTAGAGAAATCGAAGCACACAGAGAAAGGCCACATCAAAATTCCACATTCTCATTCTTTCCAGTGCGAACCTATTCAACGAGTGGCAGAAGCGAGCCGAGGAAATGTCCAATCTCCCTTCCATCACAGCTCCTGTGGTCCTCACCCCCCCCCCGTTCTCTTCCTGGTTGCCTGCTCCATCTTCAGGAGCCCATGTTTATTTCGTTAAAACAGGTAGTCCTTTGACTTACAACAGTCTGTTCAGTCACCATTCAAAGTTACAACGGCGCTGAAAAAAGAGAACTACGGCCATTTTTCACACAACAGTTGCAAGCATCGCCGTGGTCACATGATCAAAATGCGGCCACTTGGCAAATGACTCGTAGTTATGACGGTTGCTGTGTCCCAGGGGCCATGCGATCCCCTTTTGCAAACTTCTGGACAAGCCAAGTCAAGGGGGGGGGGGGAAGCCAGATTCTCTTAACAACCGTGTAACTAACTTAAAACAGCAGTGATTCTCTTAACAGATGTGACAAGGAGGGTCGTAAAAACGGGGCAAGACTCACTACTAAACAAATGGTTCACTTAGCCACAGAGATTTCGGACTGCACTGTGGTCGTAAGCCGAGGTCTACCTGCACATTTTAAAAGTCAGCTTGTTATTTTTGAAAAACTTGCGTAACATTAAAATCTCCTAGCGCAGAGGCCCCCTGACCTTTTGGGCACTAGGGACCGGTTCCGTGGAGAGAGTTTTTTTCCGCGGACCGGAGGGTGCGTGGTTTTGTGTGCTGCCTGCATCCCGCGGATGGGGCTTTGCTTGTTTGTGCGGACCGGTTGCTGGCATGCCACGGCCCGGTACTGGCCCCACGGACCAGGTGTTGGGGACCCCTGATTTAGAACAGAGGTCCCCAACCCTTTTGGGCACCAGGGACCGGTTCCGTGGAGAAAGAGTGTGTGGTTTTGTGTGCTGCCTGCATCCCACGAATGGGGCTTTGCTTGTTTGTGTGGACCGGTTGCTGGCATGCCATGGCTCGGTACTGGTTCATAGACTGGGGGTTGGGGACCCCCTGCCCTAATGTGTGTGTGTGTGTGTGTGTGTGTGTGTGTGTGTGTGTTATGTGTAATAATAAATGTCCACTTGGATTAATAACAGACATTTGACAGCTACATTCATTATTGGGGAATACATTTCTTGTCGTCAGGATGAGGAGCAGCTGATGCATGAAAGAGGCCTTTCCAAACTCTTTGGCGCAGTGGGAGCACCCACCTCCTGGCATTCAGACACAGATTTAGCCTCTCTCGCTTTGAAGACTCTTGCGTCCACAGACCAGCATGTCCCTTTTCCGGCTGAGTTAGCGCCTGCTTCTTAAGAGTCCAGCCAAAGCCTAACTTCTCTCTCTCTGAGCTGAAGCACAGACGCAGCTTCCATTTCTGTCCCAAAGGTGCTTTTGTTTTGTTTTTTTCCCAGCAGGCAACTGGACCTCCTTGCTTTTCCTCCGAAGACATTTCCCTTCTCATCCCAGAAGCTTCTTCAGCCCTGACTGGAGGAATGGATTTATACAGGTAGCCCAGCACTTACAACCGCAATTGAACCGAAAATTTCCATGGTTAAGCGAGACGCTTATTCAGCGGGTTTTGCCCCGTTTTGCGACCTTTCTGGCCACAGTTGTTAAGTGAAACACTGCAGTTGATCAGTTAGTAAGCCGGCTCTTAATTGAAACAGGTTTTCCCCACGTCGACTTTGCTAGCCAGGAGGTCGCAAAAGGGGGATCGCGTGACCCTGGGACGCTGCAACCGTCATAAATGTGAGTCAGTCGTCCAGCATCTGAATTTGGATCACGTGACCACGGGGGATGCTGCAAAGATTGTAACTGTGAAAAATGGTCACCGGTCACTTTTTTTCAGGGCCGTTGTAATTTTGAATGGTCTCTAAATGAACTGCTGTTTAAGTCGAGGACTGCCTGTATTCCTTGCAGACCGCTGGTCATTTGCCTTCTTTAGAGGGTCGTTGAGGCCACTTGGAGGATTGTCTGTGTCCTCAGGATCACCTGAGTGGTGCAAATGGGTGTGGGGGGGTTCTTAGGACTGTGTTCCACACCCATTTGCACCACTCAGGTGACCCTGAGGACACAGACAAACCTCCAAGTGGCCTCAACGACCCTCTGAAAAAATGCAAATGACCAGCTGTCTGCAAGGAGTATAAATCCTTCCGTTCCCCACCATCCATTCAGAGCTGAAGAAGCTTCTGGGATGAGAAGCGAAACGTCTTCAAAGCAAACCAGAAAGTCCAGTTGCCTCTTGAAAAAGTACCTTTGGGACAACCACGATCTGGATGACGGAGAACCTCCATAGTCGTCTTCCTTTCCTGTATGTTCTGAGATGAATGCCCCATGAGCTGTTGCAAAGTTCCATTGTCTTCTCTCTTGGGTGGGGCCTCCCTGTGACCCCCCATCCTCTTACGGGAAGGGTTTCTACTTAGCCTCTCTTCAGGAGTTAACCCCTTACATAACTAGGCCCTGTCTATAGAAACCATCTTCTCCTTCCATCATGAGCTTGGCTTCCAACTCAACCTCTCTCAGCTCTGGGCAGACACCGTAAGGGATGTTGCCTTATTCCAGCCTCAACAATCAAGTATCTTTTGATATTTCTGCGCTACCATTAATTTGGCGCCATCATTCCAAATTCAGTCCAACCCTTTTCTCTTCACACAAATTCAATATGGGATTTTTAGTCAGCATAAGCTGAAAGATTTACTATCCACTCTACTCACGGTTGTTGCCGGTGGTGATACGATCTAGAATGTTGTTTTTTTCTTTTTTCTTTTCTGAAACTGGAATAAGGAAGTCTAAAGAAAATGTATAATTTTGGAATCGGATCACTAGGCCTTCCCGTTAGATTTTAAATGTAAATAAAAATGTCCGTCTCTCTTTGAACGCCTTTCAAAACTAACCAAATTTTAGCATGTATGCTTTGGGGAAAGAACTACGCCTGGTGGAGCAGACCATAATAAATAAATTTGTCGCATACAATCGTCCTCGTGTATTTTTTTCCCCCCCACAGAGAGTATTTGCAAGTTCTTTCAGAATTTTCTTATTTTTTCCCCGCCCAACAATGTAGTGAGAGATCTCAGGTAAGAACGAAGGGATGAGGAGGAACATCTGGCTAAGGGCAGAGAGGAACCCAGCCAGGCTGGTCAGCCACTGCTTCCCTGATCTCCTTAAGGTGGGGTGGAGGAAAATTTCTAGATACTTCTTGCTTCTCCGGCAGGGACCATCCCCACCTCTGTCGTCCCAGCTCCTGTTTTCCTGAGCCTCGCCCGAGACCCACGTCCTGATGTTGCCTTGGCCCTCTTTCTTCTACGTGGTCTCGGACCATAAGGCTTGAGTTCCGTCCACTGAGTCCATCGTTTTGGCCCTCCAGCTTCTGGGGATGGCTTTTAATCCGTCTGCCTTAGTTTTCCTTCGGCACTGCTAAGATCGGCGGTGTCTTCCATCAGGAAACCAAACATGCCAAAGCGTGGATTTTTATTTTTTTCATGAAAGGAGATTCGTGGAGACCAGGGTTGAATTTAAATTTCATTAACTGTCAATCAGAAACAGAAAGAGAAAGCTGAATAGATTACGTAGACGCTCGGCAACTTGCCTGTTCTTTCTCTAGCTCAGGGGTCCCCAACCCCTGGTCTGTGGACCGGTACTTGGGCTGCGGCATGCCAGCAACTGGGCCGCACAAACAAGCAAAGCCTGATCTGCAGGATGCAGGTAGCACACAAAACCACACACTCTCCGGTCCACAGGAAAAACCTCTCTCCATGTAACTGGTCCCTGGTGCCCAAAAGGTTGGGGACCTCTGCTCTAGCTCATCCCATCAAGGTCACCCGGGCAGAACGTCCTGGAGCCCCAGTTCCATAAAACTGCTTGACTTGAATTCAACACACAAGAGGAAGATCTCTCTTGCCAAAATGCAGGCCTAGATAACAGTATAACAGGTTCGAAGCAAAACGCCAGTGCCTCCTTGCCCTAATGCCAGGGAACTGCAGAGCGCAAGGACAGTCCTGGTGTCATAGTTGGGTGACAGCCTAATGGTCCTCCCGGCTCCCTTGGAGTGGTGTGACCCCAACATGAAAGTCCCACCTGCATTGCCTTCTTTCGGATTTCTTGTCCACTCCCTTCAGGAAGATCACGGAGGCTGATATGTTTATCTCTTTCTTGCCTCAGAGAGAGAGAGAGAGAGAGAGAGAGAGAGAGAGAGAGAGAGACAGACAGACAGACAGACAGACAGACAGACAGACAGACAGACAGACAGATAGATAGATGATAATGATAGGTAGATAGATAGATAGGTAGATGATAATGATAGGTAGATAGATAGATAACAGAAGACAGATATAGATAGATGATAGATAGATAGATAGATGATAGATAGATAGATAGATGATAGATAGATAGATAGATAGATAGATAGATAGATAGATAGATAGATAGATAATAGAGAACAGGTGTAGAGCAATAGCAATAGCATATAACGCTTCACAGTGCTTTATAGCCCTCTAAGCCGTTTAGAGAGTCAGCCTCCTGCCCCCCAACAATCTGGGTCCTCATTTTACTGACCTCGGAAGGACGGAAAGCTGAGTCAACCTTGAGCCGATCAGGATCGAACTCCTGGCAGTGGGCAGTTAGCCTGCAATACCACATTGTAACCACTGCACCACCAGGGCTCTGATGCTCTCCAGTACCTCCTGCCTGGCCTAAGCATTGGCTGTGCCTTCAGTCTCTCTTCACTGGTCCCCAATAAGGTAGAACCATCCGGCCCACCACCCCACATAGCTTAGAAACCACGTTTTGTTTCAATGTGGCCTAAACACGTACCGCTTCCTTTGCAGCCTCATTACCTGGCTAGCTCACATTCAATTTGAAATGGCATTATTATTCTGACCGTAAGTATTGTTCCAAAGGTCAGCCCATCCTTGCCCCAGCTCATTTAGTGACTGCTCAGAGTTACAACATGACTGAAAAACGGGACATGACCGTTTTCCCCACTTAACAACCGTTAACAGCATCCCCCCAGGGTCACGCGATCAAAATTCAGACACTTGGCACCTGATTTGTATTTACGACAGTTGCAGTGTCCCGGGGGGGGGGTCCCGTGATTCACTTTTGCGACCTTCTGGCAAGCAAAGTCAACAGGGGGGAGGAGGAGAAGCCAGATTGACTTAACAACCATGTTGCTAACTTATCAACACAGTGACTCCCTTAACAACCGTGACAGGAACGATCGCGAAATGGGTCAAAGCTCAACAAATGTCTCACTTAGCAACGGAAATTTTGGGCTCCATTGTGGCCCTAAGTCGGGGACTACCTGTATCGGCGTCCCACTTCCAGAACTGAATCGGGTGGCACTTAACACTCCACATTCGTGCTAGTTGGACACATAACTCGTAACCATTTTGCCTATGGTTTTTCGGCATGCCAACCCATACACATTTATCTAACTTACACATCATTTATCGATTGATTTAACTTATATGCCGTCCACCGCACGGTTGAAGCGACTCTGCGGCCGTTTTAGAAAGTGAAAAAAGAGTTTAGAAAGTTATGCAGCAATTGGTAAAGGACTTGGCTGAATTAATGCAGCATGCTCACCAAGCTGAAGTAAGCTTAGCCTGAAAAACCATTTGTAGAAATCTTCCTTTTTTTCTCTCTCTCGGTTGCGTGGATAAGAACTAACGCTAAGACCCGTATTTATTTTACGGGGTGCTCCAGATATTTTAACGTGCTGTGGTTTCACTGCCTTTCTTTCCACATTTAGATATTCTTACCACGGTGCCTTAACTCAATGGGCTCAGGAAAAACTGTAAATGAAAGCTGTATTTTAGCATCCTGAGGTAAAATCAACCTTAGGTTTCTGAGGAATCCTGAGAGAAGACCCCACGCACTTTCCAGGATGGGCAGGTGACTCAGAAATGTTGTTTTATTTCATCGAAGGGCTTCCTCAAAATTAGTAAACCTGTTTCCACCTCCAGGGGTCTTGGGAAATCCAGATTAAAAAAAAAATCTACCTTCCCATTTACAAATTTTGAAATGGCACGTCCTTTTGCCCTTAGAGGGAGAAATTATTTTCCTTTAATTAAAGCTCAAACAAAACGAAAGACAAAACTTTGCTGGGCTCCCAAACTCAAATACAGGCCGTCCTCGACTGACAACAGTTCACTTAGCGACCGTTCAAAGTTACAACGGCTCTAAAAAAAGGTGACAATGTGACGGTTTCTCCCACTTAACAACCGTCGCGACATGATCACGTCACGCTGATGAAAATTCAGAAGCTCGGCAGCTGGTTCATATTTACGACGGTGGCCGTGTCCCCCGGGGGGTCACGGGATCCCCTTTTGACGACCTTTAGACAAGCAGAGTCCATGGGGGGGGGGAGCCAGTTTCACTTAACAACCGTGGAACTAATTTAACAATTGCAGGGATTCACTTAACAAATGTGGCAAGGAGAGGTCGTAAAACGGGGCAAAGCTCCCTTAACAAATGTCCCACTTTAGCAACGTCAGTTTTGGGGCTCAGTTTTGGGGGGGATAAATCGAATGCTACCCGTATCTCGACTAACTCAGGACAGAGAAGCAAGCAATAACGAAAGATCTCCATCCTTTGTGACATCCATAAATCCAGACCCACTTCTCAAAAAGCTGGGATCAGATTCACCAACGTGGCTTCCCCCTCTCCTGGTACCCCCCCCCCAAATAAACTCATATATGAAGCCCAAATTTTATTCGTTTAGGAATTATCCTACAACGAGCTAAAGCTGTTTCTTTGCAGTTTCAATTTACCTGGAAGGAAGAAGCTATCCTAGGGACACGAAATAAGCCATTTCTATCAAACAGGTTTAATGTTGCTTCCTTTTTTCTTTTTTTCTTTTTCTTCTTTTCCCCCTCCTCTTCCTCTCCAGGCGAAATTAAACGTTGGCTTTGGTGATCATCTTCTCCAGGAGATTCATCATTCTTTCCTGCAGCTGCAGAGTTTGCACTTGGATAATGTTCTGCTGGTCCAGAGTCCGTCGAACTTCCCGGCACGTTTCCTCCATGGCTCTGCTCAGCTTCTTCTGCTCTTCCAGCATGGCTTCCATCAGCTTCAGCTTCTTCTTTTGGAAACTGCAGCTTTGCGCTTTTCTTTTCTTCACCGGTCGCTCTTCTGCTCTGAAACGGAAAGGCCTCGGCATTAGGACCCCTTCGGGCAACGCCAGCCTCTTCCCAACGTGACGCTATCCAAATCATGTGCAGGCACATCCCACCCCCGCATAATAACCAAGACGAGGTAACGTAGCATGATAAAAAAAAATAAAGAGAAAAGCTTGAAAAGTTATCGGCTGAAGAAGCCGGAGATTGGACAGACCTTGGTCGACGATCACTTAAATACAAGCCAGCCGTGTGCAGCAGCAGCCAAAAAAGCTAACGCAATCCTTATATAAACAGAGGCGTAGAATCAAAATCACGTGAAGTCTTAGTACTGCTTTATAAAGCCTTAATAAGGCCACCCCTGGAATCCTGTGTCCAGTTCTGGTCACCGCATTACAAAAATGATGTTGGGACTTTGGTAAAAGTGCAGAGAAGAGCAACTAAGACGATTAAAGGCCTGGAGACTAAAACATGTGAAGGACGGTTGCAGAATTTGGGTTTGGCTAGTCTAGAGAAAAGAAGGACTGGGGGGGGGGAACATGATAATAGTATTCCAATATTTGAGGGGCTGCCACAAAGAAGAGGAGGGTCCACCTATTCTCCAAAGCACCAGAAGTAGCGGATGGAAACTAATCAAAGAGAGAAGCAACCTGGAATTAAGGAGAAACTTCCTAACGGTGAGAACAATTAACCAGTGGGACAGCTTGCCACCAGAAGTTACGGGTGCTCCATCACTGGAGGTTTTTAAGAAAAGACAGGACAGCCCCCCTGTATGAAATAGTGTAGGGTCTCCTGCTTGCGCAGGGGGCTGGACTAGAAGGCCTCCAAGGTCCCTTCCAGTTCTATTCTGATAGATGGTGTTGCTTGAAATGTTCTTTTCTCGTCTCTTTGTTGGGGAAAAAAAAACCCCACCTTAATTCAAAGTTTGATCTGAATGGTTCACTGGTACAAATTTGGCACAGATGTCTCTTGCTGCTTTACAACACTCCACCCCCCCCCTCAGCAGTTTCCTTGTGGCCTCCCAACCACGCCAGGCCAAACGCATAAAAGTCGAAAGTAAAAAAAGTGGTGGTTTACCTTAATTTATACGAAATGAGGCTGGAGGAGCTGTCTGAATGCGCGTCTTCGAAGAATTCCTCTCGTCCTTCGTAGGTGAACTGATTGTACGGCAAATAGAGGGGAGCTGATTTGGTGGAGGGTGATTGGGACGCTTCCGTTTGGGAGGTGGACGGACCCGGTTGCTGGCTATCGTGAACTTTCACGTCATTGTGCTCCGAGACTTTGGATAAAATTCTATCAATGGTTTTGAAATAAGGCCAATCAGGAGCCAAGGTTTCGCTATCTGTCATGCATTTTAATTTCCTGCGACGATAAAAGCACAATCATGTACACCGACATGCATCACACACGGGAATAAAAGAGATTGACCATAAGCCAGGGGTCTTCAAACCTGGCCCTCTCATGACTGGTGGACTTCAACTCCCAGAATTCCTCAGCTAGGAATTCTGGGAGTTGAAATCCACCAGTAGTAAAAGCCCAAGTTTGAAAACCCCTGCCATAAAGCATAGCATCTAGTAGCTGAAGGAATTTTAGCCCACCCCAAAAACCTTTTTGTCTACTTCAACTAGGAAGGCTTCTGTCTAAAAATCCAAAATTTAATCCGTAGATACCTTCTCTTCAGATCTGTCTCTGGCGACCGCTAAAAGATGTAATACAGATAGTCCTCGGCTTACAACATCTCACTTAGTGACTGCTCCAAGTTACAGCGGCCGTGAAACAAGGCGACCTTTTTTTCACACGACCGTGGTGTCATCCGCTTGGTCACGTGACCAAAATCTATCTATCTATCTATCTATCTATCTATCTATCTATCTATCTATCTATCTATCTATCTATCTATCTTAGATAGATAGATAGATAGATAGATAGATAGATAGATAGATAGATAGATAGATAGATAGATAGATAGATAGATAGATAGATATTGTTGTTGTTAATTGCAAAGTCGTGTCCGACCCATCGCGACCCCATGGACAATGTTCCTCCAGGCCTTCCTGTCCTCTACCATCTTCTGGAGTCCATTGAAGTTCACACCTACTGCTTCAGTGACTCCATCCAGCCACCTCATTCTCTGTCATCCTCTTCTTCTCTTGCCCTCCATCTTTCCCAGCATTAGACTCTTCTCCAGGGAATCCTTCCTTCTCATTAGGTGGCCAAAGTACTTGAGTTTCAACTTCAGGATCTGGCCTTCTAAAGAGCAGTCAGGGTTGATCTCCTCTAGGACTGACCGGTTTGTACGCCTTGCAGTCCAAGGGACTCGCAGGAGTCTTCTCCAGCACCATAATATAGATATAGAGACAGAGATAGAGATATAGAGATATAGAGATAGATAGATAGATAGATAGATAGATGGATAGATAGATGTAAAAAGTTGTAACACCCATTCCTAAACCAAGCTGAGGAGGAGAAGTGTACCAAAGTCCACGACAAACACCTATTTGCAGATTTGAACCAAACCAGAATTTCAACCATCGCCACTTAGAACGCATCATTTAGTGACCATTCAAAGCTATAAACTGGCCACAGAGTTGACGACTCCAAAAGCATTTCTCTCTCTCTCTCTCTCTCTCTCTCTCTCTCTCTCTCTCTCTCTCTCTCTCTCTCTCTCTCTCTCTCCCCCCCCCTTTTTTTTTTTTTTGCTCTGAGAGGAAAAAAAAAATTAGGAGCACAAAGACCGGGATAAATTCAAATCCACGGAGCGCTTTCCGCCTTTTTAAACTTTCCCAGTCCGTTCCTGCAATCTCTCCAGGCCTCCGTGGAGTATCAGACCGGAAGCACGTCCAGAATTCAACTCTTTTCCTACACAGACACTTGTTGGGAAAAGTTTCCCCTCCGGTGAAAATTACACCCTATTGAGGAGGAGGCAAAAAAGTCAAGATGGCCGTCTTGAACGCCATGCAGGGGGAGGAGCCCTGCCCTGCTTTTGAGCGCAGACACCCCGACGCAAAGTCAAATAAAATATACTTCGCTTCTTCAAAATGTTTTTCAGGGCCCTTTTGAAGTTGCACTCAGTTGACAGAGACAGGACGAGATGATCTCCTAACTCAAGCCAAGAGGTGCTTCTGAATAACTTTGCTATCCTGGCTGGATGAGAAAAAGGAGACAGCAAAAGCTCTCGGATCGCCCGGCCAGCATTTAATGCCTTCCAAGAGCAGATCTGGACAGAGAAAGAAGAAGCATGCCCCCCCCCCTTCGCTTTCCTCCCTTTGGGCGGGCGGACGAACGGCGTTTTCTAGCTCTGGATGATTTGTCTGGAGAGGTCAGGCTGGCTGGGTTCAGGGGCCAACAGCACCAAGATTGGCACAGCTTTCCTCAGCTTGGTCTGCTCTTATACCCTGCAGAACCAGCTCCTGCCACTCTGGACCAGCCTTGCTTGCACTGGCATCTTTGGCTGCTGTCCACGGCTCTCCTGTTTGCCTCAGCCAGGGCTGCTGGCACCTTTTGGGGGTGCCCCCAAATCCTCCTCTTTCTGCTCCAGAGGGATTCCCCCCCCCCCCCGAGAGGCCTGAAACAGCCTGGCACCTTCTGGCCATCCATCCAGCTGCCGCTCACCTGTACTGGAAGGTCATGTTGGTGATTTTGATCTTGATCTCTTCTCCGTGCCGGATTTCGCCCGTCATTTCGAAGAGTTTGTTGGCCATTTTCTCGTAAACTTTGGCGTTCCTCTTGGTCTGCTTGAGCTCCTCAAAGAATTCCTCCCAGACCAGCATCAGACCCCGCATCTCGGCTTCGGTCCAGTTGCGCGCCCGGCGATGCTTCTCGCTCTGGGTGGACAGCAGACATCCAGCGGGGGCCGGGACTGCAGCCATGGCAGCTGCCGCCCCGAGGAGGCTCTACACACACACACACACACACACACACACACACACACACACACACACACAGACAGCCCGGGCAAGCACAACCCACGGCTGGGGCGCCCAAGATGGGGCCTACCTCTGACAGGCTGGAATTTAGCTAAAAGCTTTTAAACAGAGGGACGTCATTTCGATGTCACGTTTCCATAGCAACCGAGCAACTGCATAAGCTACCAACAACAAAAACCTTTTAACTCAAAGGCGAAGAATCAGGACAAAGTTGACAGGCCATCAATATTAAAGCTTTTAACCACATTAGGCTTAACTAAGCCGCACACTCGCCCGGCCCGGGCACACAAACACACTCACTTGTGCACACACACACACACACACACACACACACACACACAGGCAGGCAAAGCAAGGCAGGTTGGGCCCCCTGGATCCCTCCCCGTCGGAGCAGCCTCCATCTCAAGCCGTGAGGCAGCTGAAAAGAACCCCCCCCCCACCAAGGGATGCAAATCCCGGCATCTGCCTGTGTGGGTCAGGGGTCTCTCTGGGGAATCCCCCTGCAGCCTCGGCATCGGCAAGGCAAGGAGGGCATCTTCATATGCCAGGCTCAGCGGCTGCAGGGCAAGTGCCCACAGTGCCAGAGAGGGTGGGATATCCTGGGTGGGATATAGTATAAAACTATATCCCACCCAGGAATCGGGAATGGCCAGTCTCGAGAAGAGAAGGACTCGGAGTGACAGGATAGCAGCATTCCAGTGTTTGAGGGGCTGGCACAAAGAAGAGGAGGGGGGGGGGTCAACCTCTTCTCCAAAGCATCTGACAAGCAGTTGGCTTATGTTCTACAGATTAGGCGAAACCTGGCTCAGAAACAGTAGCTGTGAGAGGGACCTTGGGAGTCCCAGCGGACGATCACTTAAAATCTAAGCTGGCCGTGTGCGGCAGCAGCCAAAAGAGCTAACACAATCCTTGGTTGTATCAACAGAGGCGTAGAATCAAGATCACGTGAAGGTTTAATACCGCTTTATAAAACCTTAGTTAAGATCACACCTGGAGCCCTGCGTCCAGTTTTGGTCACCCACGTTCCCAAAAAGATGCTGAGATTTTGACAAAAAGGGCAGAGAAGAGCAATTAAGATGATCCAAGGCCTGGAGACCAAAACATGAAGAACGGCTGCAGGACTTGGGCTTGGCTAGTCTAAAGAAAAGAAGAAATAGGGGAGGCAGGATAGCTGTGTTCCAGTATCTGAGGGGCTGCCCCAAAGAAGAGGGAGTCAAGCTATTTTCCAAAGCGCCTGAAGGCAGGACAAGAAGCAACGGATGGAAACACATCAAGGAGAGAAGCAACCTGGAACTAAAAAGAAACTTCCCAACGGTGAGGACAATTAACCAGTGGAACAGCTTGTCACCAGAAGTTGTGGGTGCTTCATCGCTGGAGGTTTTTAAGAAGAGGCTGGACAGCCACTTGTCTGGAATGGTGTAAGGCAGTGGTTCTCAACCTTTCTAATGCCGTGACCCCATAATAAAATTCCCCATGTTGTGGTGACCCCCAAGTGGGTGTGGCCACCAATAAGAGGGAGTAGGACAGCTAGGGAAAAGGGGAAAAAATGGCGGACAGCGTGGATTGGCGACCCCCGTGAAATGGTCATTTGACCCCAAATGGGGTCCCGACTCACAGGTTGAGAACCACTGGTGTAAGGTCTCCTGCTTGAGCAGGGGGCTGGACTAGAAGACCTCCAAGATCCCTTCCAGCTCTGTTCTGAATTGAAATTGAAAGGAGTCTTGCTGGGGCGCCAGGGGGCACCTACGAGAAAGAAGGGCTGCAGATTCAAGAACTGCTGCTCAGCCCCATTGTGGGTTGATGGGATAGGAGGCGGAAGGGGCACAGCAGTGCCATCCCAGGACCCTCGTGGTGCCGCCTTGGGGGGGGGGGCAAATGGCTGAGAGATGCAGGCAGGGGTCAGTTCCCTGAAAGACGAACGGAAGGGACGGGCACCAGCGAGAGAAACCCCAGAGGGAAGATGTCTCTGGGGAAGGCCCAGCATCAGGACCACCCAAGAGACGGTTGGCACAACCTTTGCGGGGTCCCCCTTGCACTTCTCCCTCGATGGCACTCTCAGCTGGAAGAAGGGATCGGGGGGAGGGGGCTGGAAGGAAGTGGAGAAAAAGGGGAAGCCTCAATTCTTCCTTCTTGGCTGGTTTCTAATTCTTTCATAATTGCTGTTTCCCCCCCGAAAGCAGGGCTCAAGCACGTTTCCCGAAAGCAGCTTTGAAAAATGTTTCTTTTTTTCCTGAAAGAAACTCTCAAAAAGTGTTTGGTTTTTAAGGTAAAGCAGAGATGCTGTAGGCCGGGGAGCAGTTGCACGGCCCAAGAGATTTTTTGGAGTGGAGAGCTAAAATACTGTATATTCCGGCGTATAGGGCGACCTAGCGTATAAGACGACCCCCGACTTCGACCCCGAGTCGCAAGATGATCGACGCCGAGTCGCATGCCTAGAAAGTCGTCTTATATGCCGGAAACTACCGGTATTTCCGGCATATAAGATGATCGACACCGAGTCGCATGCCTAGAAAGTCGTCTTATACACTGGAAACTACGTTATTTCTGGCGTATAAGACGACTCAGCGTATAAGACGACCCCCAAGTTTGGCGCCTGTTTTAACGCTCTCAAAAGTCGTCTTATATGCCGGAATATACAGTATATCCAATAAATCGATGACTTGATGATGATAATGATGGAAGGCCTGTCCCGCCCGTCTTGTAGAGCGTGGGATAAGGTCATTTTGATAAATTAAAAACCTCACTTCTAACTAGCATGGATGATGTTACCTAGTTGGGTCATGAAACGTCTGCAAGAAAACAAGCAAGCTCAGAGAGCACCCAGACCCCACAGTCGTCTTCTTCTTCTTCTTCTTCTTCTTCTTCTTCTTCTTCTTCTTCTTCTTCTTCTTCTTCTTCTTCTTCTTCTTCTTCTTCTTCTTCTTCTTCTTCTTCTTCTTCTTCTTTCTTCTTCTTCTTCTTCTTCTTCTTCTTCTTCTTCTTCTTCTTCTTCTTCTTCTTCTTCTTCTTCTTCTTCTTCTTCTTCTTCTTCTTCTTCTTCTTCTTCTTCTTCTTCTTCTTCTTCTTCTTCTTCTTCTTCTTCTTCTTCTTCTTCTTCTTCTTCTTCTTCTTCTTCTTCTTCTTCTTCTTCTTCTTCTTCTTCTTCTTCTTCTTCTTCTTCTTCTTCTTCTTCTTCTTCTTCTTCTTCTTCTTCTTCTTCTTCTTCTTCTTCTTCTTCTTCTTCTTCTTCTTCTTCCTTCTTCTTCTTCTTCTTCTTCTTCTTCTTCTTCTTCTTCTTCTTCTTCTTCTTCTTCTTCTTCTTCTTCTTCTTCTTCTTCTTCTTCTTCTTTTCTCCTCCTCCTCCTCCGTCTTTTTCTTCCTTCTTCAGTTCTTCAGTTCTTCTTCTTCAGTGCTTCTTTTCTTCTTCTTCTTCTTCTCCTCCTCCTTCTCCTCCTCTTCCTTTCTGCAAACCCCCCTCCCTTCTAGCCCTGATGATGTTACCTAGTTTGGGTCATGAAACGTCTGCAAGAAAACAGGCAAGCTTCGAGAGCACCCAGGACCCCTCATTTCAACCCTCAGCTGCAAATATTCTCCATTATCGACAAATAAATTGATAGCTTTTTTTTTTCTTGAAACGAAGAAGCAAAATCCGGATATCTACAAGCAGGCTCATTGGAAACCTGAAGGCAGAAAAGTAATGGGACTTTTTTCCAGCTACCCTTTGGATTTTAGACCAATGAAAAGCATTTTCCCTGTTTGGAGCCAGGGTTTTTTTTTTTAAACAACGCAGATATACAAAGTAACAGCTAGTCGACAACCTGAAGGTTAGTTTAAACTCCGTTTAATAAATAATTTGTATGCATACATCCAAGGCCGTTGCATATATTTTATACGTACATTATGTACACCAATGCAACTCGTATTCCTTCCGATAAAATTTAAATTTTGTTAGCAAGGAAAAAAAAAACACTATGGAGATGAATTCTATCCCAGGAATGTGGCTAACGTTCAAAAGGCCGAACGTCCCAGCCCGATTTGGTCTCACAAGGAGGCACCCATAGCTCCGCATGGGAAAAGCACGTGGTCCTGTAACTTCCGGTCCAGGATGATGGGCTTCTGGGCATTCCTTGCACTTGGACTGGGGGGGGGGGAGGAGTGGCACAGAAGAGTCTCTGCGGTACTGGCAGCCAGTGGCTGGAAGAGGCCTGGTTCTTGGCCTCTTGGATCGCGCTGGGCAGCCTTCACAGCTGGCACAGCTGGCAGAGGGAAGGGAAGGATGGGGCCAGCCCAGCCTCTTGCCAGCTGCCTTCCCGGATGGACCCCTCTGGATTTGGAAAAGAAGGGAAGGGTCTGCTACATTTCAGTAGAAGAGGGCGCGAGAGAAGCCGCCGAATTTAGGAAAGTGACCGCCTGGGAAGCAGAAGTCATGCAGAGAGAAAGGGAGACAGGGAGTGTGGGATTGCAATAGTGCAGGGCTGTGTCTATGTGTGTGTGCGAGAAGGAGAGAGAGAAACAAGAGAAGCGTCCTTGCCAGCTTTTGTGAACGAGTCTGTCCAGTTTTGAACTACAGATCCCAAACTCCCAAACTTACTCCCGTCCCACCACAAGGTGCTATTTGCCTGTTGATCAAGTCCTCTAAAGAGTCACAGAAAAGGTCACAAGAATCAGGATTGGTTCCCAGTCCGTTTGCAAAGTTTTCTTAGTCCAAAGCCACTGCCGTGACTTCAGTCCAAAAATGACTTCGCCCAAAGCGCCCTTATTGTAAGGAGAGATTTCCTAACACATGCTCACTTCAAAGGGTTGTTTTTTTTGTTTTGCAAAGTGTCCACTTCCTCCCGCCCCCCCGGTGCTAATTCCGGTGAATCCAAACCACCTCCATAAAATTCTCTCTCTCTTTTAAACGTCCAACTTAAACTCATCAATATAGTTAAACTTTTCAAAGAGTAGCGTACAAAAGATGAAACGAGAGTTTAAAAGGTGACGCGGGAGTGCATTAAAAAAATAGGCCTAAGGAATGTACGATAGGAAACGGTAACGAACTATTCAACATACGTGGCAAAATCTCGCTTTTAATCCTTTTAAGTGCTTCCCAGCCTCACTCCGTTCCTGTGTCTTAACGTACTATACATCATTTAGAACTATTTACATTGGCTGTTTTTAAAACCGAGATATTGATCCAACTTTTAAATCTAGAGGTATAAAAGGAAGTATATTATCACATGTCTCATTTCCCCACTCTTATAGACCAAAATATGTTGGAGTGTGCATATATATATGTATGTATATATATATATATATTCAGTGTGGTTTTTTCCCTTTTTCTCTCTGTCACCTTAGGAAATAACTACAAATCGCAACAGGACACTTGCAGCTAGATGAAACTAAAGGCTTTTTAAATGTCCGTGAGCCGATACTGCAGAATTCACGAGGTTCAGGATTAACAATATACAAATTTAAGCCAAGATGAGCTGTTTTGCTTCGCGTCAATATTTTGTCCGTAGCTTACTTAGGTGTCATTTTTGCTTCACAAAAACCGTGCTTTGTGTCGCTTGGCCCAGCCACCGTGTTTCATCTCGATTACGTAGGGAAAATTAAATAAAACCAGGCCGAGGGTTTGCCAGGGACCTCCGTTGCGTGAGACACATTTTGTTCAACTTCCTAGTCCTTCCCGTGCTTCCTCGGCCCTCCTTCAACACGGGGTGATCTTGTGAATGCTTTGCAAGCAAGTCAGCAGGTGGTGATACGGATTCCCCGGCGAGGAGACCACTTCAAAGATCGACTGGAAGGCACGGCGATCCAGTTCTTCGTCTATCTGATGCCTGTAAAAATCTATGGCCACCAGGCAAAACAATTTGACGTCTATTTGCTCCGATTTCCCCATTCTGCTGATAATGTGTGGGAGACTTCCGGAAAAAAAATAAAAAGGTCAAGGATAATATAACAAAGACGTACCTGGTAAAAAGTCACGAACTTTGAACTCTACTATTTCCTCAGTGAAGCTAATACAATTAGTTTAGTGACCGTTCAAAGGGCACTCAGGAAACTGAGTTATGATCTTTTCAGCATCCCCAGGTCACGTGACCAGAATCCGGATGCTTGGCAACTGACTCATATTTATGACGGTCACAGGGTCCCGGGATCATGAGATCCCCCTTTGCAATGTTCTGACGAGCAAGGTCAATGGAGGAAGCCCAATTTGCTTAACAACGGAGTCCCTAACTCAGTGGTGGCGAACCTTTGCCACGCGTGCCAGAGGGGGGCACTCGGAGCCCTCTCCGTGGGCACGCACGCCTCGCTCCTTGACTAGGTTTTCACAGGAAAAAGCCATTTCTCAAGCTCCTTCCTAGCCAAAGCAAGTGTCCAGAGTGAGCGCGCTGTTTTCAGCTTTGAATTATATCAAATCTGACACCAGAAAGAGACTAACAGATGACCTGAGTGCTGCATGTGTTGCTCTCAAACTTACAAAGTATAAGCCAAGGTTAGACAAATGATCAGCATGCGTACAACAGCAAAAATCACATTAATTGTTCAAAAACACGCCAAATGCAAACTTTTACCTTTCAGTAAAAAGTCGCTTGCGTCATTGAAAGCTTTGTTATCGGGTTTTTCTTTTAAGACAAAAGATGTTAAGGGATGAGTTGTTTTCTCCCAAACTAAAACCTCAGAGTTCAGATTAAATTGCCGTGTTGGCACTTTGCGATAAATAAGTGGGTTTTGGGTTGCAGTTTGGGCACTCGGTCTCTAAAAGGTTCGCCATCACTGCCCTAACTTATCGACTACAGGGATTCACTGAACAAGCGCCGCAAGAAAGGCTGTAAAATGGGGCAAAACTCACTTAGCAACAAATGTCTCACTTAGCAGCGGAAATCTTGGGCTCAGTTGTAGTCGCAAGCTAGGCGGCTTGCAAACAACCGGAAGCACTTACACATAGTCCCTGACTTGCAACAGTTCATTTAGTGACTGTCCAAAGTTAAAAAAGTGAGTTATGACCGGTTTTTACACAGTATCTCCATAGTCGTTTGGTCACAATTCAGACACTTGGCCACCGACTCATATTTATGACGGTTGCAATGTTCCCGGGCTCAGGTGATCTCCTTTGATGATGACTGTTGTAGCGTTTCCCCTCCCCCCACGGTCATGTGACCAAAATTTAGCAGCTGGGCAACCGGTTCGTATTTGTGGCGGTGATCCCAGGATCCCTTTTTGCAAACTTCTGATAAGCAAAGACAATGGGCTGGCCAGATTCACTTAACAACCGTACAAGGAAGGTCATTAAATGGGGCAATGCTCACTGAACAAATGTCTCACTTAGCAGCATTAATTTTGGGCTCTATTGTGGTCATAAGGCGAGGATTACAGAAGGATCTTGACACGACTTGAACACTGGGCGTTATCTAACAAAATGAAATAGAGTGGTGAAAAAAGTAAGGTTCGACATTCAGGCAAGAAAAACCAAATGTACAGGTATAGTATAGGGGGTACCTTGCTCAATAGTAGTAACTGTGAGAGGGACCTCGGAGTCCTAGGGGACAATCACTTAGATAGGAGCCAGCCATGTGCTGCAGCTGCCAAAAAGGCCAATACAGTGCTGGGCTGCATTAACAGAGGGATAGAATCAAGATCACGTGAAGTATTAATACCACTTTACAAGGCCTTGGTAAGGACACACTTGGAATCCTGCATCCAGTTTTGGTCACTGCGATGTAAAAAAGATGCTGAGACTCTGGAAAGAGTGCAGAGAAGAGCAACAAAGATGATCAGGGGACTGGAGGCTAAAACATACAAGGAAGGGTTGCTGGAATTGAGCATGTCTAGATTAATGAAGAGAAGGACGAGGGGGGGACACGATAGCAGTGTTCCAATATCTCAGGGGCTTCCCCAAAGAAGAGGGAGTCAAGCTATTCTCTAAAGCGCCTGAAGGCAGGAGAAGAAGCAACGGATGGAAACTAATCAATTTCCTGACAGAACAATTAACCAGTGGAACAACCTGCCTCCAAAGCGGTGAATGCTCCAACACTGGAAGTTTTTAGGAAGAGACTGGACAGCCATTTGTCTGAAATGCTATAGGGTTTCCTGCCTGAGCAGGGGGTTGGACTAGATGACCTCCAAGGTCCCTTCCGACTTTATTATTCTTATTATTACTATTATTATTTCTCTGACCCCCACCTCCGTTTTTCCACCGGAAACCAAACGGTCAACTCTTCCCTTCCCAAGGAGAATCACGTGAACCAAATCGCACACGTCAGAGAGGATACATCCCCGAAATCCACTGGCTGGTGGAAGCGCTGACAAAAAAACAGGAGAGGCTCCACATCGCCATGGCGATCGGCGTGCGCTGCGTAAAGTTGGAGAGCGACAGCATCACCCAGTCCCGGACCATGGAGGACTGACCGGTCGTGTGCAACGTCTGGAAGACCTACAAAAAGAAAGACCGATCATGGTGGCTCGCGGGCTTTGGAAAAGCCGTTTGGTCAACCCAACAAATATATAAAAGTGCATTACTTTGGGGCTGCTGACCGTGTCCTTCGCCCAGCAAGGGTTTTTAGGCATACTGATTTTTTTCAAAAATTCTATTATTTTAAGAATACACTTTGCTTAGTGACTGTCCGAAGTTACAACGGCACTGACAAAAGAGGACTTGTGACCGTGGTTCACACTTACAACCATTGCAGCGTCCCCACAGTCAGGTGGTCAAAATTCAGACGCTTGGCAACCGACTCGTACGTACAACGATTGCAGTGATCCCCTTTTGCGACCTTCTGACCAGCAAAGTCAACGATCCGTTTAACAACCAAGTTACCGACTTGACAACTGCAGAGATTCGCGTAACAGCCGGAGGCGAGGAAAGTCGTAAAAGGGGGGCAGAGCTTGGTTAACAAATTTCTCACTTAACAACATAAATTCGGGGGCTCAGTTGTGGCGGTAAGCCGAGGACGACCACACCTAACCAGATTTGTGAAAATAGGAACCCCACCCCCAAAGTCACCATCTGGGGCGTTGGGTGCAGCCCTGGACGCCTCACTGAAATTTCCAACCAAGGTGGGAAAACCGGGCAGGAAAGGGTGTGATGGATTCTGTCCTGTGTGGAAAAGCTACAGCAGCGCCAGACCTGGACAGCACCGCAAGCTTGTACCCACAGCCTCTGTCCCCATTGGTGGACGACATAATCTTCTGGAGGAAGCTGAAGTGGATGTCCCCATCTTCTCCGTCCAAACTAATCTGGACATGAAGCTCAAGAGAAGATCCCAGCCAGGGGGAGGGCACTGGAGAGCTGCCGTGGTGTCAAGGTAATGATTTAACAGCTAATCAGCTGATGTAAGATGTAATGATGGGAATGGCTCAGCAGGGTCTGTGTCTCTTTAAGAGCTTTGTATAAAAGGGATGTGTGCTCTCTCTTCCTGCTGTAACTGCTGTGTGTTGGATTCTGCTGTATTACCACGTGTATGTATGTTGTTCCTGGTGTATGATATTGTAGATAGTGTAAGATAAACCCTCATTTAATATAGACCACTGTTTACTGTGTTTACTCCAATAAGACTGTGCATGCTCTGATACGTGGCATCCACAGTGCTGAGGCCTGGGAAGGCTGTCGGCTCGTCCCCCACTCCCACCCGCAAGGCTACCCAAGACCTACCCGTCCCCTTACCTTACCAAAACCTTACCTTGTAGAGTACTTTCGCCATGAATTGTGGGTAGGGTTGCTGGTTGGATAAAAATTCTCCAATCACTTTATTCATCACGTCTTGCGGGGGGAAAAAGTCATCCAGAAACTGGGGGAGGATCCGAGTGACCACCCGGGCTTCAAAGGGGAAGCCTTTTCTGATCCTGCGGAAAGAGGCCGGCCATCAATCCCCCGGGGCTGGCCAGCGCCTCCCTCCCGTGCAGGGTGAATCCCTTCCAGGCCCCCCCCGCGACGTCAGAACCGCCATTGAACGCTTGAGCTTCGCATTTGCTAGCGCTTTGCCCTTGAGCGGGTGTCTCTGGATGGTACGATGAGTAGTTAGCCTTCCCTCCTCTTGTCACTAACCAGACTAGACATGTCCTGTGGAAGAGACCCTGGGTCCCCCTCCCGGATTAGAAGGCTGGTGACTCGCAAGGTCCTGGAAAGAGACATTCTTGCGATGCCCAAGCGACACCTTTTGTGTTTCTGGATAAGCAACATGGGAATGGGGAGCTCAGGCTCCTCCAGTTTTTTTTTCTAGCTTTGCCCGTTTCAAGGGGGCTGTCAATGCTGCAAATACTGTATATTCTTGCTTTGACAATATGCAGAACTGTCTGGTATTTTTAGAGTTAATGCAGAGCAGAAGAGGGTGGAGGGAAAAGCCCGGGAAAGAGAGAGGAAGGAAACCTTTGACCTTCACACTAATTGGATAAGGTGATATATGACAGCTAATTTAGGGAGGGAACATGCTGATAATTTAATTGCTCAGGAGAAGAGAATTTAGATCTTGGCATACCTTCGTTATGCCTGTGCCGACATTTTGTAACATAAATAAAGACTTTTAGGAAAATCTATGCCTGGAAGTTCTTTGAAGTGTTTCATTAGCCGGAACCATAACATGGGCTGTTTATACTCAAGATCTTCCCTCAGATTTTGGCGTTATCACCGAAACTCAGAGAATCATCTTTGGATACCCACAGTATCGTTTATACCAGAGGTCTTCAACCAACCTTTCCGGCTTGGTGGACTGGTGGGGGGGCGGAGAGGGGATGGTCCTGTGAAGGTAGCGGGGGCGTGCTCTTGCGCAGGCAACTCCATTTACACATGCAGCAGGTGCATGCGCCGCCACTTACATAAATGGAGCTCGTGCGGCCCAGTTTTGAACGGTAGCGGGCCGTAGCCCAGGAGTTGGGGACCCCCTGGTTTAAACAATTTATAAATGGAAAATAACTGGGAAATTGCAATTGTTTCAGGAGGGGACTAATTCTTCCTAGCTGGAGAAGAGGACTTTCTGTTCCTACCGGTCAAAGAGGACAGACACTCGCTCCATCGCCACGATGACTGATTCGCTGTCCGGAGCTGCCGGGTGGTGATCTGCGCTTCGTCCGGGACTGACTTTCTCTTTTCCTAAAGCCGCAATCGGGGTGGGGGGGGGAGGGATAAAAATAAGAATCATAACTATAATCTCATGAGATCAATCAAATTGAAAAGGACGATTCAGGGAATGCAGGCAATTTAGCTACGCCAGGGTTAGGCAACCTTGGCTCTTTTATGACCGGTGGACTTCAACTCCCAGAATTCCTGAGCCAGCATGGCTCAGCTTGAAAACCTCTCCCTTTCCCCTCAGCATGGCCGGCTCAGGAATTCTGGGAGTTGAAGTCCACCAGTCATAAAAGGGCCAAGTTTAAAGACCCCTCACTTAGAGGAACGTATGAAAGCATAATTAATCTTAATTAATGTAGACTTTATTAGTTTAGAGCAGGGGTAGACAACCGTGGCTCTTTTATGACTGGTGGACTTCAACTCCCAGAATTCCTGAGCCAGCATGGCTCAGCTTGGAAACCTCTCCCTTTCCCCTCAGCATGGCTAGCTCAGAAATTCTGGGAGTTGAAGTCCACCAGTCATAAAAGAGCCAAGGTGGCCTACCCCTGGCTACGCTGTACTATCAGTTGTGACATAGGCTCATGACACAAGCATTGTCAGAAGCGCTGCTGAGGGTTTTCTACTTCACAATGTTTAGTTCTTTGTTTTTTATAATATTTTATTAATTTTCCAATTTTACATTTGAATATTTAAAAAGCAACGTGGTAACTGGGTTACAATTGTTCAATAACAAAATCTTAGTGCAAATCTCAGGTAACAAGATCAGATATTTCTTCTCTTTTCCCCTTAACATTCACTGTCTCATATTCAAGTTAATACATTCCTAATTATATCAATAAGAACATCATTATTACATTTATCAATACATTTTTAGCTTATACATATCTTAATTACATTCAATCTTCATAAACAATCCATATCCTGTTATTGATGTTTACTCAATTTTTAATTTATCAATATTCCAATTTAACCTTCGATATTTATAATTTTCAGACTTTGGGTAACCAAAATTTCCTTTCTCTCACTTCATAACAAACTATGATATCCAAAATACACATTTTATCTATTTGACTATAATCTTGTTCTATTTCCTAAGAGTTATCTATTTCCCACCATATTCAATCATCTACTCAATAACACAATATCCTCTTTAATAAATCAAAGCCATTATATATAATGCCTGGGTTAATCAATAAATCAAACATATTCATAATATTTAACTTTCTTTCCCCTTTTAAGTCTAATTTTTAAATTTTTAAACCAGTAAAATCTTTACTTTCAACTGGTTTCCAAATATTGTAAATCTAATAACCGAAATGTTTAGTTCTTTGCTTCAGTAGGAGTCCATGAGGACACACACCAAAGTGTTTCGGTGCCGTCTGAGCTGTGTTGTTTTTTGTGCAGGTGCTTTCGTTACTCGACTAGCGAAACCAAGAGCGCTGAAGATGCTCCAAAGTCAACGGGGGAAGCCAAATTCACAAGAACTGGGTTACCGGTTCTGGACATATAGTAATACTCTAAATGCTGAAGGGAATTTAAAATCTAAACAAGAAATGGAAAATCGGGGTATCAACCTATCACGGTGGGCACATCCACAAATGCAAACTAGATACAATAAAGATGTTAAATTGTATGGATTTTATAAGGAATAAACTGTGTTCTGATAAGACATAGCTAACTTTGGATGAGAAATTAATTAAGAAAGTGTATAATTTTCGGTTAACTTTGAAAACGGAAAGCGAACAAGTTAAAGAAACAATGATAAGATGGGCAAAAAAATTTGGATATAATATAGAACTAGAAAAATGGCAAAATTTATGGGAAAGAAATTATAAACTGACAATGTCAAGAACTGGGTTACTAACTTAATAGATGCAGTGATTGTAAAACGGGACAAAAGTCACCTCACAAATGTTTCACTTTGCAGCAGAAATTTTGGGCTCAACTGTGCCTTAAATCAAGGACTACTACACTTCTCACCATTTTCCTTCTGAATCAGTGGATTGTGGCCTAAACAACGGTCACTGAGGAGGACAAGGAAACAACAAGTTGCTTTACCTGTGTACATGCAGCTCAGCATGAGCCCCAAGGCCGCCATGGCTCTGTGGGGACTGAGGACGTTCACGCGGTCCACACTCAGCTTGACCAGGGCTTCACAGTCCAGCTGAGACAGCTGCTCCGAAAGGAGGAGCCTTTCCAGACCTCTGAGCACACAGTGATAGATCAACGACGGAGTAGATCCCTCATTTTCGGACAGCATCACTCCGCACATCTGGAACAGACTGGATGTCAATGCTGCTAACATCGGATGTTTTTGCTTTGACAACAGTTGGAGACGCAACCCTTTTCCTTCTTATGTTTTACTCTTAGAGTTAGAGCTAGAGTTAGATGATGCCGAGGGGAGGAGTGTGCATGGGAGTTTAGCTAGACATAACAATACTGGACGTAGTGTGGGAACCAAGGTGATTGAAATAAGAGATGATAAGAATTGGCCGGGCTGGAGAACTGGAGGGAAAGCCTGCATTTCAAACTAATTGGAGAATGTGATTTATGACTGTTAATTGGGGGAGAGAATTGTGCTTTGATATTATGTGTGCTCAAGGGAGGGGAACTCAGTTTTTGGCTTCCATTGTGTTAGTGCCGATGCTATGCTACTCAAATAAAGATTCTTTAAGGTAAACAATGCCTCAAAGTTCTTTGAAGAGTTTCATCTGTCGGAACCATGACACTGGAAAGTATCAGATCTGCCATCGCATCGCTTCAGCCCTGCTTCGCTTTGATGGCAGCCTGCCATAAAATGTGGGCAGCGGGGATAGAGGGGCATAGGGAAGGGGGGATGACAGGAACCAGAAGTGCCAATCGGAGTCAACGGTTGAATGTTCCAAGGACACAGGTGTGGGAACAGAAAACAAATGTCCACCCAACTGTGGAAAATTACCAAAACTACTAATTTGAACACAAATAGGTCGACCAGTGGAGCGAGGGGAAAAAATACCAGAGTTATGCGGGAATCCTCAGATCTGGCTTATAAGCACTCAGCTTTAGTAAAAGTATAGGTAGTCCTCGACTTACGACAATTGAGCCCAGCATTTCTATTGTTAAGTGAGACATTTGTTAAGGGAGTTTTGCCCCATTTTACAAGCTTTCCTGCCACAGTTGTTAAATGAGAATCACTGCAGTTGATATGTAGTAACCTGGTTGTTAAGTGAATCTGGCTTCCCCCGTCGACTTTGCTAGTCAGGAGGTCACAAAAGGGGATCACGTGACCTTGGGACACAGCGATGGTCATAAACACGAGCCAGTTCCCAAGCATCCGAATTTTGATCATGTGATCGTGAGGATGTCGCAAAAGGTCGTCACTTTGAAAAAACAGCCCTAAGTCACATTTTTCAGTGCCGCTGTATCTTTGAACGGTCGCTAAACAAACTGTTGTAAGTCAAGGACTACCTGCACACCTTTCACTACAAATGGAGTCGAGGGTCTTTCTTTCCTAAGTTGGGATAGGATGACAGCAAGAAAGAGGGTGGAGCTTCTTTTTACCTCAGCCCAAAGATGCTTTTTCATGAGGCAACTGGACTTTGTTTTTTGTTTGAAGACGTTTCGCTTCTCATCCCAGAAGCTTTTTCAGCTCTGATTGGAGGGTGGAGTATGGAAGGATTTATACTCTTCGTAGACAGCTGGTCATTTGCCTCATTTTAGCAAGTTGTTGAGGCCACTGGACAAACCTCCAAGTGGCCTCAACGACTCTCTGAAAGGAGGCAAATGACCAGCTCTCTGCAAGGAGTATAAATCCTTCCGTTCCCCACCAATTCAGTCAGAACTGAAGAAGTTTCTGGGATGGGAAGCGAAACCTCTTCAAAGAAAAATAAGGAAGTCCAGTTGCCTCCTGAAAAAATATCTTGGGGACAACCCTGACCTGGATAGACTGAGAATCTCCACAGACATTTTCAGCTCCGCCTGTCCCCGAAGGCCAGGTGGGAAACTCTCCGGAGGCCTCAACCCTACCTGAATAATTCCTGAAGAGAATTCGGGCCCGACGTCAGCGGGGTAGTTTTCGATTAAGTAGAAGGCCACGGCGCACATGACCAAGATGTGCTGCTGATTGTGGAGGTTCACACAGCTGTTAAGAGAGACAAGAAAGGGTTCACCATACAACAGAGGTCAGCCTTAAAAACAAGCTCTCTTTTCTTTCACTTTTCTACCGAAGGAATATAAAAAGGAGGACGAAACCCTCCCTCGGCGGTCTTAGAAGGAGCAACGGCAGGAAGTCCTCGAGTCATCACGGTTCGTTTAGTGACCGTTCCAAGTTACGACGGCACTGAAAAATGTGACTTAACGACCCTTTTTCGCAGTTACGACCTCTGTAAGCGTCCCCACGGATCACGTGATCCAAATCCAGCCGGAGAGCAACTGGCTCACACTTATGACCATTGCTGTCCTGTGACCCCCTTTGGTGACCTTTTGACGAGCAAAGTCAATGAGGCAGCCAGACTCACTTAACAACCGTATTACTAGCTTAACAAATGCAAGGATTAATTTAACCACCGTGGCTAGGAAGGTCGTTGAATGGGGCAAAACTCAGCTAAATGTCTCACTTAGCAGCAGAAATCTGGAGCTCCATTGTGGTCGTAAATTGAGGACTAACTTTATAGGTAAACCATACCTAAAGAAGTAAGGAATACTCCAATCAAGGAATTGCCAAACGGTAAACGGCCCAACCAAAGAACCACCAAGATGACTCCCATCAACACTCAGGAAAGACACGAGAGTATATAATTGAGAGCAATCCCCTGTCCCTTCCAGCACTGATGATATTACCTAGTTGGGTCATGAAACGTCTGCAAGAAAACCACCAAGCTCAGAGAGCACCAAAGACGCCACAATCCTTTTCTCCTCTTCCTCCTCCTCCTCCCCTTCTCTCCACAAATCTCATTTCCTTCTAGCACTGATGATGTGACCTAGTTGGGTCATAAAACGTCTGCAAGAAAACCATCAAGCTCAGAAATCACCAAGGACCCCACAGTCCTTTTCTCCTTTTCCTCCTCCTCCTCCTCCTTTCCACAAATCCCATTCTCTTCCAGCACTGATGATGCTCCCTAGCTGGGTCATGAAACATCTGCAAGAAAACCACCAAGCTCAGAGAACCTCACAGTCCTCCTCCTCCTTCCTCTCCATTCTGCAAACCCCACTCCCTTCCAGCACTGATGGTGTTACCTAGTTGGGTCATGAAACGTCTGCAAGAAAACCACCCAGCTCAGAGAGCGCCAAATGTGTCTGTCTGGCTGACAATCTTAACTGGGGCTTATTTTGGGGGTGGGGGTGGGGCTTAATATTACGAGCGTCCTGAAAAACCATGATTAGGGTTTACTTTCCAGTTAGGTCTTATTTTCGGGAAAACACGGTACTAGATGCGTCCGTCTGGCTGACAATCTTAACGGCAGCTTATTTTTGGGGATTGGGCTTATATTACGAGCGGCCTGAAAAAAAAAATCACGCCAGGACTTATTTCTCCGGTTAGGTCTTATTTTCGGGAAAATAACGGGATCGAGACCTACTGGGCAACTCCTCGCAGATTGGACAGCAGGTAGTCGGTGATGACCGGAACGAGTTGCTTCGCCGTGTCGTCCAGGAGGTCGCACTCCAAAATGTAGAGGATGCCGTGCAGGGCTCCAATTCGGCTGGGCATGTGTGCGCTACGGAGCGTGGATTCCAGCAGGCGGCTGACCGGCTCGGCCACAGCTTTATCCTGATGGACACAAAGAAGACATAGGGGGTCAGGGGCAATTGACCAGCTGTGGGGAAAAAAAACTGCCCAGTATAGATTTCTTTGCAGTGCAGACTCTAGTACAGATGTTTACGGAGATTCTCTATCATCCAGATTGTCCCAAAGGTGTTTTTTGTTCAGGAGGCAACTGTGACTTCCTTGTTTTTCCTTTGAAGACATTTCGCTCCTCATCCCAGAAGCTTCTTCGACTCTGACCGGATGGTGGGGAATGGGAAGGGTTTCTGCTCCTGGCAGACAGACTGCCAAAGAAGACAACTTTATCCAAAAAAAAACCCCTTACCATGCCAAGAACGGCAGCTGCTTTACACAGAGCAGGGACCAAGTACTGAAGGAGGATCTCGTCTTCGGACGGGTGGACCTTCCGCAGTTCCGTCAAGGTGGTGTACATCATTTCAAACTGGTTTCTTTCCGTAAATAAGTCAGAGACAGCTAAAAGCTGCGAGGACAAAAGCCAGAAAACGTATTAAAACAAGCAGACCGTTAACGTCGTAGATTTTAATATATATTTGCACACAGGTTTTGGCAGAAAAGGAAGACTGCAAACTGAAATATTTAAACATCTCAGGGCGTTGCTGTCTATGGAGCTTCTCCGCCAATCCAGTTCGTGGTGTCCCAAAAGGCGTTTGTCCTAAAAGGCCAGCAAAAGTCCAGGTGCTTTTTGGAACTTCATTTCATTTTTTTTTAAAAAGCTAAGTTTGTGCAAAGGTACCATTACTATAGAAAAAGAAAGGAAGGAAGAGGGAGGGAGGGAAGGAAGGAAGGATGGAATGAAGGAAGGAAGCAGGAAGGATGGAAGGGGGAAGGAAGGAAGGAAGGAAGGAAGGAAGGGGGAAGGAAGGAAGGAAGGGGGAAGGATGGAGGGAGGGAAGGATGGATGGATGGAAGGGGGGAAGGAAGGATGGAATGAAGGAAGCAGGAAGGATGGAAGGAAGCAGGAAGAATGGAAGGGGGAAGGAAGGAAGTGGGAAGGAAGAAAGGAAGGAAGGAAGCAGGAAGGATGGAAGGGGGAAGGAAGGAAGCAGGAAGGAAGGAAGGGGGAAGGAAGGATGGAGGGAGGGAAGGGGGAAGGAAGGATGGAGAGAGGGAAGGATGGATGGATGGAAGGAAGGAAGAAGGAAGGAAAGAAGGATGGAAGGAAGGAAGAGGGAAGGAAGGTACGAAGGAAGGAAGGGAGAGGAGCAGAGCAGAAGAATTGAAGAATTTTGGGGATGGCAGGGGGCCTCCTGGGACCTCTGATTTGGCCCAGTGTTAGTTAATATCTGGACTTTTCCCGCCTGGATTGGATAAGAAACACATCTCGCAATTCTTTACAAAGCATCTTGATTATTTACATGTACAGATAGACCTCAACTTACAACCACAATGGAGCCCAAAATTTCTGTGGCTACGCGAGACAGCCGTTAAGTGAATTCTGCCCCATTGTACGACCTTGCTTGCCACAGATGTTAACTAAGTCACTGAAGTTGTTAAGTTAGTAACGTGGTTTGATAAATGCATCTGGATTCCCCCTCGACTTTGCTCGTCCGACGGACGCAAAAGGGGATCACGTGACCCTCCCCAGGATACTGAAAACCGTCTTAAAAATGAACCAGTTGCCAAGTGGCTGAATTTTACGAGGGCTACAACGGTCAGTAAGCGGGAAAAACAGTCCCAAGTCACTTTTCTCAGTGCTGCCGTAACTCTGAACGGTCACTAAGTGAACTGTCGTTAAGTCGAGGACTACCTGCAGCAAGGCACTAAGACATGAGATGCTCAGATTTGGAGAGATTTACAAACCTCGTAGGTAAAGAAAAAAAAAAAAGCCTGAAATATGCATAAATGTGGCTATCCTTAATTGTATCCGCGAAAGGATTTACTTGCTGCGGGACTCATTTGTACTTTCGACAGTTCCGAGGCGCGATTTACGGGAATGGAGAGGAGGACGCTTACGGATCGGACCACTTCGCTGATCAGGGTGACCGGCGTCCTCTTGCTCTCGCTGGATGGGAGAATCCACTGACTGTACAATTCCAGCAGGAACTGAGAACACGAATGGATGTCCACCCCGGCGCGGTGCTTCCTACAAGCCAAGAGAAGTTAATTAGACCCCAGAAACCCACCCTAAATATTAGATTTGCGGCAGCGGAGAATTATCTGTAGCTCGGGCGGAGGAGGAGGGTGAAGGTCCGTTCTCCGAGCTTCTGGGCTGGTTTCCGAACGTCTCGTTACCAGGCTGGGTAACGTCTTCAGCGGAGTTGAGGAGACGTCGGTGTCCTCCTGCTCGTAGGGGCTTCCTCTGGTCAGTACGTCTGGCGATGGGTCAGGTGTGCGTGGGTCAAGTGAGGGACTTGTGATGGGTCAGGTGTGGGTCGCGTCAGATCAGGGTCCTGGGGAGGTCTCGTCTGGTGAGGGTCTTGGGATGGGTCAAGAGAGGGTCACATCAGGGTTGTGATGAGTCAGGTGTGGGTTACGTCAGGTGAGGGTCTTGTGATGGGTCTTGTGATGGGTCAGGTGTGGGTCATGCGAGGTGAGGGTCTTGTGATGGGTCATGTCAGGTGAGTCTTGTGATGGGTCAGGTGTACGACATGTCAGGTGAAGGTCTTGTGATGGGTCTTGAGATGGGTCAGGTGAGGGTCACATCAGGTGACAGTCTTGTGATGGGTCAGGTCAGGTGAGGGTCTTGTGATGGGTCAGGTGTGGGTCATGCGAGGTGAGGGTCTTGTGATGGGTCTTGTGATGGGTCAGGTGTGGGTCACATCAGGTGAGGGTCTTGTGTTGGGTCAGGTGTGGGTCATGCCAGATGAGGATCTTCTGACAGGTCTTGTGATGGGGAGGTCACGTCAGGTGAGGGTCATTGGGAGAAGTGCTGTTGTGGGGGATTGCGCGGGATGGTTGAGGGTTGGTGCTGTTGCTGGTTGGCTGTGTGGTTGATTAAAATTCTGAGGGGTTCGTCGGCTGGTGGTAGGTTGATGTATCTGAGGCAGTCCTCGACCTACGACCACAACTGAGCCCCAAATTTCTGTTGCTAAGTCAGACAGTTGTTAAGTGAATTTTGCCCCATTTTACAACTTTTCTTGCCGCAGTCGTTAAGGGCCTCACAAATTAAAAACAGTTATTAGGTGAAACTGGCTTCCCCGTTGACTTCCCCGTCGCAAAAGGGGATCCTGTGACCCCCCCCCCCCGGGACACTGCAACCGTCATATGAGGCAGTTGCTAATTTTGATCACGTGACCATGGGGATGCTGCAATGGCCGTTTAAGTGTGAAAAACGGTCATAAGTCACTTGTTTCAGTGGGGCTGTAACTTTGAACGTTCACTAAAGCAACTGTCGTAAATCGAGGACTCCCTGTGTGGACTAATTAAGATACAGAAATTTCATCTCAGATCAGAAAGCGTCAGGGTTACTCTGAACGGGAACTCCTGAGCGGGTGCCTGCCGAGACAAAAATAAATAAAAGGGAAATACCTGGAATTCATTGGGGAGGATGGGGGCGAAGAAAGGACAGGCATGTCGCTCTCGTCATCTTCATCGTCACCCCACTCTTCCTCCCGCAACGGCGTGATGCTATTTCCCAGCCACACAGAATGGATGGAGACCTTAGAGCAAAAAAATAAATCAAGTAAAAATAAAAATGTCATGGTTCCGACAGCTGAAACTCTTCAAAAGAACTTCGAGGCATTGTTTACCTTAAAGAATCTTTACTTGAGAAGCATGGCGTCAGCACTCACACAGTCGAAGCCAAAAACTGGATTCCCCTCCCCTGAGCACATAGTATCAAAGCACAATTCCCTCCCCCAATTAACAGTCATAAATCACATTCTCCAATTAGTTTGAAATGCAGGCTTCCCCTCCAGTTCTCTAGCCGGCCAATTCTTATCATCTCTTATTTCAATAACCTTGGTTCTCACACTAGGTCCAGTATTGTTATGTCTAGCTAAACTCATATGCAGATTCCTCTCCCCAGCTTCATCTAACTCTAACTCTAAGAGTAAAACATAAGAAGAAAATGGTTGCATCTCCAACTGTTGTCAAAGCAAAAACATCCGATGTTAGCAGCGTTGACAAAAGATCGGTAACAATTCTTAAGCTCCTTAAAAGCGCACCTCAATATAATAAAGCAGTGGTGGTGAACCTATGGCACGCGTGCCAGAGGCGGCACTCAGAGCCCTCTCTGTGGGCACACATGCCATCCCCCCAGTCCTAGGCCTTCAGCTGGGTTTTATAAAACCTTTTTGCTTTAGGCCTCCGCCGCCGTGTGAAAAAAAAGGTTCAATCAATTTCACCTTCTCGCGGGAAAAAAAAATCTTGCAAAGTTGGAATTGATTGAACTTTTTAGTCCCACCCAGTCTGCTGTTACCACCGCAGCCACGCCCACCCAATGGGCCACATCCACCCAATGGGCCATGCCCACCCGGCACCCGATGATACATAAGTTGGTTTTGGGTTACAGTTTGGGCACTCAGTCTCTAAAAGGTTCGCCATCACTGTAATAAAACATCAAACACGAATTAATGCACAGAAAAGGAATTCATACATCCAAAGCGTCATTGGCAGTCCTTGACTTACGACCGCAGTTGAGCCCGAAATATATGTTGCTAAGAGAGAGACATTTGTTCAGTGAGTTTTGCCCAGTTTTACGACCTTTCTCGCCACAGTTGTTAAGTGAATCAGTTGCTAAGCATCTGAATTTTGATCGCCTGACCACAGAGATGCTGCCACAGTGTGGAAAAATGGTCACTAAACGAACTGTTGCTAAGTTGAGGGCTACCTGTATTTTAGGGAATACTAAAAAATTACTCCATTTTCTTTTCGGTTGAACAGGCGTGGCGCATTTGAACATACCTGTCCAAGTTTGTACCCCATGTTCCCCATTTCACGTTCCGTATTGATTTGCAGCAGCAGTTTTTCGTGGCTAATGAGGGCGCCTGAAATAAAAAAAAAGAAACAATCATTATGATCGCCAGAGCTTCAATTATTTCTCTGTTAAGACTGATACCTGCCCCCTCCAGGAGCCGAAGAGTAAAACCCCACAGATCTCAAAGTCTCTGATCTGAGGACGTGGATCCACTTCCCAAATGCAAACACAACTGGCCTCGTGGCACCTCTCTGTGCATGTAGCGCATTGATAGTCAAGATACTACATCACCGCTTACCTGTAGTAGAGGGGGCCAGGGATGGAACGGGGTCCCACACCTGGTACAAATGGTGGCAAGCAACGTTGTCTCTCTTAGATGCCAGCTCTTGAATCTCTTGCTCGATGGTTCCTCGGATGATGTTCAGTTTTCTCCCAAACCTGATATTCAGCAGAAAGAAGGCATTCTTGAAAAATCATCTGATATCGTCAAATCGGCGACGTATTTTAAAACAAGCATTCCTCCCCCCCCTTCAAAGCATGTGAAATAGACATTTAAAACTGAAATGGGCTACTTAGGATTAGCCTTGTTGGCTTAGAGTTGTGGGTCGTCCGCGACTTGCAATGTTTTGTTTAGTGACTGTTCGAAGTTACAACAGACGGCACTGAAAAAAGGGACTTATGACTTGTTTTGAGAGAGAGGGAGAGAGAGAGAGAGAGAGAGAGAGAGGAAGGAGAGAGGGACAGGGAGAGAAAGAGAGAAGGAGAGAGAAAGAGAAAGAGGGAGAGAAAGACAGAAAGACAGAGAGAGAGAAAGAGAGAGACAAAGAGAGAGAGAGATAAGGAAAGAGATTAAGACACACACAGAGAAAGACAGAGAGAGACGGAAAGAGAAAGAAAAAGAGAGAAAAGGAAAGAGAGAGAAGGAAAGAGAAAGGGAGAGAGAAAGAAAGAGAGACGGAGAGAGGAGAAAGAGAGTGTGTGAGTGTGAGAGAGAGAAGACAAAGGAAGAAAACTACTTTTAATCCTTCTCAATCTCTTGCTGGGACCACCAGGGTGTGTCAACGGTTGAGGTCCCTCCGCCTAGATCAGATGCCCCTGGGAACTCGGCGGCTTCTCTGGGATGTTTCTCTCATCTCTTGTTTTTGACACTTCCGTGAACGCACCAGGCGGCTTGCAAAGGACACTTCCACCACGGACCCAAGGCGGTTACAGGTGGCCTTCCCCTAATCGAGTCACAGTTGGGGATAAAGCAGTGGTTCTCAACCTGTGGGTCGGGACCCCATTTGGGGTCGAACGACCATTTCACGGGGGTCGCCAAGCAACGCAGTCCGCCATTTTTTCCCCCTTTTCCTTAGCTGTGCTACTCCCTTTTATTCTATTGGCTTTTGAAAGCCAATAGAATAGACTCTCTTGAATAGAGTCTAATTCTATTGGCTTTCAAAAGCCAATAGGAATTGTCCAGGCTGTCTCTGCCCTGCTGAGCCCGCCAAAAGTCCCATTCTGCAAACGGTGCTGTACCGGTTGAGTAGTCCTCGACTTATGACCGGTTGAGTAGTCCTCGACTTACGACCGGTTGGGGGTCGTGGCATTAAAAAGGTTGAGAACCACTGGGATAAAGGAAAGAGAAAGCTGCCTCTTCAGACATACCTGGTGTCCAGAGCTTTCAAGGTTTTGTTTCGAGGCTGCTGCTCCAAACAGCTGACGGCCGGATTGCCGGCCAGCGGGATGGTCATTGCGCTCAGCACTAAGGAAGTGATCGCCTGAACAGCCAGGACGTTTATCTGGGTCCTTTCCATGTCTTCCTGGGGGGGGGGGAGAAAGGGCACAGTGTTAATCTGGGTGGATGACATGACAGCAGCGTTTCAATATCTCAGGGGCTGCCCACAAAGAAGAGGGAGTCAAGCTATTTCCCAAAATGCCTGAAGGCAGGACAAGAAGCAACGGATGGAAACTAACCAAGGAGAGAATCAACCTGGAACTAAGGAGAAACTTTCTGACAGTGAGACCTCAGTTTTAGAGACCTCGGTTTTTAGAAGCCTCAGTTAAGAAAATAAGATAAGGTAAGATAACCTTTATTGTGATTTATTACTATGAGGACCCTGGCCCACATTAAAAATGAAATTCTGTTGCCTGCTCTCAAAAGAAAATGTGTATCTAGTCATACACATACATAACACATACACATGTTATGTCTGTCTATCTGTCTGTCTGTCTATCTATCTATCTATCTATCTATCTATCTATCTCTATCATCTAATCTATCATCTATCTATCTATCTATATCTATCTATCATCTATCTATCTGTCTCTATCTATCTGTCTCTATCATCTAATCTATCATCTATCTATCTATCTATCTATCTATCTATCTATCTATCTATCTATCTCTATCTATTTATCTATCTATCTATCATCTAATCTATCATCTATCTATCATCTAATCTATCTATCATCTGTCTGTCTATCATCTAATCTATCATCTCTCTCTCTCTCTCTCTCTCTCTCATCTAATCTGTCTGTCTGTCTGTCTCTGTCTGAGCTTATTGTATATAAAGAGAGAGCAAACAACCCCCCTCGCATCACTGATCATGGTACCTAGCTGGGTAATGAAGCGTCTGCAAGAAAGCCACCAAGGACCCCTGATCGTGTTACCTCTTGCTGGTTGTCCTCCGGGTCCATTGTGATCGGCTGGGTCACAAGGACACCCAGGAGGGTGGCCCAGGTTTCCTCAAACTGCATGCGGTTTGTCCACCCTAAGGGCAAAAACCACACAGGCTTGCGTAAGATGGGCAGCTTGATCAATATGACAGATAAATAAATATTTAGTCTTCCAGAATCCAGAGCCTCTGACGCTTCTTCATTTAAAACCGGAGGGACCGCAAAATAATGAGAAACCAATGTCACAAGGGTCTTGACAGTTGACCTGTGGGCCCACAACCGACTCGTTTCTTCCGGCAGTAAAACTCTGAACCCAGAGATGTAAACTGCTCCCCTGGACCGGACAGAGCAGGGTTGTGGTGGCCCAGTGGTTAGAGTGCAGTATTGCAGGCTAATTCTGCCTACAGCCTGCAGTTCGATCCTGACCGGCTCAAGGCTGACTCAGCCTTCCACCCTTCCAAGATGGGTAAAATGAGTCTGCTATTGCCCTTCCTTCCTTCCTTCCTTCCTTCCTTCCTTCCTTCCTTCCTTCCTTCCTTCCTTCCTTCCTTCCTTCCTTCCTTCCTTCCCTCCCTCCCTCCCTCCCTCCCTCCCTCCCTCCCTCCCCTTCACAGTGGTTAAAATGCAGTATTGCAGGCTAACTCTGCCCACTGTGAGGAGTTCAATCCCGACCGGTCCAGCCTTCTATCCTTCCCAGGTCAGTAAAATGAGGACCCAGATTGTTGGGGGGGCAATAGGCTGACTTTGTAAACTGCTTAGAGAGAGAGAGGGCTGTCAATCACTGTGAAGTGGTATATAAGTCTAAGTGCTGTTGCTTTTTTTTGTTATGATTTTTATTAGTTTTTTACACAAACATAAGTCATTCAATAGTTGGTAAACAGTGTGATGTCTGGGTTACATTTGTAAAAAGAGTCCTTAACAATTAATTTCTATAGTCTGCATTTCATATATTAATTTTGTTTACTTTCCTCTTTCCTTAAAAAACATCCTTTTTTGCAAACCTTGCCTTAATACAAATCTTATTATTTTAATAACTGACAATTTAATATATATTTTTTCCAATATTCCTAAAAAATAATCATCATATTAATACATTTCTTTTCTTTCCATTCATTTGGATTGCCTTACCATCAATCCTGTTACAGTCCTTATTTTAGTTTATTTCTCCCACCAAATTCTGAATATTTTTACTGGTAGCAATTAGTTACATTTACGTTGACAGACTTGATTCTATTTTTTTTTTCCATATAAGCCATCTCACATTTTTATGTTTCTTAAGTATTAAATATAAAAGTAAAAAGAGAGAGGAAAAGAAAAAGAATGAGAGAGAGAAAAAAATAAAAATAGAAAAAAAAAATAAAAATAGAAAAAAAATACAAAAGAATAAAAGAAAGCAGTTGTAATAGAACAGAGAGAATAACATAGTACAGTGGTTCTCAACCTGTGGGTCGGGACCCCATTTGGGGTTGAACAACCATTTCATGGGGGTCGCCAAACAACGCAGTCTGCCATTTTTTCCCCCTTTTTCCTTAGCTGTGCTACTCCCTTTTATTCTATTGGCTTTTGAAAGCCAATAGAATAGACTCTCTTGAATAGAGTCTAATTCTATTGGCTTTCAAAAGCCAATAGGAATTGTCCAGGCTGTCTCTGCCCTGCTGAGCCCGCCAAAAGTCCCATTCTGCAAACGGTGCTGCACCAGTTGAGTAGTCCTTGACTTACGACCGGTTGGGGGTCGTGGCATTAAAAAGGTTGAGAACCACTGACATAGTACTAAGTGCTGTTGCTATTGCCTTTCTTTCCTTCCTTCCTTCCTTCCTTCCTTCCCTTCCCTCCCCTCCCCTCCCCTCCCCTCCCTTGCTAATTCTCCCCACTGCCAGGAGTTCAATCCTGACTCAGCCTTCCCTCCTTCCCAGGTCAGTAAAATGAGGACCCAGATTCTTGGGAGTCATAGGCTGATTCTGTAAACCGCTTAGAGAGGTCTGTAAAACACCGTGAAGCAATATCTAAGTCTAAGTACTACTGCTATTGCTGCCTCAATATTCCTGTTCTCAGTATCTCTTCAGACCTGCAACGGCTGTTCAGGATGGTGGTGGAGAGCTACAGGCAATTCCCCCAGAGTTACAAGCTTTTTTTTGAACAGGGATTTCAAAATGTCAACCTACCACCCAAAGTCTTCAGCTTTCATGGCTGGAACGCCTTCCCAATCTTGGTACTTACCCAGGGTGTTAATGCGATAGATGAATTCTTTGAAGATTTCTCTCTCTTGAAAAAATTCTACCGGGATTTCGGGAAACGTCGTGCTGAATTCTCCCGTTGGCTTTGGGGACCAGCCCAACTTCCAGACCTATCACGACATAGAAAGGTGGGAAAAAATACAGGCGGTCCTCAACTTAAAACAGTCCGTTTAGCGACCGTTCAGAGTTACAATGGCACTGAAAGCAGTGACGTACGACCGTTTTTCACAGCGAAGACCTTTGCGGCCTCCCCCATGATCAGGTGATCAACATTCGGACGCTGGGCACCCGATTCACAGTTATGACGGCTGCCGTGTCCCGGGATCGCGTGATCCCCTTTTTCTGACCTTCTGACAAGCAAAGCCAATGGGGGAAGCCGGATTCACTTAACAACCGTCTTATCAACTTAACCACTGCGGTGATTCACTTAACAACGGTGGTAAAGGAAGGTGTAAAACGGAGGCAAAACTCGCTTAACAAGTGTTCTCGCTTAGCAACATAAATTTCGGGACCAACCGTGGCCGTTAAGCCGAGGACGACCTGCATATTAATACTCGCCATTTGGAAGCGGTGCTTTTTTTCGCAATGCATTCCTGAATAAAGACCGATATTAAAAAAAAAAAAAAAGACGCACGCGCTTGCAATAATAAATGTAGCTGTCTCAAAATACAAAAGTTGGGTCTTCGCTCCTTTGAAAAGAAGAGCGGACCAAGCAGGAAATCTTCAGCTTCCCCGTTCGATACGTACCAGGAAGGGAACCCGCGCGTAGCTGTTGACTAAGGGTAACCGAGAGAGGCTGATGATGATGTTCTTCAGAACGGGGGTCAGGAATGCAGGGATGGGGCGGTTCTCCTTGTGCCCCAGAGCCAGGACAGACTGCAGGCATTCCACCAACTCTGCCACCACTTCACAAGTGGCTGTAATATACTCGGAATCTGAAGTGGAGAAGAAAGCAAATATTTATTATAATAAATAAAATAGAAGTTAAGAACTGGGAGTATCTATCTATCTATCTATCTATCATCTAATCTATCTGTCTATCTGTCTATCTATCTATCATCTAATCTATCTGTCTGTGTCTGTCTATCTATCTATCATCTAATCTATCTATCTGTCTGTTTATCTATCTCTATCTATCTATCATCTGTCTATCATCTATCTAATCTATCATCTAATCTAATCTATCTATCTATCTATCTATATCTATCATCTAATTTATCATCTATCTATCTAATCTATCTATCTAATCTGTCTGTCTGTCTATCATCTATCATCTAATCTATTTATCTATCTATCATCTAATCTATCATCTATCTCTCTATCTAATCTATCATCTATCTAATCTATCATCTATCTAATCTATCATCTATCTATCATCTAATCTATCTATCTATCTATCTATCTATCTATCTATCTATCTATCTATCTATCTATCTATCTGTCTATCTCTATCATGTATCCTATCCTATCCTTCTGTCTGTCAGTCTATGTCTACCATATCACGTATCCTACCTTATTCTTCTATCTATGTCTACCATATATCCTATCCTACCCTACCCTATCCTTCTGTCCGTCCATGCATCCATGCACCCATCCATGCATCCATCCAATTTGGTATTAAATGTATTACTATATCTTTGATGTGTGTATGTTTTCCAACTTCCCAAGGCTAGCCAACAAAGGGAAACGGAGTCTGGAGAAGACATGATAGGGAAAAATCATTTCTCAACCTTTCTCTTACAGATTCAACTCCAGCTACCATCTGCCTTAAGGCCACACCTTCCTGCTAAGTCTTACTCTGAAGTCTTCAGAGAAATTTCCTGTACGTAATCCCAACGTGAAATTCACATCTAATTCTTTAGTTGCGATGTATTTGCAGCCACCATCAGTCCAGTATAACTCTAAGCTTAGCTATCCTGTATGTTCACCTATGACTTTTATCAAATCCCCAACCCCTTCATGCGTACGTAGAGTCAGTTTTATCCTTACTTGGTGTCTCTGAACTCCTTCCATCATTCTCGCTGGTGGCCTTCTGGATCGTCTTCCCTTTATCTGGACTCAGGAGGCGATTTCCCGGCTCAATTGCCACTAAATCAGATGGAGGCAACAAATATTTTCCAAAACTGATCCTTCAAAGATTGTACAGATTGTACAACTTCAGCAAACGTGAAGATATTTCAGAATACAACTCCTAAAGTTTTTTTTGCCTCTTGAGTGGAGTTTTATTCCCCTAGGATTAGGTCACCATGAACTCGCAGAGCAAAATGAACATCGCCAACAAATTCGGAGCGCTTGGGTATGGTTAGGAGGGCACTGACTTTTCTAGGCTGCCCTATCTATGTTTCCTGGTAAAATACATGGGAAAATCCCATTGGAGGAAAATTCCACTTAGGGTTAGGTCACCATGAACTCATACAGCAAAATGGACACCGCCAACAAACTCGGAGTGCTTGGGTATGGTTAGGAGGGCACTGACTTTTCTAGGCTGCCTTATCTATGTTTCCTGGTAAAATACATGGGAAAATCCCATTGGAGGAAAATTCCACTTAGGGTTAGGTCACCATGAACTCAGAGAGCAAAATGGACATTGCCAACAAACCGGAGTGCTTGGGTATGGTTAGGAGGCACTGACTTTTCTAGGCTGCCCTATTTATGTTTCCTGGTAAAATACATGGGAAAATCCCATTGGAGGAAAATTCCACTTAGGGTTAGGGTTAGGTCCCATGAACTCGTAGAGCAAAATGGACATCGCCAACAAATTCGGAGTGCTTGGGTATGGTTAGGAGGGCACTGACTTTTCTAGGCTGCCCTATCTATGTTTCCTGGTAAAATACATGGGAAAATCCCATTGGAGGAAAATTCCACTTAGGATTAGGGTTAGGTCACCATGAACTCATAGAGCAAAATGGATATCGCCAACAAATTCCAGCGCTTGGGTATGGTTAGGAGGGCACTGACTTTTCTAGGCTGCCCTATTTATGTTTCCTGGTAAAATACATGGGAAAATCCCATAGGAGGAAAATTCCACTTAGGGTTAGGGTTAGGTCACCATGAACTCGTAGAGCAAAATGGACATCGCCAACAAACTGGGAATGCTTGGGTATGGTTAGGAGGGCACTGACTTTTCTAGGCTGCCCTATCTATCTTTCCTGGTAAAATACATGGGAAAATCCCATTGGAGGAAAATTCCACTTAACTTCCCTCACTCCACTTGCATTCATTTAGTTTGACAGAGAGAGCAGTCTGGTGTAGTGGTTAAAGGCACCGGACTGTTAGACCTGCTCTCTAGGCACAAAAGCAGCTGGTGAATTTGGGAATTTACAGGAACTTGCCTGGCTGGTTCACCTGGAATTGAGACCGACTTGAAGGCATTAGAGAAAATAAAATAAATAACACCTGGCAGTAGTCTCTCATTCTCAGCTGCCGACGGTGGTGAAATGAAAGAAAACACTTCGGAATTCAGACAAACAAGGGGAATTGATTTACTGGATGCAACTGACCAGAAGTGGAAACTTATAAAAAGTACTAAGGAAAATCTTATGGAAGGGGATCCTCACCTGCTTCCAGGATGAATCGGGTGCAATGGATTAGCGAGCAGGAATGGCTGGTGTACTCTGTTGTTGCCCAGAGATTCCACAGCTCAGTCTGTTGCAATGCCAGGCAACAGCACTCCAGCACTGCCTGGAGATCAATACTTAGGGGAACCTGCTTGCATATTAAGTGCCAAGACAGCATCTGTTAGGACAAAAAGAAATTGACAAAATAACAGAGTTGGAAGGGATATTGGAGGTCATCTAGTCTAACCCCCCTACTCAGACAGGAAACCCTATACCATTTGAGACAAATGGCTGTCCAGTCTCTTCTTAGAAACTTCCAGTGTTGGAGCATTCACCGCTTCTGGAGGCAGGTTGTTCCACTGGTTAATTGTTCTGACTGTCAGGAAGTTTCTCCTTAGTTCTAGGTTGCTTCTCTCCTTGGTTAGTTTCCATCCGTTGCTTCTTGTCCTGCCTTCAGATGCTTTGGAGAATAGCTTGACTCCCTCTTCTTTGGGGCAGCCCCTGAGATACTGGAAGGCTGCTATCATGTCCCCCCCTCGTCCTTCTCTTCATTGAACTAGACATTCCCAATTCCAGCAGCCTTTCCTTATATGTTTTAGCCTCCAGTCCCCTCATCATCTTTGTTGCTCTTCTCTGCACTTTGTTACCAGAGTCTCAACATCTTGTTCATATTGTGGTGACCAAAACAGGATGCAATATTCCAAGTGTGCTCTTACCAAAGCACCAATTAATTGTTATTGTTGTTGTTATTGTTATTATTATTTATTTATTTTAAATTGATTTAAATAATTTAAAGGCACCAACACCAGGAAAAGCTTTAAGGGGCTGATGTTTCCAACAAGCTTTGTAATTTCAAATTATATAATTGTATAAACTGTTTTTAAAAAAAAAAAAAAAAACTAGCTTGAGTTGCTTGCAATTAGGTGCCTTATAAATCAAATAAACCATTGGCAGCTACACTCAGGGAGTTGAGCAGGAGTTGGCAATTGCAGTCAGCTCTTCTTGATTTCTTCTCCTCTCTTCATTTGTTCTGCCCATTCCCAGAATTTGAAATTCATCCGTTAAAATTATGCATAATTTAGCAGTTAGTGCTAGAAGCATCACCTCTTCACCTGACTTGTTCCATGAATTATGATATAGTTTTGAGACTGTTTATATTTGGCCATTCTGTTAATTCAAACCTGTGAATTTGCAACTTCTGAAATTTAATTAGAGAGATGTGAAAATAGGTTATGACAGGCAGAATTCACACTCAGAACCCAGTAACAAGTCAGGGCTAGACCTTCTCGTCTAGAATAAAACTATCCCTTCCTTTATGGGAGGTTATCCAGAAGTACAAAAAAGCCAAAAACACAGAAATCGTGAGAAGTCCAACTCAATCCAGCATTTCAAATTATTTCCCAGATAACAACCATCCACAGCAGAATTGCAGCACAAAAATAACCGGTAAGACCGCAAGATTCTCTTACGATTGTTCATTTTTTTAGAAGGCAGCACCATAAAATTATCTCACGTATTTCCCCCCCCCCCCCGATATCCTGATAGCCTTACCTCTAGCAGCATTACCACAAACTTCACAATGTCACTTTCCTTCTCGCGGGGAATGCGAAGAGACGCTGGCAGTTTGGAAAGCAACACCAGATACTGACTTAAAGCTTGGGCTAGAACCATTGTGAACTGAAAAATTTCTGGGTCTCCTATAGGGAAAAAAAAACACACCGTCATGATACAATTCACACTGCGATTTGATCTCCTCTTTCAAATAGGATAGAATAGAATAACAAGAGTTGGAAGGGACCCTGGAGGTCATCTAGTCCAACCCCCTACTCAGGAAGGAAACCCTAGACTATTTCAGACAAGTGGCTGTCCAGTCTCTTCTTAAAAACTTCCAGTGTTGGAGCATTCACAACTTCTGGAGGCAGGTTGTTCCATTGGTTAATTGTTCTCACTGTCAGGAAGTTTCTCCTTAGTTCCAGGTTGCTTCTCTCCTTGATGAGTTTCCATCCTTTGCTTCTTGTCCTGCCTTCAGGTGCTTTGGAAAAGATCTTGACTCCCTCTTCTTTGGGGCAGCCCCTGAGATACTGGAACATTGCTATCCTGTCACCCCTGGTCCTTCTCTTCATTAAACTGGACATGCCCAATTCCAGCAACTTTTCCTTGTATGTTTTAGCCTCCAGTCCCCTGATCATCTTTGTTACTCTTTTTTTTAAATAATTTTTTATTTTTCCAAACTCTCCCCCAGACATATACTGTAATATTTATCAGATGTTAACATACATTCTTTTTATATTCATATATAAGATACTTTTAATAAAATGAAATAAATACATACACATGACTTTTGGTGTTGCTCTCCCATTTCCCCTTTCACCGTATCCACACTCCTTCTCTACCTTCTTTCTCCCTTTCTTCTCTTCCCTACTTCCCTCTTCTTCCTCTCCTCTTCTCTGTCCACCACTCTCCTCCCCTTTCTCCTCTTCTGCTCCAACCTTCCTACTTCCTTCTCCCCTCCTTTACTCTTTTCTCTCTCCTCTCCTTTCTTCCCTCTCATCCCTCTTCGGATACAATTCAGGGGTAATGTCCGTTTGTTGCTCTTCTCTGCAACCTGGAACTAAGGAGAAACTTCCTGACAGTTAGAACAATTAACCAGTGGAACAACCTGCCTCCAGAAGCGGTGAATGCTCCAACAGTGGAAGTTTGTAAAAAGAAACTGGTCAGGCATTTGTCTGAAAGGGTATATAACAGTGGTTCTCAAACTGTGGGTCGGGACCCCATTTGGGGTTGAACGACCATTTCACGGGGGTCGCCAAACAACGCAGTCCGCCATTTTCTTTTCCCCTTTTCCTTAGCTGTGCTCCTCCCTTTTATTCTATTGGCTTTTGAAAGCCAATAGAAGAGACTCTCTTGAATAGAGCCTAATTCTATTGGCTTTCAAAAGCCGATAGGAATGGTCCAGGCTGTCTCTGCCCTGCTGAGCCCGGCAAAAGTCCCATTTTGCAAACAGTGCTGCACCAGTTGAGTAGTCCTCGACTTACGACCGGTTGGGGGTCGCGGCATTAAAAAGGTTGAGAACCACTGGTATATCGAGTTTCCTGCCTGAGTAGACGGCCTCCAAGGTCCCTTCCAACTTTATTACCGTTACTGTTATGAATGGGGAGGTCTTGCGGGATGGATGCACTGCCCGTGCCTGCCGGACTGCCGGTGCCAAAGAGAATGTGCCAAGAAAAGCCAGCCCCATCCTTTGTCCCGTCTCACCGTAAATATTGCCGAGTTTGTTCCAGTACGGGGACGATCCCATCGGCCGCATCGGCTGGAAGACCTGGTGGTTGGCGGGCAGCTTGCGCACCACCTCCGTCACCTGGTGCAGCGTGACCAGGCGGGCGGCTTCGAAATGGCCCCTCATCCCTCGGGAGAGTTCTTGCCCAGCCAGGCTCAAACACGGGGCCAGCAGGCCGATGTTGAAATCCTGGGAAAGAAGCAGGAAAGCAGGAAGCCGTTTTTGGATATTTCTGACAGAGCGACGGAATTGAAAAGAGTCATCGTGTCCGGCCCGGCCTTTTACACCCCGGCAGGTAAAATGCGGCTAGCTGGGAGGATATCGTTAATATTTTAAAAAGATACGGACGTGTGTGGAAAAACTTAACTGAATGAAGGGCGTATAAATTTAAATTAAAGTAGGAAAATTACATAGAAGATCCAATGAAAGGAAAACCTGTCACATTAACAAGTTTCTTAGCTCGTCCAGGGAGGCTGAGTGCATCCAAGGAGATGGTTAACATTTCACCCTGCGGGAAGACTGTGAAGCCATATATGAGCCGAGGTGGCGCAGCAGTTAGGGTGCAGTACTGCAGGCCACTTTAGCTGACTGTGTTCAGCAGGTCAGCGGTTCAAATCTCACCGGCTCAAGATTGACTCAGCCTTCCATCCTTCCAGGGGAGGTAAAATGAGGACCCAGATTGTTGGGGGCAATGTAAATATATATATACACATTGCTTACTGGTGTACACCGCTTAGAGAGTGCTCGCACTTAAAGCGGTATATAAGTCTCATAAATAAATAAATATAGAAGTGTACCGTATATGCCGGCGTACAAGGCGTATAAGATGACCCCCGTCTTTGTCGCTGAGCTGCATTCCTAGAACATCGTCTTATACGCCGGAAACTACCAGTATTTCCAGCGTATAAGACAATTCGGCGTATAAGACGACCCCCGTCTTTGGCGCCGATTTTAGCGCTCGCGGAAGTCGCCTTATACGCCAGCATATACAGTAAGTCCTCATGAGGACCCAGATTATTGGGGGCAACGTAAATATATATATATATATATATATATATACACACACACACACACACATACATACATACATTGCTTACTGGTGTACACTGCTTAGAGAGTGCTTGCACTTAAAGCGGTATATAAGTCTCATAAATAAATAAATATTGTTACCCGCGCTTGTAACATTTCTGACTACATAATGAAGTAAGGATCAAGACATCTACGGAGATTTTCAATCATCCAGGACAGGGCTGTCCCAAACGTGTTTTTTTTTTTTTAGCTATGCCCTTTGGGATGAACACTCCTTTGAACGGTGCGGGCGCATGAACGGACGTCCAGAAAACATTGCACACCGCAGGAACCATTTGCGCTTCGGTTTGAGACGCCGACCACACGGACTCATCCCCAACAGCCTGCGCCTGTCTCCAACCTTTTTAAAACCTTGCCATTGCCTGCTTCCTAGGGCTGAGAGAAACGACTGGCCCAAGGTCATCCAGCTAGCTGTAGGCCTTAAATGAGACTAGAACTCACACTGCTTTCAACAGTGAAGGGATGAATGGACCCAGGGCAGAAAGCATCCTGCAGCCAAGGCTCCACACCCATTTGCACCACTCAGGTGACCCTGAGGACACAGATAAACCTCCCAGTGGCCTCAACGACTCTCTAAAAGGAGGCAAATGACCAGCTGTCTGTAAGGAGTATAAATCTTTCCATTCCCCACCATTCAGTCAGAGCTGAAGAAGCTTCTGGGATGAGAAGCAAAACATTTTCAAAGAAAAGCAAGGAGGTCCAGTTGAAAAAGCACCAGAGGGCACAGATAAACCCCAAATGGTCTCAATGACCCTCTAAAACAGTGGTTCTCAACCTTTCTAATGCCGCGACCCCATAATACAGTTCCTCATGTTGTGGTGACCCCCAACCACTTATACATCACCGGGTGGCAGGGGCATGGCCAAAGGGGGAAAAAATGGCGGACAGCCTTGTTTGGCGACCCCCGTGAAATGGTCGTTCGACCCCAAATGGGGTCCCGACCCACAGGTTGAGAACCACTGCTCTAAAAGAAGGCAAATGACCAGCTGTCTGCAAGGAGTATAAATCCTCCCATTCCCCCCCCCCATTCAGTCAGAGCTGAAGAAGCCTCTTGGATGAGAAGCGAAACGTCTTCAAAGGAAAATGAGAAAGTCCAGTTGCCTCCTGAAAAAAAGCACTTTTGGGGTAAGAATCACAACCATTTAAAAAGTCCTTTCTCTCCCCCTTCCCCTTCACAGTCCAACACGCGCCTTACCTGGTGCATCATAAAGGGAACCAGTTCTTGTTCAGGAAGGCGATTCATCAATTCGGCACCTTCCGGCAGAGCGAAAGCTGATTTGGTGTAGCACTGGGACCTCACCAGCGAACAGTACCAATCCTTGCAGGGAAACGAAGGAGATCAGTAACACGTATTTGCATGGACGTGACTTGCCACGAATCAACTACCGTGTTTTCCCGAAAGTAAGGCCTACACCAACAATAAGCCCTAGCTTGATTTTGGAGGCTGGGCCTAATATAAGCCCCGTCCCAAAAATAAGCTCTAGTTTTGGGGCGAGGCGCACACCTAAAAAATCAAGCTGGGGTGGGGGTGTGGAGCTGCCTCCCGCACGCACTTGCCTGGCAGCCAGATCTCTCCTCGCCAGCCCACTTCTTCTTCTGAGGCCTTTTCTGCAGCCAGGCCTGCATTTCTCAGTCACGGAGCTTTCCGGAAGGCCTTGTGCAGCCAAGAAACGAGCTATGGATTCAATCCATAGCTCGGTACTCGGCTTAGGCCTTCTGGAAAGGCCCGACTGTAAAACGCAGGCCCGACTGCAGCTGCAGAACTTCGGCCCCAGAAGAAGCGGACCGGCTGGGTGGGGCTGTCGGTGCCGGAGGTAGGTAAGGCCTGCCCAAAAATAACATCTGGTGCCTCTTTTGGAGTGTAAAAAAAAATAAGACCCCATCTTATTTTCGAGGAAATGTGATTTATTTAGTTATTTATTCAATTTATTGGTCATCCATAACTCTTAAGGATAACTCTTAAGATATAACTTTGAGGGCTAGAGTGGACCAGGGCCAGAGACATTTCACAGCGGTTGCAAATACAATTTAAAAGGCAGCGGATTGATAGGAAAACAACTCAGCCTTACTTTGTCTGGAATTAAAGTTTCTAGAGCGGGATGGTTCCCCCCATCCAGGGGATGTGCCGTAACCAAAGGCGAGGGGCTAATGGTTTCCGGAGCCACCGTTAGACGAAACCGATCCAACAGGGAGTAGAGTCTTTGATGCCTAAAAAAACCAAAAACAAAACCAGAAATCCACTGATTAGATACTTTGAGAAAGACCGAAGAGGGCAAGACAACCGTAGGAACAAAATACTGGCTTGCCTAGAATCATTAAGACTTGAGAAAGAATTTCTGGAGTTGTGTTTCTCTTAGCAAAGGAAAGATATTGGGCTTGTCGGCTTGAACGCCATCACCTGGGTTCAAGTCCCAAGCGCCACGTGACGGGGTGAGCTCCCGTTCCTTGCTCCAGCTCCTGCTAACCTACCAGTTTGAAAGCATGCAAGTGCGAGTAGATAAATAGGTACCACTTTGGTGGGAAGGTAACAGCGCTCCGTGACGTCATGCTCGCCACATGACCGCGGAAATGTCTTTGGAGAGCACCGAATCAATGGGCTTGAAACGGAGATGAGCAGTGCCCCCTAAAGTCGGCAATGACTAGCGGAGTAAAATCTCAGGGACTTTTTAATCTTTTAGAAAAAGATTAAACAGGATTCATTTTCGGAGAGAGAGAAAAAGCTTTAAAACTATTTGGCCACTTTCCACGCGTCAAATCCATTATGTCTCACCGGTGGGCTAATCCAGTGTTCTGAAGATATTCCTGTATTCGGTCCAGCTCCTCAACTGGCAACTGAGCCGTGCTGTTCTGTATAAAAAACAAAACAAAAACAGGAAATGCAATGTACTCGCAGCAGTCTTGAGAATGAAATGTTGAAGTTGCTAACACTGGCCTTAAAATAAATGTAACTCTGAAAGTCAGAGTGAAAACAACTCAACTCGTTTCTGATCTTAGTCTTAGGTTAAAATGTCAAGCACAGGTTTTATGGATTAATTTATGGAACCGTACAAGGGTAGGAATGCCCATGCAGGGGTAGGCAACCTCGGCTCTTTTATGACTGGTGGACTTCAACTCCCAGAATTCCTGAGCCAGCATGGCTCAGCTTGGAAACCTCTCCCTTTCCCCTCAGCATGGCTGGCTCAGGAATTCTGGGAGTTGAAGTCCACCAGTCATAAAAGAGCCAAGGTTGCCTACCCCTGCCATAGACAGTCACATGAAGTGGGTTAGGTTGAGAGATAAGAGGAGACCCAAAGCCCCATCAGGGCTGTGGTGGTGGGGAGGGGTGAGACTAAACCTCTGCCTTCCCTGTGGCCAGCCTAGTGCTTGCCCAGATGACGCCACGGGGTACCTGCACAGACGCCGCTAAAAGCATTTCCACGCGACGGCAGGCCAAGGTGTCCACCATGTGGGCCAGCACACGGAAGGGAGTGGAGAGAAGCTTGTCCACGTACAAGACCAGCACGGCCCCCGACTGGCTGAGATGGATGCCCTCCAAACACTGCAGGGTCTTCTTTACTGCTGTCGGCTAAACAGGGGAGAAAACGTCTTTTAGAGTCATTCTTTGTCCAGGCTAATCGAAGTAAAAGCATCCCAATCTGACTTTTTAAAATAAGTTAAAACCTCCGTAGCTTTGCTTACCCGTAACCCATACACCGATTTCATACCCATTTGGCCCCAAAAAACTCTTTTCCCCCCCCCTGGGGATAAAAGAAACAGGTTGAGCCTCTGGATGGATTCTGCGACCGATTCTCATCTGTTCAGAAAACCGGCAGTGCGAATACTTAACACAAAACATTTCTGTTGTGAAGCCAGCCAGTTGCTAAGTGAATTTTGTCCCCATTTTACGGCCGTTCTTGCCACAGCCATTAAGCGGATCACCGCAGTTGTTAACGTTAGTAACACGGTTGTTAAGTGAATCTGGCTTCCCCCGTCGACTTTGCTAGTCAGAAAGTCTCAACAGGGGATCATGTGACCCCCAGGGACACTGCAATCGTCATAAATATCAGTCATATCAAGGTAATGATTTAAAAGCTAACCAGCTGATGTATGATGTAATGATGGGAATGACTCAGCAGGGTCTGTGTTTCTTTAAGAGCCTTGTATAAAAGGGATGTGTGTGCTCTCTTCTGTTTCCTGCTGTAACTGCTGTGTGTTGGAGCCTGCTGTATTAGTACGTGTATGTATATTGTTCCTGGTGTATGATATTGTAGATAGTGTAAGATAAGCCACCATTTAATATAGACCACTGTTTACTGTGTTTACTCCTGGGTTATCTCAGCGCAATAAGACTGTGCACGCTCTGACAAGTCAGTTGCCAAGCATCCAAATTTTGATCACGTGACCACCGAGATGCTGTTAACGGTCGTGTGGAAAATGTCCACGGGTCCCTTTTTTCAGTGCCGTTGCCACTTTGAACGGTCAGTAAACGGACCGTCGTTAAGTCGAGGACTGCCTGCAGCTATCCAAGCCCTTCTCCCACCAAGCAGCAAGACCGTCAGCAAAGGAACCAAGGGCAATAGAAGTTCTACAACAGCACCAGGTTCAATTGGACCGATAATAGGATTTTATAGTACTGTATACCAGGAGTCCCCAACCCCCGGTCCGTGGACTGGTACCGGGCCACGGCATGCCAGTAACCGGTCCGCACAAGCAAAGCCCCATCCGTGGGATGCAGGCAACACACAGAACCACACACACTCTCCGGTCCGTGAAAAAACCTCTCTCCACGGAATGGGTCCCTGGTGCCCAAAAGGTTAGGGGCCTCTGCTGTTTACGGTTATGTTTATGGTAATTAATTCTGGCCGCAGGACATGCTCATCGCTAAGAATAAAGATCAGGAGAATCTAGGCAGCCAGCAAGTCAGAGGAAAAGCGACAGGGCATTTACACATTCCTGAGTTTTTGTGTAGTCAATGTGGATGTCCGGCGACTGTTTACAGAGGCTCCTGCAGGGTTTTTTTTGGCCAGAATCCAGAGGTGACTTTCTCTTGCCTTCATCTTCAGGCTGAGAGAAAGAGAGGGACCAGCCTGAGGTCGGTCACCCTAGTGACCGGCTTCATGTCCCAAGCAGAATTAGAACTCACGTCTCCCAATTTCTAGCCAGGTGCCTTAGCCAGAAGAAGCAATGGCCAAACGATTGCTAGATGTTGCCTCCTGCTTCGGGAGACTCAATAGCTGAAGTATGTTGCTGCCTTTTAAACATGAATATCCTTTTTTTTAACTGCAGAAACAGGAGGTTTGCGCAGGAATTTGTCATCTGAGAAAATAAATCTTGAGACCGCAAAGAACTTACAGAGGCGAAGTTCTCACATCGTGACTGGATAGCCTGGATGAAAAGCCCGCTGGCGGCCGAGTTTCTGTGAATGGCGCTTATAAAATCCTGGACAGGGGGTTCGTGAGACAGACTGATCAGTTCCTGGACGTGATTCACGGTCAGCCAGGTTAAGTGCTCGGAGTCGTGCAGGTTTTGGCACTGTGGGAAGAAATGGGATCGATTCACACGGAGCGGAAGGAACGACAAGGTGTCAGGGAAGACATCCCCAAAACACCAGAAGGCCGGAGAAGAAGCAACGGATGGAAAATAATCAAGGAGAGAAGCAACCTGGAACTAAGGAGAAACTTCCTGATAATTAGAACAATTAATCAATGGGACAACTTGCCTCCAGAGCAGTGAATGCTCCAACACTGGAAGTTTTTAAGAAGAGACTGGACAGCCATTTGTCTGAAATGGTATAGGATTTCCTGCCTGAGCAGGGGGTTGGACTAGATGACCTCCAAGGTCCCTTCTAACTGTTATTGTGTAAATGTAGACAGAGTCTCTAGGTCTCTCTCTTGCTTCCCCCCTTGTCTGGATGAAGTCAGGATCGAACTGCCAAACCGCAGGTAGCTGGCAGTCAACAGAAGCATCCTGCATTACTTCATTCTAACTACTGCGCCACCACAACTGAGTACTACACCTGCCCATGGTTCACCAAGTGCAATTGAAGATGTTGGCTGCTAGTTACAAAGCCCTTATGAGAGGACTGGAAACTTGAGAGTCTTAAATCAGCCATGGCAGTTTGGATAATTCTTTGCGCAAAAAATAAAAAAGTAAGCGATGACCAGGAATTAGGGGACAGTATTAATTGTGAATACATATAGATGGCTTCTCTCTCTTTGGTCACTTGTAATCCTGGGTGCAGGGTCAGGAAACGACAGCAAGGACAACACCCAATGTCCTAACCCACCCAAGAACATACGATATCTTTAAGGAAGGAACACTCCAATGGGAACATGTTTAGCTACTTCTGCTTTCTCCCTTCCTATCTGCAGTGTGCCAGACTTACTGGGTGCAATCTTTAACTTATGTGCGTCAGCTCTGCTGGATGGGTTGCTTATGTAATTATACAGAATAAACACAAGGATTTCTTGTCACTTAGGGCTCCCCTCATTTAGAGCAGTGAGTCCGTCTCTATTCAGCTGAATAAAAACGTAAAACTTAAAGGCACTTTCTGGTTTCCTGTATTTCTTTAACCAGCAAAACCTCAGAACCTGCATATCATAAGGGGGGGGGGGAATATGTTCTAAAGCAGTGGTTCTCAACCTTTTTAATGCCGCGACCCCCAACCGGTCGTAAGTCGAGGACTACTCAACCGGTCGTAAGTCGAGGACTACTCAACAGGTGCAGCACCGTTTGCAGAATGGGACTTTTGGCGGGCTCAGCAGGGCAGAGACAGCCTGGACAATTCCTATTGGCTTTTGAAAACCAATAGAATTAGACTCTATTCAAGAGAGTCTATTCTATTGGCTTTCAAAAGCCAATAGAATAAAAGGGAGTAGCACAGCCAAGGAAAAGGGGGAAAAAAATGGCGGACTGTGTTGTTTGGCGACCCCTGTGAAATGGTTGTTCGACCCCAAATGGGGTCCCGACCCACAGGTTGAGAACCACTGTTCTAAAGAAAACAGGAACACAGCCCTCGTTCGCCATCCTCAGAGCTTACCACATAGTCACAAAACAGGATGAGGGATCCCCTCCGTACGATCTCTCGGTTGCAGATGCTAAGTTTGGCGCTCCCATCTTCTGCGCGGGGACCCCCGCAGGCTTGAGGGCTGAGCAATTTAGCACTTGATAGGCTCTGCCGTCTGCAAAAGAGAAGGCAAAGCTTTTAACTGCAAAATCCAGGAGTAAAATAGCCAGAGAGAAATAATCTGTCGGGATAAAGGCAGCCGGCTAGTGAGAAGTTGGTCCGGCAGCCAGGAACGGAACACGAAGGACGATTGGTTGGATTCAGGTCAGTGACGGATCACCAGAGAAGTTCAAATGTTGGTTCTTCTAGGCCAGAGGTCCTCAATCTGTGGGCCATGGCCCGGTAAAGTGGAGGCCACACCCCCACTTGCGGTACCGCCACGGCCGCAGGTGCGAAAACAGGATGCTGCTGCGCCTTGGGGTGCAAAAACGGGACGCCACTCTGCCGCAAAAAAACGGGACACCGCTGCGCTGTGGAAAAATAGGATGCTGTCGTGCCGTGGGGTGCAAAAATGGGACACTGCCGAGGTGCAGGATGCAAAAATGGAGGGTGCTGTGCAAGAATGGGGCAGGGCTAGTATCATGCATGCTTGCGGCCCCGTGTGTGTGTGTTTATGTATACAGAATTAAGCCATGACATCGGCTGGATTGGAGCAAGGATATCTATCTATTTATCTATCTATCTATCTATCTATCTATCTATCTATCTATCTATCTATCTATCTATCTATCTATCTATTATATATCTAATCTCTATATATCTATATATCTATCTATATCTATCTATCTATCTATCTATCTATCTATCTATCTATCTATCTATCTATCTATCTATCTATCTATCTATCTATGCCTGCCTGCCTGCCTGCCTGCCTGCTTGCTTGCCTGGTCTGTCTGTCTGTCTCTGTCCATCCGTCTGTCCGTCCGTCCATCCATCCATCCATCCTATCTCTAGTATATCTATCTGTCTGTCTGTCTGTCTGTCTGTCTATCTATCTATCTATCTATCTATCTATCTATCTATCTATCTACACACACACACACAAACACACACACACACACACACACACAATCTCCAACCTGAACAACTAAGGAATCCAAATCCATCTATCAATCTAGTCACACAGAGTCACCGTATCATTGAGATGGGCCACACAAAAACCAGGAAGAACCTTTTGGGCTGGACCAAGAAAAAGACCGGAAGACTGGAAAAAACAGCCTTACTTGGGAGTCTGATGAACTTTGGACCACCAGCAGGAGTCGGTGTAATTCACAAGCAGCAAGATCTGACACCAGAGAAGGACCAGCGATGGGTGGGTGGCTATCATGGACTTGACGAGGTCGTTTAATCTCTCCAGGGTGTAGAAATGGAGACTGTGGGCTCCGTTCCCTGTAAAAAGCTTGGTAGCTGCAGCTGTGATTCTTCGGAACATTCCTGTAACACCGAAACAATAAAAAAAAAAACATTATTATAAATAAGTTCCAACCGATAAGACATAGTCTTATTTTGAGGGGAAACAGAATACTGTGAAGGGGGCAAGAAAAAGGATGAGGAGTACCTGATTTGAAGGTATGAATTAAGCAGATGAGAAGGGTGCCCAGTTCCTGGCAGTAGAAGGTGTGTTGCTGTTCGCTCATCTCCACGTGAAACTGTTTGCTTGTGATGTCTTCCAAGAGGATTCCCACCAGCTGCATTAGGAATCTGGAGAGAGAGAGAGAGAGAGAGAGAGAGAGAGAGAGACGTAGAGGCCGCGCGCTAAGCACAGAAAAGATAAACGGCGACTGTGCCAAGAGGAGAACAGGAAAACCTATATGCACCGCCAGCCGTGCGGGGCGTACATCAATCTTCTTTCAATCCATCCGAATAGAGCTGGAAGGGACCTTGGAGGTCTTCTAGTCCAACCTTTTGCTCAACAGGAGACCATGTGCCATTTCATCCAACCACTCCATCCATCCATCCATCCATCCATCCATCCATCCATCCACTCCATCCATCCAGCCATCCATCCATCCATCCAACCACTCCATCATCCATCCAACCACTCCATCCATCCATCCATCCATCCATCCATCCATCCATCCATCCAACCACTCCATCCATCCAACCACTCCATCCATCCAACCACTCCATCCATCCATCCATACATCCATCCATCCAAATAGAGCTGGAAGGGACCTTGGAGGTTTTCTAGTCCAACCTTCTGCTCAACAGGGGACCCTGTGCCATTTCATCCAACCACTCCATCCATCACTCCATCCATCCAACCACTCCATCCATCCATCCATCCATCCATCCATCCATCCATCCATCCATCAAAATAGAGCTGGAAGGGACCATGGAGGTCTTTCAGTCCAACCCCCTCATCAAGCAGGAGACCCTATGTCATTTCAACCAATCACTCAATCCATCCATCCATCCATCCATCCATCCATCCATCCATCCATCCATCCATCCATCCAAATAGAGCTGGAAGGGACCTTGGAGGTCTTCTAGTCCAACCTTCTGCTCAACAGGAGACCATGTGCCATTTCAGACAGGTGTTTTGCCTTTTTCAAGGTACATTGATTATGCAGGTACTTCTCGACTTACAACACTTCATTTAGTGACCGTTCAAAAATGACAACGGCACTGAAAAAAGGGACTCACGGCTGTTTTTCACACTTAACGACCGTTGCAGCATTCCCCCCCGGTCACGTGATCCAAATTCAGATGCTTGGCAACTGACTCACACTTATGACAGTTGCAGCGTTGCCCGGGGTCACGTGATCCTGTTTTGTGACCTTCTGACAAGCAAAGTCAAGGGGGGGGGAGCCGGATTCACTTAACAACCGGGGTACTAACTGATCAACTGCAGGGATTCCCTTAGCAACGGAGGCAAGAAAAGTCGTAGAATGGGGCAGAACTCATTGAATGACTATCTCACTTAACGCCAGAAACCTGGGGCTCAACCTCTTATTAGCGCTGAAGATTTTTCTGAGCAGGTGAGAATCCAGAGGCTCAAAACTGCTCCTCTCAATCCCCAGAAAAAAAAAGGGGGGGAGAAAAAGAGTCTTTTTGGGCCAAGCTTCCCTTCCAAATTTGTGTGAGCTACAGGTAGAGAAAAGGTACGGAGGTCGTAAGTTGAGGACTACCTGCTTACATTTTCCTCAATTCCTCCTTTATCCTTCTTTTTTTTAAACGATTTAAAAGAAAAAAGAAAAAAAAATAGCAGCAGCTCCTTATCGATTTATACCTGGAAAAGGTCTCTTCGGGCAGGAAGCGGTCGTGCTCCTCCGGGGCGGTCTCCTGCGTTGCAGGGATTCTGTTCCCCCCGTTTCTCAGCCGGTGAATCGTCTGGCAGGAGATGAGACGGGGGGAAAAGGAGAGCTCCTGGATGCGGGAAAGGACGATGTCTTCCGTGGACTGGGAAATCAGGACCCGCAGGATGGCCAGAATGCCGGAGACCCATAACTGGACGGTGCTCACGGAAGCCTTTTGAGAGGGAGGGAGAGAGAGAGAGGGGGGGGAGACCCAGACCAAGTGTGAATTATTTAAATTACTCTTTTCTTCCTCTCCCTTTTCCTTCCCTTCTCCTTCTTCTCCCTTTCCTCTTCCCTTCCCTCTCTCTCCCCTTCCTCTCCTCTTTCCTTCCTTCTCCTCTCCTTCCCTTCCCCTCCCTTCCTCTCTCCTCCTTCCCTTCCTCCATTTTCCTCCCTCTCTCCTTCCCCTCCCTTCGCCCTTCCCTTCCTCTCCCTTTTCCTTCCCTTCCTCTCTCCCTCCCTTCCTCTTCCCTTCCTTTTTCCTTCCCTTCTCCTTCTTCTCCCCTTCCCTTTTCCTCCCTCTCCTTCCCCCCTTCCTCTCTCCTCCTTCCCTTCCTCCCTTTTCCTTCCCCTCTCCCCTTCCCTCTCCTTTCCCTCCCTTCCTCTGCCCTTCCCTTCCTCTCTCCCTCCCTTCCTCTTCCCTCCTTCCCTTCCCTTCTCCTTCTTCTCCCCTTCCCTTCCCCTCCCTTCCTCTCTCCTCCTTCCCTTCCTCTCCTCTTTCCTTCCTTTTCCTTCCCTTCCCTCCCCTTTCCCTCCCTTCCTCTCCCTTTTCTTTCCCTTCCCCTCCTTCTCCCCTTCCCTCCCCTCCCCTGTCCCTCCCTCCCTCTCTCTCCTTCCCTCCCCTCCCCTCTCCTTCCTCTCCCCCTCCTCTCCCCACTTGCTCATTTCCCCAAAAGAACGCAGCTTATCGGTCGGAGCGTGCACTTGGATAAGTAACAAAACAAATGCACAGCCATCTCCCCCCCCCAAGCAAAGGGGGCTGTGCCCCCTAAGGCATTTCCAGAGCAGAGCAGAGGAACACCGGCCGCTAAGCACAGGACCAGCTGTTGACTGACTGGATTTACTCCCTGCTTTTCTGCGGGAGCTGCAGGTGTCCCCAAGGGGGGGGGGTGTCCTTCCTGCTGTCTTTTTTTTTAATTTCCCCTCACCACAACCCCCTTGCAAAGAGAGGGACTGGCCCAAAGGGAACTGGCAGGGCTGGGGGGGACGGTACCCGACAGCCAGGGAAGGAAAGAGGGCAGCTGGGCACGTCCTGCGCCGGGACGGGACAGCCACGCCCTCCTTCCCCTCTGGCTAAGTGGCTCCTCAGCTGGCTGCCCCCCCCCCTTACCATCGTGCTGGGCGTGACGAACATGCTTCGCAAGAGCATGTCCACCGGCCGCAGGGCGGACGGGGCCAGGATCTCAAACAGAGTGTTCAGTATCCCCAGAGCTTCGTGGGAATCGATCTGCATCTGGTTAAAAAAAAGGAACAAACCAAAACACAACGGAATCAGCCAGGGCTGCGGTCAGCAGAGCGAAAGGAAAGAGATTTGGGGGGGGGGGAGAAGAACTGTCTTATTGTACAGGTAGTCCTCAAGTTACGGCCGCAACTGAGCCCTCAAATTTAGGCCAGCCTCCCTACGCCATTCCAGGCAAAAGGCTGTATTTAATTATGAGTTTGGGGCTGTGAAAATTTGACACTTGTTCAGCTGGGGGGGGGGGGTGTGAAGCCCCTGGCAGAGGGAAACCCCAAACCGAAGGGTGTCCTTCTCTGCTGGAAAAGGCCAGGGCAGCTTCTCAATCGAACAGAGAATAGAATAGAACAGAATAAACAGAACAGAGAATAGAGTAGAGTAGAGTAGAGTAAAATAATGGAATGTAGAATAGAAGAATAGAATAGAATAGAATAGAACAGAATAATGAGAAATAGAGTAGACTAGACTAGAATTAGAATTAAAATAAGAATAGAATAAAACAGAACAGAATAGAACAGAATAGAATGTAGGGTAGGGTAGGGTAGAGTAGAGTAGAGGAATGAAATAGACTAGACTAGAATAGAATAGAGAATGGAATGGATAGAATATAGAATAGAATATAAAATATGAAAGAATAGAAGAGAAGAGAAGAGAAGAGAAGAGAATTAGAATAAAATGAATAGAATAGAATAAGGAATGGAATGGAGTGGAATGGAATAGAATATAGAATAGAATGGAATGGAATGGAATGGAATGGAATGGAATAGAATAGAGAATGGAATGGATAGAATATAGAATAGAATATAAAATATGAAAGAATAGAATAGAAGAGAATAGAATAGAAGAGAAGAGAATTAGAATTAGAATAAAATGAATAGAATAGAATAAGGAATGGAATGGAGTGGAATGGAATGGAGTGGAATGGAATAGAATATAGAATAGAATAGAATGGAATGGAATAGAATGGAATAGAATAGAATAGAATAGAATAGAATAGAATAGAATAGAATAGAATAGAATAGAATAGAATAGAATAGAATAGAATAGGAGAATGGAATAGAATGGATAGAATGTAGAATATAGGATAGGATAGGATAGAATCAGGGACAGAACAGAATAGAATAGAATAGAGAATGGAATGGATAGAATATAGAATAGAAAATATGAAATAGAATAGAATAGAAAATATGAAATGGAATGGAATAAAACAGAAGAGAAGAGAACCTTACTAAATGTCTCCCTCAATGGCCAATTGCCACCAAAGGTAAACCCTCACCTGTTGTTTGGCCAGCATTGGCAGGATGATGTCTGCTACCTGTCGCGACAGCCTCTTCCACTTCTCTTCGTTCTCTCGGTGACACTGTTGCAGCACCAGGATAAACATCTCCAGCACCTGCGGGCGAAGCGGAGGCACACAGAACAGGCTGCTTTCACACAAGCCAAGGAATTGTCCCAGCATCCACCTTGCACCTTAACACTCCTCTTTTCCCCTCCCCAACACAGGCAGTCCTCGACTTACGACCACAAGGGAGCCCAAAATTTCTGCGGCCAAGCGAGACATTTGCTAAGTGAGTTTTGCCCCGTTTTACCACCTGTCCTGCCTTAGTTGTTCAGTTGTTAAAGTGAGTCACCCGGTTATTGAATCAATCTGGCTTCCCCACTGAACTCTGCTGGCCGGAAGCTCGCCAAAGGGGGTCACAGCAACGGTCGTAAATAGGAACCGGTGGCCAAGCCTCAGAATTTGGACCACGTGATCCTGGGGAGGCTACAACGGTCGTTAAGTGTAAAAATGGCCGTAAGTAGTTGGATTTTCTGTCAGTGTTTATGTCCGTGGAGATTCTCGGTCATCCAGGTCCTGGTTGTCACAAAACTGCTTTTTCAAAAGGCATCTGAACGTCGTTTTTTGTTTTTTTTTCCTCGAAAACTTTTCGCTTCCCACGGAAGAAGCTTCTTCGGTTCTGACTGAACGGTGAAGAACGCAAGGGGACCCCGAGGGCACAGATCCAAGTGGCCTCAACGACTCTCAGAGAGAGCGCAAACAATCCCACGGCTGCCAGGAATATAAACCCTTCCACGCTCCACCATTCAGACCCGAGGAAGCTTCCTAGATGAGAAGCGAAATGTCTTCAAGGGGGAAAAAAAAACATCGTAGGAAAGTCCTTTGAAAAAGCACCTTTGTGGCTCTCGGTTCATATGAAAAGAGGTCTGGCTAAGCTCTGCTCTCAGGAGCGCAAGGCAACGGTGGGCACCTCCTGGGACCGCCAGGTTTTACGTTTCGGTTTATGCAATCCTGGGTGTTACTCAAGGTTTATGTGAAGGTGGTTCGGGATCTCTGCAGTCAGAGGAACTGCTTAGTGTCCAACGCTGGAGACTCTTTGGGAAGCCTCCCGTCCGATCCCGCGAGACGGGCAGACTCGGCGTGTTTTTCAATAAAATCAGCCGTGCGGAGTGGTGAGGACATCCAGACACAGGTTAAGTTACCAGGCTTTTACCTGATGATACTGGATCAGCCTCAGCAACATGGAGACCACCACTTCCTTTTGGGTTTCCAGTTCTTTGCCGGCATCGGCTTTATTTGCTCCTCTTAAGATGAAGAGGTCGTGGACGATGGGCTGCAGAGCCGGGATTGCTGAAGAGGAACAGAGGAGGGTTAAGATCGACGCTGCGTGCTGTCCCTCCACCCAACCCAAAGATCTTCTGGGCCTGAAACTTGATCCTCATTTAATTCCCACGGGTTATCCTGAAGCCGGAGGGGTTTACTCGGGGTGAACCAAAGAGGATTCCTTGCCGCATCGGCTATCTTTGAATGGCGGCTCAAGAGCGTTCCGTGATAGCTTGGGCCACAAGCCAGGATTCACCCAGGACCTCTTTCCAAGGGAGGGGCCTCTGGCCTCCTCCCCAGAGAGGCTGGAAGAGGCCTTAACTCAAAGCAGGACCCTGGGGGGGCTAAGGCAGGACTAGAACTCACTGCCTCCGGGTTTCTGGCCTGGCCCCTTAAACACTAGACCAAACCGGATTGGATTGGGTTATTTTATTTTATACTTTCTTTTATTTTATTTTATTTCATTTATTATTTTTATTTCATTTCATTTTATTATTTAATTTTATTTTACTGTTTTATTTTATATTTTATTTCATTTATTTTATTGTTTAATTTTATATTTTATCTCATTTCTTATTTTATTATTTTATATTTTATTTCATTTATTATTTTTATTTTATTATTTTATTTTATATTTTATTTCATTTATTATTTTATTTTATATTTCATTTATTTTTATTTCATTTATTTTATTTTATTATTTTTATTTTATATTTTATCTCATTATTTTATTATTTTATTTTATTATTTTACTATTTTATTTTATTTCATTTATTTTTATTTCATTTATTAATTTTATTTTACTGTTTTATTTTATATTTTATTTCATTTATTATTTTATTATTTTATTTTATATTTTATTTCATTTATTTTTATTCATTATTTTATTATTTAATTTTATTATTTTACTATTTTATTTTATATTTTATTTTATTAATTTTATTTTATTATTTTATATTTTATCTCATTATTTTATTTCATTATTTTATTTTATTATTTTACTATTTTATTTTATTTTATTTATTATTTTTATTTCATTTAATTTTATTTTACTGTTTTATTTTATATTTTATTTCATTTATTATTTTATTATTTTATTTTATTTTATATTTTATTTCATTTATTTTTATTCATTTATTATTTTATTATTTATTTTATTTTATTATTTTACTATTTTATTTTATTTATTTTATTTTGTTTTATTTTAAATTAAAATAACAAAATATTAAATAAATAAAATATAAAGTAAATAATAAAACAAAATAATAAAATACATTTTATTATTTTATTTATTTTATATTTTATTTATTATTTTTATTTTATTTATTATTTTAACTTTATTTTATATTTTAAGGGCCTGCCCACATTCAGCAACTCCTGCCCTGAGGAGTCCCGTTCTACGACTTCCGATGTCCCTGCTCACCGTGTGTCACGGCTTTCCTTCCGCTGGCCATGATCCCGTCGCACAGCTGAATAATTTTAGGAATTCCAATGATCTGCTTGGAGTGGTAGCGCTCATAAGACAACAGCACCAGGAAGAAAAAGACGCTGGGAATGATGGCTTCCGATTCCCTGGTGGGGGGGGGGAGAAGGAAAGAAAGAAGAAAAAGACCGCTTGGACTTCCTCAGCACCGTTAAAATGGGAGGAGGGGGCCTTCAAAGAGCCCTGGGGGCACCGTGGTTAGGAGGCGGTATTGCAGGCGGATTCTGCCCACCACCAGGAGTTCGATCCTGACTAGTTCGAGGTTGACTCTGCCTTCCATCCTTCCAAGATGGGTAAAATGAGTCTGCTATTGCCCTTCCTTCCTTCCTTCCTTCCTTCCTTCCCTCCCTCCCTCCCTCCCCTTCACAGTGGTTAAAATGCGGTATTGCAGGCTAACTCTGCCCACTGCGAGTTGTTCAAGGACCCAGATTGGTGGGGGCAAGAGGCTGACTCTGTAAACTGCTCAGAGAGGGCTGTCAGTCACTGTGGAGCAGTATATAAGTCTTAAGTGTTATTGCTAACTATCTATGTCTCATCTCTTTATGTCATTCTTTCTGTCTCTCATTGTTTCTCTCTGTCTCTCTCTCTCTCTCCATCTGTCCATCCATCCATCCTTTACCTTGTCTATTTCTTTCTATCTATCTGTCTGTATATCTATATATCAATCTATCTATCTTCATCCATCCACGTCTCTATCTATCTATCTATCTATCTATCTATCTATCTATCTATCTATCTATCTTATCTATCTCCATCCATCCATCCATCCATCCATCCATCCACGTCTCTCTCTCTCTCTCTCTCTCTATCTTTATCTTGGTTGCTAAATGAAGTTTGGTAAGGCAAGGACTATCTGTAGTCTCCTTTATTGTTCTTCACCTATAGAACGTAGGAGGAGGAGCGACAAAGCCAGGGGAGGGGGTGGAGTCAAAAGGGGAATCAGCCTAGAATCCCTATGGAGCTACAAATGGACTAATCCAACGCCTCCCGAATTCCGTTAACCCTTCTCTAATGCCCAGATTGCGCTGACCATCACTTGAAAAGACTCCTATGCAAAGAGATGTAGAAGAGGCGAAACAAGGCTCAGAATGGACCGTTTTTGGGTACAGCCTCCGTTTCGCATAAAGACGCCAGGAAACACGTAGAAGATGGAACTCTGTACCTGAACTGGCCGACTTCAATGTATTCAAACTGCTTTAGAACAAATCCAATAAAAACCTAGAAGCAAAAGAAATATCCAGATGTGATTTCTGCAAGTAGTACGTTCTTGCATCGTCTCGCACAAATCAAAACGAAACAGACCGTGACATCTGATCAGAACAAGAAACAGCTCATTACTGGGTGCTCATTAACCACCACTCGTACTTAGGTCAGAGAAAAGAAAACAAAGCAAAAAAGAAGCGAGCAGGACTTCAACTGTCAAATGTGCGTCACGTCATGGGATCTTGGACATGGAGGGAGGCAAAAACCCTCTTAGCTTTGAGAAAGAGAAGGTATTTCTGCTTGCACAAATTTCCTTTCATGGGGGGGAGAGAGACAGAGGAAGGGAGGGGTAGGGAGAGAGAGGAAGGGAGGGAGGGAAAGACAGAGGAAGGGAGGGAGAGAGAGAGAGGGAGAGAGAGGAAGGGAGGGAGGGAGAGACAGAGGAAGGAGGGAGAGAGAGAGAGGGAGAGAGAGGAAGGGAGGGAGAGAGAGAGAGGGAGAGAGAGGAAGGGAGGGAGAGAGGGAGAGAGAGAGGAAGGAAGGGAGGGAGGGAGGGAGAGGGGGAGAGAGAGAGGAAGGGAGGGAGAGAGGGAGGGACGGAGAGGGAGAGATTCTTTATTACAGTCAATGACCGATATAAAATACAGGTAGTCCTCAACTTACAACATTTCATTTTGTGACTGCTCAACGTTACGACATTGGGAAAAAACCGATTTCTGACCGTTTCCCCACGCTTAAGACCATCGCAGCTTCCCCACGGTCACGTGATTGAGCCCAAAATTTATGCCGCTAAGCGAGACACTGGTGAAGTGAGTTTCCCCTAACCCCATTTTATGACTTTTCTTACCACCGTTGTTAAGTGAATCACCGCAGCTGGTAAGTTAGTACCCCGGTCGTTAAATGAATCTGGCTTCCCCCATTGACTCTGCTGGTCGGAAGGTCACAAAAGGCGACCCCGTGACTCCCAGGGACACTGCGACTGTTGTTAACTATGTGTCCGTCGCCAAGGGTCCAAATTTGGATCCCGTGACCACGGGGAGGCTGCAACGGTTGTAAGTGCGAAAAATGGTCGCGAGTCCCTTTTTTTCCCAGTGCCGTTGTAACTTTGAAGGGTCATTAAACGAACTGTCGTCATTGTACGAGGACTATGAAAGGGCTCAAGATGTTGCACCTTGCCTCAAGGTGACCACACCTTTCCTTTAGTTCAGAGGCCCCCAACCTTTTGGGCACCAGGGACCGGTTCCGTGGAGAGAGGTTTTTCCACGGATCGGAGGGTGCATAGTTTTGTGTGCTGCCTGCATCTTGTGGCTGGGGCTTCGTTTGTGCGGACTGGCTGCTGGCATGCTGTGGCCCGGTGCTGGTCCACGGACCGGGGGGGTTGTGGACCCTTGATTTAGAGTAGAGGTCCCCAATCTTTTGGGAACCAGGGACCAGTTCCACGGAGAGAGGTTTTTCCGCAGACTGGAGGGTGCGTGGTTTTGTGTGCTGCCTGCATCCCGCGGATGGGGCTTTGCTTGTTTGTGCGGACCGGTTGCTGGCATGCCGCAGCCCATTACCGGTCCACCGACCGGGAGTTGGGGACCCCTGCTTTAGTTTTCTAGGGAGCTGAAAGGGTTGAAGTGGACAGACGTCGGGCATGAAAGACCAAGTTCCCCAGTGAAGGTTCAGTTTCAGCAGCTTCATTGCTAAAGGCCTGTGCGCAGGAATCTTCTCGACCGAAGGTCAGCATCTGCTTAGTTCAGTGTTTCTCAATCTTGACAATTTTAAGGCATTGCTGGCTGTGGAATTCTGGGAGTTGAAGTCCACATGCCTTAAAATTGTCAAGGTTGAGAAACACTGGCTTAGTTAGATAAAGGTCGATGGTGCCCAACGGGGGGGGGGGGGATTGGCCTTGGTTCCTTTATGGCTACGTAGCAATTCCAGGCTGATTCCTCTTTTAACTCCGCCCTTGGTTTCTGCCAGTCCTTCTCCCGCAACAGACCCAAATGGGCTGACTGAAGGAGACGACCCTCGTCCTGCAGCAACAGAGGCTGGACACTCACTTGGTCAGAGTCCAGGAGACAGTAGTTGACCCGCAGTTGAACGAGCTGAGCGAGAAGGTCCAAGACTTGTCGCTGCAGTTGCACCGACGTGGTGGTGGTGTACTGCTTGAGTGCTTTGATGACAAGCGGTTCAAAGAGACGGATGTGGTTGTGGATGATATTCTGAGGGAGAAAGAGAAGGGCGGCAACCCAGTGGGACGCCAGGTGGGAAGAAATGCGTGAAAACATGGCCTCCCATCTTTGGAAAACCCCACCCAAAAATGACTCCACACCGTAAGAATAGCTGAAGGGCAAGATCTCATGCAGGGGTCCCCAACCTGTGGGCCGTGGCCTCTTGACCACCGGGCTGCATGAGTAGCTGGCTAGTGCTCGTGCGACTGTGCGTGCACGCTCACCATCCCTCACACAAGTGTCACGCGGGTGCTAATGTCGCCACGTCACGCAGGTGCTAGCATCGCCCCGAGCGTTGCCCAGGTGCATTGCTGTTGGCGTGTTTGCAGCACGCGTGCGCAGCCCTGTTCACATGTGCGCATGCACGCATAAAGGCAATTGCTGCTGCCTTTCCCACCGGGCCTCCAACTCAGAAAGATTGTCGACTCTTGATCTAATGGACTCAGGGGACGCTCTTGCAGGGAACTGCCTATCTTTAAAGGAGCCTTGTTCTTTTTTAAACCTCTTACACAAGTAGTCCAGAAGACAAGGATTTCTTGCAAGGTGTTGTAGTTTTGCCAAGGGATTCCAGAGGGCAGATACTGGTAAAGCCGGAGGAAATCCTTTGAGGTGGGGGACACCCAGAGGGGATACAGAAGTTCTACCTTCAGTTGCAGGGACAATACTGAGTGGTGAGATTCACCGTAGTTTATTTCAGGGCTCAAGGCAAACGTGGCAGCTTTAAGGCTTTTGGACTTCAACTCCCAGAATTCCTCAGCTGGCAGAGCTGGGAGTTGAAGTCCACAATGTCTTAAAGTCGCCAAGTTCGGAGAGCCCTAGTCTAGAGTTAAAGAAAAAAATACCCTGCCCCAGATAAATAGTCAACAGGTTTCTCTTACAGTTATTTTTTTTTTTTTAAATGTGCTTTGTGTTTTACCTTGTCAGCCCGGTGCTTGGCCATATTTGTGGTGCCAGTTTTCAGTTGCGCAGAAACTTTTTGCAAGATGTCAAACCAGCTATAAAAGCAAATGTTAACACAGGGTTAGGATTTAAGAGTCAACGCTTCACACAACAACAAAAAATCCTTTTTAACTGAAGCTGAACTAACAGAAGCAGCTTCTGGCAGGCGTTGAGACGAGGTTGTTCCTTCAACAATGACACAATTTGGGATTGCGTCTGGTTTTATTTGTTTTTATTTATACTTCTTAACCATCCACCCCCCTTGGTTTTATCCCTGTAAAAAGCACCATAATGACTATGTTAATAACCACTGCCATTTCCTCATTTTATTTTATTTAGTGTATTACCCAGGTATCTTGCAGCCTTAAAACAGATTAAATAAATAAATGCAACCGGTTCTGCGTGGCAGACTTGGATATGTTTTTAAAATGAACGTAAAGCAGCCTTTGTATATCACCTTCCCCAAAACCTCTAGATTGCTTGAATCTCTTTGCCTAAAAACATCCATAAAACCTACATGAGCCCAATTATCTTAAAAGTCTAGCGCGGTGAACAGATTTTTTTTCCAATTTTAATTTTTGGCTCCCCCCCCCCACCAAAAGGGCTCCTTTTCTTTTCAAAATAGAGAATAATTTGGCAACTGCTTTTTGCATATATTAAAGTTTAACTGGCTCAGATTCTAACAAAGAAGATTTCCCCCCCCCCAATAACTAACCAACAATTCTGATTGCTGGGCCAGGCTAGGCAAAGCCTAATAAAGCAAGAGCCGAGGTGGCGCAGCAGTTAGAGTGCAGTGCTGCAGGCCACTTTAGCTGACTGTGTTCAGCAGGTCAGTGGTTCAAATCTCACTGGCTCAAGGTTGACTCAGCCTTCCATCCTTCCGGGGTAGGTAAAATGAGGACCCAGATTGTTGGGGGCAATGTAAATATATATATATAATATATATATATATATATATTATATATATATATATATATATATATATAAAATATATATATATATTATATATATATCTATACATACACACACACACACACACACACACACACACACACACATACATACATGCATACATACATACATTGCTTACTGGTGTACACCGCTTAGAGAGTGCTTGCAATTAAAGCGGTATATAAGTCTCATAAATAAATAAATAAGAGCGATTTGTCGTTAGTGCCAACAGATTGCTAATTAAGACTTTTAAAGATGTCCAATCTGTTCACAGTAAATCTGCAAAGCGAGGGTCTCCGTCCAAGCTTTGGCAGCTTTGAGACACGTGGACTTCAACTGTCTGGGGAATTCTGGGAGTTGGAAGTCCACAGCTCTTAAAAGTTGCCAAGCTGGGACACCCCTACTTATTAAAGCAGGCAACACTTAGGTGTGCGTTTCTCCCGGCATTTAGTTCAATAATTCTAGAAATGGCGGCAAAGCGATCACCGGTTTGGAAGGAGAAAGTGGCGCTCACCCCGAGGTGTCGCGTTCCTGCTCGGCCTGCATCATGTTCCGCAAACTGGCATCGGCGAGAGCCTGGGTGAACTGGGTGTAAGGAGCCATGAAGCAGCAGTGGTAAAGGCCCGGCCTTAAGTTGGAGGAGCCCAGGCGCTGGCATTTGCCTTGGGCTCGGCAAGAGTTGGAAGACCAGCTGTCAAACTGAGAGGCCAGGTTGGTGCCAAACAAGGTCTTCAGTAACTGGGGAAGGCGGGAAAAGAAGCAGCTTCGTGAGAGTGTGGAAAATCACAGTGATGCTCAACCAAAAAGAAAAGGAATGAGGAGGAGGAGGAGGAGGAGGAGGAGGAAGAAGGCCTTAAGCTCTGCCATTAGGAGAGATGGATGGGACCAGAGCCCGCACCAGCTGGAGACCTTGGAAGGGGAGACTCTGCACCTTCTTTTTGTCCTTGCCCTCTTCCATCCAGCTGACTTTCTGCTTGTTTATTGGATTTCTGAACGGCCCAGAGCCCGCAATGTGACTATGTTGCTCCAGAACGAAAGATGACACACAGAGTTCAAGAATGTCTCCTTAGGAAATTTTAAGGCAGCTGGGATGATCTTATCACAGCCATACCAGAAGCAGTTAGAAGCTTAGCTTCCTTAGATAGCGCATGAAAACATTTATCCCATTGCAATTCTATGGCTCCATATTATGGGATTTTATTATGGTTTTATCTTAATATATTATCTCCTATACTCTCTCTCTCTCCTCTCATCTCTCTCTCTCCTATCCATCTGTCTCTCTCTCTCTCCTGTCATCTCTCATCCATCCATCTCTATCTCTCTATCATCCATCTCTCTCTCATCATCATCTCTATCTATCATCCATCTCTGTATCTCTCTCTCTATCTCCTATCTCTCTCTCTCTCCTATCTCTATCATCCATCCATCCATTTCTCTCTCTCCTATCATCTCTCTCATCCATCTCTCTCATCATCATCTCTATCTCCTATCATCCATCCATCCATCTCTCTCTTCTATCATCTCTCATCCATCCATATCTCTCTCATCCATATCTCTCATCATCATCTCTATCTATCTCCTATCATCCATCCATTTCTATATCTCTCTCCTATCATATCTCTCTCATCCATCCATCTCTTTCTCTCATCATCATCATCTCTATCTATCTCTTATCATCCATCTCTCTTTCTCTCTCCTATCATCCATCCATCTCTATCATCATCATCTCTATCTATTTCCTATCATCTATCCATCTCTCTATCTCTCTCTATCTCTCTCTATCTCCTATTATCTCTCTCCCCCCCCCATTTTGAAGTGAGGTTTTGGTCAGATAGTTGTGTCAAATTTGGGTTCAAATCTACACTGGGAGGGACTAAAGTAATGTAATGCAGCTGACTTAAGGAAGAGCTCTTCTCCGAGAAAGCCGCAAGGACAGCCGTTTTAAACATTCTTTGTTACCTGCTGAACGCACACCGTTGCCATGACCGGTTCTTTGTTGAAACAGGATTTCAGGTAACACAGAATTTCTTCGACATACTAAAAACAGAAAGGCAGAATTAGGGGTTGCCCAAACAGCACTGAGCATACTGCAGTAGAAAATGAATAATAAAGAATATGAAGTTCCGGAAAGAAATTACAACGCTATGCGTGTGCAATTGTCAGAATGAGCTCGTTTCTTGCCGCTCTGAAACTAAATCCACTACGGGACCTGTTTCAACCAGAGTTTCAGGGGCCACGGGGAGCCTGGATGCTGCGTGGAGGGTCCCGGGGTGCCTGCTGGGAGCGCAGAGGTTTTGAAGGCTGTGCAGATTGCGCAGAAGGCAAACGTGTTTGGCGTTTTTAGGCCCCGTGACATGCTTCATCCTAATGCCGAGCTCTTAATTCCTATCACTCAATCACAATAGTGTTGATAAGCATCCGTTGTTTTTAGATTTTCATATATTTATTGTTTTTATAAATAATTCAAGGTGGTGAACATAGTTGTTAAACTCTCCTTCCTATTTCCCCCACAACAAGCCTGTGAGCTGAGTTCAAAGCTCTAAACCAGGGGTAGGCAACCTTGGCTCTTTGATGACTGGTGGACTTCAACTCCCAGAATTCCTGAGCCAGCCACACTGAGGGGAAAGGGAGAGTTTCCAAGCTGAGCCATGCTGGCTCAGGAATTCTGAGAGTTGAAGTCCACCAGTCACGAGGCCAAGGTTGCCTACCCCTGCTCTAAACTAATAAGTCTACATTAACATTAATTATGCTTTCATATGTTCCTCTAACTCAGGGGTCTTCAAACGTGGCCCTTTTATGACTTGTGGACTTCAACTCCCAGAATTCCTCAGCCAGGCACACTGGCTGAGGAATTCTGGGAGTTGAAGTCCACAAGCCAAGCCAAGTTTGAAGACCCCTGGTCTACACAAAGTGACCGGAGCATGGTAGGGCAGAAAACGCCAGCTGAGCAGAGATGCTAGGATAGCACACAACATGGCCAAGTTGGAAGACCCCTGTCTTAAAACATCTTGGCTGAGGAATTCTGGGAGTTGACGTCCCCAAGTCACAAAAGGGCCCAGTTTGACCACCCTTGTCTTAAAGCGTCCTGGCTGAGGAATTCTGGGAGTTGAAGTCCACAAGTCATAAAAGGGCCAAGTTTGAAGACCCCTGCTCCAACTGAACTGGCTGAGAGACATTTATAAGACAGCATGAACCCACCTTTCCAATGTCTTGTAGAGTTGCCAGTTCTAAGATTTGAGAGAGAACGTCCAAAGCTGATCTCAGGAAAGCACCAAACTTTTCACTGACGTTTTGGAGATCGAGTGTGACCTTACCAAATAAAGGAAAAGAAAGACAGACATAGAATTCTATTGTTGGCCAAATGTGACTGGACACACAAGCCATTTGTCTCCAGTGCGGAAGCTCTCAGCCAGCCAGCCAGCTCAGGAATTCTGGGAGTTGAAGTCCACAAGTCATAAAGGGGCTGTAGTGTCCCCACCTCTGCCCTAGAACCCGAGTCTTACATATTCAAATGGCTGGCTCAGGAATTCTGGGAGTTGAAGTCCACAAGTCATAAAACAGCCATGGTTCCCCACCCCTGCTGGCTCAGGAATTCTGGGAATTGAAGTCTACAGGTCATAAAGGGGCCGTAGTTCCAGTGATGGGATTCAACTATGTGAACAACCGGTTCTGTGTGTGGATGCCGCTTCTGGAAGTCCATTCTGGACTTGGGCAACAAAAAATTAACTACTGGTTCTGCCGAAGTGGTGCAAACTGGCTGAATCCCACCACTGTGTAGTTCCCACCTCTGCCTTAGAATCTGGGTCTTACATATTAAAATGGCGGGCTCAGGAATTCTGGGAGTTAAAGTCCAGAAGCCGTAAAAGGGTCCGTAGTTGCCCACCTCTGCCTTAGAACCTTATATATTAAAATAAAGCAAAAAAAAAAAAAGCAATAGCAGAAATCACATGAAGTGACCCTGTAGACAAGCATAGAGGTCTTCTCTTCCTCCCTCCAAACTTGGAAAAATCTATGGATGACAGAGAGGCCCAACGGCGAATGACCTAATTTAACAACACAATCTTAGCTAATCAGGCATGTTTCTCACAGCTGGCAAAAGGAAAAAGGCTCCTTAATTTCTATCCAAAACTTCAGAAAAGGCAGATTGCAAGTCAAACCAAAGCAGGGCCGAGAGCCGGCTCCAGATTTTACAAAACACAAACAATCAGAGCTGCAAGTCAACGCCTGGTACTTCCTTGTCAAGATCTAATACAGTGGTTCTCAACCTTTTTAATGCTGCGACCACCAACCGGTCGTACGTTGAGGACTACTCAACCGATCGTAAGTCGAGGACTACTCAACTGGTGCAGCACCGTTGGCAGAACGGGACTTTTGGCGGGCTAAGCAGGGCAGAGACAGCCTGGACAATTCCTATTGGCTTTTGAAAGCCAATAGAATTAGACTCTATTCAAGAGAGTCTATTCTATTGGCTTTCAAAAGCCAATAGAATAAAAGGGAGTAGCACAGCTAAGGAAAAGGGGGGAAAAATGGCGGACTGCGTTGTTTGGCGACCCCCGTGAAATGGTTGTTTGACCCCAAATGGGGTCCCGGCCCACAGGTTGAGAACCACTGGTCTAAGGAATTCGTAACGTGCGGCACGGATTGCTCGGGAAATGCCCTGGGACACAAATACCTTATAGTTGGCGTAGGTGGCCTTCAGGACGTCGTAGAGCTTGAGATACGATGGGAGATGATAGAAGTTACCCAACGTTGAGGATGATTTACTTGGAGGAGCCGAGCTGGGAATGTCACTTTGCCTGGGAGCTGATAAAAAAGTCAAGCAAGGAGAAAAGAGAAATTCCTGAATAACATTAATGCTCTTGAGCGCTTCTCTATACCTCTGTGGATTTAACGTGTGTGAAATTAGCTCAGCGGTTCTCAACCTGTGGGTAGGGACCCCATTTGGGGTCGAACGATCATTTCACGGGGGTCGCCAAGCAACGCAGTCTGCCATTTTTCCCCCCTTTTCCTTGGCTGTGCTATTCCCTTTTATTCTATTGGCTTTTGAAAGCCAATAGAATAGACTCTCTTGAATAGAGTCTAATTCTATTGGCTTTCAAAAGCCAATAGGAATTGTCCAGGCTGTCTCTGCCCTGCTGAGCCTGCCAAAAGTCCCGTTCTGCAAACGGTGCTGCACCAGTTGAGTAGTCCTCGACTTACGACTGGTTGAGTAGTCCTCGACTTATGACTGATTAGGGGTCGCGGCATTAAAAAGGTTGAGAACCACTGGGTTAGCTGGAGGCAAACTGTGGCAAGACGGACACTGCGAGCTAACCTGTCCCCCTCAAACTTAGTAGCTAACTTGAAGAGCACGGAACCAAGCCATGTGTGACAGGTTGTTGTTGTTGATGATGGTAGTTGCTGTTGTTGTTAGTGTCCGACCCATCGTGACCCCATGGACAATGTTCCTCCAGGCCTTCCTGTCCTCTACCATCTTCTGGAGTCCATTGAAGCTCACACCTACTGCTTCAGGGACTCCATCCAGCCACCTCACTCTCTGTCGTCCCCTTCTTCTCTTGCCCTCCATCTTTCCCAGCATCATCGTCAGGATGGCAGCAAAACAGCCATTGAAAGCTAGGTTATCTATTTATTAAACATTTAATTGTTTTACCTCCTGGTGCTCGTTTTTATCTTTTGAATATGTATACACCCAGGAGACTATGTTCCTCAATTTTTAGGTTAATTTTTAATATATATATGGGTCTTTGGTTATTCAGGTTTTCTCCCGCATAAAATTGGAATTTTACGCAGGAGAAAACCCGAATAACCAAAGACCTACAAACACCTACATATATATGTAGGTCTACCAAATATAGGATAAATATAGGATAAATCAGTCTGTTTTGCGTTTCGCTCCAATCTAGGAGCATTTTTTTGCAGGCAGAAGTCACTGCTGTGAACACTGACTAGCTGATGAGAGCTAAAGAGCTTGAAATAGCTATATTAGTCTCCCTTTAACTCTTTGTCAGCCACAAAATTTTGAATAAACACACACACACAAACACACACACACACACACACACACACACACACACACACACACAAAGCCTTTTGCCTTATATCCCGGAGTTCGTTGTTTTTATCTTATTGACTTTAAATGTCCATACCTGGGATTCCAATATTCAAAATTATCAAACACACAGACACACACATATATAAAATCATTTAGACTTTATCACATCATTCTCCAAACCTGGGCTGTTTTCACTCGTCTTTTTAGGGCTTATGGCTACCGTGGCTTGTTCTGCAACATCTTTCTCTTTCCCTTTGCGACGGATTGGACTCAGCGAAGGTGGGTTGGTTAGAGACGGTAACGTGGCCTGGAGGGAAAAATAAATAAATTAATTTAAAAAATCATCCTCACTGCCTTCTAGACGATCAGCCATTCCCTTCGGGCGGGGCGAAGTTTGGACTTGGCGGGCACCCCATCACTGGAGATTTCTAAGAAGAGATTGGACAATCATTTGTCTGAAGGGGTCTAGGGTTTCCTGCCTAAGCGAGGGGTTAGACTAGAAGACCTCCAAGGTCCCTTCCAACTGTGTTATTCGGTTACTCTGCCAACGTACCCTAAATCAGGGGTCCCCAACCCCCGGTCCGTGGACCAGCCCCGGGCCGCGGCATGCCAGCAACCAGTCTGCGCAAAGAAGCAAAGCCCCATCCGCGGGATGCAGGCAGTACATGAAACCACGCCTCCTTCGGTCCACGGAAAATCCTCGTGCCAGGGCGGCATCACTGCGGGCCGCAGCGCGAGCCTCATGCTGGTAGTAGCATCGCCGCGAGCCTGGCAGTGGCAGAAGCCTCACGCAGGTGCTGAGAGCCTCGCGCGCATGCTCGCAGCCCCGTTGGCGTGGTGCGCATGTTGGCAGCCTGTTTGTACGCACGCACGTGCGCACGTGTGGCCATTCACATTTGCGCCTGCGCACGTAAGGCGCCTCCCCCTCCCTCTCCCACCGGGCCGCCAATCCAAAAAGGTCAGAGACCCCTGTATATAATTCACAGAAGCGGTCAGGTGAAAGAGCGATGCTTCTGGTGTTAAAGGCCAAACTCGGCGTAATTGGAGTGGATGAATTTCCAATGCTGGGAATGAGCAGGGGAGTCCCGAAACGGTCGCTAAACGAACTGTTGTAAAGTCGAGGGTGACCTGAAACAAAGTCTGAAAACAAGCCAGCAACCTCCAGGCAACAAGCGTTACCTTTAGTGTCGGGCCGGGAATGGCATCGTCCAGGATGTGGGAGCAAATGTTGATGACCTTCAGCAAATGGGAAAAGAGGTGGTCCACCATCAGGGCCAGCGTCTGGTCAGCTAAGGCCGCCCACGAGTCCTCCTGCTTAACGGCCGCAACGCTCGCTTCGTCCTCGCTGTGCGTCCAGGGGTTTTGCAGAGATTTGGAGGCGCTGGCTGAGAGCACGACAAGCATTGAAAAAAAACGAGAGAGGGCTAAATTGTTTTGATTAAAGACAGGAATAGAGATGTCACGGTTCCGACAGATGATACTCTTCAAAGAACTTCAAGGCATTGTTTACCTTAAAGAATCTTTATTCGAGTAGCATGACATCTGCACGTACATGGTTGAAGCCAAAATCTGAATTCTCCTCCCCTAAACACATAGTATCAAAGCACAATTCCCTCCTCCAATTAACTGTCATAAATCACATTCTCCAATTAATTTGAAATGCAGACCTTCCCGCCAGTTTCATAACCCGCCATTTCTTATCATCTCTTATTTCAAACAACCTTGAAGAATATTCTACTGTGATGTTGTTATGTCTAACTAATCCCCATACACATTCTTCCCCCTCCTTTTACCATTTTAAAACCTGCGAGTGAAGGTTAATTTTTCTCTTACCTGCCAGCAAGTTCCCAGCCAGGACCAAAGCATCTTGGTGAGCAGAGAGATCCAGAGGGAACGAAACGGAGGAAAGGAGGGACAACAGCAAGCCCACCATCCCAATTGTGCTCTTCTCCTGAGGCTCCTCCACGCCTCCCAGGAGAAAAAAACTGGAATTCGAGGTTTAACATTATCAATTTCCACCACCGGAGGAATAAAATGCTGGCACAGAGCAAGTGCAACATAGCGGAGATGACTCTGTTTGCCAAAAGTTTATTTGGGATGACTAACATTCGCCCCACAAGTGGGACTATCCTGCTTGTGTGAGGTTTGGGATTAGGCAAGACTCTGCAGGGACTCCCCCACCCAAAAAAAATTGTTCTTATGGGACACACGAGGGCCTCCCACCCCAGGGGACAAAAGAGAATTCATCGGGCTGGGCAAAACTCAAACTGTGGGTAAGGGATCAGAAAGAGCTGCTCATACATGCTTTGTATCATCAGCCCCAGAATTCCCCAGCCAGCATGGAAGTTGAAGGCTGCCAAGGCTGGAGACCCCTGCCCTGGAACCCCCTTTCCAGGAAAGGGAACGCTAATGAGCTGCAACTTACCCACAATGCCATCCCACGTTCCAGGTGCAAACCGGAAACGACGAGGACAAAAGACACAACGCTTCGCAGCAGCCAAACTGAGAACCGCAAGGGAAGGAAAAATGTCAGGGTCAGTAAAACACAGGGAAACGTGGAAGAGGCGCAGTGTTGGGCGCGGCTTTGGTAGATAAAATGGCGCAATTAAGCTAGAAAAAAGGAGGACAAGGCTAAAGAAGAAGAAAAAAGCCCAACTGGTAAAAGCACGGGGCGTCAAGGATCCGGGATCAAAACTCACCGTCAGAGACCGTGAAGGGGACGTTGTCAAGGCGTGGGACACCGCCGAGATCACTCTGGAAAGATTGTTCTCCACCATGACATCTGCTGGACTTTGCATCAGATTGTATCCTCTGTATGTTCTAGAGCAACATGAAAGCATGTCTTTAAACTTTTCTTACCAAACATTAATCGGGGCTGGTTAAGGAGGGAGCTGAAATTTAACGGATGGTTACGTCCCTTTTAACGGAGGCTTTATTCTACTTGAAGAGTGGAATCAGAATAGAGCTGGAAGGGACCTTGGAGGTCTTCTAGTCCAACTCCCTGCTCAGGCAAGAGACCCTACACCATTTGAGACAAGTGACTGTCCAGCCTCTTCTTAAAAACTTCCAGTGTTGGAGCATTCACCGCTTCTGGAGGCAGGTGGTTCCACTGGTTAATTGTCCTCACTGTCAGGAAATTTTTCCTTAGTTCCAGATTGCTTCTCTCCTTGATTAGTTTCCATCCGTTGCTTCTTGTTCTGCCTTCTGGTGCTTTGAAAAATAAGTTGACCCCCTCCTCTTTGTGGCAGCCCCTCAAATACTGGAATAGTGCTATCATATCCCCCCCCCCTAGCCTTTATTTTCTCTAGATTGGCCAAACCCAAATCCTGCAACCGTTCTTCGTATGTTTTAGTCTCCAGGCCTTTAATCATCCTAGTTGCTCTTCTCGGCACTTTTTCCAAAGTCTAGACATCTTTTTTGTAATGCGGTGACCAAAACTGGATGCGGGATTCCAGGGGTGGCCTTACTAAGGTTTTTATAAAGCGGTACTAATAATTCACCTGATTTTGATTCTATGCCTCTGTTTGCACGACCAAGAACTATATTCGCCTTTTTGGCTACTGCCGCACACGGCTGGCTCATGTTTAACAGATCGTCCGCTGGGACTCCAAGGTCCCTCTCAGTTTGCGTCTGGAAACCTAATGTGTCAAGTTATTCAGCAATTACAAGGATGCAAATTAAACCCAAAGGTGATTTTTTTTTCAGGAGGCAACTGGACTTTCTTGTTTTTCTTTGAAGACGTTTTGCTTCTCATCCCAGAAGCTTCTTCAGCTCTGACTAGATGGTGGGGAATGGGAGGATTTATACTCCTTGCAGACAGCTGGTCATTTGCCTCCTTTTAGAGAGTCATTGAGGCCACTTGGAGGTTTGTCTATGTCCTCAAGGTCACCTGAGTGGTGCAAATGGGTGTGGAACACAGTCCTAAGAACCCTCCCACACCCATTTGCACCACTCAAGTGACCTTGAAGACACAGACAGACCTCCAAGTGGCCTCAACGACTTTTTAAAAGAAGGCAAATGACCAGCGGTCTGCAAGGAGTATAAATCCTTCTGTTCCCCACCACCCAGTCAGAGCAGAAGAAGTTTTTGGAATGAGAAGCGAAACGTCTTCAAAGGAAAAAGAAGAAAGTCCAGTTGCCTCCTGAAAAAGCACCTTTCGGACAACCCCGACCTGGATGACGGAGAACCTCCATTGACAAAGCAAGTTAAACTCGACGACAGATTTATCCTTCGTCAGAAGGAAGAGGCGAGTAAAATAAAAGGTCCTCCTCGTGGATTTAAAGAAATGTTACTGAACGAGGCGTTTACTCCCGGCTAAATGCAGCTCTACCTGGTGATGGTGCTCACGGCAAACTGGGAAGCTGGTGGCGTTTCGTGCATCAAGAGTTTCAGGTAGACGCTGCTCTGCTCCTTCGCCAGAGCTACGACTGGGTCAGCCTGCCCTCCGTCGCAACTGTAGAACAGTTTTGGAACCAGCCTGCGAGAAACGAGGGAAGAAAAGCGAGAAGGCCTTTCTTAGCTAAGAGAAAAAAGAAAACCAGGGACACAACGGGCAGCTTCCACCTGGTGTTCAAGCCTCCTTTGTGTGTGGGGGGGGGGAGGTCCTGGAGAAAACGGTCATACAGCAGCTTCAGCAGACCCCGAAGGACGCAGATGACCGCATTTTTCCGTGTAGAAGACACTATTTTTTCTTGCCAACACCCTGTTCAAAAACCAGGTGCGTCTTATACACAGAAAAATATTAGATAGATAGATAGATAGATAGATAGATAGATAGATAGATAGATAGATAGATGGATGGATGGATGGATGGATGGATGGATGGATGGATGGATGGATGGATGGATGGATGGATAGATGGACGGATGATAGGGATAATAGATGATAGACAGATAGGGTAGATACCTGATAAAGAGAGATAAGATAGATGATAGATAGATAGATAGATAGATAGATAGATAGATAGATAGATAGATAGATAGATAGATAGATAGATGATAGCTAGATAGGGTAACCTCCACAGCCCAGGGCATGCCCATGTGGGTTCTTTACACGCCGCTGCCGTGCCGTCTGGTGCAGGGGTCAAGCCTGCACCAGGCGGCACGGGAGGGGGCAAGGTTGTCAGATGGCAGCATCCAGAGGTAGCGGATGGTACCGGCAGCATGGGTGGCAGGGACAGCCCTTTCGCTCCCTCGTACCTGCATGCTGGCCGGGGACCCTGCGGAACGAACTTCCTGCTTGAGTAGGGGGCTGGACTAGAAAACCTCCAAGGTCTCTTCTGATTGTTTTTACACTTGCCATACAGGACAGCCGATGAGGCATGGAGGCGGCCAGTGAAACTCAATTATATCCTTCTGCCCCTGGTGTTCCCTCCTCGAGGTTGGTGTGTGTGTGTGTGTGTGTGTGTGTGTGTGTGTGTGTGTGTGGGCAACAACAGGCCTGAACTGAATCCCAGCAACACTAGATGGCTATTGGTTTCAGTGATTTCCATAGCTGCAAATTTCATGTCTGCTTTGATGGGTTGCCTTCCAAGTTCTGAGGCTCGCTGATCTCCAGCTTGGAATGTCAATTGCAACACAGAAATAAGTTACCGTATATTCCGGCGTATAAGGCGACCCGGCGTATAAGACGACTGTCTTCGGCGCCGAGTCGCATGCCTAGAAAGTCGTCTTATATGCCGGAAACTACCATATTTTCCGGCGTATAAGACGACCCCCGACTTCGGCGCCGATTTCAACGCTTTCAAAAGTTGTCTTATACGCCGAAAAGTAGGGTAAGTTTTTGCTTTAATTTAGCCCATTAATAACACATTTGATTTCCCTTTTCCTATGGCGACAAGCAACCACTTTCAGTTGTGCCATTCAACGTTCAGCTTTCGTAACGTGCTCCAAACCTTTCCGCATATGAGAATATAAACTTTGTAGTTTGGAGAAGCCTTGAGGCAAGGGTATTTGGGGGTTCACACGCAGTCTTTCCATGAAAACATATTCAGGATTAAACCCCTGCCTATTGACAATTCTTATTCCTAAAGTGTAATTCCCGCTATGCATTAGGTTTACAGCGTATGCTCTCCTTCTGTACAAAAAAATAAGCAAATATGGCAAGAATAGAAAAATTAAGTTTCAGTTGAACGAATACCTTACTAAAGCAGCCGCTGCCACGCGCCTGACCCTGGGGTCTTTGTCCCCCAGGAGAGAAATGACCACTTCCTTCAGAACCCGCTCCTGAAGTTTTAACAGCTGTGGGGGAAAAGGCAGTGCAAAGGCTGGTCAAGAAAAGCTATTTTCAAGGAGCTTAGAGACGGCACCTATCAATAAATTAAAGTAAGACAGAAATCCAGTGTTGGGTTCCCATCTTAAAAGAATGCTAAAACCCAAGAAAAACGTGCTGAGGTTCTTCTAAGCCAGGGGTAGGCAACCTTGGCTCTTTTAGGACTGGTGGACTTCAACTCCCAGAATTCCTGAGCCAGCCGTGCTGAGGGGAAAGGGAGAGGCTTCCAAGCTGAGCCATGCTGGCTCAGGAATTCTGGGAGTTGAAGTCCACAAGTCATAAAAGAGCCAAGGTTGTCTACCCCTGCTCTAACTAATAAAGTCTACATTAATTAACATTAATTATGCTTTCATGTGAATCCTCTAACTGAGGGGTCTTCAAACGTGGCTCTTTTATGACTGGTGGACTTCAACTCCCAGAATTCCTGAGCCAGCAGTGCTGAGGAGAAAGGGAGAGGTTTCCAAGCTGAGCCAAGCTGGCTCAGGAATTCTGGGAGTTGAAGTCCACCAGTCATAAAAAAGCCAAGGTTGCCTACCCCTGTAAATCTAAGCAGTGTTCTTTGCTGTTCCTCACCCAAAGGCAGAAATCTTGCCAAGGTAAAGCAGATTACTTAAAACATTAAGCACAGATTCTGGGAACTATTAGGCAGGATCTGTCTTCACCCTCTTTCTCTCACACAGACTGTCTGAAACAAGTTGTCTCTCGCTCCTCCGGAATGCAGCCCCTCCCACCTGGGAATCCAGATTACGTTCCACCCCATTGACGCTTAGCTAAACATTACGTGAAGGAGAATAAGCGGAAAACAGCAGCTCTCTTCGAATGCATCAATAGCTCTTTTCACGCAATGAAGCATGCGGGCCTTACCCGCGTAGGTTCAGCCTCAACCTGATGCTTACTCACCCCAGTATAATGATGATCCCCTCTATGCAGGTTGCTGTCCCTCTCTTCCAAAAATTGGATCAGCCTTAGCAGCAAAAGGAGATAAAGCCACTGTTACGGTTAAGCATAACGTTAAATGCTAGAGGGAACAAAATTTCTACGGGGGGTGGGGGGTGGGAAGTAACATACGGAGGCTTACCGAAAATCTATTTCAGCCACCGTTTCCAGAAGCTCCGTCCTAACCAGCCAATAGGAACAGTTTCTTAGCAGCAGGAGGTCAACCAGTAATTGCAGCCCCAAGGAACTATGGCTGCTGCCACACAAGCTCATGATACAATGCTGAAAAGAGAAAGGTTTCATTGCTTTTTTCCTTCTTTGGAAGACGTTTTGCTTCTCATCCCAGAAGCTTCTTCAGCTCTGACTGGATGGTCGGGAAGGGAAGGATTTATACTCCTTGCAGAGAGCTAGTCATTTGCCTTCTTTTAGAGAGTCGTTGAGGCCACTTGGAGCTTTGCCTGTGTCCTCAGGGTCACCTGAGTGGTGCAAATGGGAGTGGAGCCTTCTTGGCTGCAGGATGTTCATAAAACACCTTTGGGACAACCGCGACCTGGATGACTGAGAATCTGCACATCTAGCTGTGCCCTTTGGGATGAACAGCCTTTGAACGGTGCGGGAGGATGAACGGATTTCCAGAAAACATTGCAGACTACAGGAACAGGACAGAAAACAGCCTGCAGCCAGAAGGGCTCCACCATCCATTTGTACCGCTCAGCAGTTCGGCAGTTCGAGTCTCACCGGCTCAGGGTTGACTCAGCCTTTCATCCTTCCAAGCTCAATAAAGTGGGGACGACCCCGATTGTTGGGGGGGGGACAACAGGCTGACTCTGTAAACCGCTTAGAGAGGGCTGTAAAGCACTGTCACGTGGTATATAGGTCTAAGTGCTAAGTACTGTTTCTTCCCTCCGCCCCTCCTTCCTTCCTTCCCATGATGGCGCAGTGGTTAGAATGCAGTACTGCAGAAGGCTGACTCTGCCCACTGCCAGGAGTTCGATCCTGACCGGCTCAAGCCTGACTCAGCCTTCCATCCTTCCGAGGTCGGTAAAACGAGGACCCAGATTGTTGGGGGGGGGGGCAATAGGCTGACTCTGTAAACTGTTTAGACAGGGTTGTAAAACACTGTGAAGCGGTATATAAGTCTAAGTGCTATTGCTAACTATTATCTATCTATCTATCTATCTATCTATCTATCTATCTATCTATCTATCTATCATCTCTCTCTTCTATTTACAATCTCTCTCTCTCTCTCTCTCTCTCTATCTATCTATCTATCTCAAGAGCCTTGGTGGCGCAGTGGTTAGAATGCGGTATTGCAGGCTAACTCTGCCCACTGCCAGGAGTTTGATCCTGACCAACTCAAAGTTGACTCAGCCTTCCATCCTTCCAAGGTCGGTAAAATGAGGACCCAGATTGTTTGGGGGGGGGGCAAGAGGCTGACTCTATAAACCACTTAGAGAGGGCTGTAAAGCACTGTAAAGCGGTGTATAAGTCCAAGTGCTATTGCTACTGCCAGGCGTCAAGAAGAAACAACAGTTTTAAAGGTGTTTGCCTACCCTCACAGCTATGCAGGCCAATTTGCACGTGACCGAAGACTCGTCTTTCAGGGTCTTTTGGAGCAAGGAGATACAGTCCACCAGCGTACCTGGAGGGGAAGAACAGCAGAGGCTATGCACCTTTGCCTTCACCTGAACCCTTTCAGGCACAACCCTTTCAGGTGGCCTTCTTCACCCTGTTACCTGGGGATGCTTTTATATTTTCTAGCCAGCTCTCCACACTGAAGCAAGACTGGACCAGGATGGAGTAAATAATAGTCCCGCATAAAATCGCAGTGGTGCCTCTGATCTGTGGATCACCATGGTCGATATAATTCACAATGTCCTTCACGTACTGCTCTTCTAGGAAAATGAATCAGGAATAAATAAAGAGAAAGCCCGCACACGGATGTAAGTTACTCTATGCCAGAATCATCCCAAATCTTTTTTTTAATAAACATTTTATTAATTTTCTATTTTTACAATCAAGTGCTTAATAGACAACGTGATGACTAAGTCCATTAGTAATTCCGTGGTACTTATAAGCTTTTTCAAACTAACTCCAATATTACTCCAATACATTCTCCCTTCTTCTGGTAAGAGACATTACCCCACACTAAGCAAACACAATTCTTATTGTTGTTAATAAATACACAGTTGAATATCAGCACTTGTTGCAGTTCTCTAGTAGTATCAATAATATCAGTTTAGAATATCTTTTCTAACCAAAACATATCTTAATTGCATTTGCACTCCATTTCCATTTATTCGGTCCGTATCCTATTTTCGCTTTTTTCAATTTTAATTTCCCATCCATATTCAAAATACCCCAATCATTTATAATTTCAAAACAAATTCTATTTGGGTAAGCTTCCCTTATTCAAACTTCTTAGCGTATTCTTATTTCCCTTTTCATACCAAGGTATGATATTCTGATTACAAATCTTATCTATCTAGTTATAGTAATACTTCTATTTCTAGCAATGTATTCTTAACCATATTCAAACATCTCATTTAATATAATATCCTCTCTAATAGGTCAAAGCTTCTGTTTTCTTCAGTCTTACTCGGGCTTTCTTCCTTTGCCAACTAACTTTCCGAGTCAGTGCATTTGGATCATCAAATAATTCTTCCTCTATTTTTGTGTACATTATTTGGAACAAGAGAAACAATTTAGTTAAAAGTATTTTTGGAAGAGCCAGCCCATTTATATCCATTAAACAATTTTTAAACAATCCCAATTCTTTTAAAGGCAGATATTCGGGGGCTTGTCTGTTACTCCTCGGATATAAAAGAGCCACATACTTTTAATATATATATATATATTAAAAAGAATCCACAAAACACCTACCCCTTTCCTCTTTGGCACTCTCAGCGGGCATTTTGAACAGTTTGCTGAAGAAAGCTTCCGGGTGAAGGGCCACTGCTGCCCCCACACAGCTGATGGCCAAGGCTTTCACGCTGACCCGGACTTCTTTATCCGGCACCAGAGCTAGAAGAGGACGAACAGAAAGTCAGGTCGCTGGGTCAGTATATAAGGATCTGGTTGACCCCCCTTTTTTTTTGGGACTGAGAAAGCACCACTTTGCAAGCGCCAGAAATATCAATGACATGTTCTATCATTAAGTAATCATTAAATGCCGTCCCATCCCAGAAGCAGTTATGAAGACCCAGAGATGAGCCACCCAGGAACCACTTTTGAGGAAAAAAATAATGTTTTAGGGCCCTGTGACCTCCTTACTCCTGCGGGAAAAAGAGCTTATTGTTTTTACAGAAACTGCAGAGGACATGCTAGCCTGGGGTCTTCAAACTAGCCCACGAGTCACCATGAACTCATAGAGCAAAATGGACATTGCCAACAAACTCAGAGTGCTTGGGTGTGGTTGGGAGGGCACTGACTTTTCTAGGCTGCCCTATCTATGTTTCCTGGTAAAATACATGGGAAAATCCCATTGGAGGAAAATTCCACTTAGGGTTAGGGTTAGGTCACCATGAACTCATAGAGCAAAATGGACACCGCCAACAAACTCGGAGTGCTTGGATATAGTTGGGAGGGCACTGACTTTTCTAGGCTGCCCTATCTATCTTTCCTGGTAAAATACATGGGAAAATCCCATTGGAGGAAAATTCCACTTAGGATTAGGGTTAGGTCACCATGAACTCAAGAGAGGACATCGCCAACAAATTCGGAGTGCTCGGCTATGGTTAGGAGGGCACTGACTGAGGAATTCTGGGAGTTGAAGTCTGCAACGCTTAAAGTTGCCAAGTTTGGACACCCCTGGTTTAAAAGGTAGCAGTAACGTCAGCAGATTCCATCCCCCCAGCATTGCAACCCAGAACAATTTCAAGCTTGGCCTGGTTGTTTTGAAAGCAACGGCGACACAGTTCAAAATCAAACTCAGTTTAACAGCAGCGCCCTGCATAGAGATGTTCTCTAAGCTGAGTTCAGCCACGGAGTTTCCCAATTTAGCATCGGCATGATTTTCAAAAGCCTTATTCCTTTTGGTTCTTAACTGGCCTGGGCGTCAGGTAGGAGGCGATGGGTTCATCCTTTCTCTGCAAGGGCCCCCGTGTGGCAACTCACCCCCTTTCTCTCCTGTGAGCAGAAAAGAGGCTGACAGGAGGCGAACACAATGGACTAATGGAGCAGCGCTTCCATCCTGGTAGCCCCCGATATCGCCTTTAATTCTGGAGAGCTGTCATTAAAAATAACAAAATAAAATCCAATTAAATTTTATTGGAGGTTAAAGTATGCTGGTCAACCAAAGAGGGTTGCTCTTAGGATGCCAAGAGAGTCAAAGAATCACACAAAATTTTACGTCCCCCATCCTGGGCCACATCGGGCCCTTTCGCTCTGTCCCTATGTGAGGTCAATTGAAAATTAGAAATCAAATATAAATAAGTGTACGTCATGCATGCAATATAACTGCATTGCTTTTATTTTAAAGGCGACTGCTGTTTTTTTTTCAATTTATGCATGGGAATGTGTGCGTGTCCGCGTGTCTTCACAGCCCTATCGGTTCAGCCCCCCACAACAATCCAGAATCACAGGCGGTCCTCAACTTACAACCGTTCATTTAGTGACTGTTCCAAGTTACAACGGCACCCAAAAAAGCGACTCGCGATCATTTTTCACACTTACGACCATCGCAGCGTTCCCCACCGTGAAAATGTAGACGCTTGGCACAACTGACCCACATTTATGACGGGTCACAGTGTCCCCTGGGAGGGGAGGGGGGTTTAAGTCATCTCCTTTTGCGACCTTCTGACCCAATGGGCTAAAAACGGATTCAATTAACAACCGGGTTGCTAACTTAACAACTGCAATGATGCGCTTAGTGACTATGGCAAGAAAAAGTCGTAAAACGGGGCAAAAGTCAGTTAACTGTCTCGCTGAACGCCATAAATTTTGGGCTGAACTGTGGGTGGGAGTTGAGGACGATCTACCTGCCAGAGGAGAGACTCAGCTGAGATTGTTGGTCTCCCATCCCTGAAAATCTTGGAGCCCCTCTCACCATAAGAGGGTCTCCCTTCTGCCCAATCTGGGGGTCACAGGAGCGACCCCAGGTCCCCTTGCCTCCCCCCATCAGACTGACCTTATTTCCGTGGTCAGCCAGTTCAGCTTCTTCCTTCGGCGCAAACTTCTCCACGCTGCCATTTGAAGGCTCCCGGCTGTGGCTCACGCTTTTCGCTAAATGAGATCGCTGAAGCTCTTTAAAATAATAACAACTATTTTTATTATTATTATGGATCATCGCACAATCAGCCAGATGTTCAGACTGGATTTGGCATTTTGTCCACCTACCGAGTCCTTACCCAGGACCTGGGATAGGCAGATGTGGATGTTTGATGGTATTACAGGTATCGTCGCAGGATGGAAGCAGTTCCTAGTAAGGCCGCCTTTTGCAATTGACTAATAGCGAATTTGTCAATGCCAATGGTGTTCAAGTGGTGCTCCAGTTGTTTTGGGATTGCACCCAAGGAGCCTATTACTAGTGGTACTACCCTTGCTTGCTTTTGCCACAGTCTTTCTATTTCTATTTGTAGGTCTTTGTATTTTGTTATCTTCTCCAGTTTTTTCTCTTCTATTCTGCTGTCTCCAGGCACTGCCACGTCCACTATCCAGATTTTTTTGTCTTTCTTATCGACAATTGTTAAGTCTGGGGTGTTATGTTGCAGGTGCTTGTCTGTTTGAATTCTAAAGTCCCAGAGCAGTTTGATTTTATCATTTTCTATGACTTTCTCTATTTTATGATCCCACCAGTTATTATTATTATTATTATTATTATTATTATTATTATTATTATTACTACTACTACTACTACTACTACTACTACTACTACTACTACTACTAAACTGCTCTGGGACTTGACCATGGATTCACATTTATGACGGCTGCAGTGTCCCCGGGGGGGGGGGTCACGTGATTCCCTTTTGCGATCTTCTGACAAGCAAAGTCAAGGGGGGGAAGCCTGTTGTTAAGTGACTAACTTAACAATCGCAGTGATTCAATTAACCATTAGCCAACGGAGGCCGTAAAATGGGACAAAGGTCATTGAACAAATGTTTCCCCTAACAACAGAAACCTTGGACTCCGTCGTAGTCGTTAAGCTGAGGACTATCTGGCATTTGCTTCTACTAAGTATCGACGTACCGAGGCAAGAATTTCGGGAAGGATCCAGGGCCTCGTTGTGTAGATCGCTTGTCGCTTCTTCTTCTTCGTCCTGCAGTTGACCGATCTGCATTCCGGAGTACTGATTCTCGCCACCCTCCAGAATCTAAATTGTATACAGAACAAACTTTCAAAGCAGTTGAGATCGGGGGGGGGGGTCTCCAAGCCTGACAGTTTTGCAGACTTGTGGACTTCAGATGTTTTAATTCACCACAATTCCTTTATTGCAATTCCTCACACAATCTAATATTTGATGCTTAACAAATTAATAAAACAATATAATATTCTTATTTTAACATTTATACTTCTTAACTTTACATAACCAAGGTTTTCTTTATCTCAGGTCGTTACAATATCTTATATTCATTACAATATCTTATCTTCAGAATATATGTTTTATCTATTTGGGAATATTCTATTTTAAATCTCATGTGTAAATCAAAACCCCAGGCCTTTTCAGTCTTATTCTAGCTTTCTTTCCTTGGTTGGCTCAGGAATTCTGGGAGTTGAAGTCCTCCAGTCTTAAAAGTTGCCAAGTTTGAAAACCCCCAGTTTAGATTGAAACGTAGATGACACTGAAACCTTACCAAAATTCTGCCCGTTTATATATGCAAGTAAAACATTTAATCAAAGCATTGGGAAGAGGCCAAGCTTAGGGAATGTCAGAGTTATTTCCATGCTCTTTGCTTGCCCCGATCCTTCCAGGACTCCCCCCCCCCAAAAAAATATTCTCAGTTAAGCCTGCAGCCTTGAGAATGTCCTTAACAGGACCAGCCAAAGTATGCTTGTCTAGAGGGGACGGGATACGACATCTTCAGTCTACAAGTCCTTTCAGCAGTTCTGAGAAGGCTCCACATCCATTTGCACCACTCAGCTGACCCTGAGGACACAGGTAAACCTCCAAGTGGCCTCAACGAATCTCTAAAAGGAGGCAAACAACCAGCTCTCTGCAAGGAGTATAAATCCTTCCGTTCCCCACCATTCAGTCAGAGCTGAAGAAGCTTCTGGGATGAGAAGCGAAACGTCTTCAAAGGAAAAACAAGAAAGTCCCCTTGCCTCCTGAAAAAAAAACACCTTTGGAACAACCAGGACCTGGAACAACAGAGAACCTCCACAGACAAACCCACTAGTGTTAAAAAGAGGGGGTAGAAGAAGGGGGGGAAAAGATTAACTTGTGTTTCCATTCTGTTTTTTTATGGCACGATTTTTATTAGGTGGGTCTGGTTTTTTTCCCTTTGTGTAAAGACAGATGCAAAAAACCGAGTTAAATAGTTCTGCTTTCTCCCTGTTGCTTGTCATCTTCTTGCCACTTTCCCCCACTAATGGACCAATCATTTCCTTCACTTTTTTTCTTGTTTTTTACATGTTGAAAGAAGCTTTTTTTGTTATTTTTAACTTTGGTCGCAAGCCTTAGTTCATTTTGAGCCTTAGCTTTCCTCACTTCATCTTTGCAGGCTCGGGCTATTTGCTGATATTCTGCCTTAGTTATGTGCCGCTCTTTCCACTTTCTATACTTGTCCTTTTTATCTTTCAACTTACCAGAGAGTTCTTTATGCAGCCATGCTGGTTTCTTTTGAGAGCTGTTATTTTTCCTCTTTGTTGGTATTGTGCTAGACTGGGCTTTTATTATCCCAACCCCCTGAGCAGGGGCTTGGACTAGATGACCTCCAAGGTCCCTTCCAACTTCATTACTATTACTATTACAACCCCACAACCACAAAGGATCATCCCGGGAACGCTGGCGATGCTCACTTCACGCAACCCATTAGGAACCGCTCTTACCATTTCGGAGAAATCGGAGGGGGTCACCGCCGAGTCCGGCCCTTCGGTGGTGGTCTGGGAGCTGTCGCTGATGGGCGACGAGGTGCCGTCGTTCATGTCCGACTGGATGGTGCTGATCTGGCTGGAACTCCGGCTCAGGATCTCGTCGTCGGCATCGGCTCTTGGGGCCGCGCCTGTCGGATCGCATGCCGGGAGCTCCGACTCGGACTGCAGGACGTGCTGAGAACGGGGCTGTTCCGTGATGATGTCGCAAGCCGGAGGATCGGAGGCCGAGACGGCTGCTGTCGCCAGGCCCGAGGTGGGAGCCAATTCGCTGCTGAGCTCGCTTTTCACAGACCCTAAACGGGGAAAGAAACCGTGTGAAGGTTCCGGGATGCCGTACTACACCTTTAGCGACCGAACGAAACGTTATCATCATGTCGGTAATTATTGCAGCAGTTTTATGGAATTTTTATCTTCTCTTTCCACAAAAAATCCCTTACTCGAAGCCCTTGTAATAAAGAAAAGCCAAAATTAGCACACACACACACACACACACACACACACACACACACACAAGCATAATGTCACACCCGCCCCAAAACAGTCATTTAGGAAAGTAGACTCTTGACGGATTGAAGAGAAAAGGATTTTTACTAAAGACATTGGTTGCAGGAAGATGAGGCAGGATCTGAAGTTCCCACTCGCCGACACAAAGAGCCAAACCCTAAATTAGAACGGAGTCGGAAGGGACCTTCTAGGTCAAGTAGTCCAATCCCTTGCCCAAGCAGGAGACCCTACACCGTATCTGACAGAGGGCAGTCTAGTCTTTCTATTCTATTCTATTCTATTCTATTCTATTCTATTCTATTCTATTCTATTCTATTCTATTCTATTCTATTCTATTCTATTCTACATTCATTCTATTCTATTCTATTCTATTCTATTCTATTCTATTCTATTCTATTCTATTCTATTCTATTCTATCCTGTTCTGCATTCCTTCTATTCTATTCTATTCTATTCTATTCTATTCTATTCTATTCTATTCTATCCTATCCTATCCTATCCTATCCTATCCTATTCTGCATTCCTTCTATTCTATTCTATTCCATTCTGTTCTATTCTATTCTTTCTTCATTTCTCTGTTGTAATTCTAATTCTAGTCTATATTCTATCTTTTCAAAAAGTCAAAACTGCTGCATTTGGTCTTGCGTCGCATCTGGAGTTATATATAAAATATATAAAAAAAATTTCAACACAACGGCTAAGTCACGGTTTATTGTGAAAGTCTAAAGGGGGCTACCGAGCTTTTCCATACAAAAACACGGCATGGAACCCCTGGTGCAGTTTTCCACAATTCCGCCAAGTGAGAGGTTCATTATATGCTGCTCAACTCAAAAGACGTTATTACGTAATACATGCAACCCCCCCCCTTTTTTTAGAAGGCAGTAAATTCACGAGTAAAGAAAAATAACAGCGGATCGATTTCAGTATAATTCTCACAAGAATGAGAAGCTAACTTACCTGCAAAGTCCATTTGGCTGGTTTCAGATCTGGCTTCAGTATCTTCTTCCAGACCTTCTTCTTCTCCTGATAGGACTTTAGCTGATAAATTAACGCAAGAAATATATATATATATATATACACACACCTTGGTACTTTTATGACTCGTGGACTTCAACTCCCAGAATTCCTGAGCCAGCCATGCTGAGGGGAAAGGGAGAGGTTTCCAAGCTGAGCCATGCTGGCTCAGGAATTCTGGGAGTTGAAGTCCACGAGTCATAAAAGAGCCAAGCTTGCCTACCTCTCTCTAGGAGCTGTATCTATCTGATTATCTATCCAGTTCACGTCAACCTTGTTGAGGAGGCACAGAGGATGTGCCCAGCCTCAAAATTATCCAACCAGATTTAAAGACTGCTCTAGATTAGATAACCTTTATTGTCATTTTTTTTCCTGTGGGCATAATGGCACACCTTAAAAATGAAATTTAGTTGCTTCGTCTCAAAGTGTACACATACATAACACACATTTAAAACATACGATATACAACAGGAGTCTTCAAACTTGGCCCTTTGATGACTTGTGGACTTCAACTCCCAGAATTTCTCAGCCAGGCACGGGAGTTGAAGTCCACAAGTCATCAAAGGGCAAAGTTTGAAGACCCCTGATCTAAGTTAAAAATTTGGAACTAAGAGTAGAAAACACATGAAAACAGTTCAAAACCAACATTTTGAATGTTTTATACATACCAAGGGTTTGCCTGTTTTTATATATCTACATCTCTATCTGTATCTCTCCATCTGTCTGTCTGTCTGTCTGCTCACCCATCGACCTATTTCTAGACTTAGTCAAAGATCTGATTGAACCGACACATGCGATGCATTAGGGAAATGCCACAAAAAAAGTCAAATCAAAGCACATGCAATTAACTTAAAAGCAGGTGTAACAATAGTATCAAAACAATAGTACTTTGTCTAAACAAAGTTATTGTATTAAAAAAAAGTATTCAAACCGTTTCAGACATTTAGCCAAACCAATTCATTATGATTGATTAGGTGCCGTCAAGTCATTATTGACTCTTTGCAACCACGTCGCTAGATTTTTCTCCCCGAGTTCATGGTGATAGCTTACATAATTTTAGCCGCAGCGAAAAGCAAGGAATGAAATGTTAACTATGATTCTTTTAAAGGACAGCAATAATAGATGGCGAACGTAAGAAAAGAACGAAGGGCCAAGAGCCAAAGAAATAAAGGTTTTCCCAGTCAAAGGAATGAAAAGAGGTAGAAAACATAAAGACACCGATTTCACAGATATAATCACCTTTTTGTTTTCTGGAAAAAACAGGGCTGCAGGAAGACCCCCCTCCAGCTGCAAATCACAGAAAAACTAAATATTAAAAAGGAATCATAACAATCGCTGAGAAAGGCAGCCACTGTGCATTCGATGCCCGTCTTTTCAAGGAATTGTTTTCAGCAACTGACTGGTTTGGAAAATCAGTTGCTTTGTCTCCCACCGAGCAGAAATCAATCAAATCAACCCCGTTTGGGTTTTTTCCCCCCAATCATCCAAAAGAAAAGTCATTTTGTAAGAGGTCATCAGTTGGAGAAATAAAGACAATCGTCAATTTAATCTAATTTGGTGCAATTTTAGCATGCAGAGAATCAAAAGTTGCCCATGCTTAAAAAGGAAACACAAGGGACCCCTTCACCTCACCTTGAACAGGGTTCATTACAACACAAACCCTAAACAACGCGGGAAGAATCCACAACAGACATTCTCAATCTTTGGGTCGCGATACTTTTAAAGAATTTGACTGCCGGCTTTCTGTGATGGAACCGTTTGGGAAAACGGTGACGTCCCTTCTTTACGGTCTCCCATTTTCAACCCGGGCGAAACGCCGCTTACCTATCAGTTCCACGATGCTGTCACTGCGGCTTCTGCTCACAATCTCGTCTTCGGCTGCGCTGGCTTGCAAAAGCCCCCCACGCATCGTGAGGACCAAGAGGAGGTTGGGGGGAGGCGTCCTGAGGAGTTGCTGCAACAGCTCCAGGGATCCGGTCACAACGTTGTGATCCCGGTGCTGGGTGTACTGGAGACTCAGTTCATACACCTGGAAGGGAAGGGAAGGGGGAAGGAAGGATGGAAGGAAGGAAGGAAGGGAGAGGGAGGGAGGGAGGAAAGGAAGGGAGGGAGGGAGGGAAGAAAGAAAGAGGGAGGGAGGAAAGGAAGGGAAGGAGGGGAAAAGGAGAGGGAGGGAGGGAGGGAGGGAGGGAAGGAGGGAGGGAGGGAAGGAAGAAAGGAAGAGGGAGGGAGGAAAGGGAGGGAGGGAAAAAAGGAAGGAAGGAGAGGGAGGGAGGGAAAGAAGGAAGGGAGGGAGGGAGGGGAGGGGAGGGAAGGAAGGAAGGAAGGAAGGAAGGAAGGAAGGAAGGAAAGGAAGGAAAGAAGGAGGGGAAAGGAGAGGGAAGGGAGGGAGGGAGGGAGGGAGGGAGGGAGGAGGGAGGGAAAAGGAAGAAAGGAAGAGGAGGGAGGGAGGAAAGGGAGGGAGGGAGGAAAGGGAAGGAAGGAAGGAGAGGGAGGGAGGGAAAGAAGGAAGGGAGGGAGGGAGGGGAGGGGAGGGAAGGAAGGAAGGAAGGAAGGAAAGAAAGAAAGAAAGAAAGGAAGGAAGGAAGGAAGGAGAGGGAGGGAGGGAGGAAAGGAGAGAAGGAAGAGGGAGGGAGGGAAGGAAGGAAGGAAGGAGAGAGAGAGAGGGAGGAAGCAATAGCAATAGGACTTAGACTTATATACTGCTTCATATAGTGCTTCACAGTCCTTTCTAAGCGGTTTACAGAGTCAGCTTGTTGCCCCCCAACAATCCAGGTCCTCATTTTACCAACCTCAGAAGGACAGAAGGCTGAGTCAACCTTGAGCCGGTCAGGATCGAACTCCTGGCAGTGGGCAGAATCAGCCTGCAATGCCGCATTCTAACCACTGCGCCAACACGGCCCTTGAGCGAACCGTTACCTCTATGAGTTGGTCCAAGGAAGGCGAGATCTCGGTTTCCTTCTGTATCACCCCGAAGCTGCCTTTCAGGCTGGTGTCTTTCACCTGCTGTTGCAGCAATGGGATCAGGTACCTCAGGGTGAGCAACACCCCGAGGATCAAGACGCTGGGATGCTCTTCTTCCTTGGGACACAGCAGCCCTGCGGAGAAGACAATTGGAGCAGCTGACAAGCCACACCGCCCTCCAGCCCTTCACAACGCCCACTGACTCCCCCTCCCAGGATCTAGGGCAGGGGTAGGCAACCTTGGCTCTTTCATGACTCGTGGACTTCAACTCCCAGAATTCCTGAGCCAGCATGGCTCAGCTTGGAAACCTCTCCCTTTCCCCTCAGCATGGCTGGCTCAGGAATTCTGGGAGTTGAAGTCCACCAGTCATAAAGCAGCCTAGGCCTAGGCCAGAGGTAGGCAACCTTGGCTCTTTTATGACTGGTGGACTTCAACTCCCAGAATTCCTGAGCCAGCCACGCTGAGGGGAAAGGGAGATTTCCAAGCTGAGCCATGCTGGCTCAGGAACTCTGGGAGTTGGAAGTCCATGAGTCATAAAAGAGCCAAGGTTGCCTACCCCGGTAGTGGGCGGTGGCCCATAGTTTGGGGACCCCTGCTTTAGAGCACACCAGCCATCCAGGGAGAGCGCAGTGTAGATGTTAGTGCTAGAGGGGCTGGTGGTTAATGGGAGCCAGAGAGATCTTTCCACCAGGCCGTGTGTGTGTGTGTGTGTGTGTGTGTGTGTGTGTGTGTGTGTGTGAGAGAGAGAGAGAGAGAGAGAGAGAGAGAGAGAGAGAGAGGGAGGGAAGGAGGGAGGGGGGAAGGAGAGAAAGAGAAAGGAAAGGAGAGAGGGAGAAGAGAGGAAGAAAAAGAGAGGAGAGGAAGAGAGGAGAGAGAAAAAGAAAAGGAAAGAGAGAGGGAGGGGGGAGAAAGATAAAGGAGAGAGAGAGAAGGAGAGAGAGGAAGAGAGGAGACGGAAAGAGAAAAGGAAAGAGAGATAGAGGGGAGAGAGAGGAGAGACAAAGAGAAAGGAGAGAGAGAAGGAGGAGAGGGAAAGAGAAAAGGAGAAAGAGAGAGAAAGAAAGAGAAAGAGAGAAGAGAGAGGGAAGGAGAGAGGGAGGGAGGGAGGGGAAGGAGAGAAAGAGAAAGGAGAGGGAGGGAGAGAGAGAGAGAGGGGAAGAAAGAGAAAAGGAGAAAGAGAGAGAGGGAGAGGAGAGAGAAAGAGAAAGGAGGGGGGAGGGAGGGAAGGAGGGAGAGGGAAGGAGAGAGAGAGAGAGGGAGGGAGAGAGAGAGAGAGGGGAAGAAAGAGAAAAGGAGAAAGAGAGAGAGAGAGAGGAGAGAGAAAGAGAAAGGAGAGAAAGAAGGAGAGAGGGAGAGGAGAGAGAAAGAGAAAGGAGGGGGGAGGGAAGGAGGGAGAGGGAAGGAGAGAAAGAGAAAGGAAAAAAGGAGAGAGGGAGAGGAGAGAGAGAAAGAAAGAGAGAGAAAGAGAGAAGAGAGAGGGAAGGAGAGAGAGAGGGAGGGAGGGAGGGAGGGAGGGGAAGGAGAGAAAGAGAAAGGAGAGGGAGGGAGAGAGAGAGAGAGGGGAAGAAAGAGAAAAGGAGAAAGAGAGAGAGGGAGAGGAGAGAGAAAGAGAAAGGAGGGGGGAGGGAGGGAAGGAGGGAGAGGGAAGGAGAGAGAGAGAGAGGGAGGGAGGGAGGGAGAAGGAGAGAGAGACAGAGAGCAATAAAGACCCAGCAAAGCTGCAGCAGGAAAACAAATTAGGCACTTACCTAGCAACACCTGAAGCAACCGGGTGTAAAAATACTGTGTCCTTCGTGAATGCTGACAGATGCTCACCGTGGCTGCAGCCGCCGTCCGACGGATGGTGGGAGAGTTGGAGTTAAGATTACCTATGAAAGCTTTCAATAAAACCTAAAGTGAAAAGAAAAATCAATGAAGTCTTTCTGTGCCATCTGAGCTTCCCTTTTCAACATCTGGCAAAGGGCAGGCCGAGATGCTCTCGCTCAACGATATGACCTCGAGGTAAACATCAGCCCAACAATTACTGCTACTCCGACGTTAAAAACTCAAAAGAAAGCTTCTTACGCTTTCCGAGAGGAAGAATTAAGCTGTCCTCAGCCCTGGACAAGACTCTATAACTCACTGAGGAAGACATTCTCCTCCATCATCTAAGGATTCCCAAAGTCGTTGCTTAATGGCAGCCTCCAGAATTACTTATGGGCTTCATTCTGGATTTTTTAAAAAAAAATATTGACCAGGAGCAAAAGTAAGCAGGGGGCAGCCACGAGTTCAGTGAGAAACACCCCCTCTCCTTGAAGTGAAGTGTTAATACCCCTTTACAAGGCCTTGGTAAGGCCACACTTGGAATCCTGCATCCAGTTTTGGTCTCCACGATGTAAAAAAGATGCTGAGACTCTAGAAAGAGTACAGAGAAGAGCAACCAAGATGATCAGGGGACTGGAGGCTAAAACATATAAGGAAAGGCTGCTGGAATTGGGCAGGTCTAGTTTAATGAAGAGAAGGACGAGGGGGGACAGGATAGCAATGTTCCAGTATCTCAGGGGCTGCCCCAAAGAAGAGGCAGTCAAGCTATTCTCCAAAGCACCGGAAGGCAGGACAAGAAGCAACGGATGGAAACTGATCAAGGAGAGAAGCAACTAAGGAGAAACTTCCTGACAGTTAGAAGAATTAACCAGTGGAACCACCTGCCTCCAGAAGCAGTGAATGCTCCAACACTGGAAGTGTTTAAGAAGAGACTGGACAGCCATTTGTCTGAAATGGTATAGGGTTTCCTGCCTGAGCAAGGGGTTGGACTAGAAGACCTCCAAGGTCCCTTGCAAGTCTGCTATTCTATTCTATTCTATTCTATTCTATTCTATTCTATTCTATTCTATTCTATTCTATTCCATTCCATTCCATTCCATTCCATATTCTATTTCTAGTCTGTAGTTCTATTTCTATTTCTATTCTGTAATTCTATTCTATTCTGTAATTCTATTCTATTCTATTCTATTCTATTCTATTCTATTCTATTCTATTCTATTCTATTCTATCTACTCTATTCTACTCTACTCTACTCCTCTGCAGGTGACATCAGCCCAGGATTTGCAAGTCGGCAACCTGCTTGTCCTAGTGCCAATCCCAGGACTTTTTCCCATTGGTAGCTTCTCTCTTACAAGGAGACTCCAGGAACCTTCAGATGGGGAAGCTATCCCCAATTCTTCAACGTGGTGGACCACTTACGGAAACAAGCACGAGAGAAGACAGATCCCGCGTATTCAGGGACGGCCTCCTGCTCAGGGTCTGGTGTCCCAAACAGCCTGCTTCCCCCCGCCCCCTTCTCTCCAAAATCTAAACCTAATTCCAAAACTTCGGCACACCTGGGCAAACCTTTCATACAGCAACCTACTTTTGATCTCACTCGCACGCCGTCCCTCGTTGGCGGACTTATTAAAACCGTAACTCCCTCTTCCAACACTCTGGGTCTGTTGAGTCTGGCGTTAGCGTTTAAAATAATTTTACCTTGATGTCGCCGTCGTTCGCAAAATTTCCAAAAGCTGCCATGATTTTGGGCATCGCCGCCGCCAAGGTTTCCTGCACGGAGTCTTCGGGCCGCCTGCTGACCCGGGTTAAGCAGGGCAGGAGGTTCACAAAGTACGGCCTGCACCAAGAGATGGCAAAAAAAAAAAAAAAATATCGCTCAAAGGCTTGGAACAGGATACTTCCTTTTTGTGACGTGGTGCAACACAAAAGAGGGCCAGCAATGTGATTTCCCCCCCCTTGGCGAGTTGCATTACAGAATGGAATGGAGTGGAGTGAAGTGGAGTGGAGCAGAATAGAATAGAATAGAATAGAATAGAATAGAATAGAATAGAATAGAATAGAATAGAATAGAATAGAATAGATATTGGAGAATATAAGGATAGGATAGGATAGGATAGGATAGGATAGCATAAGGTAGGGTAGGGTAGAGTAGAGTAGAGTAGAGTAGAGTAGAGTAGAATAGAACAGAATGCACAATAGGATAGGGTAGGGTAGAGTAGAGTAGAGTAGGGTAGAGTAGTATAGAAGGAATGCAGAATAGGATAGGATAGGATAGGATAGGATAGGATAGATATTGGAGAATAGAATAGAATATGTAATAGAATTAGAATAGAACAGGAATAGAACAGAACAGAACAGAAATAGGACACAACAAAACAGAAAACAGAAATAGAACAGAACCGAACAGAATAGAATAAAATAGAGCAGAATAGAATATATAATAGAATAGAGCAGAACCGAATACAGAATAAAAACGTTATTGTCACTTTAAATATACACTAATCAGCATACATTAAAATTAAATTTCATTGAGTTCAGCTCTAAAAAAATACCATTATGCATACATCCACACACACACACAGATGACACAGAGAAACATCAGTCTAGTTCGAATGTATACATATATGTGGCAAGAAAAAAAAAGAATCCTACGAATTTACAAGACAGATGGCATAAGGAACAAAGCTGTTACAGAATCTAGTAATTCTGCTATAAGTACTTCAAAACCTCCTCCCAGAGGGGAGCAACAGAAACAGCCCATGAAGTGTGTGTGTGTGAAGGGGGATCTCTAACAATGCTCCGCGCTCTAAGCACATATAAGCGCTTATAAGCCCTTTTCTGAATAATGGGAAGTGGTCTTCCTATAATCTTTTCAGCTGTCCTTACCACTCTCTGCATGGACCTGAAACAGCTGGCTAGGCAGATGGAGAGCCGGTCAACCAGGTCCCAGTCCAACTTTAGTAACACACAGGTCACACCCCAAACCTGCAGGCCCAGAATCCCCCAGCCTGCTTCTTGCTCTCAAGGAGATCATCTCACCTGCATTTCTGAGGTCTCACAAGATGTGCAAGCTCAGCAAATCTCCACAGAGCAGCCCGCAGACTCCGGGAAGCACCGTTCTGAAAGACACAACGGAAAAGTGCGACTGGCTTGTCAGCTACAAGAGAGGATAGCCTGAGCTAACAAGGTAGGCATGAGGATCTTACAGAATCCCTACCACAAAATAAACCTATAGCCAAGTGACTCGTGCGAGTCCCTGCCGAGCTGCAAGCAACCATGCAGCCAGCTTTTCTGAAATAAACTAGGGTTTTAAAAACACAAATATTCTTCTTGAAAACTTTAGATCAACCGTTCTCAAAGGGTGATTCGTTGTGGATGCTCCAACACTGGAAGTTTTTAAGAAGAGACTGGACAACCATTTGTCTGAGATGGCAGAGGATTTCCTGCCCGAGCAGGGGGTTGGACTAGAAGACCTCCAAGGTCCCTTCCAACTCTATTACTATTGCTATCATTATTATTGATCATCGCACAGTCAGCCAGATGTTCAGACTGGATTTGGCATTTTGTCTACCTATCGAGTTCTTACCCAGGACCTGGGATAGGCAGATGTGGATGTTTGATGGTATTACAGATATCGTCGCAGGATGGAAGCAGTTCCTAGTAAGGCGGCCTTTTGCAATTGACTAATGGCGAATTTGTCAATGCCGAAGATGGTGTCCAAGTGGTGCTCCAGTTGTTTTAGGATTACACCTAAGGCACATATTACTGTTGGTACTACTCTTGCTTGCCTTTGCCACAGTCATTCTATTTCTATTATTATTATTATTCATTAGACGTGAACCTCAGTCAACTGTACATTCCAATTGACTGGCGCTGATGGTTGACACGGGTTGCTACCAGCATCCTAGGTGTCAACCAGGTACCTTCTTAAAATGTAAGATATTCCGAGTAGCGTAGTTTTTTGTAGCATTGCTGGAGTTATTGCAGGAAGCTGCAGTTTCTTGATGTGTTTTGCAAAGTTTTTGTACATAGTTCCCAGGGCCCCGATGACAACGGGTATCACTGTAACACGTTTCATCCATAATTGTGCACTTATTATTATTATGGACCATCGCAGTCAGCCAGACGTTCAGACTGGATTTGGCATTTTGTCTACCTATCGAGTCCTTACCCAGGACTTGGGATAGGCAGATGTGGATGGTTGATGGTATTACAGATATCGTCGCAGGATGGAAGCAGTTCCTAGTAAGGCCGCCTTTGCAATTGACTAATGGCGAATTTGTCAGTGCCAATTGTGTTCAAGTGGTGCTCCAGTTGTTTTGGGATTGCATCCAAGGCGCCTATTACTATTGGTACTACCAATAGAAGTACCTATTACTATTGGTACTACCAATGGTAGTACCTATTACTATTGGTACTACCAATATTATTATTATGGATCATCGCACAGTCAGCCAGATGTTCAGACTGGATTTGGCATTTTGTCTACCTATCGAGTCCATTATTATTGTTGTTGTTATTGTTTTGTTGTTGTTATTGTTGTTGTTATTATTATTATTATCACAAGTTCCTTTTATTAGGGGATCTGTGAAGTCAAATAAATATTTTTTAAAATGTCTCAACTTTGATTTCCAATGCAGTAGACACACCAAAAGCAAAAATCAATCATTTTAAAGAACGTAACATCACCCTAAGACCAAAACTGATGTTCTAGGCTGGCATTTCTCAACTTCGCCCACTGCAAGATGTATGGAGTTCAACTCCCAGAATTCCCCAGCCGATAGACCAGCATGCACCTTGCAGCCATCCCATCAGCCCCCCCCAATCTCTCCCCTCAAATAAAGTCTTCATTTCTCATGGCTTTAGCTGACAACGAACTGTTAGAGTCCCAAATTCCTGTGGAAAACTCTACACAGGCAAGCCCTCGACTTACCACAGTTCATTTAGTGACGTTTCAAAGTTACAACGGCACTGAAAAAAGTGACTTGATGACCAATTTTCACGCTGACAACCGTTGAGGCATCCCCGTGGTCACGTGATCAAAATTTGGAGGCTTGGCCACTGATTCATATTTATGACGGTCGCAGCGGGCCCAGGGGGGGTCACACGATCCCCTTTTGCGACCTTTTAATAAGCAAACTCAAGGGGGGAAGCCGGGTTCACTTACGACCAGGTTACCAAGTTAACCACTGCAGCGACTCTCTTAATGACGGTGGCAAGGAAGGCTGCAAAGTGGGGCGAGATTCACTTAACAAATGTTTCCCATAGCAACAGAAACCTGGAGCTCAGTTTTGGTTGAAAGTCGAGCATGCAAACAAACCCACCATTTTGTGTCGAAAGGAACTCACTTTTTTAATCTCTTTGTAGAGTTCCAATTGTAGCCGAGGGAGACTAGAATCCATCAGCGCCTAGAAGGGAATCAAGAGTGCAGATCAACCATGTATTCATTTAACCAACATTCTGGGCTAAAGTAGCAGATGTATTTATTACAATGATTTTTAGCCCCTGAACAGCAACGAAGCATAGCCCTAGAGCAGAGGTAGGCAACCTGGACTCTTTTATGACTGGTGGGCTTCAACTCCCAGAATTCCTGAGCCAGCATGGCTCAGCTTGGAAACCTCTCCCTTTCCCCTCAGCATGGCTGGCTCAGGAATTCTGGGAGTTGAAGTCCACCAGTCACAAAAGAGCCAAGTTTGAAGACCCCTGAGCTAGAGGAACATATGAAAGCATAATTAATGTTAATTAATGTAGACTTTATTAGTTTAGAGCAGGGGTAGGCAACCTTGGCTCTTTTATGACTCATGGACTTCAACTCCCAGAATTCCTGAGCCAGCATGAGGGAACTATGGCCCCTTCATGACTTGTGGACTTCAACTCCCAGAATTCCTGAGCCAGCATGGCTTAGCTTGGAAATCTCTCCCTTTCCCCTCAGCATGGCTGCCTCAGGAATTCTGGGAATTGAAGTCCACGAGTCATAAAAGAGTCACGTTTGAAGACCCCTCAGTTAGAGGAACACATGAAAGCATAACTAATGTTAATTAATGTAGACTTTATTAGTTTAGAGCAGGAGTGGGCAACCTTGGCTCTTTTATGACTGGGGACTTCAACTCCCAGAATTCCTGAGCCAGCATGGGGGAACTATGGCCCCCTCATGACTGGTGGACTTCAACTCCCAGAATTCCTGAGCCAGCATGGCTCAGCTTGGAAACCTCTCCCTTTCCCCTCAGCATGGCTGGCTCAGGAATTCTGGGACTTGAAGTCCACCAGTCATCAAAGAGCCAAGGTTGCCTACCCCTGGCCTAGAGAGAGCTTGGATACATAAGTGTTTCTTATCTCTACTCTTTACTCAACAGCACTAATACTCAAGTACTACAAAGGATCGAAAGAATGTCTATGGCAGGGGCACCCACCCCTTGGCAACTTCAGACTTGTGGACTTCAACTCCCAGAAGTCCCCAGCCAGCCGTGACCTAACACCACAGGGGTCTCCAACCTTTTTGGATCGGCGGCCCGGTGGGAGGGAGGGGCAGGCGCCTTATGCACGCATGCGCAAATGTGAATGTGCCACACATTCTTTTTGTTGTTAGGGCCGAATGTGTGCTTTTGTTTCATTTTGCTTGTTTTTCTGTTTTGTATTTTATTTTTTTATGATAAAACAATAAATAATATTAAAAAATCGGGCTCAGGTGTGGTTGTCAGTATACTTAAGTGCTGGTCAGTGGCCTCTACCTCCCCATGCTGGCTTAGAAGGAATTTCAGTGTTCCACACCTCTTCCTAGGATAGCTGAACATTCAGACAAGCTAATTTCTATGTGAAATGTTGCAACATGTACACATCAAGAGACCGGCTACTTTAAGTCATCCCAAGCCGTTTTTTTTCAGCTCTCAAAGGTCCGTTTTCCTGAATTTAATCCATATTTATAGGTCATAAAATATACCACTTACTTTTATCACTTTATTGAGACACTCGTCGGCGACCATCCTGACATCAGACTCTGCATCGTCGCTGCACAGAAGGAAGAGTTCCATGGCGATCCCCAACAACTTTGGAAACTCCGGAGAATTCCTTAAAAAAAGACAACGTTGCATCCAGTTAAGAAAAACACCTCATTGGTTTCACACGGTTTCAGGAGTGGCTGGGGCACACAAACTATGATTTTCTCAAAGGTGGCTTTTTTTCAGGAGGCAACTGGACTGTCTTGTTTTTCCTCTGAAGACGTTTCGCTTCTCATCCAAGAAGCTTCTTCAGTTCTGACTGGGTGGTGGGGAACGGAAGGATTTATACTCCTTGCAGACAGCTGGTCCTTTGCCTCCTTTTAGAGGGTCATTGAGGCCACTTGGAGGTTCACCTGTGTCCTCAGGGTCACCTGAGTAGTGCAAATGGGTGTGGAGCCTTCTGGGAACTGCTGAAAGGACTGTCTTGTAGATGATCCAAATTGAACAGCCCTCTCTCAAATCTACAACACAGTCTGTGGTTTGTATCATTCCTTGGTGTAATCCTGACACAGGCAATGCCTGGTCAGTTGTCCAATCCACCTGTTTATGTTGCCTTTGAGCAGGGGTCTTCAAACTTGGCCCTTTGATGACTTGTGGACTTCAGCTCCCTCGCACGCTGGCTGAGGAATTCTGGGAGTTGAAGTCCACAAGTCATCAAAGGGCCAAGTTTGAAGACCCCTGTCTTAAAACATCCTGGCTGACAAATTCTGGGAGTTGAAGTCCCCAAGTCACAAAGGGGCCAAGTTTGAAGACCCTTGTCTTAAAGCGTCCTGGTTGAGGAATTCTGGGATCTGAAGTCCACAAGTCATAAAAGGGCCAAGTTTGAAGACCCCCTGCCTTTGAGCCCCACAGAGCAGCAACAGAACTTCTGCAGGCAGTTCATGCACCTCATCCCAACAGAGTTAAATCAAGGGAGCGCACATCCCAAACGCATCCATCGGTCACCAAGAGGTCCTATTTGATCGCCTTGATTTTCTTCCTGTTTTGATCACATTTGTTAAACCTGTACCACATTTGTAGATTTCCTTCTGCGAGACTCAGGGCCTTCCATGGTTTTCCACTAATATCATTTCTAAACCCTCCACTGTTTTCAGTAACAGAGTTCAGAAAACGCTTGATTACCTTAAACTCTGAGCAACGATGTTTTCACATATTGTCAGGCAATGATTGACTCGGTCTTTCTTGGATGTGGACAATTCCTTCTTTCTACAATAAAGACACAACCATTAAATTACGCCCACGTACCACGTTCTTGTTTTCTAGCCATAAACCCACTGCTCTGCGTCAGCCAGCCTGCTTTTGGCAACTGTCTGGAGGAAGAATGTAGCATTGGAGCTGCTCCATGGCAAGGGCCAGGACACTTAGAAATGAAAACAGCTGTTGGTGCCCCAAAATGCATCACCATGGTCAGTCTAGACCTGTCACTATGCAAACATACACATATAAATCAATGTGAATGAAATGGAACATTACAATAATTGGGATAGATAACCTTTATCATCAGTTTTTACTGTGGGCATAAAGGCACGCATTAAAAATGAAATGTAGTTGCTTGCTTTCAAAGTATACACACACATATCACACATCTAAACATACTATATACAACGTATGCGTACACCTACACCCTTACGTATAAATAATATATAAATATTAATCACTGTCCATCTTGAATCAAATAACCAAGAGTGTAGTACTTTCTTAAAATAGTTGCATAAAAATGAATTTAGCTTAATGTATAACCATACATTTATACACAGCTGTGGCCCTTTTAAAACATACCAGACAATTAAGGGGGGGGGAGTTTTGCTCGCTAGCCAGTTTGCCAATAATTGTCTCTGATCCAGCATCTCAGCCATGATTCAGCTCCACACATTCTTCTGATCCAACACAGCTTGTTACAGTTCAACACTCTCCCAACATTCTGATCTCCAGAGTTACTGGCCTGAATGAAATTCCAGTCCCTGTTATTTCTCCAGCCACTGATGCCTCTGAGGTAGTAGGAATTGCATTCAGCTATTTATTTAGCTAGAGAATTCATCTGTTCCCTTTAATGTGGAATAATAATAATAATGAAAAAATCACTAGAATAACGATGTGTCTGTATAATTACTGGAATAATGCTGTGTTAGCAATATGTGACTAACCAAATACGCATTGCACTTGGAAACGATGTATGTAGCAAAACTCTCCATTGTATGCCTGTGAGAAACTAACCTAATGTATTACCATGTAGATTTCTATGTGTGTTCCTTTGTTCCTGAGAAAGGGAAAGTATAAAACTGTAGTCTGAACCCACCCTCGGGGTTCAGAATTGCTTGTTGCTATTGCTTCTGAACCTGCGGAATAAATCTCTCTGCTAAAACCCTCTGGAATTCGTACAAGTTCCTTTCGTTTTCCACAAGACCTTAACGTGGGAACACTTTTATCCACCCTAGCTGACCAAGGACCATCAGGCCAAGATCTTTTATAGTTCTTCACAACTGCACCCAGGAGAAGGCCAAACCTGCTCAGCTGATCCTTGAAGGGCGGGCAACCCCATAACTATTTCTCCCTTCTTCTGCTCTGTCAATTTACGCGTCCACGGCAAGTCACTCCCAGCCTGGGACACACAGACAGGCCTTGGAGACATCCACCCTCCAACTCATGGGAAAAGGGAACCACAGGTGGGTACGCTGGTGCCAAAGAGGCTCTTTCGAACAGGGCCAATAAGGTGGATGGTGATGGGTCCTCTATATATGTGTGTGTGTGTGTGTGTGTGTGTGTGTGTGTGTGTGTGTGTGTGTGTGTGTGTTTCAATTCCTGGGGGCACAGCAGAATAATCACTGCAACAAGCCAGGGTTAGTGTTAGCGAATCTACGGCAGGGCTCCTCAAACTTGGCCCCTTTTAACACTTGTGGACTTCAACTCCCACAATCCCCCAGCCAGCCAAGTCTCAAAGGGGCCAAGTTTGAGGACCCTCCCCCCCATTTACTGCCTTGCAGTCTGACCCAGCCAAGGGTCTCAAGGGCCGAAGACCCCCTGGGGGCTCAGCCTGTCCTGGTGGGGGGGAGGGGGCAGCCCGAGGGGAGGTCTTCCTGGCCCCCCTCCTCCTCCTCCTGGGGGCCTTAGACCCGCTTAGGGGGGACGGGGAAGGGCTCCCCCTGACCACACGGGACCCCCAGGTTTTGGGGCCAGAGGCAAAGGGGGAAGAACGGTCCGTCCTGGCTGGGCGGGGGGGGGCTCTTCACCAGGACCCCCGCCCCGCTTAGCAACAGAAACGCTGCCCTCCCTTGTGGTCGTAAGTCGAGGACTGCCTGTAGTCTGACCCAGCCAAGGGTCTCAGGGGCGGAAGACCCCCCCCGGGGGGTGCAGCCCGAGGGGAGGTCTTCCTGGCCCCCGCCTGAGCCCCCTCCTCCCTGCCTTAGCCCCGCCTGGGAGGGAGGGGCCGGGGGCCGATCACAAGGGGTTTCTGGGAAAGAGGCGGGGGGGGAGACGGAATCCCCCCCACTTGCCAACCCGGCTGGCCTCCCCCGGCAGGGTCGCGTCTCCGCCCCCCCCACTCACGGGCGGGCGGGCGGCTCCTCGGGCGCGGGGGCGGCGGGGCTGGGCGGCGGCGGCGGCGGCGGCTGCTGCTGGAAGGAGCGCAGCGCCTCGAAGGCCCGCATCAGCTTCTCCATGGCGGCCATGGCGGAGCGCGGCGAGGGGGCGGGGCGCTCCCTACGCCGGCCCCGCCCCCGGCCCCGCCTCCGCGCGCCCCGCCGGCCCTTCCCGCCGCCGACCTTGCCCGGCAGCCACGCCTTCGGGGCGGCGACCTGGGCGGAGCCTCTCCGCCCCAAGACTTCGTCCCCCCCCGCGGGAGGAGGATTCTCCTGCGACGTCATCACAAGGCGCCGAGCGCGACCCAGCCAACATGGCGCGGCGGTTGTTTTCATCCTTTGAGATTACTCCGGCGACGTCATCGCGGGGCGCCCAGCGCGACAAAGCAACATGGCGGGGCGGGGAGCGGCCAGAGGCTCGAAGAGCCCCTTCGAGGTGAAGATCAACCGGGAGAAGTTCCCCGTGTTGGGGCGCCGGGATCGGCACGCGGTGGGGCTGCCGGGCGTGGCGCGCTCCCGGGCCCACGCTAAGGTGAGCGGCGGGGCGGACGGGCGGGGGGGGGTCGGGCTGGATGATCTCGGCTGAACCCTTTCCTGACTTCGTCTCGTCTCCCCCCCCCATCTCAGCGCCAGCAGACCCTGCAGAAGGAGTTCCAGCAGCGGGAGAAGCGCGGCGTCTTCCGGGACCGGCGCTTCGGCGAGTACGACGGCGGGTTGAGCGCGGAGGAGAAGGCGGCGCGGAGGTTCGCTTTGGAGCGGCAGGTAACGGCCTCTCTTAGGGCCCCCCCCTCAATTTACTGGGGGTGGGTGGGGTGAGGAAAGCCCCGCCGCGGCCCAGCGCTTCGTTCCTGGTGGAGAAGATGGCTCCAAAGGCAGAAGGAAGGGATAGAATACACAGTAGTCCTCGACTTACGACCGAGCGAAGTCTTTGTTAAGTGAGATTTTCCCCCTCCCTGTTTTACGACCTTCCTGGCCACGATTGCTAAGTGGATCATTGCAGTTGATAATTCAGTAATACGGTTGTGAAGTGAATCAGGCTTTCCCCACCACCCCACCGGGACACGGCAACGCTTGTAAGTATGAAGCAATTGTCAAGCATATGAATTTCAATCCCATGATCGTGGGGATGCTGCAAAGGCTGCAGGTGGGAAAAACGGTCATGAGTCCCTTGTAACTTTGAACGGTCGCTAAATGAACTGTTGTAAGTCAAGGTGTTGCAGAAAGCCACAGGACTCAGACCACGGAATCAAAAGAAATTGTTTTATTTGCGCAAGGTTCAGAGCAATATTTATTTATTTATTTTATTTATTTATGAGACTTATATACCGCTTTAAGTGCGAGCACTCTCTAAGCGGTGTACACCAGTAAGCAATGTATATATATATATATATTTACATTGCCCCCAACAATCTGGGTCCTCATTTTACCTACCCCGGAAGGATGGAAGGCTGAGTCAACCTTGAGCCGGTGAGATTTGAACCGCTGACCTGCTGAACACAGTCAGCTAAAGTGGTCTGCAATACTGCACTCTAACTGCTGCGCCACCTCGGCTAGATTTGTAAGCACATCTGAACAGCTTCTTATAAAAAAAAGTTCATATATACTGTTCAGAAACAACAAAACACAGAAATGTAACTTGTTAGCATTGATTGGTTACTTGAATCACAGCCCCCCGGTTGCTATGTTACCATAGCTAAAATGTCAAAGCATCTATGTTTCTTTTGTGGTTAGCTACAAATGAGACATAGAGACATATGTGGTTACCTGTAGCAGAGCTTCAAGCTTGACGCCTTTGTGCGACCGACAAATGAACTTGTGGTTTTGACATTTTCCATTTCCTTTTTGCTTCTTCTAATACACGCATTTAAAACTCATGTCCTGTTTTATGACCTATGTCTTGTTTTATATCCTGCCCTTATTCCTGCTTTATGTCCTGCCTTAAAGGGCTACCTGTAGGTTAGGGGTTTCAAAGTGCCGGCCCTTGGGCTGGTTGCCTCATGCGGAGGCCATGCCCATCCCAGCTCCAGCGATGTGCAAAAAGTTGCGATATGTCGTGACACGGCAAGTTTGGCACCCGTACTGTAGGTCCGTGGACCAGTATTGGGCCATGGCATACCAGTAACCAGGCCGCACAAACAAGCAAAGCCCCATCCACAAGATGCAGGCAGCGCACAAAACCACACACCCCTCCAGTCCGCGGAAAAACCTTCCTCCATGGAACCCAACCTTTTGGGCACCTCTGCTGTAGGTGGTACCTGGGATATCCGTATCTGAGTAGATCACCCCTTAAACATGAGCCTGCAGTGTGGTGCAGCTGCCAGAAAGGTCAGTGCAGTCCTAGGCTACATTGGCAATTTTAACAAGTCAAAACACACTTGCAATACTCCACCTCATCCTAGTCGCCACAATACAAAAAAAAAGATGCCGAGAAGAACAACAAAGGTGATAAATTTGAAGCTGTTGTGGAGGGGGGCAGGGGATTCATTAAAGGCAAGAGACAGCACACCCAAAAATCTCAGTTTAGAGTTCAGAGGTTTTTATTGAAATTTAGAACACTCAATGCTTCCCTTACTCATTGCAATAAGGACCGTAAACTACAAGCGGTCAAAAGAGTGATGGCTAGTGACCACGTGGCCCAAGCCTCTCTCAGTGCCATCCTTTTACACCTGAAAATCACCAACACATGGCTTCGGAGATTTTAACAGTAACTGAATCCGATACAAACTCATCTTTCCATAACACGTGTCAATGTTCCGCCGCAGTTCCTCAATTCCCACAATTTCACTTCCTCAAATCCCAGGCATTCAAGTTCCGTGTTCTAAATATGGAAATGAAACAAGCAAGCTTGCAAATTCATGTTTAGTAAGATACAGCCACAGTGCAAATTATAAATATTTTCTTTGAATTATGAAATATGCCATAGCATGGACTTCAGCTCGGTGGTTTTATAACAGATATGCCTAACTTGAATCAACAAGGTCCCCAGCATTTGCACTCAATAAATTAGTGTTAAGCCAAATCTAGGGAAACATTAACGTATAAATTTTTCCTCTCGCAAAGCTAAATTGGCTGATGAACAGTTGCTGGAATTGGTTATGTCTAGTTTGATGAAAAGAAGGACTAGGGGTGGCATGATAGCCGTCTTCTAATATTTGAGAGGCTGCCACAAAGAAGAGGGGGGGTCAACTTATTCTCCAAAGCACCTGAAGGTGGAACAAGGACCACTGGATGGAAACTAATCAAGGGGAGGCAAGCTAGAACTAAGAAGAAACGTCCTTGCCTTCAGAAGTTGTGGGTGCTCCATCACTGGAGGCTTTTAAGAACAGACTGGACAGAAATGGTCTAGTGTCTCCTGCTTGAACAATGGATTGGACTAGAAGACCTTCAAGGTCCGTTCCATCTCTGTTCTACTGTTACTGTTAAAAGTCCAGAAATTAGAAAGAAAGAGATTTCCTGGTATAAAAGATCACCAGACACCCCCACAGCCTTTATTTTTATTTGCGTATTTTCCCCCTGTGGATTTGAACAGTGTTTAATGTGGAATCAGCAGTCCAAACTTGTTATAATTAATGGACATAATGTAAGGGTTTTGGATACAACAAATCCTTCAATATCTGCATGTCATGGCCCCAATCTTGTCAACAACAGTGGCCCCCGTTCCAAGGAAATCCAGAGTTGCAGTGAAAATAAATTTCTCAGAAGCTTCGTAGAGAGGAATCTTTTCAGTCTAACTAACACCCCTCATTCAAATGTTTGGTTGTATTGCAGAAAACGTTTGAGAAGAAAAATGTATACAATCTCAACGAAGAAGAAGACTTGACTCACTACGGCCATTCTTTGGCAGACATTGAGAAACTTAATGACATTGTTGATAGTGACAGTGATACTGAAGAAAAAGGAATGTTATCAGGTGGGAAAAAACAAATGCTATGCTTTTTATAGCATGCAACTGTGATTTAATAAGATCTCTAGCAACTCTCGTATATTGTAAATGAAATTTTGAAGTGCCAGTAGCAAGTTACAGAGGAGTAACATCTTGTACGTAACGAATTCTGTTTAATTGATAAATCGGTACTTTTCAAAACTTTCAGTAATCAGCATCATTTGACTCTGATCTTTCCAAGGCTGCTCTCCCACATGCTTGGTCACGCTCTCCTTCAATTTTGCTCTAGTAAATTATTCACAATGCTTTTTTTCTAGGATGCTCTAAAGCAACACCAAAATGCCCTTGGGGATATTAATGTGCTGAGTTCTCAGTATTTATTTACGTCTTGCTCAATTCAACCTCTTTGCATTTTCAGAGGAATTAACTGCTTCTCATTTTGGAGGGCTCCTTTCTAAGAAAAAACCCACAGAACAGGAGAATGAAGAGGGTAAAAATCCCAAGTCGCGGAAGGAACTGGTGGAAGAGCTGATAGCAAAATCCAAATTGGAAAAGGTAAACTATTCTAAACTTGAAATGCTCTGAAATTGAAAAATCGGGACATTCTTCTATAAAATTGAAAGGTATAATTCCCATGGAATTATTGAGCTTAGCAGCTGCTTTGACATACATGTTCATGACTGTCACGGAAGGCTTTAGTATCTATGAGTCAGATAAAATTATTGTATTGTCATCTCGCTTTAACACTATATTGTGGTGGAGTAAGCAATGCACAAGTATATGTAAACCAATGATCTATTTTTTTTTTAATTTCACACAATGCATGGTTCAACTAAGGTCTTAGAAATTCATTTTCTCTTAGTCTATCAGAAAAAACTGAAGCTTGCTGTTTACTGTCAGTGATTTCTAAGGCATGTGCTTTGATGGAAGAAAAGGAATCGATATAAATTCCATAATTAGCTACAGTTATCTTTAAGTCTTGTATCAGTTGGGGTGTGTTGATTTCTAGCAGGTTTTGTGGTGAAATGCGTTCAAACCGGTCAGTCCTAGAAGAGATCAACCCCGACTGCTCTTTAGAAGGCCAGATCCTGAAGTTGAAACTCAAGTACTTTGGCTGCCTAATGAGAAGGAAGGACTCACTGGAGAAGGGCCTAATGCTGGGAAAGATGGAGGGCAATAGAAGAAGGGGACGACAGAGAATGAGGTGGCTGGATGGAGTCACTGAAGCAGTAGGTGTGAACTTCAATGGACTCCAGAAGATGGTAGAGGACAGGAAGACCTGGAGGAACGTTGTCCATGGGGTCGCGATGGGTCGGACATGACTTTGCAATTAACAACAACAATTATAGATACAATTTATTCCTGTACATATTTTCAATTTTATAGTTTCCTTTTGAATTCTCTACTTTTACTTCTCGTTTGAATAAAAAAAAAGAGCATTCACATGGGCACCAATTGTACAGGATAGCAATAATATTATTATCCATTCTCCCCCCCCCCACTTCTCTTTTTTTAAAGAGAGAGCGACAGGCTCAGAGGGAAAATACTCTGGAGCTGACAGAAAAGCTGAACAACGATTGGAAAGGGATCCAAGCCCTTTTGTTGCAGAGGACGTCCAAGTCAGAGACACAAAGTCAAGTTCAAGAAAAACCCAAGGTGAGCTCGTTTATCTGTGTCCCCTTATTTAAATTTAGGAGCAAAGCTGTTTACAAGTAAATGTGCTTTTTGCCAAACATCTGGGAGAAGTTGAGCCATCTCGTCACCGTCTTCAGCGTCAAGGGAACTTCCGTTGTGGGAAGATTCTTAGAAGTTGTTCTGTTTTATAAAACAATCTTGTGTTCTTAACTGCAATTGTTACTTTTATGTCCAGTTATACACACAGGTCATTTCCGATCTAGCTAATGACATCATCTTGCTGTGCTCTGCTTTCTGTTTCCTAATTATTTGCGGAATATCTATTAATCGGGAGATGTTTGTTTTTTTGGTTTGGTTTTTTTTTATCGAATTTAAAGAGATTAAAAGAGATGTTTCTCTTTGTCGGCTCAGAAACAGTAACTGTGAGAGGGATCCCAAAATCTACAATACCTCTCCCAAAGTTGGCATCGGGTCACTATTTAGAATATAACAGAAGCTGGAAGGGACCTTGGAGGTCTTCTAGTCCAGCCCCCGGCTAAAGCAGGAGAACCTATACCGTCCCAGACAAGTGATTGTCTAGTCCAGTGGTTCTCAACCTGTGGGTCAGGACCCCATTTGGGGTCGAACGACCATTTCACAGGGGTCGCCAAACAACGCAGTCCGCCATTTTTTCCCCCTTTTCCTTAGCTGTGCTACTCCCTTTTATTCTATTGGCTTTTGAAAGCCAATAGAATAGACTCTCTTGAATAGAGTCTAATTCTATTGGCTTCAAAAGTCAATAGGAATTGTCCAGGCTGTCTCTGCCCTGCTGAGCCCGCCAAAAGTTCCATTCTGCAAACGGTGCTGCACCAGTTGAGTAGTCCTCGACTTACGACCGATTGAGTAGTCCTCGACTTACGACCGGTTGGGGGTCGCAGCATTAAAAAGGTTGAGAACCACTGGTCTAGTCTCTTCTTTAAAATCTCCAGTGATGGAGCACCCACGATTTCTGGTGGCAAGCTGTTCCACTGGTTGATGTCCTCACTGTCAGGAAGTTTTTCCTTAATTCCAGGTTGCTTCTCTCCTTGATCAGTTTCCAACCATTGTTTCTCGTCCTCTCTGGTGCTCTGGTGAACAACCTGGCCCCCTCTGCCTTGTGGCAGCCCCCCTTCTTTTCTTTAGACTAGCCAAGCCCAAGTCCTGCAGCCGTTCTTCTTATATTTCTAAAGTGACGAAGGGGGGGGGGAATACTAAATGTATTGCTAGGATCAAATGCTTGCCATGTTTCATCATGAAATAAAATGCTTTGCAAGAATGAATTGCAGAGTTTATTTTGATTTTCTACTTACCAAAGTTCGTTCTGTTTGACAACGCCATCCAAGAACTACCATGATTGTGCATTTGTTGATTTTTATTTATTTATTTGCAGCCGGATGAATACGACATGCTGGTTAGAGAGCTCGGATTTGAAATGAAGACACAGCCCTCGGATAGGATGAAAACTGAAGAAGAGCTGGCAAAAGAAGAACAAGCGAAGCTCCTGCAGTTAGAGGTATCACATACCTCAGGGAGTCTTCAAACGTGGCTCTTTGATGACTGGTGGACTTCAACTCCCAGAATTCCTCAGCCAGCCTCCATTTTGTTTGTTAGATTTAAGACAGGGATCTTCAAACTTAGCCCTTTTATGACTGGTGGACTTCAACTCCCAGAATTCCTCAGCCAGTCTCCATTTGTTTGTTAGATTTAAGACAGGGGTCTTCCAACTTGGCCCTTTGATGCCTTGTGGACTTCAACTCCCAGAATTCCTCAGCCAGCCTCCATTTTGTTCGTTAGAGTTAAGACAGGGGTCTTCCAACTTGGCCCTTTGATGCCTTGTGGACTTCAACTCCCAGAATTCCTCAGCCAGCCTCCATTTTGTTTGTTAGATTTAAGACAGGGCTCTTCCAACTTGGCCCTTTGATGCCTTGTGGACTTCAACTCCCCAGGCACGTGTGCCTGGCGGAGGAATTCTGGGAGTTGTCCACAAGTCATCAAAGGGCCAAGTTGGAAGACCCCTGGCTAAAACTGTTCCACCACCACAGCTGCCTTTGGCAGTTTTTGTGTGAATTGCAGGTTAGGAGGCTGTGGTGACTCTAATTTATTCACACTGAGCCCCAAAATCGTGCCTAACAGAAACCCAAGCTGGGATTTGAAATGGCTAAAAAGCAGGGCGAAAAAATAAATAAATGAAAAACTATCCGGATCATTCTTTTCTCCCTCCCCTCCCTTAATTGAATTATGCTACAGTTAAGTTTCTCCCGGTGTTGTCGTGTATTTTGTAGAGATCCATGTTGGGAACGAAGAAGTAGAGCATCTAAAAAGAGCATTTGTAGCATCACTCTAGTTTTCAAGGGCTTTTATAGATGGCCAACAGTCTTCCCCCGTGGCTCTGCCGTGTGGCCCGGTGTGACCCCGCCACTGAGGAGGGCTGACCGGATTTCCCGGGATCTGCTTCCCATGCAGGCTGACCGCTTACGTCGAATGAAAGGAGAGGAACCAATGGAGAACAGCAAGAAACCAAAGCACATGTCGGCTGATGATCTGGCAGACGGGTTTCTACTGACCAAAGACGACCGATCCTTACTCTCCTATGGGGTAGGCCTTTTATCCTTTTACCCTGCCTGGCACCAAAGATTGTGCCCACCCCTGAAAGAGCAGGGCAGATTGCAAGAACCGTGGTGGCGCATTGGTTAGAATGCAGTATTGCAGGCTAACTCACTGCTCACTCCAGGAGTTCCATCCTTCCAAGGTCGGTAGACTGAGGACCCAAATTGTTAGGGGCCATTGGCTGACTTTGTAAACCACTTAGAGAGGATTGTAAAGCACTGTGAAGCGGTATATAAGTGCTAGTGCCCCACTTTTTCCTTCCTTCCTTCCTTCCTTCCTTCCTTCCTTCCTTCCTTCCTTCCTTCCTTCCTTCCTTCCTTCCTTCCTTGCAGTGGTTAGAATGCAGTGCCAAGTTAAATGCAAAATACAGTCGAGCAAAGTTGTTTGCTAAGTAATTGATCTGTTTTAATCTGTTCTAATTGGTCTCTGTCGTTTCATAGAACGATAAGGATGTTGAAGATGGAAAGGGGGGTTGTGAGAATAAAGAAAGCGAAGAAGAGTTTGACTCAGCCATGGATGATCCCTCCGGACGTGACACCGATGAAGAGATGGCCACGGAGAAGATGTTTCCAAGCCAGAAGCAAATCAGAAAACAAAACGCTGTCAGAGATAAAGAGGCCGCCCAGCCGGAGTTGCCCTATTTGTTTGCTGGTAAGAAAAAAAAAACCCCAATCATTTCTTTTTTTGCTGCCCTGATCAATAGGCTCTGGGAACGTCAGATCCACAACACTCCAAATAATACAAAGCAAATTACAAGAAGCAACAGATGGAAACTAACTGAGGAGAGAAGCAACCTGGAACTAAGGAGAAACTTCCTGACAGTGAGAACAATTAACCAGTGGAACAACCTGCCTCCAGAAGATGTGAATGCTCCAACACTGGAAGTTTTTAAGAAGAGACAGGACAGCCATTTGTCTGAAATGGTCTAGGGTTTCCTGCGTGAGCAGGGGGTTGGACTAGATGACCTCCAAGGTCCCTTCCAATGTTATTATTATTATTATGATTATTACTACTACTACTACTACTAGTACTATTTTCTGGAATAACGTTCTAAAGTTTCCCCAATATTTTCCATGGTTTGACTAGCGCCCGAATCGTACGAGCAGCTTCAGTCTTTACTGTCGGGAAGAAGCATGGAGGAACAAATGAGTATCATCGAGAGAATTCGGAAGACGAACCATCCCAGTCTCGCTGTAGGGAACAAAGCAAAGTTAGAGGTAAGTTTTTGCAGTCCTACGTAGAGCAGGAAGGCGTTTGGTGTTGTTGAAACCTTTGCTGTGATTCGGGACTTCATTTGTTAATAACGTTAAAAATTACATTCCCCAGAAACTCTTCGGATTTCTTCTGGAGTACGTTGGAGAATTGGCTTGTGAGAAGCCGCCCAAAGTGAAAACGATTGACAAGCTGGTTGTGTAAGTACGGCACCTGATGCGTAGGGATTTCGGCCTCCCACTAGCCGTTGGATTGTGCCAAGCTAAATGCAAAATACGCAAGAGTTGTGGTGCCGCAAAGACAAAACTAGTTCCTTTGAATCAACCTCTTCCAAGTGCTGTAACTGGGCTGCTTGAGGTTGTGATCGTGTTACCCATTTCAAAATTCTTCCCGTCCAGCCCATAAAACAGTCAATCTCAGTTGTGTCACTGCTCTTGTTGAGATAAAATCAATGGAATGTTGGGGAGGGCAACACAGAGAGAAAAGCCACACCGGAACACCTGCCTAGATAAAGATAATTGCAGGATCCAATCTGGATCGGTCACTGGGATCAAAGATTTTATCTTCCGAGCTTCCGGACCCGTGCTGGAACCCATTTTTCAAGGAAAAAGAAAGAAAAGGCGTTGACTCCCGACTCCCTTTGGTGCAATAGAAGAAGATACTAGCAGCACACCTCAATTATTATTTTGTTTACTTTTACGTAGCAATACAAACTAGCCATTTCTATCACAACAAACCAGTCGAATTGGTAAAACCCCAAATCAATTTTTTTCCCACCTCAAGCACAAAGTCCAGGAGTGGTTTCCCAAGTAGAAACAAAAGTAATTGTGGTTTTTCTTTTCTTTAATCAAAAAGCAGTCGGTCTGGCCGCTTCTGCTGACTCCCTCGGTTTTTGCAGCCCTTCGCCCACGGTGGGAACCAAACTGTCCTTCCCTTTTTTGTGCGTAAAGCAATTTTGCCGACGTCAACGTAACAGAATCTCAAAGTCCCCGGGTTTTTTCTCCCAAGTCTTTACCCCTTAAACCCAAAAGAAAAAATGTTTCGTCTTTATAATCACTTTGACTTGTTTTTTTTTTAATAAAAGTTTTTATTGAGTTTTATAAGGTTGGGGAGGGGATAGGACCAGGATAGGGATTAAGGTTCGGGGTGGGGTTAGGATCGGAATTGGAGTCGGGACAGGATTGGGAACAACATTGGGGTTGCCCCCCCGCCAGTAACATTTTCAAGCTTTAGCAAACAGACTATTATTCAGGTACATATGTTCAGTTAATACTAATTAATATAAATAGTAAATAGCTGTGGTGAATATGATAAACAATAATCATAAACAGTATCAGTTGGTCAATATATATCATTCTTACTAATATATATATTCAAAGTAACGTATCACATTCATTTCTTGCTAGTTTGTTTTCCTAACCATTGGTAAAATTTGACTTTATCGCGTGGGATGAACGTGAAGCCAGCCGCGTCTCGGCTTCGGATCGCTCGTAGCAGGAGATGCTACTGTTAAAAAAAAAAAACAATGCCTTCTTAAAGTGTCAAATTTAGCAGAAATGGCTAAGATTTCTGCTTACTTGAAGGATCACTCACAAGAAAGATACATTTCGGTTTGGAGAAGATGAATAAATTATATTCAGAATAAATATGGGACTAAAAAGTTTCATTTAGTCTATGAGTAAATTTTAGAGAATTATTATGATATTATTTTTAGTATTAGTATTTAACAATTGGGAGATTGTATTTAATAATTAGGATATTAACTTGTTTATGTTCTCATTATTATGTTTATTTTCAATTTGTTTATATTTATGTTAAAGGGGAGTTAAAGTGCATTATGGACTTGGTTATTTATATAGTTGGTTAATGTTAGTTAGAATATGATTATCATATTTGTAACCCTGTACTCAGCTCTGGGAAGTTGGGGAGGGAGAGAGGGGGGTTTGGGTGGGTTGATATTGTAATTTTTATAAAACTTTTTAATTAAAAAAAAACGCCTTCCCACACTGATTCACAGAGTCCTGTTCGAGCTTTGCCAGATGTTTCCTAAAGCTGCCGCCGATCACATGAAGTTTCTCCTGCAAGACACCATACACCAGATGGAAGAAATGGCAGAAAGGAAAGACCTGCTAATTTTCCCGAGGTTAGACAAGGTATATATTGTATTTTAGCTATTTGCATGGCAGGACCACAGGGAGATGTGGCCGTTCTGCCAGAACAGGCAGAAGTGCCATCTTGCCAAAAAAAAAAAAATCATGTTTCTTGCACTGCCTTAACAACAGTACAACTGCAGGGGTTGACTTCACGAACGGCAAGAAACGTCGTAAAACGGGGCAAATCTCACGTAACAAATTTCACACTTAGCAACATAAATTCCGGAGACAGTTGTCGTAAGTCACGGACGACCCACCCAGCACTGATAGGAGCTCTTTTCTTCCAAAATGCCAGGGCAACGGATGCCACGGAAATAAATCCTAAGTTTATTTTAAACCCAGAAGGAATTTCATGACTATTGATGGTCCACCTTTTATGTGTTTTTTTTTTCAGCTCCTCTATTTGAAAATTGTCACCGTTCTTTTTCCAACGTCTGACTTCTGGCATCCGGTCGTAACCCCGTCACTGATTTATATGAGCCAACTACTTACAAAGGTAAGCTTTTCATCTTTTTTTTCCCCTGACCTTTCACACAAAGCTTTAAAGATGAAATTGAAAGAACGTCCGTTCATACGTTTATTTTTCAAACCCTAACGTTTGATTTAGGCCTTAGCCAGAGGGTCTTTTTTAGACAGCTCATCTAATCCTCTCCACCCCTTTTTAAAAAATAATTATTTTGTTGTTAGTTGTGAAGTCGTGTCCGACCCTTCGCAACCCCATGGACCATATCCCTCAGGCCTTCCTGTCGTCTGCCATCTTCTGGAGTCCATTGAAGTTCACGCCTACTGCTTCAGGGACTCCATCCAGCCACCTCCTTCTCTGTCGTCCCCTTCTTCTCTTGCTCTCCATCGTTCCCAGCATCAGGCCCTTCTCCAGGGAGTTCTTCCTTCTCATTAGGTGGCCAAAGTACTTGAGTTTCAGCTTCAGGATCTGGCCTTCTAAAGAGCAGTCGGGGTTGATCTCCTCTAGGACTGACCGGTTTGATCGCTTTGCAGTCCAGGGGACTTACATACATACATACATACATGACGTTATTTGCGAAGTCGTGTCCAACCCATCGTGACCCCATGGACCACGTTCCTCCAGGCCTTCCTGTCCTCTACCATCTTGAGTCCATTGAAGCTCACACCTGCTGCTTCAGTGACTCCATCCGGCCACCTTCTTCTCTGTCGTCCCCTTCTTGCCCTCCATCTTTCCCAGCATTAGGGTCTTCTCCAGGGAGTCCTTCCTTCTCATTAAGTGGCCAAAGAACTTGAGTTTCCACTTCAGAATCTGGCCTTCTAAAGAGCAGTCGGGGTTGATCTCCTGTAGGACTGACCGGTTTGATCGCTTTGCAGTCCAGGGGACTTACATACATACATGACGTTATTTGCGAAGTCGTGTCCGATCCATCGTGACCCCATGGACCACGTTCCTCCAGGCCTTCCTGTCCTCTACCATCTTCTGGAGTCCATTGAAGCTCACGCCTCCTGCTTCAGGGACTCCATCCGGCCACCTCCTTCTCTGTCGTCCCCTTCTTCTCTTGCCCTCCATCTTTCCCAGCATCAGGCTCTTCTCCAGGGAGTCCTTCCTTCTCATTAGGTGGCCAAAGTACTTGAGTTTCAAGTAAAAATTATTTATTGACTAATTAATGGATTTGTATAGCTGCCAATCTCACAAATACAACTTTGGGCGGCTCGCGATGCATGAAAACAATTTAAAAAGCACTATTGGCAAAGAATAAAAACCCAGCACGGATCACCCACAAACAGCCTTAAGAGACCTGGTCAAGCGGTCAAAACTCAGCCCTCGGCATTGTGGACATATTTACGTCTACCTCTCACAGTTGACCTTCGTTGTCTCCTCCACCTGCCTCCGGTGGTCGCAGCTGGCCTCAAGACCTGTGCCCCCGGGGGTGGGGGTCAAGGGGGTTCAGCCCTCCCCCATGGCTGATTTAACCCCCAGGAATTCTGGGGTGGTTCAAGCTCTTGATGTTAGACTTCCTCTTGAGTTTTCTATGCTGGCTCTTTTTTCTAGTGCGCAGTAACAAAGGAACAAGACGTTGCGAAAGGATTGTTTGTCTGCTGTCTCTTCCTGGAGTGTACATCCAGGTCGCGAAGATTTGTCCCAGAAATGGCCAGTTTCCTCCTGGGTGTCCTTCACATGGCGGTACCGAACAAGGAAGCCCAAGGTAGGGTTCTGAAGTCATTTTCTCTCCCCCCCCTTTAACCCTTTCCTGGCACCACCATCGCCACCAACACCCACAAGGCTGAGGAGAAGGAGGACAGTGACTGTGGGCTCCTTGGCGCTCTCTGAGCTGGATTGCTTTCTTGCAGACGTTTCATGACCCAGCTAGGTAACATCATCAGGGCTTAAAAGGGAGAGGGATTATTGGAGGAGGAGGAGGATTGCTAGGATCACTCCAACATTGCGGGGTCTGTGAGCCTGGTTTTTTTTCTTGCAGACATTTCACTACCCAATTAGCTAACATCATCAGTGCTAGAAGGCAGAGGGATATGCAGAGAGGAGGGAAGAGGAGGATGACTGTGGGGTCCTTGGTGCTCTCTGAGCTTGCTTGTTTTCTAGTAGATGTTTCATTACTCAAAGTAGGCAACGTCATCAGTGCTAGAAGGCAGAGGGATATGCAGAGAAGAGGGACTGTTGTAAGTCAAGGACTACCTGTGGTTTTGTATTTGAGTAATTGGCAATGGTTTTAATTGCTAAGTTAGAGAGATCTTAAAAGTAGTTTTCTTATATTGACTTTTCTTAGTCTCTGTGTGTGTACATATCACTTAACAGAGACTGCTCTATGCCTTTAAGAGCTTTTTAAGCACGTTATGTGCACATGCCACACTGCAACCGTTTTTTAAACTGTTATGTAAATTTATGCACATATTCCTCCTTCTCATTTAGCCCTTTGCTCTGATGATGTTAACAGGTTGTTAACGAAAGCTCAGCAATTAATTAAAAAAAGCCTTTTATCTTACATCCCAGAGCTCTTTATTTTTATCTGATTGACTTTAAACCCACACATGTATCTATTTGTGGGTGATGTGTTTGTGTGTGTATATAAATATATATGTTTTCCAGTGAAGCCGGTCTATCGGAGCACCCAGTCTACAAAGCAATCTACTTATTGCTTTTAGCCCCAATCTAGGAGCGGGTTTTTTTTTTATCATACAGGCAGATACTACTGCGACAAACTTTTGTGTTAAATGTAAATTTAACACACATGCATATACATATACATATATACACAGATACACATACATACACATATATACATATATACACATTACACACACACACACGCATGCATGTGTGTGTGTGTGTTAATCAAACCGTCTGTCTGAAAAATTATCTGTATATACTCCCTTGACTCGGCTGACAAAGAGGGGAGGAGAGCCAGTGGCCTGATGGTTAATACAACTGCCTAGCATGTAAACTGCCCAGGTTCGAATCCCATAAAGGGGTGTGGCTAGCTGATGAAGACTAATGAGTCCGAAATAGCTATACTACTCTCCCACTTAAATCTTTAACTCTTGTCAGCAAAAAGAAATCTGAATACACACACACACACACACACACACACAAAGTTTTTTCTGGACAGACCGGTCTGATTAATGCACCTTAGTATTTTTGACCGCTATACTGCAGTTCTACTTATAATCACTTTTGCCTTGCAGAAGCTGATGGGAGCAAAATAAGCTCGAAATAGCTATTCTAGTCTCCCATTTAACTCTTTAACTCTTTGTTAACAAAAAAGAAATTTGTATGTATGTATGTATATGTACATATGTATATGTTTTCTGAGGTTTTTGCGGGTGTTTGTATGTAAGTCTTTGGTTATTCGGGTTTTCTCCCGCGTAAAATTGGAAGTGTCTTGGCGATGTTTCGACGAAATCCCATTCGTCATCTTCAGGCTGGTGTTTTCGGCTTCGTGCTTCTAGAAGCACAAAGCCGAAAACACTAGCCTGAAGATGACGAATCAGCCATGCGCTGCTGTGGCTCAGTCTGGTTAAATGGAAAAGAAAGAAAAGAGAAAGCGCACGTTTGTAAGATGTTTAATTTCACAATGCTTACAGGTGTGACATCTATATAATAGTAGGTATATAAAAATGCGCGTATTCGAATGCAATGTTGTGTCAAAATTTGAAAGCAATCGGTGAAGAACTTTCGGAGATTTAAGATTTTGAACAAAACGAACATTTACATTTTTATTTATATATAAGATATATATATGAAATCTGAATAGGTTTTAACAGATAATCTATAAAATAACATGCAAATCACAAATATAGCTCAATAATCTTGATGGTTGTAAGAATTGTCCCAAAGTATAAAATACGTAATATAAAAATATTTTGCTCTTCTGTTTACCAGCTGTATCTGAGAACTCCTTGTTCCTTTCTTGTGAATCTGTCATTGATCAAGCCTATCAAATCATAGACTTCTAATTACAGGAAAATGTTTGACACATTCATAGAGATATTAAAAACAGCAAGCACGTCTTGCTTTTGCGCAAAAATGGAAGAGCAAGGAAATTCCCACAGAGGAAGAGTTAATACATAAAATATTAGCATGTGTGGAAATGGACAAGCTCACAATGATATTAAAAGACAAATGTGGATCAGTTTATTATGAAACCTGGGATAAATTTTACCGCTGGAGGAATTTGAAGGGGACAATTGGGATTAAAGACGAATGTTAAGATAGAAATATATGTTATTTTAGAACAAGTATTGTATATAAAACTTAGATGTATATGTAGAGATGAAGAATCGAATGTAAAAAGTGGAATAATCTGATAAGAATGTATATATTGGAATGTCACGTTAAATCCAATGTTTGTTTCTTTTTAACTGTATTATAAATAAAAATTGGAAAAAAAACCAGCAAGCACGTCTGCCTATGTGCATATGATTTATTCTGAGTGGAAAACTAACATTTCTGTATGTTTCTCTCCTCCAGGTTACTCTCTGCAGTCTCCTTTTGTGTCACTAGGAAAACATTCGAACCTGCTTGTGTGTGAAAAATCAAGGAAAAAAATATGGCAAGGACCAAATATCTCCCTTTCCACGTTAAGTAGTTCCAAAGGAGCAGAAATGAATAATTTGAGGTAGGTTGTATCTGTCTGTTTATCCCATGTATATAGCTGCTGCCCTCCCAGAACGTGAAAACACATAATAAAAACTTAACAAGCTACAATTAAAAACACCCAATCAGACTTAGTAGCGACCGAGTAGAAAACAAGAGAGGCAGGACATCCCGTGGATCATGGGGTTGCGGGGCTTGGAATGCAGCATTCTCACTGGCTCAGGGTTGACTCAGCCTTCCGTCCTTCCAAGGTCGGTAGACTGAGGACCCAGATTGTTAGGGGCCATTGGCTGACTCTGTAAACCGCTTTGAGAGGACTGTAAAACACTGTGAAGCAGTATATAAGTAAGTGCTAGTGCTCTACTCCTTCCTTCCTCCCTCCCTCCCTTCCTCCCTCCCTCCCTTCCTTCCTTCCTTCCTTCCTTCCTTCCTTCCTTACATGCCTCCCTCCCTCCCTTCCTTCCTTCCTTCCATGCAGTGGTTAGAATGCAGTATTGTAGGCTAACTCTGCCCACTGCCAGCAGTTCAATCCTGACTGGCTCACAATCCGCTCAGCTTCCCATCCTTCCGAGGTGGGTAAAATGAGGACCCTGATTGTTTCGGGGGGGGGGGCAACAGGCTGACTCTGTAAACCGCCTAAAGAGGGCTGCGAAGCGGCCTATAAGCCTAAGGGCTGTTGCCGTTGCTATCTCCCGGTTCTCAACGGCTCACGCCGCGCGCTTGTCTTTTGCAGGTTGTCGTGTGTGGCTGTGGCTTTGGATCTGGTGAAACGATGTGCCGTTCTCTACGGGGAGCTTCCGTCCTTCCGTGAAATTGTGGGGCCCCTCAGGCTGTTGCTGTCCTCCCTCACGCCCCAGGCAGCCAAGTATCCCGCGCAGCTTCAGGTAAGGCGGTCCTGAGACACAGCCCAGAATTACTTTAAACGTCAAAGAGGAAGAAGACTCGGTGTGCTTTAGAACGTGAGATAATTTCCATCAATGGCTAGAACAGTGTTTCTCAGCCTTGACAATTTTAAGGCATGTGGACTTCAACTCCCAGAATTCCACAGCCAGCATTGCTGGCTGTGGAATTCTGGGAGTTGAAGTCCACATGCCTTAAAATTGTCAAGGTTGAGAAACACTGGGCTAGAAAGACGAGTCAGAGAGAAAGGAACGTGGCGTGTAATTTTGAACCTATATTAGCCAGAAGGAGGCTGGTGAGTGATGAATTAACATACTGTTGGTGATAATTAACTACTATCTATTGTTGGTTAAACACGTGAACCCAGACATTATGCTGTTCACTAAATATGGGAAATGTTATTTGGAAAAACCCTAATCCCGACCCCACCTTATCCCTAACCCTATAAAAACGAATAAAATCTATGTAAGCAAATAAATAAAAGAAATAATCCAGAATTACTGTCCCACCATCGCAGCAAAGTAGCACCAGAGCATAGGCAGCCCTCAACTTAACCACAGTCCGTTAGCGACCGTTCCAATTTGCAACGGCGCTGAAAAAAAGTGACTTAACGACCATCTTTCGCCCTTAACGGCCATTGCAGCACTCCCGCGGTCAAAATTCGGACGCTCGGCAGCTGACTCACACTTAATGACGGTTGCACATCCCGAGGTTGCGCGACTTCTGACGGGTGGGCTCAACGTGGGTATCTATGCACACACACACGCTCACACACAATAAAAAAGGCAAGATAAGTAAGCTACTCTTAAGATGTCTGTATGTGTAAGTATCCCTCGACTTACTGCAGTTCGTTTAGTGACTGTTCAAAGTTACGACGGCGCTGAAAACAAGGACCACAATAACAAACATGGCAGGAAAGGAGCCAAACTGGCTTAGCAGCGTAAATGTGGGGGTCAACTGCCAATATTTCACGTAAATGCAACCAAAAAAAAAAAAAAATGAATTAACAGAATATTCCTGCCCTCCTCTCTGTTTAATGAGACGTCCTTGCTGCTCTCTGAGCTTGCTTGTTTTCCTGCAGACGTTTCATTACCAAACTAGGTAACGTCATCAGTGCTAGAAGGGAGGGGGGTTTGCAGAGAGGAGGAGGAGGAGGAAGTAAAGAACTGTGAGGTCCTTGGTGCTCTCTGAGCTTGCCTGTTTTCTTGCAAACATTTCATTACCCTGACTAGGTAACATCACCTAGTTAGTTTCATTACTTAGACTGAGTAATGAAACATTTGCCAGAAAACAAGCAAGCTCAGAGAGCACCAAGGACCCCACAGTTCTTTACTTCTTCCTCCTCCTCTTCATCCTCCTCCTCTTCCTCCTCCTTTCTGCAAACCCCCCTCTCTTCTAGCACTGATGATGTTACCTAGTTTGGTAATGAAATTTCTGCAAGAAAACAAGCTCAGAGAGCACCAAGGACCCCATAGTCGTCCTCCTCCTCCTCCTCTTCCTCTCCACAAATCTCAGTCCCTTTTAGCACTGATGATGTTACCTAGTTGGGTCATGAAACGTCTGCAAGAAAACAAGCAAGCTCAGAGAGCACCAAGGACCCCTCATATCAGCCCTGAGCTACAAATATTCTCCTTTGTTGGTTCTCTTTTTAGTCTCTGGAAAACTCTGGAGCATTTTTGAATGCCAGTTGTCCTATCTGTGGTTGTCCCTTTGGTCTCCCAAGGCCACCCCACACACCATTACACACATGGAGACTATACAGTTACTCTGGGGGGGGGCTCAGAAATCCCCTTCCCTCCACCCATTTACTTGGCATGAAAGCTTTGCGTTCATTTTGTTTTTCATTTTAAATCTTTGGGGATGTTTAGGAGTTGCACGGCAGCGTTCTGGAGAAGCTCGATGTCCCCAAGTCCTATAGCCCCTTGGTCTGTGACAACAGGAAACCTGTTCCCTTGAAGCTGTACACTCCCAAAATAGTGAAAGTGTGAGTATCTCAAAACGGATCCCGACCGCACGGCCGGCCTGAAATACGGAACGTTTAAAATTGGAATTTAAAAGTTTTGAAATTCAAAAGAGCCCAGTTCCTCTGACGGTTCTTTTTTATGTCCTGATTTTGGTGCTGTTGAAATCCAGATTATAGCAGGCAGAAAATGGTTTGGCGGTTATCTGGCATCTCCTGCTGCTACGGACCATTTATTTGAGCCGTCGAGCCGCGAATTTGGAAAACTGCCCGTCAAAATTCTTCCGTCGTTAGAAAACAAAAAGTTCCGTTGACGAGAAACAGGTTCCAAGGACAAAGTACAGGTGGTCCCCGGCTTACGACAGTTCGCTTCATGACCGTTTGAACTTACGACGATGCTGGAAAAAGGGACGTACAGCTGTTTTTCACGCTTTACGACCATTTGCAGTATCCCCCTGGTCACGTGATTTAGATTCGGAGGCTCGGCAAGCGACTCATATTTAGGACGGTCGCAGTGTCCCCCGGGGGGGTCACATGATCCCCGCTGGCCACCTTCTCACCAGCAAAGTCAATGGGGAAGCCAGATTCACTTAACAACCAGGCTCAATTGTGGTCGTAAACTGAGGACTACCTGTACACAGATAGAGAATGCTTTTAAGGGGTAGACTTCTGTTGTAGAGTGACGAGATGAGTATTTAAGCTTCAGACACAGCGAATTCATGGCTGGATTCCTTAGTAAGGGACTAGGGGTTACTTTCTGGCCAACGAGCGGGGAGTAGGTCTCCTTGGGGGACAGGCCAGATCCGTGACTGGGGACCAGTTACTTTCCCTTGGCCCCGGAGCATCATCAAGCTCTGGGCTCCCTCCGTGCCTACTACGTGTCCTCAAAAAAAAGGAGTCCCGGCACTATAAATATAAATATCAAACTATAAATATCAAAGGTCAAATTGGAATATTGATAAGAAATTAAACATTGAGTAAAAAAAAATCAATAACGGGATATGGCTTGTTTGTTTAGATTGAATGTCATTAAGGTAGGTATAAGTTAAAAAAATTATTGGTAAATGTAATCACGATGTTCTTACTGAGTTGATATAATTAGAAATGTACTAACCTGAATACGAGACAGTCAATGTTTTAAGGGAAAAAGAGAAGGAAATGTTTGATGTTGTAAGCTGAGATTTGCACTAAAACTTTTTTTTGTTATTGAACTATGGGTTAACCCAGTCACCACGTTGCTTTTTAAATAAGGTCAATGTAAAAATTGGAAAATTAACAAAATATTAAATTTAAAAAAAAGAAACGAGTCCCAGCACACAGGGATTTAAATTTTAAAAAAGGAACGAGTCCCTGGACAATCCGCACACAGCTTCCGGGTTTTCTTGGCCACAAGATGGAGGTGTAAACCAGACATCAGATATCCAGCTGGGAAAAGCGGGTTCCCATTCAACATAACTTTTCTCAGCTGGGTGACGTCTGGTTTACTGGTTGACTATGGCCAATTTATTAAAAATAAATAAATAAATCCCAAGGCTGAAATGCTCCCTCTCTAATTGACTTAAGAGCGCAACCTTCAGAGATGGAAAGTCATTAAAAAGCCTATATACCCTGGAAAAGTTCCCGCTCTTGCGCATTTTCCCCTAAGCTCCGGGATTGAAATAGGAGTGAAACTGGAAGCTCCGGCATTTTGACGAGTCATTTCTTCTTCTTCTTCTTCTTCTTCTTCTTCTTCTTCTTCTTCTTCTTCTTCTTCTTCTTCTTCTTCTTCTTCTTCTTCTTCTCTTCTTCTTCTTCTTCTTCTTCTTCTTCTTCTTCTTCTTCTTCTTCTTCTTCTTCTTCTTCTTCTTCTTCTTCTTCTTCTTCTTCTTCTTCTTCTTCTTCTTCTTCTTCTTCTTCTTCTTATTCTTCTTCTTCTTCTTATTCTTCTTCTTCTTCTTCTTCTTCTTCTTCTTCTTCTTCTTCTTCTTCTTCTTCTTCTTCTTCTTCTTCTTCTTCTTCTTCTTCTTCTTCTTCTTCTTCTTCTTCTTCTTCTTCTTCTTCTCTCCTCCTCCTCCTCCTCCTCCTCCTCCTCTCTTCTTCTTCTTCTTCTTCTTCTTCTTCTTCTTCTTCTTCTTCTTCTTCTTCTTCTTCTTCTTCTTCTTCTTCTTCTTCTTCTTCTTCTTCTCATTCCAGACTGGAATTTGGAAGGAAGCAAGGGAGCAGTCAGCAAGAGCAGGAACGGCAGCGCCTCGTTCACAAGCACCGGCGTGAACTCAAAGGGGCCGTGCGCGAGATCCGCCGGGACAACCAATTCCTTGCAAAGATGCAGCTGACGGAAGTCATGCAAAGGTAGCTCCGGGTTTGGGTTTAAATGAGAACAACGGAGGGAAAGACCAACAGTCGGGAAGCTGTCTCCACTTAGAGAAAGAGGCTTTGTCATCTCAGAGATCAACGAGGTTTCTGATTCATGGTTGCTGGTGAAGAGAAGAGAAGTAGGGATAGAGTAGAGTAGAATAGAATATAAATAGAAAATCGAATAGAATATAAATAGAAAATAGAATAGAATATAGAATAGAAAATAAAATAGAATAGAAAATAGCAATGTATGGATGTGAAAGTTGGACCATAGGAAAGGATGAGCGCCAAAGAATGGAGGCCTTTGAACTCTGGTGCTGGAGAAGACGCCTGCGAGTCCCCTGGACTGCAAGGCCATCCAACTGGTCAGTCCTGGATGAGATCAACCCTGACTGCTCTTTAGAAGGCCAGATCCTGAAGTTGAAACTCAAATACTTTGGCCACCTAATGAGGACTCCCTGGAGAAGGGCCTAATGCTGGGAAAGATGGAGGCAATAGAAGAAGGGGACGACAGAGAAGGAGGTGGCTGGATGGAGTCACTGAAGCAGGTGGCGTGAGCTTAGATGGACTCCAGAAGATGGCAGAGAACAGGAAGGCCTGGAGGAACGTTGTCCATGGGGTCGCGATGGGTCGGACACGACTTCGCAACTAACAACAACAAGATTAGATTAGATATTGGAGAATATAAGACTAGAATAGGAATAGGAATAGAATAGAATAGGAATAGGAGAAGAGAAGAGATCTGTGATTCTGTATAAAACCTGAGAGGTGTCTTGTCACTCCTCAGACTTTCTAGCCATTAATAATTCCACAGGAGCTCTCCTAAAACGCGAGGGAGAAAGACATAAAATGATTTGTTTGCATTTTTGTCTTCAACTACGATTGCAGTTTGTTTTTTGCTTTTGCAGGGATTCGGAAAGAAAAAGGAAAGTGAAGCAACTCTTCCAAAGCCTTGCTCAGCAGGAAGGAGATTGGAAAGCACTAAAGAGAAAAAAGCATTAAAACATTCCCAGATACCTCAGAAGACAAGCAAGGAGATTTAAACGATTAGAATTTCCTGGAGCATTTTGATCATTTTAAATAGGGGTACACTTTCTTCTGGATTAAAAAAAAAATACATATTGTTGTATTCTTGTTTCTAAATAAAATTGTATAACATATTTGATGCATGCTTTTGATGCCTCCGTATCAAACGGAGGCTTTTTTTTTCCAGATTGGGCGAACTTGCCTGCCCACCTGAGGTTCCCCTGGCTATTGGGCCACTCTTCACATGCCCAGAGGCTACAGCAGCTTCGGGGCACTGAGGGCCACTGGCTGGCTGGCTGCAGAGAGACGCCAGTCTTAATGTAGGAATCCCGGCCGCAGTGAGATGCAACTTGCCGGTGGGATTCAAGGCAGGAAGGGCAGAGCTTCTTCAGGACAGCATGACACATGGAGGAAGGGCAAGGGATTGCAAGACTGCCTGGGAAATTGTCACAGAACCTAGAAAACAAAGATGGCAGCCAGGATTCCCCAAATTTCATTCCCTCGGGAGTCTTGGATCGGGTCACCTTGAAAGCCCTTCATGGCTTGGGACCAGGTTATCTTGAGGGACCGTCTCGCCGGTCACATCCACCCGACCCTCTAGAGCGGGGAGGCCAGGAATATTGCGGGTTCTGTTCCCTAAGGAGGTCCATCTGGCGGGAAACCAGAAGAAGGGCCTTCTCCATGGTGGCTCCCTCCCTCTGGAACATCATCCCTCCAGAAATTAGACCGGCCCCCACTCTGTCACTCTTTCATAAGGTCCTGAAGACGAGGTTCTGCCAGCGGACCCAGGGAACCCAGAACGGGATTGAACCCATCCAGTTTTGGCCACCATGATGTAAAAAAGATGTTGAGACTGGAAAGAGGGCAGAGAAGAGCAACAAAGATCATTAGGGGACTGGAGGCTAAAACACAAAGAATGGTTACTGGAATTGGGGATGTCTAGTTTAATGAAGAGAAGGACGAGGGGGGGACATGATAACAGCCTTCCAGTATCTCAGGGGCTGCCCCAAAGAAGAGGGAGTCAAGCTATTCTCCAAAGCACCTGAAGGCAGGACAAGAAGCAACGGATGGAAACTAACCAAAGAGGGAAGCAACCTAGAACCAAGGAGAAACTTTCTGACAGAACAATTAACCAGTGGAACCACCTGCCTCCAGAAGCGGTGAATGCTGCAACACTGGAAGTTTTTAAGAAGAGACTGAACAAACATTTGTCTGAAATGGTATAGGGTTTCCTGACTGAGCAGGGGGTTGGACTCAATGACCTTCAAGGTCCCTTCCAACTTTATTATTATGGTTCATCACACAGTCAGCCAGATGTTCAGACTGGATTTGGCATTTCTCAAGGACCTGGGATAGGCAGATGTGGATGTTTGATGGTATTACAGATATTGTTATGGGATCAAACATGCACATCTGCCTATTATTATTATTATTATATGGCTGGAATGAGTGGGGGGGTTATTATTTTATTTATTTTTATTATGTTTATTTCTTGGATATTGTGTTTTTAGTTTTCGGTAAGCTGCCTAGACTAGAGTCTAGGGCACAGGGAAAGCCGAATTCAGTTCAAACACCGACTCATATTTATGACCGTCGCAATGTCCTGGGGTCAGGTGACCCACCTTTTGCGACCCTCGGGCCCATTGAAAAACGATAGCGATTTCCCTTAATCACCATGGCAGAGGAAAGGTCGTACAATCAGGGCAAAAAGTCACTATAATAATAATAACAACAACAACAATTAATAATAATATAACAACAAATAATAATAATAAATAAATAAATAAATAAAAAGTTGGAAGGGACCTTGAAGGTCACCTTGGGCTCCATTGTGGTGGTAAGCCGAGGACCCCCTCCCACCGGTACGGCCAGCAGCGTCGCAAAACGGGCTTCAGAGACACGGGTGCCTCCCTTAACGACGGGCTCGATCCTGGCCGTAAGTCAAGGACCAGCCCATCGGCCCTGGGTTCAAAACACCAACGAGGGATCCGTCCTCGTCGGTGTTTTGAACCCAGAAGCGGTTTGGCCTCCGCTTTGCTCCGCGCTCGGATCCGCCTTGAGTCACCCGCGGCGGCCAACGCCCCGCGGAAGTCGGCCGGTGGGTCGACGGGCTCCGCGGAGCGCGCCAGCCGAGCCCGGGCATCGCTCGGCCGCCGCGGGCAGCAGGAGCAGCCGTAGCAGCAGCTCCGGAGCCCGTCGGCGCCTGGGCCAGGTCAGCCCCGCTCGCCTGGCTTCTTTCCCCGGGAAGGCTCCGGCAGGGATGCGCGGCGCTCGCTTGGGGGGAGCCCGGCCGGGGAGGAGGAGGAAGAGGAGGAGGCGGCCAGGCTGCGATCTCTCCTCGGGGCGCAGCCGGCAGCCCCGGCCGGAAGGAGGAGGAGCTGCCGGCCTCGGAAAGGGGGCAAGCGGGCGGGCGAGGCCGGGCTGGAGATGGGCTGAGGAGGCTGCTCCGTGGGCGCTGCGGGGAGTGGAGGTGAGCTCTCCCCCCACCCCACTCTCTCTTTCCTCGGAGGGAGACGGGGCTGGGTGGATGGGTTTCCTGGTGGTCTCCCATCCTTCCTGCCAGCTCTGGGTCTGGCGGGAGGGAGAGAGGAGCTGCATCTCGGAGGGGACTGGGGGGGGCGAGGAGTCCACTGTCTCCTCTCCTGCTCCATCCTCCAGGCGGGGCTTTCCTGGTGGTCTCCCATCCTTCCTGGCAGCTCGGGGTCCTGCGGGAGGGGGAGAGGAGCTTCACCTCGGAGGGGACAGTGGGGGGAGGAGTCACTGTCTCCTCTCCTGCTCTGGCCTCTAGGCGGGGTTTTCCTGGTGGTCTCCCATCCTTCCTGGCAGCTCTGGGTCCCGCAGGAGGGGAAGAGGAGTCGCACCTCGTGGGGTTTGGGAGGGGTTGAGCACACCTTCTCCCCTCCCGCTCCGGCCTCCAGATGGTGGTTTCCCATCCTTCCTGGCAGCTCTAGGCCCCACCTGGGTCCCGCGGGAGGGGGAGAGGAGCTGCACTTGAGAGGGGACTGGGGGGGGGAAAGTCCACTGTCTCCCCTCCCGCTCCGGCCTGCACGCGGGGCTTTCCTGGTGGTCTCCCATCCGTCCTGGCAGCTCTGGGTCCCGCGGGAGGGGGAGAGGAGCTGCACCTCGGAGGGGACTGGGGGGGGGAAGGAGTCCATCATCTCCTCTTCCGCTCTGGTCTCCAGGTGGGAGTTTCCTGGTGGTCTCCCATCCTTCCTGGCAGTTCTCGGCTGGGCCTGGGTCCCATGGGAAGGGGGTGGGGAGAGCAAGACCAGACGGCTGGGAAGAGGGAAGGTGGGGGAGGGATGAAGGATCCTCCCCCGGCCCTGTTTTTCCTCCAGCTGCTCTGATAGTCCCAGGTTTCAAGAGGAGGGGGAGAGGCAGCACAGGCTGGCTTGAGTTCGGGAAGCAGGGTGGGTGGGGGGGTCATCCAGGGAAGGCGCCCGGCAGCGGTGCTTCCCTTAGCTTTCCTGGGGGCCCCTTTGGGCAATTTAAAATTGCTACTCCACCTCTGGGGATTCTGGAGCATGTCTTGAGTTCCTTTGGGGCAACATCCTTTTGCCTACTCTAAGGCTGTTGTTTAAAACTGCTTAAATAGACTAAATAACAAGACTGCTATTTACACACATAAACACACAGACACAGATAACACACACACACACAGAGGTAGTCCTCAAGTTACAACAGTCCACTTTATGAACGTTCGAAGTTACAACACCACGAAAACAAAGGGACGTACGAGTTCCCCCCCCCCCAAACTAACTGCCATTGCGGTATTCCTACGGTCACGTGATCAAAGTTTGGCCGCTAGTTCAAACCAGCTTGTATTTATGACGGTTGCAGTGTCCTGGAAATGGGGTGGGGGGAAGCCAGTTTCGCATTCCAACGGTGTTGCTACCTTAACAACTTAACAACAGTGGCGAGAAAGATTGGTAGAATGGGGCAAACTCGCCGAACAAGTGTTTCACTTAGCGACAGGAATTTTGGGCTGTCGTAAGTAGAGGACGACCCGTAAAAGCTTAGCAGGGGAAATATCTGCTCGTTCCAGCTTTGGTTCCCACTCTGTCCAACTTGTGTCCTTGTGTGCTCTCGGGAATAAATCCACACACCCATGGTGTGTCCCTCCATGTATTGCAGGAGCATCCAATTGTGGAGATTGTAAGACCCGAGGACTTCAACTCCCAGAATTCATCAGCCGGAGGGATGTTTTTGAGGCCCTAGTTGACGACGGGATTCCTCCAGAGGATGTCACGAGAGGACCAAGTTGCCCGGACGGCAGAGGAAAATTCCTCCCGTGTCATCTTTGTGGTGTTTCTCTCGCTGCTTCTCGATCTCCTGGGCTTCACTCTGATTCTGCCTCTCCTGCCCTCCATCTTGGATCACTTCAGCAAGAACGATGTGAGTAAAAACGAAGCAAAGGTTGGTCGAGACGGTTTGGCGCTTATTAAAACTGGCGAGTACAACCAGGGACCTCTATCGGCGTGAATTCAAGTTAGGCTACGCCAGGGGTCTTCATGCTTGGCCCTTTGATGACTTCTGGACTTCAACTCCCAGGATTCCTCAGCCAGCATGCCTGGCTGAGGAATTCTGGGAGTTGAAGTCCACAAGTCATAAAAAGGGCCAAGTTTGAAGATTCCTGCTCTACTCAGTCTAGAATTATCCTAGATCAGGGGTCTTCCAACCTGGCCCTTTTATGACTTGGGGACACTGGCTGAGGAATTCTGGGAGTTGAAGTCCACAAGTCATAATAAGGGCCAGGTCTGAAGACCCCTGGGCTACGCAGTAGCTTGTTTTATGGTCTTATTAACTGTGAACATAGTTTCATTTATCAAAGAAAAACAAGTAGGTCCAGTTGCCTCCTGAAAAAGCACCCGTGGGACCGTAGTTTTGTTAGTTTACCAAAATCCAAAATGCAGAAATGCAAAGAAAAACGAAGATAAGAGCAAAACAGGAGAGGAAAGGGGGAAGAGGAAAAAAATGTAAAGCGGAAAAGAAATAAGAAAGCCTTTTCCAACGTTTTAGCCCCATAGAATAAGATCATAACCTCCACTTTTTATTTTTTATAGAATAGCATCTAATAGCCGTTTCCATAACAACCAACCAATCGGCACAACCCAAAATCAAAGTTTAATTATTATTTTTTGCCATCTCAAGCACAAAGTCCAGAAGCGGTTTCCAAGGGGAAACAAATTAAGTGTGGGTTTGTTTTTTTTTTTCAATTAAAGCAGTCAATTCGCCCGTCTCTGCTCGCTCCCATCCACTTTTGCAAGCCTCCGTCCGTCGTTGTGGGAATCAAAGCGTCCTTCCATTTTTGCGAACGGCGTATTCTGGCTGCTGTCAGGATCTGCAGGATCAAGCGAGTGAGCCCCTCCTGTTCCCCCCCCCTCCACCAGCAGCTTTGCTCTGGGCATCAAGGGAGACTCTCTGGAGAAGCCCCCCCCCCAATGCCACTGTCAATCAGATCGCAAGTAGCTGAGAAAACAGAATGACACATCAGCCAGATTTGTCCAGCCCCACCTGTGTTCAGCCCTTTGGACACCTTTGCATGAGTTTTAATCAAACAAAACTTAGTTAGCTTTGCATCACCAACCGTTCTGTTGATTCTGTTCTTAGTTCACCATAAATTCGTTTAGTGACTCACTCACGCAGAAGGCATTGTGGTTAGATTGTTGTTTCTTATCTAGATCAACTAATTGTCTAAAAAGGGATCATTCTGATTAAGGAGCGCAGCACTGCAGGAAAGCTTTCATTGTGGCTCTTTGGGGGGAGTTGTTTTTTTTTTTAAAAAAAAAACACTGTACAGGTAGTCCTTGACTTACAACAGTTTGTTTAGTGACCGTTCCGAGTTGCAGCGGCACTGAAAAACGTGACTTACGGCTGTTTTTCACAGTTACGACCACTACAACAATCCCCAGGGCCACCTGATCAAAATTTAGATGCTTGGCAACGGGTTCATATTTACGACAGTCACGTGGTCCCCTTTTGCAAAGCCAATGGAGGGGGGGGGAGCTGGATTCACTTAACAACGGGTTTACTAACTTCACCACTGCAACGATTCACTTAGTAAACTGTGTCAAGAAAGGTAAAATGGGGCAAGGCTCAGTTAACAGGTGCCTTGCTTCAGCACAGAAATATCGGGTTCCGTTGTCGTAAGTCGGGGACTACCTGTACATTAGCCAGAGGGCAGTTGGGGCACATGGGAGAAATAGTTATGGGGTGATTGGAGGTTTCTCCAAAGGGCAAGGCTGGATGGATCTGGGGGACGGGGACGGGCGGGGGGGGGGGTTTCATGGGCGTCGATCTCTCCAATACGGCCGTTATTTCTGCAACCGGATGACTGTTCTTGCGACGTTTTCATTGTGTGTGTTTTTGCCTGGATCTGTCTCTCTACATTTTTGTGACATTTCATTCCACCACTTCATCTACGCCAGCGGTGGGCAGGAGAAGGAATAGCGGGCAGGGGGTTTCCTAATCACGAAACTTAAAATAAGGAAGTCTCCCAACGGCTGAAGCTGCAAAGCTGGCACGTGTGATAGACTCTTCCCCTCTGTCTGAGGAAGGACACGCTCCAGGCGGGAACGAGAAAGCCACGCCGTGCAACACGGCCGCTGCTTTGCAGATTGTGCAACACACGCACACCCAGGTTGTAAGACCGGTCCAGGAAGGCCCGCCTGGAAAAGTACAGGTGGAAATCCTCGCCCAAAGCAAAAACAGGGCTACTGGACATGCAACTAAGTAGGGCAGTGTTTCTCAACCTTGACCATTTTAAGGCATGTGGACTTCAAATCCCAGAATTCCACAGCCAGCAATGCTGGCTGTGGAATTCTGGGAGTTGAAGTCCACATGCCTTAAAATGGTCAAGGTTGAGAAACACCTGAAGTAGGGCAGCGTAAGGGATCAGGGGAGCACCCCACAGACCGTCTCCCCAACCCACGGCTGCCCGGCGGCTTTGCAGAACTGCCCCACCGCCCCCCCGCTTCGCGAGACCTTTCAGAGTTGTGAAGAATTTTGTGGGAAGGGACAATGAAAAGGCAAAAAAAGAGTGAAGAAGTTGAAGTTTCAGGGCTTTATTTGAGAAGATTGAAGATGGAAAGCAAAGGGAAGGAATATCGAAACATTTAAAGCAGTGATTCTCAACCTTTTTAATGCCGCAACCCCCAACCGGTCATAAGTTAAGGACTACTCAACCGGTCGTAAGTCGAGGACTACTCAACTGGTGCAGCCCCGTTTGCAGAATGGGGCTTTTGGCGGGCTCAGCAGGGCAGAGACAGCCTGGACAATTCCTATTGGCTCTGGAAAGCCAATAGAATTATACTCTATTCAAGAGAGTCTATTCCACAGGTCGGCAACCTGCGGCTCCGGAGCCGCATGCGGCTCTTTGAGCCTTCCCTGTGGCTCCCAGCCTCCTCTGCCTTTGCAGAGAGAGACAGAGACAGAGAGAGGCAATTGCGATTCCCTGCTTCTCTCTCTCTCTCTCTCTCTCTCTCTCTGTGTGTTTGTGTGTGTGTGTGTGTTTTGTGTGTGTGTGGTGTGTGTGTGTGTGTGTATGTGTAAAGAGAGTGCACTCACAGTGTTCTCTGAGGAGCTGAAAAGCTTACTGGGCGGAGCTCCTCCCTTTCCTGCGTCTCTGAAGGAAGCAGGAAGGGCAGGAGAGAGCTAGCTAGCCCAGCTAGGCTGACTCAGGAATTCTGGGAGTTGAAGTCCATGAGTCATAAAAGAGACGAGGTTGCCTACCCCTGAGCTTGTTGGACAACAGCTTGAAGCTTGCCAGGTGAGCAGCAGATAGGAGGGGGGGGAGAAAGAGAGAGAGAGGGAGAGAGAGAGAGAGAGTGGGGGAAGAGGAGTGGCAGACGAAGGGCAGATAGAGAGGGAGGGAGAGAGAGACCCTTTTGACATCTAAAATGAAGATAACACTGCATATATCCTTTTTTTACCTGTGTGTGTATGTAATTTTATTCTCTTAAAGCATTCTCTTGGTGATCATTGTTTTAATAGTATGGATATTCCCAAGAGTCATATTTTTACTTTTATTTTTAATGTGTATATGTGTGTGTGTGTGTGTGTCTGTGTGTGTGTGTATACACATATACACATACACACACACACATACACACACCTATAATAAAGGTAAAAAAGGATATATGCAGTGTTATCTTCATTTTAGATATCAAAAGGGTTTTGCGGCTCCCGGTGTTTTGTTTTTGGTGGGAAATGGGTCCAAGTGGCTCTTTGAGTGTTTTGGGTTGCCTACCCCTGGTCTATTCTATTGGCTTTCAAAAGCCAATAGAATAAAAGGGAGTAGCACAACTAAGGAAAAGGGGGGAAAAATGGCGGACTGCGTTGTTTGGCGACCCCCGTGAAATGGTCGTTTGACCCCAAATGGGGTCCCGACCCACAGGTTGAGAACCACTGATTTAAAGACTGTTGAAAGTCATGGAAGCCGAAGGAATATAAAGTTGGTTTATTTGATCGCGGCTAAAATAGATGCGTTGTTATCTCCCCTGCTGGATTTTTTGCTGACCTCAGGACGGAATGATGACGCTTTAAAGATTGGTTTATAGATAAGAGATCAAATACGAGATTACGGGAGGGGGAGAAGACTGCCCCCCTCCAGCCTATCGGACAGAGGATGCACTGGGAGGGGGGCATTTTTTTAGGAGCTTCTGGGATCAGGAAAATGACAGAAAAGTGTGTTTCCCATCTTGGTGGGACAAATTTTATCGATTGATTGATTGAGACCTGTAAAAACAGATGAGAACTTGATTAGAAAACTATAAATTTCTTTTAAACTGGAAGATAGAAGAAGAACAAGTGAAAGAAACAATGATAGTATGGGCAAAGAACTTTGGATGTTCTATAGATTTGGAAGACTGGCAAAAACTTTGGGATAAAAACAGTAAGCTTACAAAAGCGGTAGCATATAAAGAAAACTTATATAAGATGTTTTATAGATGGCATATGACACCAGTTCGCTTAGCGAAAATGTTTAAAAATGTTTCGGATATTTGTTGGAAATGTAAACAACAGCCAGGCACATTACCATGCCTGGTGGACATGCCCCATCGCTAAGAAATACTGGGCTAAGATCCATAGATGGTTGAAAAAGATGATGAAGCTACAGATAGAATTTAAACCGGAATTGTTTTTGTTAGGAACTAATTATGGTAAAGAGAATGATTACTTGATATTGCATGTTTTATCTGCTGCAAGGATAGTATTTGCCCAATTTTGGAAAAATGAGAATTTACCATCTGACCAGACTATTATTACCAAAATTTTAGAGTGTGCAGAAATGGATAGACTAATATTAGAAATGAAAGAGACCCCACTTTTATAATTTTCACAAATAACTCAAGGTGGCAAATATATCCAAACACACTTTCCTCCTTCTATTTCCCCACTCCCCACAATAACAACCTTGTGAAGTGGGTTGTGTGGAGAGAGAGGCACTAGAATTCAGAATAGAGCTGGAAGGGGACCCTGGAGGTCTTCTAGTCCAACCCCTTGCTCAAGCATACCGTTTCAGACAGGTAGCTGTCCAGTATCTTCTTAAAAACCTCCAGTGATGAAGCACCCACAAGTTCTGGTGGCAAGCTGTTCCACTGGTTAATTGTCCTCCCTGTTAGGAAGTTTCTCCTTAATCCCAGGTTGCTTCTCTCCTTGATGAGTTTCCATCTGTTGTTTCTTGTCCTGCCTTCTGGTGCTTTGGAGAATAACATGACCCCCTCTTTTTTGTGGGAGCCCCTCAAATACTGGAATACTGCCATAAATGCCAAAATAAACAATTCTGGCAGAAAGGGATGGGGCTGGTGATGGCTCCCCTCATCCCTCCTTTGCCCAATCCCTTCCCTTCTTCCCCAGGATGGGCTCTACAAGAGGGTGCAAGCCGGCGTGGACTGGTTCAGCGGCAGCCTTGGCATCCCGCCCGAAAGGAAATACAACAGTGTCTTGTTTGGAGGTAGGAAATTCCCTTTATTGCACGCTGGGGCCTTAGTTAGTGGCTGGTCTGGAGGAACCCTCTGGCTGGCTGGGGGATTCTGGGAGTTGAAGTCCACAGGTCTTAAAAGTTGCCAAAGATGGACACTGCCTGGCTGGGGAATTCTGGGAGTTGAAGTCCACAGGTCTTAGTTTGCAAAGATGGACACTGGCTGGCTGGGGGATTCTGGGAGTTGAAGCCCACAGGTCTTAAAAGTTGCCCAGCGTGGACCCTCCTGCTTTAAATACTTCATTAGTGGGGGGAAAAGAGGTAAACTAAGTCGGGGCCAGTAGGCAGAAGACGGCCTGCAGTCCACGGCATCTCCCCATCTCTGTTCTTCTCTTCCAGGTCTTATCGGCTCCCTCTTTTCCTTGCTTCAGTTTCTGGCCTCGCCCCTCACCGGGGCTGCTTCGGATTCCTTCGGGAGACGACCAGCCCTGCTGGCCACTGCGGTACGTTAGTTTCAGCCGGAGGGGTGGCGTGGACGGATGCAGCCCCCCCTGGTCCAGAGCACGTGTTGGAATCCCATCTGAAAAGGAGGGATCCTTGTTCTCTTTTTATAACGGAGGCGTAGAGATACTTACCTGGTCCATTGAGTGGCACAGACCCAGGAGATGCTCCCCTTCAGCAGATCCTCGCCTGAGAAGGCCAAAATCTCTCTCCTCTCTCTTGCAGCTGGGCCTGACAGCCTCCTACGCGCTCTGGGCCGTTTCCAGCAGTTTTCAGCTCTTCCTCTGCTCCCGGATTCTCGGCGGGATCAGCAAAGGGAACGTCAGCCTCTGCACGGCCATCGTCGCTGATCTGCGGTGCCCAAAAGCTCGGAGTAAAGGCATGGTGAGTACTTCTTATGTTTGACAGAAGGGCAGCGTTGGAAGGGACCTTGGAGGTCTCCTAGTCCAGCCCCGGCTCAGGCAGGAAACCATATACGCCATAATAACAATAATAATAAAACAGCTTTATTGTCACTTTGTCATACTTATTTATTTATATTATTGTTGTTGATGTTATTGTTGTTATTGATCATCGCACAGTCAGACTGGATTTGGCATTTTTGTCGACCTATTGGAGTCCTTCCCAAGGACCTGGGATAGGCAAGATGTGGATGTTTGTCAAATTAAATTCAACGGAATCCAAGTCAGCAGGCTGAGGTGACCGTGAAAAACGCAAAGGCAGTTTTAGGCTGCCTCAGCTTTCCAAATGGTGAGGTCGTAAAGTGTCACTTTAATTTTGATTTTGCTCAAGTCCCATTCTGAAACCCGAGTCCCGTCCAGGAAGGACTTAGATTAGAAGGATTCAGATTAAGAACCAGCTCCCAAAATATATACAGGTAGTTCTCAGCTTACGACCACAATGGAGAGATTCGTGAAGTGAATTTTGCCCCAGTTTGTGTCCAGGATCTACGGCATGATTAATAATTATTAACTAATATAATTAGTAAACTATAGCATTAATTATGTGCGAACACTGGAGGTTTTTAAGAAGAGACTGGACAGCCATTTGTTCGAGATGGTATAAGGCAGTGGTTCTCAACCTGTGGGTCGGGACCCCATTTGGGGTCGAATGACCATTTCACGGGGGTCGCCAAACAACGCAGTCCGCCATTTTTTCCCCCTTTTCCTTAGCTGTGCTCCTCCCTTTTACTCTATTGGATTTTGAAAGCCAATAGAAGAGACTCTCTTGAATAGAGTCTAATTCTACTGGCTTTCAAAAGCCAATAGGAATTGTCCAGGCTGTCTCTGCCCTGCTGAGCCCGCCAAAAGTCCCATTCGGCAAACGGTGCTGCACCAGTTGAGTAGTCCTCGACTTATGACCGGTTGAGTAGTCCTTGACTTACGACCGGTTGCGGGGGGGTCGCGCATTAAAAAGGTTGAGAACCACTGGTACAAGGTTTCCTGCCCAAGCAGGGGTTGGACTAGATGACCTCCAAGGTCCCTGTGAACTTTATTATTATTATTATTATTATTATTATTATTATTATTATTACTACTACTATTATATTGTGTTATATTAATATTAATATAATAAATCATAATTATGAATAATTATAATTAGATGATTATTAATTACCTAGGGCATGATTAATAATTCTGTGGATCGGTGTGGGGCCTTAGTGCATGTGACTCAAAGAAATAAGTACGACCCCACGTTTTTGAAGAAAACATTGCTTTTGTGTTCCTGAATGTACTTATGGACAACGGGGCGCACCCAGGAAAAACCAAGTTGGGGATTTTGATCAGGATTTGTGGCTCTGGAATTTTGTTTGAAGGAGGCACGTTAGCCAAAGTATGTTTGCTGAATTCTCCCTCCAGGCCATGATTGGGCTGGCTTTCTCCCTGGGCTTCACCCTCGGGCCGATGCTGGGCGCCTTCCTCGTTCTGGAGACGGAGAAGGACCAAGTCTTCTACGCGAGAGCCGCCATCTTTGCCACCATCTTTGCTGTGGCTGATTTCCTGTTCATCTCCGCCTGCTTACCGGAGACGCTCCCAAAGGAAAAACGGGTAATACCTTCTGGAAATAATCAGAAAAGCAAACTAATGGGTGTCTTTTTTTGATGTCAGCTGCTTCCAGAAGAGATAAGTTGGACCTGGCAGGAGACAGATTGTACGGACCGTCTATGCCAATGGTAAGATTTAAGATTTGCGGACGTCCAATTCCCAGAATGGCTGGGGAATTCTGGGAGTTGAAGTCCACAAGACTTAAAAGTTGCCACGTTTGGAGACCCCAGATCTATGCACTTAGCTAGAGGTGGAAATTGAAAAAGTGGAAGTAGAATAGAATAGAGTAGAGTAGAGTAGAGTAGAGTAGAGTAGAGTAGAGTAGAATAGGAATAGAATAGAATAGAATAGAAATTAGAATAGAACAGAAGAATAGAATAGAATAGAATAGAATAGAATAGAATAGAATAGAATAGAATAGAATAGAATAGAATAGGAAGAGAAGAATAGAATAGAATAGGAATAGAATAGAATAGAAATTAGAATAGAACAGAAGAATAGAATAGAAATTAGAATAGAATAGAATAGAATAGAATATAGGAAGAGAAGAATAGAATAGAATAGGAATAGAATAGAATAGAAATTAGAATAGAACAGAAGAATAGAATAGAAATTAGAATAGAATAGAACAGAAGAATAGAATAGAAATTAGAATAGAATAGAATAGAATAGAATAGAATAGAATAGAATAGAATAGAATAGAATAGAGGAAGAGAAGAATAGAATAGAATAGGAATAGAATAGAATAGAATAGAAATTAGAATAGAACAGAAGAATAGAATAGAAATTAGAATAGAATAGAATAGAATAGAAATTAGAATAGAACAGAAGAATAGAATAGAAATTAGAATAGAATAGAATAGAATAGAATAGAATAGAATAGAATAGAATAGAATATTCTTTATCTGAAGGGCGTGAAAAACAGGACAAGATCCTTCAGGTGGGAGCTTTTCAAGTGGATCTCCAGACTTGAAAGAAAGGAGAAATTTCCTGTTTTTAATGCTCTTCAGCAGGGGGACCATCCTGCCTGCTGGTATCCCAAGGGCCGTTACTGGAGGTTTTCAAGCAACGGTTGGGATTGTGAAAGTATTCTTGGAAGAGCTGGAAGGCCTCCGATATCCTTCAACCTCATGATGGACTTCAAGAAAACCATGGCAAGGATGGCCTTGCCTGTATGCTATTCAGGATGTCTGTGCTGGGCTTGATCAGAGTCTACAGCCCATGGATTCTAAGTCTTCTTAAAGTGTATTGATCCATACAGTAGCATCACTGTCTGGTTTTGTGGTAGCTGAGCCTCAGATAGAAGGTCCATACAGAGAGTGGTAAGGACAGTTGAAAAGATTATAGGAAGTTCGCTTCCCATGATTCAGGATACTGCTCATAAGCGCTACGTGCTTAGAGCACGGAGCATTGTTAGAAGACCCCATATACCCGCTTTACGGTCCGTTTCTGTTGCTCCCCTCTGGGAGGAGGTTTTGAAGTACTTATAGCAGAACTACTAGATTCTGGAACAGCTTTGTTCCTTAGGCCATCCGTCTTGTAAATTCGCAGGATTCTTTGTTTTTCTCGCCGTGTATATGTATACATCCAAACCAGACTGCATTGATTCTCTGGGCCCACATGTGTGTGTATGTGGGTACATGCATAATTTATTTTATTTATTCTTTTTTTTTATCGTGTATGCAGTGTGTATTGGAGATGGTTACTCTTTGAGAGCTGTATGCAACAAAATCTCATTTTAATATATGCTGATTAGTGTACATTTAAAGTGACAATATTCTATTCTATTCTATTCCTATACTCTATTCTATTCTATTCTTATTTCTTCTTCTCTTCTTATCTCTTCTCATCTCTTCTCTTCTTATTTCTCTTCCATTCCATTCCATTCTTTATTCTATTCTATTCTATTCTATTCTATTCTATTCCTATTCTATTCTATTCTATTCTATTCTATTCTATTCCATTCCATTCCTTATTCTATTCTATTCTATTCTATTCTATTCTATTCTATTCTATTCTATTCTATTCCTATCCTATCCTATCCTATCCTATCCTATCCTATCCTATCCTATTCTATTCTATTCTATTCTATTCTATTCTATTCTATTCAAATGGGTGATAACTGATTGCTGGGATAATCCTCTGCCATGTGCAGGATTTGCAGCATATGTGTGGAAGAGTATGGGAGGCTGGTGTCCCATCTGTACACTCCAGAAAGCTTGAATCATGGTGAATGAAGACTTTATAAAACCACGTAAAATCCAGAAGGGAACAAGACAGGGGGTGTCTTTTATCCCTTCATTGTTTATTCTAGTGTTGGATGTGTTAAACAGAAATATTAGACGGGATAACAGGGCAAAAGGACTACAAATGAAAGTGCACCATTACAAATGACGTGCATTTGCTGACGATTTTGGTATTGATTGTGCAAGACCCGGTAGAGAATACTGAACGTGTGATGAGGAAGATTAAAATGTGTGGAGAAATGGCGGGTTTAAGAATAAATCAATCCAAGACGGGAATACTGGCTAAGAACATAAAGGTGAAGATCAGAAGTTAAAATGAAAGTAAAGTAAAATTAAATTAAATTTAAAACTGGTTTTAAAGTTGGGGGAAAAGGTACAGTACTTGGGGGTGACTCTCACTGAGGAACATTCGAAGCTTTACAAAAAATAATGACGGTAAAATATGGAAGGAGATAAAATTGGATTTTATGGGCCCCATCACCGATCGCGTCTTTCCTCTTGCCATGGGCAGGTGTCCTCCATGATATCCAGCTTCCAGTCGGCCTTCAACCTGATCAGTCCCTGGGCCTTGTTCCGGTTCTCGGCAGTACATCAGAAGATGGGAGGACACACCAGAGATAGCAAGTCTTTTCCATTTTCTGTCCTCGGGTTGTGTCTGATGACGGCTCCTTTAGAAATCCATTGGGTTCTCCTTTGGATCGATCCTGCAAACCCCTCCGGGATCTTTTCCCGGAGCGTGGCTGGGGTCCCCAACCAATGGGATCCGGGCTTTGGTATAAATGGAGATGTGAGATGAGGTCAGGAGGGACTCGGTCAACCGTTGAGGTAAATCAGCCAAACACTCTCACTACCAAACACGATATCGATTGAGTCCTTGGCGTCTTTAGTAGATGACCATGACCAACTTTGGTCTCCTCTGTCTCCCACTGACTCTATTGTTGGACAGCCCCCCCCCCTCTTTCCCTGTTGGCTGTCCAGCTGGGCACCTTTCAAGGAAAAGGTTAATAGCTGTGGGCCTTCCTGTCATTTGGGCTACTTGGCTACCTCACGAAGCAAAGACAGTTGGAAGACATCTTGAAAAATAGAGATAGCCAACGATGAACTCCTATGAATGCGAGAAAAATCAGGACACAGATTTCCTCAACTTACAACAGTCCATTCAGGGACTGTTCAAAGTTACAACGGCACTGGAAAAAAAATGACTTTTGGCCGATTTTCACGCTTAACGACCGTTCCAGCATCTCCGCGGTCATGTGATCAAAATTCAAAACTCTAAGCGCTTGGCAACTGATTCATATTTATGACGGTTGCAGTGTCCCGGGGTCACGTGATCCCCTTTCCCAAACTTCTGACAAACAAAATCAGCCAGATTCGCTTAATAACCAGGATGCTAACTTATCAACTGCAGCCATTCGCTGAACAACGGCGGCAGGGAAGGCCGTAAAATGAGGCAAAACTCGATTTAACGAATGTCCCGCTTAGCCACGTAAGATTGTGGCCGTTAAGTCAAGGACTACCTGTGTTTCCATGAAGTCCCAGATTCGGGCTTGACTCTGGAGATGATCTGTCTTTACCTGGTTTGCAAACAATAATTTAGATGAACGATTGACCCTCATTGTTTGAATTCCTGACCCTGATCTCACAATTTCCGATTTGAAGCCAATTCCAATCCATGCTTTGCAAAGAAGGCAGACTTTGTTGGTTTCCCAATCAGCTTTCGTCATTCTATTCCTCCTGCAGATCTCCAGATCCTGGGCTTGGTGTATTTCCTATACCTTTTCCTATTCTCTGGCCTGGAATACACGCTGGGTTTCCTAGTCCATCAGCACTTCCAATTCAGCAGGTATTTAGCAGGATCCCGCCTGCCACACTCACCGTCCCCTCAAAACCTTTAAAGATCAATGGCGTTTAATTTCATAAAATCGGGTCTATTCCAAATATTAAATTTCTCCTCCCGTCTTCTCCTGCCACGCTTGATAATATGGTCTCTGAGAGGAGAGAAAAAAGAGGTATTTTCCTAAATCCCACTAAAAAAACCCATAAAGGTCTATGGCAGTGGTTCTCCACCTGTGGGTCGGGACCCCATTTGGGGTCAAACGACCATTTCACGGGGGTCGCCAAACAACGCAGTCCGCCATTTTTTTCCCCTTTTCCTTAGCTGTGCTCCTCCCTTTTATTCTATTGGCTTTTAAAAGCCAATAGAATAGACTCTCTTGAATAGAGCCTAATTCTATTGGCTTTCCAAAGCCAATAGGAATTGTCCAGGCTGTCTCTGCCCTGCTGAGCCCGCCAAAAGTCCCATTCTGCAAACGGTGCTGCACCTGTTGAGTAGTCCTCGACTTACGACCGGTTGAGTAGTCCTCGACTTACGACCGGTTGGGGGTCGCGGCATTAAAAAGGTTGAGAACCACTGGTCTATGGAGATGCTCAGTCATCCAGGACATAGTTGCTTTTTTTCCAAGAGGCAACTGGACGTTGTTTTTTCTTTGAAGACGTTTCGCTTCTCATCCCAGAAGCTTCTTCAGCTCTGACTGGATGGTGGAGGAATGGAAGGATTTCTATTCCTTGCAGAAAACTGGTCATCTGCCTTCTTTTAGAGAGTCGTTGAGGCCACTTGGAGATTGTTCTGTGTCCTCAGGATCCAAGTGGTCTCAACGACACTCTAAAAGAAGGCAGATGACTGCAGCTTTTGCAATCCAAGCAGGCACGGATTGCAGATCTTCAGCCTGTCCTCAAAGACGTAAGGGAATCCTCTTACTAGGCAGAAGCTGCTTGTGGCTTGTCCTGCCAGCTTCCCCAGTGAATTTCTGGGGAGACTGTGGCAGAGAAGATTCTGACACATAATTGCTGGGCAAACACCCAGATAAGGACCCATCACCAGAGAGGCGGTTTTGCAACATTTCACGATGGCAGCTTTACAAGCCATAAAGCACCACATCAGAGGCTGTTGTAACTTCAATCGGTCGTTAACCAAGGACTACTCACTTTTGTGCTTCCCTAAGAATAAGTGGGGGTGACATTTCTGGGTCTCATCCAGCTGTGTCCAGGCGCTGTGGCCACAATTTGTGTTTCAGCTCTTTTTTTATTTTTTTCCCCTCCTGTCTTTAGTCTGGAACAAGGAAAAATGTTTTTCTGCATCGGTGTCACCATGGCTGTGATCCAGGGGGGCTACACTCGCCAGATTAAGCCAGGAGCAGAACTGAGGGTGGTTAAAACGGTACGTTTTCCTCTTAGCCAAACGTCTGCGGAGATTCTTAGTCATCCAGGTCACGGTTATCCCAACAGTGCTTTTTTCACGAGGCAACTGAGATTAGATTACAGGATGATCTGGACAGACTTGAACACTGGGCACTATCTAACAAAATTAAATTCAATGGTGAAAAAAGCAAGGTTCTACATTTAGGCAAGAAAAACCAAATGCACAAGTACAGCATAGGTGGCACCATGCTCAATAGTAGTAACTGTGAGAGGGACCTCGGAGTCCTAGTAGACAATCACCTAAATATGAGCCAGCCATGTGCGGCAGCTGCCAAAAAGGCCAACACAGTGCAAGGCTGTATTAACAGAGGGATAGAATCAAGATCACGTGAAGTATTAATACCACTCTTTAATGCCTTGGTAAGGCCACACTTGGAATACTGCATCCAGTTTTGGTCACCACGATGTAAAAAAGATGTTGAGACTCTAGAAAGAGTACAGAGAAGAGCAACAAAGATGATTAGGGGACTGGAGCCTAAAACATACGAAGAACAATTGCTGGAATTGGATAGGTCTAGTTTAATGAAGAGAAGGATGAGGGAGGACAGGATAGCAGCCTTCCAGTATCTCAGGGGCTACCCCAAAGAAGAGGGAGTCAAGCTGTTCTCCAAAGCGCCTGAAGGCAGAAGAAGCAATGGATGGAAACTAATCCAGAAGAGAAGCAACCTAGAACTAAGGAGAAACTTCCTGACAGTGAGAACAATTAACCAGTGGAACAACCTTCCTCCAGAAGTGGTGAATGCTTCAACACTGGAAGTTTTTAAGAAGAAACTGGACAGCCATTTGTCTGAAATGGTGTAGGGTTTCCTGCCTGAGCAGGGGGTTGGACTTGATGACCTCCAAGGTCCCTTCCAACTTTTATTATTATTATTATGGATCATCGCATGGTCAGCCAGAAGTTCAGACTGGATTTGGCATTTTGTCTACCTATCGAGTCCTTACCCAGGACCTGGGATAGGCAGATGTGGATGTTTGATGGTATTACAGGTATCGTTGCAGGATGGAAGCAGTTCCTAGTAAGGCCGCCTTTTGCAATTGACTAATGGCGAATTTGTCAATGCCAATGGTGTTCAAGTGGTGCTCCAGTTGTTTTGGGATTGCACCCAAGGTATTATTATTATTGTTATTATTATTATTATTGTTAGTTATTATTAATTATTATTATTATTATTACATTGGATTGGATAATCTTTATTGTCATCTTTTTTCCTGTGGGCACAATGACACATATTAAAAGCAAAGCGCAATTGCTAAGTTTCTCACTTTGCAACATCAATTTTGGGCCCAATTGAGGTCGTACGATAAGGACTGCCTGAGCTAGAAGTTAACAGCCCAGAGATGTCCAGTGATGAGATTCCTCACTCCTGTTTTTTTTTTTCCCTTGACAGGCAATAATGTTGTCAGCGCCTGGCTTCCTTTTAATCGGCTGGAGCCCTAATATTATCATCCTCGGTACAGGGCTGTTGTTTTACTCTTTTGGTAAGTTTCTCACCCAGACCTCGTCAGCCAGACAAACATGCTCCACTGAACTCGTAGCTTTCTTCAGTTTAGGACTCCCAAGACAATGAAATGTATGTAAATTTTGCCGACCATTTTCCTCACTTATACAATATAGAGCAGTGGTTCTCAACCTGTGGGTCGGGATCCCATTTGGGGTCGAACGACCATTTCACGGGGGTCGCTAAACAACGCAGTCCGCCATTTCCCCCCCCCCTTTTTCTTAGCTGTGCTACTCCCTTTTATTCTATTGGCTTTTGAAAACCAATAGAAGAGACTCTCTTGAATAGAGTCTAATTCTATTGGCTTTCAAAAGCCAATAGGAATTGTCCAGGCTGTCTCTGCCCTGCTGAACCCGCCAAAAGCCCCATTCTGCAAACGGTGCTGCACCCGTTGAGTAGTCCTCGACTTACGACCGGTTGAGTAGTCCTCGACTTATGACCGGTTTGGGGGGGGGTCGCGGCATTAAAAAGGTTGAGAGCCACTGTTTTAGAGGGGACTTACTACTAACTTTTGGGCCGTCAAATTCTGTTGCAGCTTCCCGGCTTGTTGGGAATACCAGATTATTGGGGGTTTTCAAGAATCAGCCATCCTCGCAAGGCCGATTTTGCTAAGCAAGACATTGGATCAGAGCGGTCCGTCGTATTTATTAAAGGAGGACCAAAAAAAAAATGAAGAGAATTATATTGTCAGGAAAGGGTCCCTTGCTGGCGTCTGTGGAGATTCTCCGTCAGCCAGGTCAGGGTTGTCCCAAAAGTTCTTTTTCAAAAGGCGACTTGGACTTTGTTTTTCCTCGAAGACGTTTCGCTTCTCATCCCAGGAGCTTCTTCAGTTCTGACTGGATGGTGGATGGAAGGATTTATATTCGTTGTAATCATCTGAGTGTTAGCACTTTTTTTGTTGGCAACACAGTCATTTCAGCAGCTCCAGGAAGGCTCCACACCCATTTGCACTATTTAGGTGACCCCCCCCAGGGCACAGATAAACCTCCAAGTGGCCTCAACGACTCTCAGGAGGAGTACTGACGACCAGCTGTCTGCAAGGAGTATAAATCCTTCCACCCTCCACCATTCAGTCAGAACTGAAGAAGCTTCTGGGATGAGAAGCGAAACCTCCTCAAGGAAAAACAAAATCCAGGTTGCCTTTTGAAAAAAGCACCTTTGGGACCTCGCAGAGGAGGTGGCCTTTATGGAAGCTGCTGAAAAGGTCCATTCTGAAGGTCCAGCTTTCTCCTGGTCACGTGAAAAAGCACGTTTAGCATTGAGGGACAGCCTCTCTCTTCACACTGGTGGTGGGGCGGCTTCCTTTGGGCCCACCCACACCGCAGAGGCGGCCTGGGCAACTTTACGAAAAACGCGGCGGCTTTCACGCTTCAAGGGAAGCTGTCTTATTGTAAACTCTTTGTACGGCACGAGCAAGAGAGAGGTGAATTAGTATCTCTTGGGAGAGAAGGCCAACTGCTCCGGCTTCAACCTGGAGGAAAAATAAGAGAGCCAAGTGGAGAGAGACATGCTTAGGTTGCTCCAGGGGAGGTGAGGGGCTGCTCTGGCAAGCTTGTAGTAGAGATGCTTCTCCGCAGAGTTGCAGGCACGCCAGCCTAACAGCCTTGTTTACTTTGCTTGCAGCTGCAGCCGTAGTTGTCCCTTGCCTGTCTACAGTAGTCTCCGGCTACGGTAAGCTAACGGCCTTCAGAAATGCCACATTTCTGCTCTCTGAGCTTGCTTGTTTTCTTGCAGATGTTTCGGGACCCAATCTAGGCAACGTCATCAGTGCTCAAAGGGAAGGGAGGGTGCTTGCGGTCTACAAGCCAGCTCCTTGCGTATAAAGAGAACACAACCCCTTCTAGCACTGATGGTGTTCCCTAGTTGGGTAAGGAAACGTCTGTGGGAAAACAAGCTCGGACAGCACTTGTGAACCCTGAGCCACAAATATTCTCTTTTAGTAAAATGGCAAAACCTAGTGAGGAAACCAGCCTAAAGCTCTTCCACTTCCCCCCCCCCCCCAGGGCTGGACAGTCAAAAAGGGACCGTGATGGGCATCCTAAGGAGTCTGGGCGCCCTTGCGAGGTCTCTCGGGCCGGTCGTATCAGCGACAGGTAAGCGACGTGGGACAAAGTGCCTGTCACTCAGGAAGACGGGGTGGTGGTAGTTGGGTGGCTGTTTCCAGGGGTCAAAGGTCCTGGCCAAACGAAGCACAGCCCTCCCCACTGTCAGGGTCCCGATTGGGAATCGGCACCCCTGGGGGAAAATCCTGGGATTGTTCAAACGTTCTTAAAACAGGCTTTTGGCTTGCAGTGTACTGGCTGGCCGGGGCTGAGGTTTGTTTCACCGTTTGTGCCTCTCTCTTCCTGCTGCCCTTCGTCCTGCTCCGGTGGATGCCAAAGCCAAACAAAGAGGAGTAAACTACTCAGATGACAAGTTTCCCCCAAAAACTCAAGAACTGATCCTGGAAGACCTCACTAGAGCATGGATGCTATTTTTCACAGCGGCCTTCTACTATCTTTGTCTGAATTTGAGCAGAGGTCCTCCTAACCTCCCAGGCTGGGTCCTTCCGTGGGAGTATCTCTGTGTGGTGTGTGTGTGTATGTGTGTGTATACCAGGGTCTGAAAAAATGACCCATGAAAAAGGCTCTTTGGATAAAACCGCCTGTCTACAAATAGGATGGTGAAGATGCCTGCTTGCTCAATCCATGATAATCTATTACAAAGTCTAGTCCAGGGGTGTCACAATTTCATTGAGGGCCACATCAGCATTACAATTGCCCTCGGGGGTGTGTGTGGCCAGGGTGGGTGTGGCCTACTGGGTGGGCATGGCCTACTGGGTGGGCGTAACCAGCTCTACATAGTTCGCGTCAAGGGTGCCTGTGGGGGCCTGGGCAGGAGTGGGACAGATCTGAGGGTCTCTGGCAGAAAGGGGTGGAACCGGGGCAAGCGCCAAGGCATGGTCCACCGGGGCAAGTGCCAAGATGGCCACCACAAAATTGTACATTGGCTCCCAGCCGGCCTGGCCAGGGCCAAGGCAGCGGGGGCCGTTCCCTCACTGTTTCCAGGACGGCTTCACGGGCCACATGAAACCACTTTGCGGGCTGCATCCGGCCCCCGGGACTTGTGTTTGACATGTCTGGTCCAGTACAACCCAGGTCCTCTCCTTCGCAGCTGGGAGATTTCCTCAAAGTGGGAAGTTTGCACACGCCTTCATGGATTTGCCCACAAGGTCTTTACTATGAGGCCACGAGACTCAATCTTGGGTGACCCAACCTTGGATTGGGAGTCCCTAAGTTTGAGGTGAAGGTTGTTTCTGCCTGTGGCCCATAAGGCTCTCCCCATTTGCCTTCACCTCGATTCGTACTCTTTCTTCGCATCCCTGTGGTGCCTCTTCCAACTCCTGGACCTCGTTATTTTCTTAATTAAGTCTTCTTCTTTTCTTTTGCTTCCTGATTACACAAACCAGCAAAAGTCCTTTCCTACGTGGATTCTGTGAAAGGGTAGCAATTAGATAAAATAGAAAAATTCACAATCTGTCTCTTGTTGTAGAATCCAAGATAAGTGGCAGAAGAGGGATCTAAATTACAGTTGAATAGTAGGGGAACACAGGTCGGATAAGAGAAAGGCCTGGATGGAACCAAATGGCCAAAGAGACTGAGGTTTCCTGGAGTGGCTCGTCTACATTTCTGCCGTTGAGGTTGTTGCGAAACCGACTGTCCGACTCCGTGGGCAGGTGACCAAAGTGTTTGCATCAAAATAGTCAAGATTTTTTTCATTCCCAAAAGAGGCGCATGGAAGAACAGATACAGGCCAAATACGCCATCCTGGAGGCACTTGTCACTTCTACCTTCTGTATTTCACCAAGTGTCTTACCGTAACCAAGTCCCTCTTGGTAAGACTTCTGAGACATTGGGAACTTTAAAACGATGATGGACATGCCTAATTATTCTTCCTTTTGTATTACCGAAATGCTGATGTAATGTTTTGTATGCTGCAAAAGAACGTGTGTCGAGAGAGGAATATTTTCCATTTTCTTTTTCCATATAATAAAGTTTTCAGCGGAGGTTCCTTTAAGCATGGTAAAGAATGCAATATATGGGTTCCATCACAGAATTCCCCCGATGGGTGGGTAGCTTTTTCGGGTCATCCAAGGCTGGCTTGGCACAAGGTGGAGCCATTTCTGGTGTTTGTCTCTCCGTTATGTCCAGGAGAAAAAAAAAAGGTTGGGATTCTTTATGGCTTCCAGAAAGGGAATCCAATTCTCTCGCTGGGTTTCTGGATTTTTGGACCAGCGCCTGGTGTCGGGACCGGCACCCAGATCTGTCCCTGGTGCAAGTGAGGAGGAGAAGCCGCATAAATGAAGAGAGCCAGTCTGTGCCTGCTAGGAATACATTTTATTTCCAAGGACGTGAACTTATCTTTCATCGGTATAAGTGTGACGGAGTACAATGCTTTGCTAGAAAACAAATTAGTAAAATAGCGGATTATTCTGTGGGAAAAAAAGAGGCGATTATTAAACTGAATTAGAAAACAGGCGGGAGGGCGGGATGAGCAAGAAAAACGCCACAAGTTAACTTCATCCTTAAGACACAAAAATAGGCTCCAGTCTCAGCGATGTTACGACACCAAGCAAGGCAGAGAGCGGCCGTAAAGCCTCGGGGGGGGGGGTGGTGCAGGGCAAAGCGGAGGAAGCGGTCATGAGGGTCCCCCCCCAATTGCACAGAAATGGGCTCTGCTGGACGGCTGGACACAAAGCCACCTGCACCAGAGAGCAGACTTGGGAGGAGTGAGCAGGGCGCGTCGCCTTCACATAGAAAGCCGAGAGAGGGAGAGAGGGACTTCAAACTGTTTTCACGAAGTGGCTCCCACCAGGAAACCCACTCCTTCACATGCTCGGGATGTTCCCCGCTCGGCTGCTTGTTTGTTGCTTTTCTTCCGCGCACACAAAAATCGGCATCTTCTGCTTGCTAAATTCCAGTTATAAACTCAAATCGGTCAAGCTCTAGTGTTGTTTGTCCTGCTTTTTTTTTTTTAACAAGAAAGACCAAACGAAAGCACAAGGCAGAATCTGATATAATTCGGGGGGGGGGATTAATAAAGAAGGGGGAGATGCGCAAAGACCAAACCCTCCCTTTGGGGAGGAGGGAGGGAGGGACGGGGGGGAAACTTCAGGGCTCGCTCTTCTTCTTGCTCTTCTTGAGGAAGGACGGGGTGCGAAACTTCTTCTTCTTCTTGGAGGGCGACTTCCCCGGAGACTCCTCGCTGCCGGCTTCGGCCGCTGCCCCATCCTCGGCCGGGGGAGACGCAGGGGGCTCTCCGCTCGGGGAAGGGCAGGGCTGAGGGCTCTCGGGAGGGCCTTCCTTCTGGGGGGCAGCAAGCTCTGGGTCGGGGTCGTCATCCTCCGTTCCGAAGACTTCTTCTGAAGGCTGGTTGGGAGCGGTGAGGTCTGGGAGGCTTGGCTGGGAAGGGGCGGCTTCGCTGCTGCCTTCGTGGCCCGCCTGGCCCGCCGGCCGTTCTGGGGAGCAAACGACAGGAGAAAGGGGGGGGAACGTGGTGTGAAGACCGGCCTCTTGGCACCCACCTTCCTTCAGTGGGAGGGAGGGTGCTGCTCCTGGGGGTCCAATCCCGGGCAGCCGCCTCCCATCCACAGGGTCCCAAGAGAGATATTTGGATATTTTGCAAACAACTCAGCCTTCTCCTGACACACCCCGAGCCAAAAATGCATGCAAAGGACTGCAAAAGGGTCACTTTTTGGGGGGTGGGGGGGTTGCTTGCTTTAGGGACTTTCCTGACTGCAGGCAAAGGGGTGAGGAGGGGAATGATCTTAAGCTCAATGTTAACCCAGTGGAAATGTTGTGGTTCCCCCCTCCCCGAATCTTGGCCAGGGATACGGCTGCCCTAAAAGGACGCTCAAATTAATGGGAGGTTTCGGGGTCAGCTCCAGGGCGCCTGGCACCCTGGCCGACGGCACCCATTTCCACCCGTGCAAGAGCTGCTTTTCTGGAATGGTTCAGGGTGAGGAGCTGGCACGGGTGGGTCCCTAAGTGTGGCGCTCTACAGCCAGCCTGGAGAACTAGAGTACTTGCACTGGGAACAGAGGGTAAAAAAATCTGCCTAAAAGGGTGCCCAGACTTTGGGGTTCACAAGCAACCAGGGTCCTAGGCAGAAGTTGGCCTCCGCCTCACCCAGAGCTTCTTCCAGGACTGAGGGAATGCTCCTGGAGACAAGGCCTGGGCTACTGTTGCTGCTGGTGTGGCCAACCTCAATTTCTCTGAGGGACACGAGGGACTTTTGCCAAACGTCCTGGACTGTCACCCCCACCATCATCCCCGGATTGGGTGGATTAGGGAATGGCAAAATTGTGGGCACGCTTTAGTTCTTTCAGGGGCTGATGAAAGCCCTCCCTCCCCTGAATCGGCCATCGCACTTGAAACGGAGGCATTTTTCAGACAGGTGTGCACCCCTCTCTTCATAAAGCAGAGTTGGGCAACTATGGCCCCTTTACAGCCTGTGGACTTCAACTCCCAGAATTCCTGAGCCCACCATGGGAAGTCTGGGAGTTCTAGAGTTGGAACTCCCGGAAACTCTGGGAGTTGAGGTTCACGGATTTGTCTACAGACGTTGTCCCAACGGTGCTTTTTTTTTTTCAAGAGGCAACTGGACTTTCTTTGTTTTTCCTTGAAGACGTTTCACTTCTCCTCCCAGAAGCTTCTTCGGCTCTGACTGAATGGTGGAGGGAAGGATTTATACTCCTTGCAGACAGGTGGTCATTTGCCTCCTTTTAGAGGGTTGTTGAGGCCACTTGGATCCCAACCGCACAAACATCCCAGTGGCTTCAACGATTCTCTAAAAGAAGGCAAATGACCAGCTGTCTGCAAGGAGTATAAATCCTCCCATTTCCCCCACCATCCAGTCAGAGCTGAAGAAGCTTCTGGGATGAGAAGAGAAACGTCTTCAAAGGAAAAACAAGAAAGTCCAGTTTCCTCCTGAAAAAAGCAGCTTTGGGACAAGTTCACGGGTTGTCCAGGGGGCATAGTTGCCCACCCGTTATAACAGAATGCAGGGACTCTCACATGCAAACATGAGCTACGTTTGGTATCTGAAAGGTTAAGGCAAAGCTGCACGTGTGGGGTCGACACCCAGCCTTGCGTGGAAGGGGAAGAAGCCCCACAGGGTGGGGGGGGGGAGAAAGCATCCTCCGGGCTGGCCTGTGGATCCAGTTCTCGATGAGCAAAGTGGGAGAGAACGCCCAACTCTGCAGGGAACTTTTGCCTGTCTGCTTAGATGAAGTGGGGGGGAGGAAAGGAGGGGGGCATCTAAGCGTGTCCCCGTGACCTAGGTCAGGGGTAGGCAACCTTGGCTCTTTTATGACTGGTGGATTTCAACTCCCAGAATTCCTGAGCCAGCCACGCTGAGGGGAAAGGGAGAGGTTTCCAAGCTGAGCCATGCCGGCTCAGGAATTCTGGGAGTTGAAGCCCACCAGTCATAAAGGGGCCAAGGTTGCTTACCCCTGGTCTGGGGGATTCTTCTCCTTAACCAACCACTTTAAACTAAACTTGTTTAGTTTGTTTTTTAGTTGAGGAGGGGGTCGACCTATTTTCCAAAGCACCAGAAGGTAAGACAAGGAAAAAACAGATAGAAACTGATCCAGGAGAGAAGCAACCTGGAATCAAGGAGGAATTTCCTAAGAGTGAGGACAATTAACCAGTGGAACAACCTGCCCCCAGATGTTGTGAATGCTCCAACACTGGAGGCTTTCAAGAAGAGACTTCTTGGGATGGTATAGGGCAGGAGTAGGCAACCTTGGTTCTTTTATGACTCGTGGACTTCAACTCCCAGAATTCCTGACCCAGCCACGCTGAGGGGAAAGGGAGAAGTTTCCAAGCTGAGCCACGCTGGCTCAGGAATTCTGGGAGTTGAAGTCCACAAGTCATAAAAGGGCCAAGGTGGCCTACCCCTGACCTGGGCAAGGGGGCTATCATCTCCCCCAGCCAGAGCCCTTGAGCGGTCACAAGGAAGAGCCATGGAGCAGCTTACAACTGTGTTCCTCTTGGTCAAAGCAACAGAAATGACTGCTTACATACTTCCTGGTTCTCCTGCCAGGAAAAAGGCTGTTCTAGTGATCCCAAGAGGAAGGACGGACTCATTCAGTTTAGCGCATTCTGGAAAGATTCCAGGATACGCTTGGTTTTGTATACAGGGCAGATATTTAAAACACGAGTGAATCGGGAGAGGAGAAAATCTTTTGAAGACCTAATCAGATCATTCTCCTTATGTTTTCTAAGCAGACGTTGGGGGCGGTCATCGAATTTAAGGGGATTTAGTAGAGATTTACCGTTCTGCGGGATGTCCTAGTGCAGGGGTCTTCAAACGTGGCCCTTTGATGACGCGTGCCTGGCTGAGGAATTCTGGGAGTTGAAGTCCACAAGTCATCCAAGGGCCACGTTTGAAGACCCCTGTCCTAGTGTCTTTCCTGCTTTATCCTTTTATTTGCAAACCGTTCTGCGTTATTGTTTGTTTTCATTTCAAGTTTAGAATTTGTTAGCGCAGTGACGAGAAGGACTTCAAACCCAGCAAACCGAAAACTGTTAGATTTAAAAAACAAACAAACAAACTTTTGTTAGGTTAATTTAAAAGCAGAGGGAAAGGTTTGTAAAGCCATTTGGCAAATTAAAAAGCCCAATTAGCTTTGCTGAAAATAACTTCACGAGCCTTCTTTTTACACCCCTTTCTTGCTTGTCGTTTTGGCCGGGCTCCGGAGAGAAGAACAGCCACTTCCTTCATTAGGATATAAAATGCCTGGCGGCGAGGCTAGGGAGAACCGCCCAAAAAGTAACTCCCAAAACCATCATCTGGTTTCTTAAGATTACACCTGAAGGAAGATTACACCTGAAGAAGGAAAACTGGGAACTACTGAGTTAAGCAGTGCTGCTACGCGTCCTTCGTCACTCTAATGGAATATGTAGCCATTCCGACCGATTCAAATATAGGAGATGGCCTCTTTCCATTTTATAGAGATTACGATGAGTTTTGCCACCGTACGCATACAGATATTACTTGACTTGTCACCGTTCAAAGATACGACAGTCACGTGTTGAGGACCAGAGAAATGCAGGTGTCTGTTTTCTTTACCTGGACCGTCCTTTGCGATGGATCTGATGCCCAGAAGGAAAGTGGACCTGTCCTTCTAGTCCAGTGGTTCTCAACCTTTTTAACGCTGCGACCCCCAACCGGTCGTAAGTCGAGGACTACTCAACCGGTCGTAAGTCGAGGACTACTCAACTGGATGCAGCACCGTTTGCAGAATGGGACTTTGGGTGGGCTCAGCAGGGCAGAGACAGCCTGGACAATTCCTATTGGCTTTTGGAAAGCCAATAGAATTAGACTCTATTCAAGAGAGTCTATTCTATGGGCTTTCAAAAGCCAATAGAATAAAAGGGAGTAGCATAGCTAAGGAAAAGGGGGGGAAAAAATGGCGGACTGCGTTGTTTGGCGACCCCCGTGAAATGGTCATTCGACCCCAAATGGGGTCCCGACCCATAGGTTGAGAACCACTGGGCTAGTCAAAGGACATAGGCCACTTGGAAAAAAGAGAAGTGTTGCAACTGACACAACGTGCCTATTTCGTGTGCTGGACTTTCTCTCCCAAGGGAAGGTTCAGAGGCTGTTGTGATGACGTAGGAAGCATCACACACCCTAGCCAACGTCTTCCTTCCCTCTCGAGAAAGGGCTTTATCTCCCCCTGGTGAAGTGGGTTACAGCGCCAAGGCCCAACCGTGGCGACATGCATCTAACCTGGATTCCAAATTAGATGCGCCTCTGATCTGCACGAAGCTGGCCAAGCAAATGAAAAGAATTAAGCAAACTTTAAAAAAAAAAAAAAAGTATGCAAAGCGCCTGCACGGATCAACTCCACACACCATGGAAGGAAGGAAGACACCGGAAAGAGGCCGTAAATAAATAAATAAACAAAACAAAACAGAATAAATAAAAAATAAAACCGTTCACAACGAAGCGAAAAGCAGAGAAACAAGGCAGGAGGCAAGCGGGGGGGGGGGAAACTCCATCATACTTACTACGGCAACAGGTACTCTTTAGCATATCCACCTCCTGTTTGTAAGGCAGCCACAGGAAGGAAGGAGGGGAAAAAAAAAAAAGCACAAAGAGAAAAAAGTCTATGCATCCATCACAGCCACTGGAGTCAAGAGAGAAAAAGAATGGCTAAAGGCCATTCTTAAAAAGGGGTTACAGAATGAAATGGGGACGGGGTCGGTGGGGGTGGGGGGGGGTGAAGAGAGACAGATAATTTAATCACAGATGGCTGACGATACCCAGAGCTGACAAAGAAGACAAGAAACACGGCTGCTTGTACATTCGCCACAAAATGCCACTGAAAGATGTCTCTGGCCTTCGTCCCCCTGAGCAGAGACCGGCAAGGAAAGACATCTTTCTAAATTTGGGGAGGGGGGTGGGATTATAGCAACACTTAAGGAAGGTGCAACGCAGATGTTGACTCCTGCTCCTCTTCCTCTCTCTCTTAGCCCATCCTGCACTTCTGGATCTGTGCTGGGCTCGGTGGGCAAGAGGTATCCCTGGGATGAAGGCAAAGCCTGTTAACGGTGGGGGCTGCCAGGGACAGCCCAGAACGTGCTGCTGCCCGGGCGGGGGCAAAGGAGGGGCAGATCTGGGTTGATCAGACCCAGGAGAGCCCAGGCTGAAAACCTGGCTCAAAAGAAGGCAACACCACAACACAAGGAATGTTGTGGCACTGGGGTTTTAGAAGGCAGGATTGCAGCCTGACTCTGCCCACAGCCAGGAAGTTCGATCCTAACCCGCTCAAGGTTGACTCAACCTTCCGTCCTTCAGAGGTCAGTCAAATGAGGACCCAGATTTTGAGGGGGGGGGGGGCAAGAGGCTGATTCTGTAAACCGCTTAGAGAGGGGCTGTAAAGCGGTATATAAGTCTAAGTGCTATTGCTATTTCCCTGCGGTTGCCAAGAGAAGCACAACGGATGAGCCGTGGAGGTTCTCAAGGCTTTAGAGCAGGGCTGGGCAATTATGGCCACTTCATCACCGGTGGACTTCAACTCCCAGAATTCCTGAGCCAGCCATGAATTCTGGGAGTTGAAGTCCACCGGTGGTAAAAGTGGCCGTAACTAGCCAGCCCTGCTTTAGAGAGTTCTCTTCCAATTTGATCATTAATTTCCAAAAGCATCAGCATAGGCAAGGATTCACGTCGCAAACTTAACAAGAAACAAGCCATCTTTAACAGCCTGGTTTCAGCTCCGTAATTTTCCTAGGGAACCAACTCTTAATGCGATACGTGATCTACCACCAAGAAACCTGGTACTGGAAATTTTGAGGAAAGGAAGAACAGTTCAGATCAGATCACAGCCTCGTGGGTGGTTGTAACAATTCGAAAGTGTGGACCAAATGCTCTAGGGCAGAGATGTTACAACAGTTCATTTAGTGACCGTTCAAAGTTACAACGGCACTGACAAAAAGGGACTTAGGACCGTTGTTCACAGCTCTGTTGCCTCCCCATGATCACGGGATCAAAATTCAGATGCTTGGCAACTGATTTGTATTTACGACCGTTGCAGTGTCCTGGGTGTGGGTGTGTCATGTGATCCCCTTCTGACAGGCAAAACCAATGGAGGGAGCCAGATTCCCTGAACAACTGTGTTGCTAACTTTAACACCTGCGGCGGTTCGCTTAACAAAGGTGGTGAGAAAGGTTGTTAAAACGGGGCAAAACTCCACGAGCCAGTGTCTCACTTAACAACAGAAATTTTGGGCTCAGCTGGGGTTGTTAAGTCGAGGACCACCTGTAAAAGGTGAAGAGACGTGGCAACATTAGTGGGGAAGAAGGCTGAATTAAAGCCAAATATTTCCCCCCCATAAAATCACCATCCAGCCTGACCCACAGAAGCGTCCTTCGCTTGGGGGCCAGCTGTGGATCTGCCGGGGTCCTAAATGGGAGCCCAGCTGTTGCACCTCTGCCTTCCTTCCCAGTTTCTGATTTATAGTCAGGGCCTTTTCTAATTCATCAGAAAAGGGAACGGCGCTTTAGATCTTGGCACGCACATGGCACATGGGGGGGGGGTGAAGGTCCACAGATGGCTGCACGCAAAAAGGAAGACATTTCAGTACAGTGTTTTGCGGAACGGAAAAGCAAACACACACACACACACATACACAAAGCTGGGCACTGTTAGGAAGGGACTGAGAAACCCAGTGGCTACACCTGAGGGGCCACCAGGCTGTGGGATTCTTCCCAAAAACTGATGGATGCTCCGTCAACTGATAAAGGAGCAGCTCCATCAAAGTGGGGGGGGGGGAGAGTGAGAAATGGCTTCCAAACGAGGTCACTATGCTTTGAACCCATTTTTCTCTCCCGGTTCAAGGAGGGGGAAGATCATGCAAGGTAACTTATGGATCTGACATGAAAGGGGGAGCTTCAAGCTACTGGATTCGTCAGAAGGATCAGGGATGGTTTGAAGAAACGCTGGAAAGCTATTATTGCCCTTCCTGGTCACTGAAAGCTGAATGAGTGTTTCTGGAGGGGTCATTTTCTTGGGAACAATTACACAGAAACTCTATTTAGCTCCATCTTCCTACTAAGAAATGTCATTCCTGAGTCTTTTCTCCAAGGAATGGAAACGCAACGCCTCGGATGCCACCCACATTAACACATACCTTCCTCAAGTTTGACCGGAGTGCTGGGTGGGGTGGAAGCGACCGTTTCTTCCGGAGAGCTCCTATCTCCCTGCTGTCTGCCGTCTTCACCATCTTCTACAAAACAGATTACAATTGAGAAGAAAGAGAAAAGAAAGAAAGAAAGAGATAAGAAAGTAAATCAAGAAAGAGATAAGATCAAGAAAGAAAATCAAGAAAGAGATACTGTAAGAAAGAAAATCAAGATAGATAAGAATGAAAATCAAGAGATAAGAAAGAAAATCAAGAGATGAAAGGAAGAAAGAGATAAGTAAATCTCAAGAAAGAGATAAGAAAATCAAGAAAGAAAATCAAGAGATACTGTAAGAAAAAAATCAAGAAAGAAAATCAAGACATATAAGAATGAAAATCAAGAGAGATAAGAAAGAAAATCAAGAGATGAAAGAAAGAACAAAGAAAGAGATAAGAAAATCAAGAAAGAAAATCAAGAGATAAGAAAGAAAATCAAGAGAAGAAAGAAAGAAAGAAAGAAAGAAAGAAAGAAAGAAAGAAAGAAAGAAAGAAAGAAAGATTTCTCTTCTTTGCAAATTTGCAGCAAACATTGTCCCTTCTCACTCACATCGTGTGGGAAAGTGGGAAGCTTCCGGAAACAAATGCCACAACGGACAAAATAATAGTGGCATCAGTTAGGGCAGTGATGGCGAACCTTTTAGAGACCGAGTGCCCAAACCGCAACCCAAAACCCACTTAGGTATCGTCGGGTGCCGGGTGGGCATGGCTGCGGTGGCAACGGCAGACTGGGTGGGACTAAAAAGTTCAATCAATTCCAGATTTTTTTTTCCCGTTAGAAGTTGAAATTGATTGATTAAACCTTTTGGGGGGGGGGCACACGGCGACGGAGGCCTAAAGCGGAAAAGGTTTTATAAAACCCAGTGCCCGTGCCCACAGAGAGGGCTCTGCGCTACTTGTGGCACGCGGGGCCTAGGTTCGCCACCACGGAGTTAGGCAATGAAGCTTTTCTGACAGTGCCGTGGTTAGACCACATGCATGGCCTGGGTTGACAGGCACCGTGAGCCCAGAGGAGACACTGGGAGCAAAACTCCACCAATTCCAGCAAGACGTGCCCGTTCAAGCCAAGATGCAGTGGGCTCACGGGCGGTGCCCAGCTGACGCGACACACAGACCTTCCGATTGCCTCTGCTTCCTTTCGACTTCTTGGCGATACTCCTCCAGTTCTCGGTCCGTGAGTTTGTGGAAAGGGTTGGGTCCAGTCGTGCTGATGATGACGCGGGGCTGGTATTCCTTCTCAATGATGGCCTTGGAGGCGGTCACCAGCTCCCCCTGATCAGAAGAAGAGAAAGTTCTCTCACCATCTGGGAGACCAGACACTGGAGGCACCGGGTGTCCCAATGGTGTTTTTTTTTTCAGGAGGCAACGGGACTTTGTTTTTTCTTTGAAGACCTTTCGCTTCTCATCCCAGAAGCTTCTTCAGCTCTGACTGGAGGTGGGGAATGGAAGGATTTATACTTCTTGTAGACAGTTGGTCATTTGCCTTCTTATAGAGGGTCACTGAGGCCACTTGGAGGGTGGGGAATGGAAGGATTTATACTCCTTGCAGACAGCTGGTCATTTGCATTTTAGAGAACCGTTGAGGCCACTTGGAGGGTGGAAAATGGAGGGATTTATACTCCTTGTAGACAGCTGGTCCTTTGCCTTCTTTTAGAGGGTCATTGAGGCCACTTGGAGGTTCACCTGCGTCCTCGGGGTTACCTGCATGGTGCAAATGGGTGTGGAGCCTTCTTGGTTGCAGGATGTTTTCTGCCTTGTGTCCCTTCACTGTTGAAGAATGGCACAGGCTGTTGAAGAGGAGGACACAGGTAAACCTCCAGGTGGCCTCAAGGACTCTCTAAAAGAATGCAAATGACCAGCTGTCTGCAAGGAGTATAAATCCTTCCATTTCCCCCACCATCCAGTCAGAGCTGAAGAAGCTTCTGGGATGAGAAGCGAAACGTTTTCAAAGGAAAATCAAAGGAAGTCCAGTTGCCTCTTGAAAAAAGCACCTTTGGGACAACCGTGACCTGGATGACGGAGAATCTCCATAGATACTGGAGGCGCTGGGGAAAACGCTCGTTCTAATGAAGCAACATCCCTGAAAAGTTTAATTTCATACAGAGCGGGGAGGCTGCCCTGCTGATCTTGCACTATGAATCTAACACGGGCCATTTTTAGAATTTAAAAAACAAACAAAACCAAGTACGATTACATTGTTACAAACCAGTAAATAGCTTTCTGATTAAACCGCTCCATAAATATTGTAAACAAATCAACTGACTAGGTAAATGCACGAGTGCTTTTGCTGGCTGGCCAGCCACCGAAGTGGGATAAGACGCACTCTCTGGCCAACATTTCCGGCGGCAACTGCGGTTGCCCCAACTAATTCAAAATTGTTAGGTGGAAAGAGAGAGAAAAAGGTATGTCTAAACTCAAGCTCTGTATCTGTAAAGATCTGGGCATATTATTTCCGTCCCATCCAATTTTTGCAACGGAAAAGTCAAATTGAACATTTAAATTGGCACCCCTTAACTTAACAACTCCCGTGCAGTTTGTGTACGGTGCTCTAAAGCAGGGATGTCAAACTCAATTTCACTGAGAGCCGCATCAGCACTGCGGTTGCCCTGTGGGGGCCGGGTGGGTGTGGCCTACTGGGTGGGCGTGGATGGAATGGGTGTGGCCTACTGGGTGGGTGTGGCCAGTTCTACATCATTTGCGTTAAGGGTGCCTATGGGGGCCTGGGCAGGAGTGGGACAGATCTGAGGGTCTCTGGCAGAAGGGGGTGGGACCGGGGCAAGCGCCAAGGCATGGTCCACTGGGGCAAGTGCCAAGATGGCCACCACAAAATTGTACATTGGCTCCCTCCCGGCTGGCCTGGGCCAGGGCCAAGGCAGTGGGGGCCGTTCCCTCACTGTTTCCAGGATGGCTTTGCGGGCCACATGAAACCACGGGCTGCGTCTGGTCCCCGGGCCTTGTGTTTGACATGTCTGCTCTGAATATATCGTAAAGGAATGTTGGGAGGATCTTGGGAAACAGGGCAAAGAGCTGCTGCCCGGGCACCAGCCAGATAAGAGAGAGCAGAGCCCATAGCTGCATAGTAGACGGGAGGGAGAAGCTCAGAAGGGACCCTCCTGAAGTTCTCAATGATGTCAACTTTAACCAGTTTGGAAACAAGAGCAGATAGTTTTCTATAATTTTTCCTGCATGCCATTACTTATATGAAGTAACATTACTTATATGAAGTAACATTCTGTCTCAGCCTACGTTAGTCCTTGTTATGCTCACAAGGAGAAAACCCTCTTCCAAACAAGCGGTTCCAATCCCCTTTTATTATTCACAGACCCTTGTGTCCAAGGCAAACAAAACACAGTTCACAGAAACTCGATTCCTTAACACAAAAGTTTGCTTCGGCAACCAGCACCTCCCACACCTTCCCTTTTATTATTCAGCCAAGGTGTGGCTTCCTAATGCCTTCTCCTTTGCCTTTGGAGCCGCCCCATTGCATCCCTCTGTCCTACTCTCTTTGCCTGCTGGCGTTTTCGTGCATCCTGGATTTGTCCCAGCTGTTCTTCATCACTGTCCAACTCAGGCTCCCAGCACAGCTGTGTCTCAGCCTGAGCACGAGTAAAGGGGCCAGGCTCCTCCTCAGACTGTAAGTCTTGGCGCTCCTCAGAGCCTTCCTCTGACTCTGATGTCACTCCAGACCCCTCCTCCTCTGATTCCTCAGACTCAGCTGCCAGGTCTACTGGCTGGCAAGGAATCACAACACCCCACTGGATGCTTTTCAGAATCATGGTTCTCCTATTGGAATCTTATACGGGTCTCTCTCATAATATTCTCCTGCTCATCTCCTGAGAACGACAGGTCTGTTCTCAAAAACACCCAACGACAATTCCTAAGGTGTTCTTGGACACTGGCCAGAGTCTGGCAGGAATCATCACGTATAATAAGTATACAAGGCTGTTTGGCAAGGGAACGATGGGAGTTTCAATTTCAATCGGAGTGAAAGGGATAATTATACCTAACCCATTTTATATTGGGGGATGTAGGCAGGCTGGGGAGAGCTGAGCACGCTAGTCACAATCACAAAGGCCTGACCAAGCCTGGCCCCAAACGAAGCTGGTCTTCCCAGAGCTTTTTCTGAAGAGCTAAGGTGTGGAAAGCGAGCAAAAGAGAAGCAAGAGAAAGGAGGAGGTGCAAGGTTATGAATGAGGCGATGAGGCCCAAGAGCAAAGGCAGAAGGGAAAAGCGCATAAATCAGCTCCCCACTGTCAAAAGCCCGAGGAACCAAGATTTGTGTGGACGTTCTGCCAAGATCTGGGGAGGCAACACCCCCTCCAGAGAAGCATCCCTAAATCCATCAGAGGCTCTATGACCAGATGATCAAGTCTGGGTAACTTTGCCACGGTATGTCGACAGAAATTCATCCACGTCCAAGCGCTAACATCGTGGGAATTTGAATTAACAATTCCAAAGCTCAAGGGTTTTGTTTCGTCTACTTCTTAAAAAGCCACCCACAAAATGCAACATGCCAATCTGAGCAACTGATTGTCCCCTTTGGCTTAGGAACTGGTTGTGCCGTCTTTCGTTGCAAGAACGACAGCCAAGTATTTTGTGAAATTTGCAAGACACCGTACGTTATCTTCACACAGCGCAGAAACTCAACTCAGGCACCTTTGAGGGGGTTTTCTAGCAAAGCTGCCAGAAGAATTTTGTAGTTTAGGACTGGGTGACAGATTGTCCCCAAGCACTGATCTTGTTTTCTTCATCTGCTGCTACGGTCCTACTTGTACCTTTCAGAGCACTTGTTGCAAAGATGCTTTTTTTCAGGAGGAAACTGGACTTTCTCGTTTTTCTTTGAGGACGTTTCGCTTCTCATCCCGGAAGCTTCTTCAGCTCTGACTTGATGGTGGGGAACGAAAGGATTTATACTCCTTGCAGACAGCTGGTCATTTGCCTTCTTTTAGAGGGTTGTTGAGGCCACTTGGAGGTTTACCTGTGTCCTCAGGTCACCTGAGTGGTGCAGATGAGTGTGGGGCCTTCTTGGAACTGCTGAAAGGACCGTGTGGTAGACTGGAGATAGATAGAGGATGTCGTATCCCTCCCCCTCTGTTGAGGGAGGGCTATTCAATTTTGAAAATTTCACTCCATACGCAGTTTGAATTTTGGGGAAAAGACTGCACTAATTCTAAAGGATCAATTCATAGCCTTTGGGGAGATGACCAAGAGGCTGATCTCCGAGGACTTTTGCAAGTCACTGGATTTTGGAGAGTGAAGGTGCACAATGTACAGCCTGGGGTCGTGTGAAACTCTGCAGGATCAGGCTCTTCGGACACCCTCCCTCCCCAGATTCTCCCCGGTAACAAAACCCCAAAGTACAGCCTTCCTCGCCTCCTACGGCTGCATCATCAATAAAGGAAGCCTCTCTCGTTCTCTCTATCTGTGCGTGGAAATTGAATTATGACAGGTAGTAAAAAACTTCAGGTAACCGCAAATGGTCCATTAACACACAATTCTGCTTCTGCTGGATACGAAGCAGGGCGATTCCTGGTTAAATCCGTGGCTCTTTGGAGGGGGGGGAATTACAGCCGAGGTCAGCCATGTTTCAAAGGAAATTACTCAAAGAATCTGATCAACCTTCAGAGATCCTACTTGACATCAAACACACCCACCCAATGTGTAGCTCCCCTTTGTACCACGGAGCGAGAGAGATGATAAGCCAGGGTTAGAAAAAGGAGATTAAAAGCGAAAGAGAGTTGAGAGCGGAAGGACAGTGCAAGTCAGTACCTTTCTAACAGAGACAGATTTAGCTGGACTAAAGGCCTGCTCTGTGGGGTCCAGCCCTTCAATTGTTTCCGTACAGTCTGACAGGGGAGCATCCTGAAACAGGAAATTGAGTAGACAGAGCAAACCAAGCCCCGGCTTAGATTATCGGCTAAAAGCATCAGGACGTGGCCTTAAAAAACAACATGCAGAAGCACATTTAGCATGTCGAGACACAAGCAGCAGCAGCAGCAATAAAACAGCATGCAGAGCAACGTTGAATTCTTCTTTAGCGATATCCTGGCCGTGACATCAAGCAGCTAGAAAAGTACACTGGAAATAACCTGCATCTTACTGTATTTCCCTCCAAAATAAGACCGGGTCTTATATTAATTTTTGCTCCAAAAGACGCATTAGAGCTTATTTTTCCGGTTAGGTCTTATTTTGGGGAAAATACAGTACTAAATGTGTCTGTCTGGCTGACGATCTTAACTGGGGCTTATTTTTTGGGGGGGGTGGGGCTTTATATTACGAGCGTCCTGAAAAGTCATGCTAGGGCTTATTTTCCAGTTAGGTCTTATTTTGGGGGAAATAAGGTAGTGTGGGCTTATTCAAGGTTTGTTTGATTGTTTTTGAGAAGGTAACGGGCCTTTTTACCACCCCACTAAACCTAACAGACACACCCATGTCGGCGAAGGTGTCCCCTGCAGGTCATCGTGAATGCAGGAACACCACACAGCCTACCTGGTGCCTTGTGACCAGCACACCCCTAGAGACTGGCCTCCCACTGTGTGGCTGAACCCTCCGTGGGATGGTAAAGGCAGCAGCTGCCTGCCCCTCTCACCTACCTGATAAAGAGTTACTCTCTGTCAATTAAAGTTAAGTTGCACGGGGCTACATGAGGTGGCAGCAGGAAGAGGCCACGCGTTCATGCAGAGCGTCAGCGGAAGCTGCTTTGATTTCTCACCTGCACGAGGCTCCTGTCCATGACAACGCCGGAAAGGACTTGAGACTGTGGACCGGCCGTTTTAATGTCTTGCAAGTTCTGCTCCCTGATCTGTCAAAGGAAAGGGGGAAAAAAAAAAAGACACCGAGCATCAAGTCAGCCACAGACAGGTCAAGCCAACGAGCTGAGCTCTACACGTAGCTAGTTGCAGGCTTGTTCTGAGCTAGCGAAGCTACAGATCCATTACAACCCCGCTTAATTCTTGTTAAAAGAATGCAGAGGATCTTGGATCCTGTGCTGTTGGATCCTGACTTTTGTTTCATTCCAAATGGGCTTAGCCTGAACGGGGGCTTGTTTCGCAGGTGCCCGGAGAGGGCAGGGATAGGCTGACGGTTCCAACCAAAACTCGGGAGAACAAACGAAGTTCAAATCTGGATCCTATCTCTGATGCTTGCCAAAGTCCAGCACTCCCCTCTCTGATAGAGGCAATCCTCGACTTACGACCGTGAGCCCAAAAGGTCTGTTGGGAAAGGAGTTTTGCCCCATTTCACAACTTTTCTGGTCACAGGACAACTGAACACAGGTTCGCTTAACATCACTGCAGTTGATAATTTAGTGTCCTGGCTGTTCAGTGAATCTGGCTCCCCCCCCCTTTTACTAAGCTGGTCAGGTTGCAAAAGGGGATCACACAGCAACGGTCGTTAAGTTACGAACTAGCTGCCAAGCATCTTAATTTTGGTCATGTGATCATGAGAAGGCTGCAACGGTCGTTAAGCGTGAATAATGGCGATGAGTCACTTTTCCCAGGGCCTGGTGTAACTTCGAGCGGGCACTAAATGAACTGTAGTAAGTCAAGGACTACAATCCCTAATGGCACCCTTGGCCTGGGACCTTCCTGGGCACCCATGCCCAGTGCCAGTCAGTCCTGCGCAGCCCGGCTGCAGCCTGACCTTTCTGCCCCCTTCCCTTGTCCACAGGGGTCCCCAAAGGGCCGTGAGCCAGACGAGGCATCTTCCCATACGTTGAGATCCAGGAGCAGACTAACCCAGCAGGCAGAGCCATTTCCTGGCCGGTACGAACCTTGTTCCGCATTTCTTGGACCTCCTTGGGGTTCGTGTTCAAGGGAACAAAGAGGTTTGGGGGAGCAGATGAGGCAGTCCGGTGACCCTCCTCTTTAGTCCACTGTAAACAACAGCACGAAAACAGGGATGTTAGAAAAAAGGTGCCGGAATGCGCAGCTTCTTCAAAACAGCCAGGTTACATCGCACAGGAGAGCATGCAAGATTTGACAAAGGAGAACTGAAGCAATGATTGGGGTTTTTTTGGGGGGGGGGGGAACAGCTGCTTTGCTGCGTGGGTGTGTCCGATATCCAACCACCAAATCCACGAAAAATGGGGCGCCTAGAAGGGGTGCCAAGATTCCAGAGGTCTTCTTTAGCAGTAGAGACAACTATGACATTTTCAGGCTGTAATCAGAAGCCTCCATTCCTTGACTTTGCGGTGTGTATTGTTTTCGGGCTACAATGCAAAGCAGGGACATAAAAATCTTGGCCGCTTTTAAGGCCTGTGGACTTCAACTCCCAGAATTCCCCCGCCAGCATGCCTGGTTGGGGAACTCTGGGAGCTGAAGTCCATGAGTCTTACAGCTGCCAAGGCTGAACACCCCTGATGGAAAAGCTGGGTTCATTGGAATAAATCCCTCTTCACCCCGCAGGGCACTGTTTAGTGCCAGACTATTAATCAGATGGGCTCAGTTATGGAAATATAAAACCAGAAATGCTTGACAATCTTTTAATTGTCAATCTTTTAATTGCTTGACAATCTTTTAATTGTCCACATCATTGTTTCACTTCCCGGGTATCTTAATACATCAAAGCGAACAGAAACCACAAGATGACGGAAATATGAAAAGCAGCATGATAATAACCAGGCTAGGTGGATAATTTTGTCCCATGAAGAAAAAGAGTGGGCATCACCAAAGTTTAAATTCAAAACAAAACTCAAAAGAGTAGAAATTTCAAAACCGTTTTTACACAGACAGATAGATGGAGCAGCCTAACAGAAGAGTTTGGTGATGTCGTTGTTTTATATAAAGCTTATGGCTTCATATATTAATAAAAATAAAAACACATCTCCAAAGCTTAAAAAAAGCATTTGTTTTTTGCAGGAGGTTGCTTAATTTAACCAATAAAGTTAGTAGCTTAAGAAGTAAGTTTGTCCTACCAATATGAATATGAGATTTATTCTTTTGAAAGGTTATGTTTGGCTCCATTAATAAACAACATTTGCAGAGATAAGCTCTCAACTCTGAATCGAATCCATTTTACACTTTTGCATAAGTATACTCCTCCCAAAAATAATTCTGAGACAAGAAGCCAGAAATAGCACTCCTTAAAATGCAACATAATTTTAAAATGTTTTGCAAATATGAAGTAAAAAAATGGAATGAACATGGAGCTATGGATACTCACTGGTTCTTATCTTTTCACATAAAAATTACTCCAGCTTTTTATTAAAGATATTTAACAACAACGTTAAGAACCTTAGCATACTGGATTAAAAAAAAATAAAAACAATTTTTTAAAAAAATCAAATATAGAGTTACTGGATAGGGATTGAAAGGTGTTGTACTAATAGGTCAAAATCAGATTGTATTCCAGTGATTACTTTCAGCTTTCATTGGTTTTAGAACTTCACCTTGATTTGTGTGCTTAAGAAAATACAAAACTCTTAACGCACGTTGGATTTGGCTATTCCCCAAAGAAGTGATTATTTTAACGTCCGACAGTACTAGCATTATTTTTTTTAAAAAGGGAAGAAAAACCAGTCCATAGTCAAAAAACTTCCCCTCTATTCTCTCATTCAGTGTATATAAGAGCAATTATTATTCCCCAATAATAATCCTGAAAGGCACAGACCCGAATTGAGGGAGCAATGGACATTGCAGCGAGAGAGGCGCAAAGAAAAACAGGAACTATTAAATGTAACTGTTTTACAATGGGATGGCTCCTTAGGCTGAATCCTAACCCTCTGAGCAGCTTTGAAGGACTATCAGTTCTTCTGCTCAGCTCTAGAGCAATCCAGCAACACCCGCCAGCCACATGCATATCTGGATTTGACATCACTATCTCCGAGCAGCTGTTGGCTATCCGCCTTGAGGGCTCTAAAGTCCTCGGCTAACACCGAGGGGCCGCCAAGCCCATTCTGAACCACACCTGAGCCACACTTATCATGCCACTCGGGGCTAACCCTGCAGGAAAGAATCTTCAATTACGGCCACCTACTCACATGCAACATTTCATGCAGAAGGGGAGCGGTCAACCCTGGGAGGCTTCGGGACCGATGTGAAAAGACAACGGGACAGAGAGAGGGTGCAGGGCTCCGAATTCCGGAGTGTTCGGCTGAATCTCATTGCCCGTTGATGGATTCCAAAGCGGAGCCCTGCCTTCGGCTGCGCATAGAAACTGCCTAACGGAGTCTAAAGGCCTGGGAGTCATTTAGAAGTATGCCAAGGCCATTCTAAGGCCCAGTCATTAAAGTAAGGATGGAGTTGAGCCAGGAGAGAAAACGACACCGTATTCCTCTCCCTCGAAGCAATTTAAGCGGTGGGCATCGAACCCGGAGGCCAGGGAATTATCTATTGGCCAGAGAGGCAGAAAGGTAATCTTTCCCGCTGCCCACTTCCCCTCCCCCCGGGATCAAAAGGGTTTTTTTGGGGGGGGGGGGTTGGGAAATCCGTGCGGCTCGCCAGCATCCAAAGCCTCCCAGCGGCTGCCGCCAACGGCCGCGCTACATCATCTAACTATGAACAGTAAGGTAGGCACAGACCAAGCAGTTGGTAATACAGCTTGGCACGCAGACACCGGACGAGAGAGACTGCAGCAAGGGTTTCACGTGATCGTGTGTAATGTTCGTCCACACCTTAGTCTTCGACTTGGGGCTGCCGCCATCCGGCCCTTCTTCGGCTGGGTCATCCCCTCGGCTGGCATTTAGCCACCGTGCCTTCTCTCGCTGCTGTCTCTGAAAGCTATGCCTCAGAGGAGAGCAAGTGCCTGAGTCCCCGTCACTAGCAAAAGAGTAGCCGGTGACGGCAGCGGGAATCTCCGCCTCAGTGAACTTTTTAGTCTTCTCCCTCAGAGCAGGGCATCGGTAGGGGTAGCCAGTCCTGTAACCCTGGAGAAACACCAAAGCGGCGGGGAAAATTCATCAGGAATAGCAACAGCCCTTAAGACTTATATACCGCTTTAAAATGCTTTACTGCCCTCTCTAAATGGTTTACAGTGTCAATCTCTTGCCCCCCTCCCCAAAAAAACAAACCGGGTTCTCGTTTTACCGACCTCGGAAGGACGGAAGGCTGAGTCAACCTTGAGCCGGTCAGGATTGAACTGCTGGCGGTTGGCAGAGTTAGCCTGCAATGCAGCATTCTAACCCCTGTGCCACCATGGAAGGGAGGGGAGGGAGGGAGGGAGGAAGGACTAGTAATAGCCCTTAAGACTTATATACTGCTTCATAGTTCTTTACAGAGTCAGCCTGTTTGCCCCCAACAATCCGGGTCCTCATTTTACCGACCTCGGAAGGACGGAAGGCTGAGTCAACCTTGAACCAATCAGGATCGAACTGCCGAACTGTTGGCAGCCAGCAGTCAGTAGAATTAGCCTGCAGTCCTGCATTCTGACCACTGCGCCAGCACGACTCATAAACACAGCAATTTCACCCCTCTGCATGTTCGCTTATCCTTGAATAATATCCAGAAAATGAATTGTGGAGTCCTTGGCGTTCTCTGGTCTGGGTTGTTTGCTGACAGACTTTTCATTACCCAGCTAGCTGGATAACGAAATGTTTAATGCTGAGCCATAGTTCAGCTTTTGCTACCGACACTATTTTCTACTCAATGTTCTATTTAATGTTCAAGAAAATGAACATTAAATGTTGCTGAAAGATTTCTCTGCTGTATTTCTATTCTATTCTGTATTTCTATTCTATTCTATTCTGTATTTCTATTCTATTCTGTATTTCTATTCTATTCTATTCTGTATTTCTATTCTATTCTGTATTTCTATTCTATTCTATTCTATTCTGTATTTCTATTCTATTCTGTATTTCTATTCTATTCTATTCTGTATTTCTATTCTATTCTGTATTTCTACTATTCTGTATTTCTATTCTATTCTGTATTTCTATTCTATTCTATTCTATTCTATTTATTTATTTATTTATGAGACTTATATACCGCTTTAAGTGCAAGCACTCTCTAATAAGCAATGTATATATATCTATATCTATATCTATATATATATTTACATTGCCCCCAACAATCTGGGTCCTCATTTTACCTACCCCGGAAGGATGGAAGGCTGAGTCAACCTTGAGCCGGTGAGATTTGAACCGCTGACCTGCTGAACACAGTCAGCTAAAGTGGCCTGCAGTCCTGCACTCTAACTGCTGCGCCACCTCGGCTCTTCTATTCTATTCTATTCTATTCTATTCTATTCTATTCTATTCTATTCTATTCTATTCTATTCTATTCTATTCTTCATTATTCTATTCTATTCTATCTCCTATTCCGTTCCATTCCCTATTCTATTTTGTCCTATTCCGTTCCATTCGTCCTCTATCGTACTTGGAACCAGTCCACCTCACCTAGGCTGAGTTTGTAGGCAACGGCAGAGTTTTGTCTTACCAAATTGTCAAGCATTCGCATGAGGGCTTCAAACTCTTGTTCTCCAGTTTGCCATTTGGGGTGTGGGGCTGCCCCCTCCCCCGCTGCAGACTCATGGCAGTGAGGCCTGGCTTTGTATTTGCTGGGATCCAAGAGCACTAAATTGTCTGCCCCCCCTGCACTGGCCAGGGTCCGAACCTGAAAGTAAACAAGCCATGATAATTAGAAGAAATAAATCAAGCACCGGGGGACTGTCTCATCTGGGTTACACGCCAGGTTTCAAGTAGAATTTATCTCTTTAATTAAATCAAAGTGGGGGGAGAAATAGCAAGTCTTTCGATATTAAACTAAAGCTCTCCCACGCCTTTTTTCCGTAGATGTGCTTTTATTCTACTGGTCTCAGCTGCTCACGTTGCACGTGTTTTCCCAGACCGATTCGAAGTGGACAAGTCAAGAAATAACACTGCTTACTTGGATCTCACAGGCAATAACCAAATTGTGGATATAGTAAAACGCCTCCTCCACACTTTCTCCAATGGAGACCAAGCCGTGGTTTCTGAGTATGAGGACCTGGAGGAGCCGAGGAGAGAAACAAAAGATGCCGCAAGTCAGAGAAGTCCCACGTTTTCTGCCAGTTCCTGATGAAATGGGTTGTGTAGATACTCACTTTGCTTTTGGGGCCCAGGTTCTTCTGAATCAGGACCTTCTCCTCCTCGTTCACAAGAATGCCGTGGTAATCGTGGTAGGCCACCTCTCCGAGAGACAGGGCCTCCGGTGAGATGGGCAAGAGACCGTGTTTCATCGCCGACACCTGAGAATATTTAAATGGATTTTACTCACAGCAGGGTATAAATTGGCTAGTGTCTTACCTATAAATTGTCTGTTTTCAAAGGAAAGACAACTTTTTTGCGGGGGGGGAGGGTGTTCCCTGCGGACAATTCTCTCATCTGGAAAAAAAAAATACTGGGAAGTAAAACTGAGACAAGTGGCCGAGAGCAGCCATTTTGAAAAATCCTGATATGCAAACCAATAGGCTAAAATTTGGAATAGAGTGGGGATGGGATGGGATGGAATAGAATAGAATGTAGAATATAGAATATAGAGAATAGAATAGAACAGAACAGAAAATGAATAGAATAGAATAGAATAGAATAGAATAGAATAGAATAGAATAGAATAGAATAGAATTAGAATAGAATAGAATGCAGAATACAGAATAGAATAGAATAGAACAGAACGAAGAGAAAATGGAATAGAATAGAATAGAATTAGAATAGAATAGAATGTAAAATACAGAATAGAATAGAATAGAACAGAACAGAAGAGAAAATGAATAGAATAGAATAGAATAGAATAGAATATGAATAGAACAGAATATGAATCGAATAGAACAAAATAGAATTTCCTTATTGACCAAGTGTGATTGGACACACAAGGAAATTGTCTCCGGTGCAGAAGCTCTCAGTGTACATTCAAGCAACAAATGATAAATCACGATCATAATCATAAAATACATAGATCCTAAAAGACAACATCCAGGGATAATCATAGGATACTAAATCAAGCAATTAACATAAATCAAAAGATACAAACAACCAAGTTTTTATCAGAAAGTGCTATCGGAAAGATAAAGAAGGATAACAGTAACACAGCCCTACTTATTATTCTATGATTTCAAGAAAGCATTAATTCAGCAATTGACTGTTTTACTGGGCACGCCAGAGGCCGTGTAGCAAAAGTCTTATTTCAGTCTCTCTTATGTTGGAAATGCTTATTATTTCAGAGGAACAGGCTTATAGGCTTTTGGCTTCCTTGGGTATCGGCCCTGTTTTACTATTTAGCAAAGCCCGAAAAAGATGATGGGGGAAAAAGCATATAAAGTTGGGAATGCGGTATCCAAGTATACTCTGAAAATCTGCAATCTACTGAAGTGTGGAAAGCTTTTAGCTGTTGGAGCTTGTGGACTCAGTCCAGAAAATTGTTCCACTCTGTGGGAAACACCCAACTTCAAACCTTAGAGGGATGGAAGATGTGGTTCATTTTCATGCAGCTGATCTAGCCCTTTTAGCAATTTGGCTTCTCCTACGCCAGAGATGGACAATTATAGCAACTTTACAACCTGTGGACTTCAAAAGGTCGCAAAAGGGGATCGCATGACTGCCACGGTCATCAATGGGGGGGTCAACTGCCAAGCGTCCAATGGCAAATCAGGGGACTGTGGGGATTGTCGCAACAGTTGCAAAGTGTGAAAAATGGTAATGAGCCGCTTTATGAAAACGCCACTGTAACTTCAAATGGTCACTAAATGAACTGCTGTAAAATAGAGGACTGCCTGTGTGCTAAGTGGCGTGTCATGGACACTCTTTGTGATCTCACAGCTAGAAGACAAGAGAATGCTCTTACTGCTGCTCCTGCGGGAGTGTGGATGTGAACAATGCACTTGACGTCCGGGCGGGCGGCGTAGATGGCCGAGTGCAACGTGAAACCAGCCGGATTAATCCCCAGGTTAGTGCTTCCACGATCAATGACGTCGCCTTGGAAATTCACTTTAACCTGGTAACAGAAGACGGCGTTAAATATTGAAGTTCTTCTAACTCTTTTCCTGCAGGAGGGAAAGAAGACGCCAGTCACCCACCTGAAAGGGGATAGGGGATGGAATAGATAGAATAAAATAGAATATAGAATAGAATAGAAAACAGAATAGAAAATAGAATAGACACTAGAATAGACACTAGAATAGAATATAGAATAGAATAGAAAATAGAATAGAAAATAGAATAGAATATAGAATAGAATAGAAAATAGAATAGACACTAGAATAGAATATAGAATAGAAAATAGAATAAAAAATAGAATAGAATATAGAATAGAAAATAGAATAGAATATAGAATAGAAAATAGAAAATAGAATAGACACTAGAATAGAATATAGAATAGAATAGAAAATAGAATAGACACTAGAATAGAATATAGAATAGAAAATAGAATAAAAAATAGAATAGAATATAGAATAGAAAATAGAATAGACACTAGAATAGAATATAGAACAGAATAGAATAGAAAATAGGATAGACACTAGAATAGAATATAGAATAGAACAGAATAGAATATAGAATAGAATAGACACTAGAATAGAATATAGAATAGAATGAACCAGGACAGAATAGGAGCCGGAAGGGACCCTGGAGGTCTTCTAGACCAGCCCCCTACTCAAGCACGAGACCCGATAGCAGGCATGTCAAACTCGCGATGTAACATGACGTCGCACAACGTATCGGGCCAGTTTTACCATTGCCAGCAATGGGGTGGGCGTGGCTTCCACGTGACGCGTCCAGCCCACACCCGTTTGACACCCTTGCCCTATAGCATTTTACACAATGTCTCTTCTTAAAAGCCTCCGGTGTTGAGAGCAACCAAAACTCCTAGTGGCAAGCTGTTCCACTGGTTAATTGTACTTACTGTTAGGAAGTTTCTCCTTAATTCCAGGTTGTTTCTCTCCCTGATTAGTTTCTATCATTGCTTCTTGTCCTGCCTTTTGGTGCTTTGGAGAATAGCTTGACCCCCTCTTCTTTGGGGCAGCCCTTCAAATACTGGAAGGCTGCTATCATGTGACCCTTAAATCCCTCTTTTCATTAAACTATACCCAAATCCTGCAAGCGTTCTTCCTATGTTTTAGTCTCCAGGCCTTTCGTCATCCTAGTTGCTCTTCTCAGCACTTTTTCCAAAGTCTCCACCTCTTCTTTGTAATGTGGTGACCAAAACTGGAGGCAGTAAGGAAAAGGGGAAAAAAATGGCAGACTGCGTTGTTTGGCGACCCCCGTGAAATGGTCGTTCGACCCCAAATGGGGTCCTGACCCACAGATTGAGAACCACTGGCTTAAAAGCTCACTGATTCCTATAGCGATCTGGATTGATTTGGACTTGGACTTTCTTAAAAGGGCTTTATATGTTTTTAATATTAGAGATGATGAGAAATATAATTATAATAAACATTATAATATAAAAGTATAATGAGAAAAGAACTGAAATGTGGGAAATGATGGAATTAATTATTGGAGATTTGGAGACACAGTGAAAAACAATAGACGATTGGTGAGAAAGAGAAGAATTTATTTTTGGAGTTAATAATGTCTAAATAAAAAAAAAAACACTTGGGGCACCTGAATAGTAAGTGAATATGTTAGTTTAAGATTAAATATTTGCAAAATTAAGAAAGCATGATACAGGATCTTTGGGATGGATAATGAGTTTGTAAACTTTTATGGATTAGTGAAATTTATATAGAGTGATATATTCAATGAAAATCTGTCTTAGAAATGTTTTAATGAGCGTATAACAATATAAGTAGACAGAGAATGTTAGTTTATTTTTAATTACCGTATTTTCCGGCTTATAAGACGACTTGGCGTATAAGACAACCAACTTTGGAGATTTGCATGGTTAGAAAGTCATCTTATACACCAGAAAATACGGTATATAACTTGGATGAAATGTTGTATTAGTGAATGAATTGGTTTTAGAAAGATATTGACTTGATTATGTATTTAAATAAATGGAGTTCATTAAGCTTAAGTTTAAATGTGTGAGGAAATATAGGTTCTTATTAAAAAATTTATTGATTAATGCAGTTGATGGTTAGATACAGTAATGAATGAATTCATTTGAAAATGTATTAATTTGATTATAATATTCTAGATAGAGAGGGAAATTTTAAAGAAATACTGGGTATATAGGTACTACGTTATTGTTTGTTTTTTAAAAAATGGATCACCATGTTTCCACGTGGGTTCTTAAGCTGTGTTGGTGTAAAATGGAAAACTAATAAAAATTGTTTTGGAAAAAAAAAAAAGTTCACTGATCCGTTTTTCTGAAGAACAGCTCTTAAAGGGTGGCAGGAGGAAAACGTAGGAGGGAAACAGATTTGAGTCATTTTAAATGCTCCTGGGGGGGGAAGGCAAATGTGCATAAAGGTAGCACACAGGAGGAGAATAAATAACAGAACAGGGCAGGGCTTCACAAATGAGCCTAAGGAAGATGTGGAAGGAGCTCGCAAGCCACAGAGAGGAGTCCAGGTGAATCCAGTGGGACCCCATCAGGATGCTCTGCCCCAGATGTCTGCTGGAGGTTGACGGACACGCGGCCCCCAGCGATTCAGCCTCGTGAACTGCCACCCGCAGGAAGCAAAGCAGGCCGAGGGTTATCAATACCCAGCATTGGATATTTGAGAAAGGAAGATTTGGACGGGAAGGGCCCAATCCAAGATTTAAATGCAGCAAGTGGCAATGAGTTAAGACGTTCAAGTCCTCTGTGTTTAATTTTTCACTTACCAAGCTGGATGCAGTAACTTCACTATAGAGAAGTCCAAAAGGCACAATCAGAAAATGTCCTTGCTCCACGTTTACTCTGACCTGCAAATATGAAGGAGGAGGAAAGGTCAAGCTCTGAGAGACACAATCTGAACTGCAGAAAGCTCAAGGCAGATCGAAAAATCAACAGATCTACAAGGGTTATGGTCCTCCCAATGATGCTGGCTGAGGAATTCTGGGAGTTGAAGTCCACAAATCATAAAAGGGCCAGGTTTGAAGACCCCTGCTTTATTGCCTTGGGGCTTGGACTGAATGGGACTGGATCCCCCACCCGTTTCATTTCTCCTACGGAAGTGCAGACTCACGGTGATGTGATTGTAAATGAGCTGGGACCAGCCAAAGAGGTCGGCCAGCCTGTAGAACGCAGCCAGCTTGCAGCGCAACAATTTCTCCCCTTTCTCGTAAGCGATGGAATCCGATCCCCGCAGATCATTCACGGGCGTCACCATACCAAGGCCTGAGAGAAAAGACAGGTGCAGAAACCCAGTTCAATAGGGGCAGCTCTCCAATTTAGTAATTAAAACCACTGCCAATGACTAAAAATACAAAATTACAGGTAGTCCTCAACTTACAACAGTCCGTTTAGTGACCACTGAAATCATCATATTTATGACTGTTGCTGTGTCCCTGGGGTCATGTGATCCCCTTTTGTGACTTTCTGACATGCAAAGTCTGTGGGGGAAGCCAGATTCACTTAATAATCGGGTTACTCACTTATCGTCTGCGGTGATTCCCTTCACAACTGTGGCAAGAAACGTCACGAAATGGGGCAAAACTCACATAACAGAAATTTTGGGGTCAATTGTGATCGTTGGTTGAGGACTACCTGCACAGCCAAGATGTCATCAGCCCTTCTCCATCTGACTCACTCATATTTAAGGCAGTCATGCCTCCTTGAGGAGCTGGTGGGAAGATGTTGGGAACGTTGGCCGTCATGAAGTCTGCAATCTGTTGGAGAGCCAGTAGGCCTGTAGGATTCTTCCCTTTCTTGAACTGTTCCTGGATCATGGATTCCAACTCTTCACAAAACGCCTAAGAACAGAGCAACACCGCACGTGAAAAGGCTGCTGAAGGAGCCATGACTTGGCTTGGTGTCCAACGCTTTGGGCAAAAGCAGACACCTTCAGTGGGGTGCAGGAATGGAGCAGAAATGTTCAGGATTTGGCCTGAAAATTTCAGCTCCCCTCAGGAGGCAACTCTGAGGGAAATTTTCTGAAGGAAATTTCAGCTCCCCTCAGGAGGCAACTCTGAGGGAAATTTTCTGAGGGAATTTCAGCTCCCCTCAGGAAACAATGCTGAGGAAAACTTTTTGAGGGAATTTCAGCTCCCCTCAGGAGGCAACTCTGAGGAAATTCTTTGAAGGAATTTCAGCTCCCCTCAGGAGGCAACTCTTTCAGCCAGCCTCCAGATAGGAGGGGGGGGGTCTTCTCAGCAGGTGGCAGCAGCTTGCAAACCTTCCCTACCAGCTTCCCCAATGATTTAATGGGGAAGCCAGCAAAGAAGGTTGCAGCTGGCAATCACATAATTGCAGGGTACTTGACAACCGGTCTTTAAGTGCAAACAGAGTGCTGAGCATCCAGATCATGTGACCGCAGGAGTGGTGGTGCAATGTTTTCCGATGGCCGGAAGTTCTTCAGGGCAGGGGTCCCCAACCTTTCTGGGTTGGCAGCCCAGTGGGAAAGGGAGGGGCAGGGACCTTTATGTGCACATGTGCACTCACGCTAATGGGGCTGCATGTACGTGGGTGCGAATGGGGCCGCGAGCATGCACGCTCTGCAAATGGGGCTGCTAGCGCTGGTGTGAGGTATGTGGCTCGGCTAGTGTTGGTGTGAGGCATGGCTAGCGCCTGCACAAGGCTCAGCTAGCATCGGTGCGAGACTCAGTGCTGGCGCAAGGGGGATGAGCACGCATGCACACGCGCGTGTATTGTCAACCCACTCACGCAGCCTGGTGGCCAAGAGGCCACAGTAGTGAGCCATGGCCCATAGGTTGGGGACCCTTAGGGGCTATAAAGGATCTTTCCTTAGACTGTTGTAATTCTGGGCTATCATTAAACATTGTAACTCAAGGAGTATCTGTAGGACTTTTCAAGGAGTGAGGGCAGCACGGAATATTGCGTAACCTGTGATTATATTGATCTATCTATCTTATGAAGGAAATAATTTGGGCTGCAGCAGCCCTGAATTCTCTGAAATCTATGTATTGCAGTATTAGAGTGTAATATTCCAGTATTTTATCACCGCTTTGCTTTAGTAACAACAGCAAGAAGAAAAATACATAATACTTGCAGAATGGATTCAAGAGCTATTTAAGGCCTTTTCAGCCACACAAATGAAACTGCATTAGAAATCTGAACTACAAAACAAAAAATAGAGACGAGCAGTGCTTTTTTCAAGGAAACGCACACGTGTGTGCTTTAAGAGACTTTTCCTGGCTTAAGTCACACACTAAAACCGCCTTGTTTGAAAACTGTCTTTAAAACGCAGAGCATTTAACCATTAAATGGTCTCATTTTCTTTTCTTGTCGCTTGCTATGTATTCTTAGGACCCAACTTGTTCTATGTGCTTCTTTTTTTTTGGTCATGCATTGGTGGGGGGGAAAAAATGATAATAACGTTCTTACCGGACTCTGGAGGATCATGGATACTCTCTTTTTCTGTTCCATCATGTTGAAATCCTGGCGAAGGTCAGGGGCCATGTTCCTCTCCCTCAAGTAGTCGGGATTGTTTTCATCCACTCTGTCAAAATATCTCTCTTTGTGTGGAGCTGTTGGGGGTGGTGAAGTTACCACCTCTGCTCTCGTTTCACCATTCATAGTACGGTTTCAATGGTTCTGCAAAAGCGAGAAGAAAAAACATTTAAAAAAAAAAAAGACAGCAAGTGGCTCCTGTTAAAGCAAGCACTGGAAACAAATGCGACTAGGGGCAGTCCTCGATTTAACAACCAAAACGGAGCCCAGAATTTATGTTGCTAAGCGAGAAATTTTACAACCTGCCCCATTTTACAACCTTGCCGGCCACAGCCGTTAAATCAGTGGTTCTCAACCTGTGGGTCGGGACCCCATTTGGGGTCGAACGACTATTTCACGGGGGTCGCCAAACAACGCAGTCCGCTATTTTTCCCCCCTTTTCCTTAGCTGTGCTCCTCCCTTTTATTCTATTGGCTTTTGAAAGCCAATAGGAATTGTCCAGGTTGTCTCTGCCCTGCTGGCCCTGCCAAAAGTCCCATTCTACAAACGGTGCTGCACCAGTTGAGTAGTCCTCGACTTACGACCGGTTGAGTAGTCCTCGACTTATGACCGGTTGAGTAGTCCTCGACTTACGACCGGTTCAGGGGGGGGTCGTGGCATTAAAAAGGTTGAGAACCACTGATTTAGGAGAAGAAGAAATTCACATTTCTTGTAGAATTAAAAACAAGTACCAATAAAATGGGTACTTGGGGCTCACTTGTGGCCCGGACGTCAAGGACTAGCTGCATAGATTTCCTGCACAAATAATCCACCCTTGACTCTCATGACTTTTACGGGCTTCCAAATCGCTGGGTGGATTTGCAGGGGACATCCGTGTTTTTTTTGGCCACAATTTCTGCCAGGAGGCCCGGCTCCCAGCCCGCTGATCAAAGGGGGGTGACTGTCCAGTTTCTGCAGGAAATCCTGGACAAGGGCTCCATCTGGGGGCTTCCTGCCAACCCTGGAGGGTGGGGGGGGCTCTCTGTTTAAAAGCAGAGGGAGGAAAGCTGCACCTGGCCAGGTCCCAGAAAAATGCAGCCAGGACCTGCTAAGTCCTCCCCTCCTTTCCTCTGAATTGATAGTTATGCAGAAACAGAACAAAAAAGAGCTGGAAGGGACCTTGGAGGTCTTCTAGTCCAGCCCCCTGCTCGAGCAGGAGTACCTATACCATCTCAGGCAAGTGACTGTCCAGTCTCTTAAAAACTTCCACGGATGGAGCGTCCACGATTTCTGGAGGCAAGCTGTTCTACTGGTTAATTATCCTCCCTGTTGGGAAGTTTCTCCTTAATTCCAGGTTGCTTCTCTCCTTGATCAGTTTCCATCCATTGTTTCTTGTTCTGCCCTCGGGTGCTCTGGAGAATAATGTGGCCCCCTCCTCTTTGGGGCAGCCCCTCAAATACTGAAAGACTGCCATCATGTCCCCCCTAGTCCCTCCTTCCTTCCTTCCTTCCTTCCTTCCTTCCTTCCTTCCTTCCTTCCTTCCTTCCTTTTTTCTTTCTTTCTTTTTCTTTTTCTTTTTCTTCTTCTTCTTCTTCTTCTTCTTCTTCTTCTTCTTCTTCTTCTTCTTCTTCTTCTTCTTCTTCTTCTTCTTCTTCTTCTTCTTCTTCCTCTTCCTCCTCCTCCTCTTTCTTCTTCTGCCATATCCGTTATCAGACGTTGGCGATCCTGTTCCTATCAGCAGCCGCACGAAAAAGTGCTGCTGAGTTTTGTCCCAACCAATCCCTGAGATTTTGAAGCCACAATGTTCTTCTTCTGCCTGGACCTCGTTTGCCTTCCATCTTTCCCTGGAGGATTAAATGAAGTAGGCCGTATTTTTCTGGGTGTCGCATCACATGTCTGACATATTCTACTTTTCATTTTTTTAATTGTTTTGATGATTTCCCTGGGCTTTCCCGGGCGGCTGATCACCTCCTTATTTCTGATCTTGTCAACCCAGCTTATACGTAACAGCCGCCTGTCAATCCACATTTCAATCCACCTTTCTTTAGACTAGCCAAACCCAAGTCCCGCAGCCGTTCTTCGTATGTTTTAGTCTCCAGGCCTTGGATCATCTTAGGTTGCTCTTCTCTGAACTTTTTTCCAAAATCTCAACCTCTCTTTTGCAGTAGGGTGAGCAAAATTGGTTACGGCCTTGGGCTCACTCGAGATGGGAGCACAAATGAAGATCAGCAGGGCTGAAAAAAAAAGCCAGTAAGAAATGGCCAAGAAACGGGAGCGGGAGGAAGAGAGGCAGAGAGTGCAAAGTTAGTGCAAAGTTAAAGGCAGGGAGCAGTTTTGGCTCCCCATAGGGTCCTCTGCCCCTTCCTCAGCTGGTTTAGATTTTCTTTGAACCCCGTTGACCCAACAAAGCTGGGGCTTAAGAGCTTTGCTCTTTTAATGCTGGCACAGAGAAGCCACATTGGAAGGGAAAAGGCAGGGAAGAACAGCCTGGAACCGAGTCTGCCGCACGTGGCCCATGCACCCAAGTGTTTAGATAAAATCATGGTTTCCGTCTCTGAAAAGCTGTCCAAAAGCCCCACCCTGAATGGAGGCCAACAGAAGTCGTAAATTCAAGGCCTCGACAGAGGGAAAGCCAGTTCAAGGGAACAAAATGAAAGCCAGTTGGACGGAACAAAATGCAGATGTTTTCACACCGGATCTGTGCGAGACCTGTCCTCCGGGCAACTGTTTAAAAGTAGGGAAAAAGGGAAACCTTTCATAAGAAAAACAACAATCATTACAGCTTTTACCCTTTGAGCTCTGAAAGGCACAGGGGCGCCCTTGTCTCTCCTCTGAATGGATTTTAAAGAGAAAGAAGAATTCAAAGGAGGTGGGGGCAAACATCTTTATCGGTTGACGCTATTTGGAAAACCATACTGGATGGAGCAGCTGGTAGCCAAATCTGGTTCTGCCTCAGTTTACCTTCCCAATAAGCATTGAAAAGCGATTTATTAGGGTACCCTGATAAAGTGGGATCTCCATATGAAAAGAGAGACCCAGCTCACATTCCTTTTTATAGTTAACAAAGAATAATATTACTGCAACAAAGAATAACGCAAGAGGAACGGGATAAAAGCAACCTCCCTTGGCATAGGAAATCCGTTTTAACATGTAGACAAACATGTTTTGCATCCCATAATATCACATGTGTTCATTGAAATGAGGTCTGATGTCAGAAGGGCGTAAATGTTAAGGAAACAAGGATGTTCGGAGTTCACGAAAAGAGACAAAAACCAGACAAACCCAATTTGTACTGACAAACTTTTCCTTATCTGGAGCTACTCTCCAGCTGGGTCATCTTTTCAGTTGAGGAATGTTAAAAGCTGTTCCTACATTCCAAGTCTACAGTGAGCCTGCACATTGTTTTAAAAGAGAGAAAATAAGCCAAATTAGAAATAACAAAGGAACGACATTAGTTAACAAACTGCAAAATCCACGCTCTGTGCCCCCTCCGAACAGAAACGTCCCATATTTGTAAGATACTTGTCCTAAATTAAGCAGACCATTTACAATAGTGTTTCTCAACCTTGACAATTTTAAGGCATGTGGACTTCAACTCCCAGAATTCCACAGCCAGCACTGCTCTAGCCAGCACACTGGTTTTGTTTTTTTGTTTTTTTTAAAGGAGGAGCAATTGGAACAGCACAAGCCACACGCTGGCTGCAAAGACACCATGAAGTCTGCTCAGACCCAACACGGAGACACTGCAGCAGAAGCCAATCCCAGAAGTTACATCCTATGAATAAATAAATAAACCAACAGAAGTAGGCAACCAGTTTGGTGCACTGTGGTAATTAAGGCACAGGACTAAAAGAGCAGGAAAGCATGAGCCGGTCACTGTCTCTTGGCCTTAGGAAGCAGGCAATGGCCAACCACGTCCAATAGCCTAGCAAGAAAACCGCAGGGTCACTCCTGGCTCAAAGGCACAGACAGGAACAGGGTCTTCTGCAGCTCTGGTGGCCTTCAGAAGCAAGTCTGATGCTCCTGGCCCCCTCAGCTCAGGCATGGGACCCTAGGACAGGCAGCAGCCAAGAGCACGGGCCCCAGAAGCAGCTTGGAAAAAAACCAGCAGCTGCATGGTTCCGGGATATAACACCACAAGGAAACCAAGACTTCAGCAATCATCCTCGATTTATTTATCAGTAACACTTAGACTTATATACCGCTTCACGGCACTTTACAGCCCCCTCCAAGCGGTTTACAGAGTCAGCCTACTGCCCCCAACAATCTGGGTCCTCATTTTACAGACCTGGGAAGGATGGAAAGGCTGAGTCAACCGTGAGCCGGTCAGGATCGAACTTCCTGGCTGTGGGCAGAGTCAGCCTGCAATAGCGCATTCTAACCCCTGCGCCATCACAACTCCTATTTATGAAATGTATATGCTGACCTTCTTTCTATCCAAAGTGACTTGCTTACGGGCTTTCAAATTAAAAAAAAAAAAAGTTTTAAATATGGCCCCAAGTAGGATCGCCAAACTGTTTTAAGATTTTAGGATAACTTGATAGCCTTTCAGGCTGATTTAATTTACATCCCATGCAGTTCAATCAATCATTAAAAAAACAAAAAAGCTGGGGTGGATATCCGTGCCATTTTGCAAAACAACGGAGCCCCTGAAAAAAAATGTGAGAATTGATGACTGCTGAGGTGCAACAAGTCACAGAAGATGATATATATGACAGATTGGAGGGCTTTTGAATGAATTTAATGAGGTTGGAGGAAAAAAGACAGTCTAGAACAGTGGTTCTCAACCTGTGGGTCGGGACCCCATTTGGGGTCAAATGACCATTTCACGGGGGTCGCCAAACCACGCTGTCCGCCATTTTTTTCCCTTTTCCCTAGCTGTCCTACTCCCTCTTATTGGTGGCCACACCCACTTGGGGGTCACCACAACATGGGGAACTGTATTATGGGGTCACGGCATTAGAAAGGTTGAGAACCACTGGTCTAGAAGGAGAACGTGAGAGGGGTGCTATTAACATAAGTGGGGGCAACGATACAGTGAATAGCAGTGATGTGCTGTGTTTGTCTAAGATCCAAAGTGGTTCCTTCAAGTTATTTTCAGGATGTGCATCCCCCTAAAACAGTGGTTCTCAACCTTTTTAATGCCGCGACCCCCCCAACCGGTCGTAAGTCGAGGACTACTCAATTGGTGCAGCACCGTTTGCAGACTGGGACTTTTGGCGGGCTCAGCAGGGCAGAGACAGCCTGCACAATTCCTATTGGCTTTTGAAAGCCAATAGAATTAGACTCTATTCAAGAGAGTCTATTCTATTGGCTTTCAAAAGCCAATAGAATAAAAGGGAGTAGCACAGCTAAGGAAAAGGGGGAAAAAAATGGTGGACTGCATTGTTTGGCGACCCCCGTGAAATGATTGTTCAACCCCAAATGGGGTCCCGACCCACAGGTTGAGAACCGCTGCCCTAAAAGAATTGTCTTCAGAAATATTCAAAACAAAGAAAACAGCTAGATGGATATGGCAAAAAGCTATCAGGTAACAATGAAAATAATGAAGAGGATGTTGGAAGGGACCTTGGAGGTCATCTTGTCCAACCCCCTGCTCAGGCAGGAAACCTAGAATATACCATTTCAGACAAATAGTTGTCCAGTCTCTTTTTAAAAATGTCCAGTGATGGAGCACCCACAAGTTCTGGAGGCAGGCTGTTCCACTGATTAATTGTTCTAACTGTCAGGAAGTTTCTCCTTAGTTCTAGGTTGCTTCTCTCCTTGGTGAGTTTACCTCCGTTGCTTCTTGTCCTGCAGAACTAAATGCAGAACTCTTCAACTCCTATTTTTGCAGTTTTCTTGAAAAAGGAAGCATGCATTTCTTCTTGTCACTGGCCAGGAAGGGATCTTGGAGATCAATTCAGATCAACCCTCTATCCATTGTGGGAATCCATAGATCTGGGGCTGCAGTGGTGAAGCAGCCATCACTGGGGAGTTAAGGTCCACCTATCTTAAACTTGCCAGGATTGAGAAATATGGCTCTATGCAACAAATAGGCAGAATGTTCCCAGTCTGCCTTTTCTTCTTTCTGAGCTAGGAACAAGATGCATTTCCTACTTTGTTTTCATATACAGCTGTTCATTTAATTTCAAAAGCAGACCAATAGAGCTACGTTCATTCCCAGGAGTCGTTTACATCAAGAAGGCAGATGAGGCAATGTCAGACAGCCCCACTTGTTATGCCCAGAGCATCAATGATGTACCTTTGGCAGGACTTAAATACTAAGTCACCACCACGGGGTAATAGCCAATCACAACATACTTGATACAGACACAGCATTAATTCCCTAAATGTCAGGGAGGAGGTCAATATCAGCTCTGCTCCGGCATCTAATCTATGGATGGAATGGATGGATGGAAACTAATCAAGGAGAGAAGCAACCTGGAATTAAGGAGAAGCTTCCTAACAGGGAGGACAATTAAGCAGTGGAACTTCAGAAGCGGTGGGCGCTCCATTCCTGGAGATTTTTAAGAAGAGACTGGACAGCAACTTGGCTGGAATGGTTTAGGGCAGGGGTAGTCAACCTTGGCTCTTTTATGACTCGTGGACTTCAACTCCCAGAATTCCTGAGCCAGCTGGCTCAGGAATTCTGGGAGTTGAAGTCCACGAGTCATAAAAGAGCCAAGGTTGTCTACCCCTGGTATAGGGTATCGTGCCGGAGCAGCGGGCTGGAGTAGAAGACCTCTAAGGTCCCTTCCAACACTATTCTGATTGATTGAAATGGTATAGAGTCTCCGACTTGAGTAGGGGGCTGGACTAGAAGACCCCCCCCAAGATCCCTTCCAGCTCTATTCTAATTGATTGGTTGATTGATTGAAATGGTCTAGTCTAGGGTCTCCTGCCTGAGAGGGGGGCTGGATTAGATGACCTCCAAGCTCCCTTCCAGCTCTATTCTGAACTGAACTGAACCCCAGGGAATATACACTGCAACTCATTTTCCTACGAAACAACCACTCATTCGAGAACACTTTGTACCAAATATTTAGTCCAGAAAACCATCGGCACGAGTCACACATCAGAAAAGGCAACGGCTAAAACAAAAAACCAAGATAAATGTTCTGGGAGCCCCAGGATCGTCCTATTTTTAAGTTACCCGTGGCCAATGCGCGCGTGTGCACGCGCACACTCACGCGCCACAAAACAACTAAGGTAATAAAAGTTACAGGTAGTCCTTGATTTATGACCACAACTGAGCCCAAAATTTACGTTGTGAAGCGAGATGTTTGTGAAGTGAGCTTTACCCCGTTCTACGACCTTTATTGCCACCGTTGTTAACTGAATCACTGCAGTCGTTCAGTTAGTATCACGGCTAAGTGAGCCTGGCTTCGCCCTTGACCTGGCTTTCAGATGGTCAACAAAAGGGGGATCCCGCGACCCCAGGATGCGGCGGCCGTCCTAATGACAGGTCGGTCGGAGAAAGTGGTCCTTAATTCCCCCTTTTGTGCCCAGTGCCCTTGTAACTTCAAACGCTCACTGAGCAAATGGCAGTTAAGTCGGAGACTACCTGCCTTTCACTCTTTACATTCCCCAGGGAGGTTGGCCTCCAAACGGGGCGGCTTCTTCTTCCTAACGGTCCGCCAGCCGGTTTTTCTTGCCCTCCGGGGCCGGCATCTCCCAACCCTCAGCAGCTCTTGGCAGAGATGCGGATGCTGATTGCAGGGATGCCCTGGCGGGCAAGGCCAAGGCCTGGGAATGGGGGGGGGAAGGGGGGGGAAAGAGACCCTCCAAAGTCGTCTCTGGAGGGGAGGAAGACATCCTACAAAGTCTTCTCTGGGGGGAGGGAAGGGAAAGAGACCCTACAAAGTCCTGGGGGGAGGGGGAGGAAGAGACCCACAAAGTCCTCTCTGGGGGGGGAGGGGGAGGAAGACACCCCACAAAGTCCTCTCTGGGAAGGAGGGGGAGGAAGACACCCTAAAGTCCTCTCTGGGAGGGAGGGGAAGGAAGACACCCCACAAAGTCCTCTCTGGGGGGGCACACCCTAAAGTCCTCTCTGGGGGGGAGGGGGAGGAAGACACCCCACAAAGTCCTCTCTGGGAAGGAGGGGGAGGAAGACACCCTAAAGTCCTCTCTGGGGGGGAGGGGAAGGAAGACACCCCACAAAGTCCTCTCTGGGGGGGAGGAGGAAGACACCCCACAAAGTCCTCTCTGGGGGGGGAGGGGGAGGAAGACACCCCACAAAGTCCTCTCTGGGGGGGGAAGAAGACACCCTAATATCCTCTCCGGAGGGGGAGGGGGAGGAAGACACCCTAAAGTCCTCTCTGGGGGGGAGGGGGAGGAAGACACCCTAAAGTCCTCTCTAGGGGGGGAAGAAGACACCCTAATATCCCCTCCGCGGGGGAGAGGGAGGAAGACACCCTAAAGTCCTCTCTGGGGGGAGGAAGACACCCCACAAAGTCCTCTCTGGGGGGGAGGAGGAGGAAGACACCCCACAAAGTCCTCTCTGGGGGGGAGGGGGAGGAAGACACCCCACAAAGTCCTCTCTGGGGGGGGAAGAAGACACCCTAATATCCTCTCCGGAGGGGGGAGGAAGACACCCTAAAGTCCTCTCTGGGGGGGAAGAAGACAGCCTAATATCCCCTCCGCGGGGGGGGGAGGAAGACACCCTAAAGTCCTCTCTGGGGGGGAGGGGGAGGAAGACACCCCACAAAGTCCTCTCTGGGGGGGAAGAAGACAGCCTAATATCCCCTCCGGAGGGGGAGGAAGACACCCTAAAGTCCTCTCGGGGGGGGGAGGGGGAGGAAGACACCCCACAAAGTCCTCTCTGGGAAGGAGGGGGAGGAAGACACCCTAAAGTCCTCTCGGGGGGGGGGAGGGGGAGGAAGACACCCCACAAAGTCCTCTCTGGGAAGGAGGGGGAGGAAGACACCCTAAAGTCCTCTCTGGGGGGGGAGGGGGAAGAAGACACCCTAAAGTCCTCTCCGGGGGGGGTCTTTCCCTTCTCCATCCATAACACCTCCCACGTGCACGAGAGGACACCCCCCACACACAGAAGGGGGGGGAAACACGGCGGAGGGAGGGGATGAGGGAGGGGCTGCTGTGCCGCCTGAGGCTTCCCTCGGGCCCTCCCGGGAGCGACGCCCCGCCCGGAGATGCAACGGCTGAGGGCCTGTGGAGGAGCCGGCCCTTCCTCCTCCTCCGAGGCCGCGCCGAGGCCCACCCACGCAGCGGCTCACCTAGAGCGGAGAAGCAGCGGCGGCGGCGGCCCAGTCGAGTGGAGGCTCCGGCGGTCCCGCCCTCCTCCGCCTCCGCGGGCGCGGCTGGCAGGTCTGCAGGCCAAGGAGCGCGGCGGCCATTGGACGGCGCCGCCCCGCCAGCAAGGACGCCGCGGATTGGCCGCCCCGTTCTCCCAGGCCCCGCCCCCCCGCCCGCTCCGACTGAGGCGCAGCCCCGTGAGGGCCCGCCATTTGGGGCCTGCTTGGCCCCTCAGGGAGGTGGTATTTTTCGGCTTCTCGGTCAAATGGTCCATGAAGGGGGCTGAGCCTCCGCCCCCCTCCGGCTCTGGGACGCCCCGTCAAAGCCCAGGCAGCCCCGGCTTATCACTTCCAAGCGCTTGCCGATGAAGTGGGAGTATGTTTTAAAATCCTCTAAACCAACCTTGACAAACTTGACGACTGGTGGACTTCAACTCCCAGAATTCCTCAGCCAGCATAGCCGCAAAGAACGGCTGGCCGAGGAATTCTGGGAGTTGAAGTTCACAAGGAAAGTTGTCAAGGTTGGAAGACCCCCTGCGTTTAAACCACCCAAGCGTGCCAAAAACCACAGTGCAAAGGCAAAAAGCGACTCGAAAAGGAAGTTTGAACAGAGGCATAAATTGGATAATAACCGCTTAATAACTGCGAATGCTTCGTTTAACGATATATATATATTTTTTAAAAAAATACATTTTTAGGTTTAAGAAATAAAAAGGAATGCTAATTTTTATTTAAAGCTGGAGAAGAGATGCATTTCAAGCACGAATCTTTTGTGGAGGGCATGGAACCCTCTGGGGAGGGCCTCAAATTATTTTTTATAGCTGGTTTGCTGCCCATATGTCCCTCCCCCCGCAAAAAAAAGCCATTTCACAGAAAAATTCAGAAAAAAAGACTTGAAATTACATCTTGAGGGCTAGCAGAGCTGGGGTTTGTTTTAATCCTGAGCAAAAATGATTTTGGGGACGGTTCATTTTAGAGGCGAAGGAAGATAAAAGGGGCTTGGCCAGGGAAAAAGTAGAATATAAGTAAAGGGTTTCCTCCTCGAGCAGGGGGTTGGACTAGAAGACCTCCAAGGTCCCTTCCAACTCTTATTCTATATTCCCCCTCAGCTATGTATCCCGCCCTCCTACGACTTGTCCGAGGGAGGCAAAACAAACTAAAAATAAACTCCTATACTACAGATATTCGCCACTGCAGGCAGTCCTCGGCTTACAACAGTTTGTTTAGTGACCGTTCCAAGTTACACTGAAAAAAAGCGACTTAGGACCGTTTTTCACACTTAATGACCGTTATAGTATATTCCTTCAACCCCCTCCTCCTGCTCTTCCAGAGCTCCTGTTTCCCACTTAATCCAGGGAGAAATTGACCAAAGATATCCATGCGGCATGGGAATGAATTACAGGCAGTCTTCAACCTACGACCATAATTGAGCCCAAAATTCATGTTGCAAAGTGAGTTTTGCCTCATTTTACGACTTTCCTTGCCACCTTTGTTAAGTGAATCACTGCAGTGGTTAAATTAGAGACACGGTTGTGAATCTGGCTTCCCCATCGATTTTGCTGGTCAGAAGGTTGCAGAAGGGGAAACATACGATCCCGGGTCACTGCGACCGTCATAAATGTGAGTCAGCTGCCAAGCATCCAAATGCAAATCACGTGACGCTGGGGATGCTGCAACGGTCATCAGGGCGAAAAAACGGCCGTAAGTCCCCTTTTTCAGTGCTGCTGTAACTTTGAATGGTCACTAAGACACAACTGTTGAGGATTGCCTGTGTTTAGGGCAGGGATGGTCCAACGTTGGCAACTTTGAATGACTTGTGGACTTTAACTCCCAGAATTCTTTGGAGAATGGGGAATTCTGGGACTTGTACTTCCCCCAGTCTTAAAAAGTTGCCAAGCTTGGACACCTCTGATTTAGGACCGTTCCTTTGCCCCAGTCGCCCCTTTGGCCATTTCAACGACGTGTCTAAGCGAGGAGAATCTTCTCTAAGGGCAGCCAATATTTGAGGGGCTGTCTCAGAGAGGAGGGGGTCAACCTCTTTTCCAAAGCACCTGAAGGCCGGACAAAGAACAACGGATGGAAACTGATCAAGGAGAGATGCAACATAGGAGACATTTTCTGACTGTGAGAACAATCAACCAATGGAACAGTTTGCCTTCAGATGTTGTGGGAGCTCCATCACTGGAGGTTTTTAAGAAGAGACTAGAACAGCCACGCGACAGAAATGGTATTCTATTCTATTCTATCCTGTAATTCTATTCTAGTCTATTCTAGTCTAGTCTAGTCTAGTCTAGTCCAGTCTTTCTTATTCTAGTCTATTTTATTTTCTTATTCTAGTCTATTCTATTTTCTATTCTATTCTCTCTTCTTATTCTATTCTATTTTCTATTCTGTTCTATTCTCTATTCTATTCTATTCTCTCTTCTTTTTCTCTTCTATTTTCTATTCTATTCACTCTTATATTTTCTCTTCTCTTCTCTTCTTTTCTATTTTCTATCCTATCCTATCCTATATTCCAATATCTATTCTATTCTATTTCATTTCATTTTTTTATTTTATTTTATTATTCTATTCTATTCTACTCTATTCTATTCTATTCTATTCCATTCCATTCCATTCCATTCTATTCTCTCCTCTCTTCTTTTTCTATTCTATTTTCTATTCTATTCTATTCTATTCTTTTTCGATTCTATTTTCTATTCCATTTTCTATTCTATTCTATTCTCTCTTCTCTTCTATTCTACTCTCTCTTCTTTTTCTCTTCTATTTTCTATTCTATTCTCTCTTCTATTTTCTCTTCTCTTCTCTTCTATTTTCTATCCTATCCTATCCTATATTCCAATATCTATTCTATTCTATTTCATTTTATTTTTTTATTTTATTTTATTATTCTATTCTATTCTATTCCACATTCCATTATTCTATTCTATTCTATTCTATTCTATTCTATTCTATTCTATTCTATTCTATTCCATTCTTTCCATATTATTCTATTCTATTCTATTCTATTCTATCCATATTATTCTATTCTATTCTATTCTATTCTATTCTATTCTATCCCACCCCATCCCATCCCATCTCAGCGCGATCCCTCCCGATGCCCAGAGGCCCCTTCCGTTCGCCTTTCCATGCCCACCTGGGCCGGCGCGGAGGAGGAGCCGTCGCCTCCTCCTCCTCCTCCTCCGCTCCCGCGGGGCTGACCGGAGCTGCGGGCGCCGTTGCTAGGCTGGAGGCGCGCTGGAGGCGGCTGGCGCAGCTCCACCCTCCGCCGGCTCGGCCCCATGAAGCGGAGCGCCCCGTCCTCCTCCTCCGCCCAGGGCAGGGCTTCCCGGCTGGGCTGAGCGATGGCCGCCGCTCCCCCGCCGCCCTCCCTCCGCCGGGTCCGCCTGTCCGCTGCGGCTGCTGAGTAATCAATGGGCGAGGAGACGGAGCCCCCGCCGAAGATCAGCCAGGGCTTTCTCCGGGACCACAACTATGCGACGGAAGGTGAGGCTCCCGCCGCCGCCCCGCCGCCCTCGCCTCCGGCCGCCTTGAGGGGGGGGGGCGCAGTGGGCTGAGGATCGGGCCCCTGCCTCCCCCCTGCCCGCTTCTCTCGCCGCCTTCTGCAAAAAAAAGGGGGGGGAAGACGGTGGGAGGGGGAGATGGGCCACGGCGACCTCCTGGGGGGGGGAAGAGGCTGGGGGGGGGGGGATATGGAAAGCGCAGCCTGCAGGATGGGGGGCAACTTCACCCAGGGTTGAGCCCTGCAGAGCCGGCTGCCCTGGGAACCCTGGAGTGTGTGTGTGTGTGTGTGTGTGTGTGTGTGTGTGTTTTTCTCTCTCTCTCTCTCTCTCTCTCTCTGTGTTTCTCTCTCTCTCTCTCTGTGTATGTGTGTGTGTGTGTTTGTCTCTCTGTGTGTGTGTGTGTGTGTGTCTTTCTCTCTCTCTGTGTTTGTCTCTCTCTCTCTGTGTTTCTCTCTCTCTGTGTTTGTCTCTCTCTCTCTCTCTCTGTGTGTGTTTCTCTCTCTCTGTGTGTGTGTTTCTCTGTGTGTGTGTGTGTTTCTCTCTCTGTGTGTTTCTCTCTCTCTCTGTGTGTTTCTCTCTCTCTCTGTGTGTGTGTTTTTCTCTCTCTGTGTGTTTCTCTCTCTCTCTCTGTGTTTCTCTCTGTGTGTGTGTGTGTGTGTTTCCCTCTCTCTCTCTCTCTCTCTGTGTGTGTGTGTGTGTGTGCTGGGAAATCTGCGTTGCGCCCTCCCTCCCGTGGGCAAGAGGCTGTTGGCCAGGTGAAGCCAACCTGCCTGTGTTTTTTAAACCCAGCCAGGTGCCCGTTTTGGCGTTGAGGCATCTGATCTGAGGGGCGGGCAGGTGGGTGGGCCGGCAACCGCAGCAGCGCCTGGGTCAGCTCTGTCTCTGCCATGCCCCCTTAACAAACATTGTGCAACCTTTTAGCCTTTCCACGTTGGCTCATTCACCTGGGCCACACACCTTGAAGATTCCTGGGTGGGGGGGGGCTGCATTCTCTTGTAATAAGGACAGAAGCCCAAGCTGCCCTAAAATCCCTTCCTTTGCTCAGCCCCGAGAAAGTTAGGGCATGGCAGAGTTTCTGCTTTTTATTGTGTGTGTGTGTGTGTGTTTTGGGTGCTATCTCCTAGTCCATGTTTTGCTTTTAAGGCGAGCTACCTGCCTGAATACTTTTAAAAAGCGGGCCGTTTATTTGGGGTGGTGGGGGGGAAGCATCATGGACGGGACAGCTGCCCCTGTTGGAGATGCAGCCGGAAGGCAGGGAGGGATGGTTTTTGGGGACCAGTCAGGAATCACCTGCAGTGACCGGGGAGCTGGGAAATCAGGGAGAGGATGGTGGGATCCTCTTCCTGCTCAGCCTCTAAGCAGGCTGGCGAGGCCGATGCTCCCTTTCGATTTTGCTGCTCCACGCTGGCTGCCATGATGACTCACGTTCAAGCAGCATCTCCTGAGCCTCCCACAGTAAACCAGCTTGTAAAACATGCCCACCCCTCACTATTTGTCTCCTGACAAAAGAGGCACCAAGGAAGCCTGGGGAGGTGGGGGGGAGGATTGCTGCAGCAACCAGCCCTCTCTACTCCTCTACTCGCCTTCCACCACCCCCCCCGCCCGCCCCAAGTTCA